TGATGATGATGATGATGATGATGATGATGATGATGATGATGATGATGATGATGATGATGATGATGATGATGATGATGATGATTGATGAGATGTAATGAGGTCGTGAAGAGTCGTGAAAGTTGGTTGATAGACCGTCTCAGTCGTGATAAAGGTTCGTTAGGGCGATGTTCTGTTGATACGGGTGCGTGTCGTAGGCGGGGAGTTGATCGGTTTCGTGCATTAATGAGATCGTGTCGGGGAACTCAAACGTTTCGGATTTGCGGCCGTCAGGGTCTGTCGAGGCCGTCGAATAACGTGGGAGGCGTATCATGCGCACTCGGTTGTCGGTATCGGCGCCGTCTCTGCTTCCCCATGTGGTCTGTTTTTGAAAAGGCGGTCAGCGAATCCCAACTTTCGTCATCCAAAGGGCTTGCTCGTTTTTTAAGCTTAAGCGATTAGCTCACCTCACTAAGGGTAAAGAGACCCCAGAGTTTGATCAGACCATGGAAGTAGCCAAAGAATACATAGACTGGGATGAATACGACGTCCGCTGGATAGCGGAAGAAGTGGCCCCAAAGCTTTACGGTCTTGCTGAACAGGTATGTCCACGTGATCAAGAACACGAAAAGTGCACTTCTGAGGTTTTCTGGCCAAGTATATGATGCTTGGTACCAGGAAAAGAATATAAGCAAGTCATAGGGCAGTGCCCAGGCCGTGATGGTGGTCTGCAGAACCGAGTATGTGCTCCACGGTTGAGTACTGCAAGACTTGTCAGCATGATCACACAAACTGGGGCATATTCGAATTCCACATACAACCAATAATGGCCCTCGACAAACAAACTCGTGAGGTTGCTGCGCCAATTGCTGCGAACCCATCGGAGACATTGGCTGAGGTATTTCGGGCTGTCCTCCAGCGTCGTCTGCACCTCTGCCTCCTTGTGGTACTGCATGGCAATCTTCCAATCATGAGCATACATCCACCGCGTGATGAAGTTGTCGTCATCGGCGTTGAGCTGACATGTCCGCCACTCTTCGTGGGTGAAGCCATGGGTAAAAGCTTCGTCTTGCAGGATGCTACTCCGGTAAGCGACCGTCCGGCCAGAGAGACATGGCAATCCGCCGTCGATGTGCAGACATGCAGAGCAATCGAAGTTGCGTCGCTCGAGGTACGCGGCCCCAAGAAAACTCCACACGCTCATGTTCTTGGATCGCTTTAACCTCTGCGACGTGCCTACGCCACCCATCTTTGCATCTTCAAACGGCGCCAGCATCCACTGCAGCACCTTGGGCGGCCACTCAACGTCGTCGTCCACGAAGATGGTAATCTTGGTCGATACCTCCGGTATCGCCCTGCACATCTGCCTGCGCTTATTCGCCTCCCGTATGCTCAGGACACGAATCTTCTTGGCATTGATCTTGTTCGCCAACTTGTTGAGGTTCTCGACGTTGTTGTCGATGGTCACGAGGAGGACCTCGTAGGGTTCTGCGGACAGGCATGACCGCATGGTGGTCTCCAACTCGTCACCACCGGTGGCGATGGTCGGCAGGATGATGGTGACATCCTGAGAGGTGTATGTGGGATTCTCGGGGATGGGTATGGGTCGGAAGGTCCAATGTGAAATGCAATTGACAATCAGGCGAAAATAACGAAACAACCTGGAGGGTTCATGAGCCTCACGTGCCTCTTGACGGGATAGAGTTTTATTACCCGCTTCCGGCAAGCGAAGGCGGGTTTGGGAGGGACGACGGGCGATATATGGCTTCGGGGTGGGGGATTGTGGCAGAGGGGAGTCTCAACATACCATGCAGAGACGGCGATGCAAAGCCAGGAAACCATGCTGCTACCCTTAAACGAGAGGCGTCGGGGGGGACTCGTCCAGAGGAAGTGTCTTCACACTTCGGACATCTGGTGGGAAAAGTATAAAGGGAAACGATTAACAGAGGACACGGAAGGAGATATAAGTCTTAGCCATGCTTTCCTCGGCTGTCATGCGAGCGGTTAGGGTCCGTCCGGTGGATGCTGGGCTATGTTTTATTAGCAGCGAAATGTGTGCAGAGCTCCATACCTTATGAGATCACCGTTTAGAATGAGAGGCGCGTGAAGCTGGGCCACTCGCTCGAATTGGAGCTGGGCTGGCTCATGCAAGAGCTCTGGCTGGCGCCCCTCTTCCCGGTCGTTTCTTGCGTAGGTACAGAGCGTGAGCAGCTCTTGTGGGGATTTGGCTAGCCCGCTCGTCTCGCCTGCGTCGAGCTAAGGATGTGCAAGCGGGAAATGCTCGTGCTGGGCGATGGCAGCCATCGGGAGTGCGTGCTGCTCTGCTGTGCGCAGTGCAGTGCAGTGCGTGGGCGGCCGGAGTGCTGCTGCTGCTGGTACTGGTGCTAGTACTGCCTGTGCTGCTGCTTGCCACTGGGTGCCGCCGGCCGTGGTGTGCAGTGGTGCCATCGCCTGGATCTGGTGGTGGTGTCGTGGGCGCGTGCCGGCGGCGCCCTCACCTCAGACACGGCCACGCGCACCCAATGCTGCCATTCCAGACGCAGCGGGCTGAGACTCTGATGGCCCAGCAGGCCCAGCCGCCGATGGGCCAAGCTCGGCGGCAAGGCCTTTGTGCGCGGTGGTTGGTGTGGATAGCAGAGGCACGAGATGTAGTCTGGCTCAAGGTCGGCGGCAAAAAGCCCCGACACCAGCGGCCATGCGCTGCATTCATTTGCCCGACAGCGTGACGCGCGCACGAGCACCACCAGCACAGACAGACTCTTCACGCGCACACCCTCTCGCGATCAGTCAGTAGTATGTCTCTCTCTCTCACCTCACCACCGTCGTCGTCAACGCCAATGGCTCTGACCACCACCCGCCCGTATTCGCCGCCGCTGCCGCTGACCTCCCTCGCCCAACTAATTGTCAATCAATAATCGCCAGTCGTCCACCAATCCGTCCGCCTCCAAGCGTTGAATGGCCCTCAGCGCTATCGACGATGGTGATTAGCTGGCCCGCCAGGCGCTGGGGTAGACACGGCCGGGAACACCCACCACGGCTAATGACGACTTCGCTAGCGGGCGTAGCGCTCGCTCGTCAGCATCCACACCTGCACGCGCAGCGAACAGGTGCTGTGACAAAAAGCTTCACCACCTCCTCCGTTTAGGTACGTACCTGGCCAGTGTCAGATCTCGCAGGCGGGAATGCACGCAACAATGGTTGAGCGACAGACCTGTGGCACGCTGTAAGCGATGCGACTGCTGCTGTCCCGTGCCCGCAACGACATCTGCACCACCGCAGCCTGCTCTGCACCCCGTTGTCATCGCTGCTTATTAGCTGACGCGCCCCATGCTGGGAGCCCTCCACTTCACGAGATCGCCTTCCGCATCTGACACGGGCCCAGCTGCTGCCCTGGTCCTTCGACCACCGCGCACCACCAGCTCTGATCAAGCACGGCTCGAGCGCAGCAGCCACCGTCGCCAGCATGTGCCAGACCCTGTGGAGCGAGCGGCGACGCAAGGCTTGCAGCTGCACGTACTGCCTGCCCATGCACTCGCGTTGAGGCGCATCCGCCTACTGCTGCTGCAATGCTGCAAGGGTACTGATCGAGCGATACGTCCGATATACCGGCGCAAATCGTGCCTCGAGCGCTTTCGTTTTGCGGGCCTCTGCTCGCATCTGGATGCGTTGCTCGCCGGCACTTGACGTCAAATTGCCCGTCTCCGCCGTCGCCGCTGCATCTTCGACATCATCATAATGCAACTCGTAGCGCCCGCCGAAGCTTTGCTTGCCACAGCGACACCTCCCAAGCAGTGCTGCTCGCGCCAGTGCATATGATGGTTTAGGACATGCTGGTGAATCTGGGGTTGGCATGCGTGCAGTTGATCATTAGGCGGGTGGAATCTGCTTCCCCGTTCCGATGCGTTTCAATGCCTGTCCACGAACATATCGCACTTCGCTTGAGCAGAAGCTCTCGATCCTGCTACTCTGCGCCTGCGTGAGGTGGCAGCTGCGCCTAGCTGCGATAGCTCCTCTTCGTAGCGTCCATGCTACCGAGCAAAAGACGTTGAGCCACCAGTCTTGCGTGCATAGCGCCGTCTCTCGATCGTGTCGGCCAACTCGAATGTCTGCGTTGTTGTTGCACGGCCCACCGTGTCAGCGCATGGGGAATCTCTCCCGCGGCTCTCGCCACGGCTACACACCACCTCACTCCAGCTCGGCAAGGACACTGCTCGTCCTGCGAAGGTCGCGCTCGCCTCCTGGGTGCTCAGCTCGGTGCCAGTCGTCAGCTTCGTGTCCACGAGTACTCGTGTCCAGCTTTAGAATGACTGCCAAGACCGTAAACACGCAGCGTTGTCGTACTGCCCACGTGCAGCGGTATCATGTTGCGGCTCTCTCGCGTGGCTGGTTGCACAGCGTTGGAGCAGATCATGTGCTGCAGGTACATATCTGTATGCTCACCGGCTTCAGATCCGCAAGCGCTCATTGCCGCCGGAATCATCGTTCCTTACTTCCCACGCGTATGTTAGAGTCGTGATCTGCTTCAAGGCGACGCAGGACGTACAGGAGCCGTCGGTACACTGCAAAGGCGGCTTCCTTTTGGCTTGGACAACCCCACGAGTGGCGGCCGCGTGGGACTATGTCGACGAGTGCATGGGGATGTTGTTACAGTCTCAGAGCACCCACAATGCAGTCACGTGGTGTGGCCTGGTGTGGGATATCGCTGCCGCCTGAGGGATGCGCTGCCTCTGTGACGGCATCCTTTGCGGCGTCCCACCCCTCATGCCGGTACAGAACTTGGTCCAGTCAAGGTAGATGTAGCGACAAAGCTACGCATTCCCACTGTGGCACCTGGTCGCGAGACCTGCCCGCTGACATCTTTGCCACGAAAGCAGCCCAGTTCGCTTTCGTTGAGTGAAACCTCGTCTAGTTGCGTTAGCCCACGGAGTCCAAGAGCTGTCCCACAAGGCCCATCAGTCTCGGAATGATGCCAAGCAGGGTGAAGCGATGGAATCGAGGCCCCTTTCTCTGCGGCGCTGAATCGGAGATGGTAAGGCTGTGCCCATGTGTGCTGCTTTGAGCTTCGTGCAGAAGCTCGGACAAGGTCAGCGTTCGCCTCCGTATTCCAATTGTATCGAGTACCTGGCTGAAAGGAGCACTGCCGGGGTCCATTTTATCGCCCGTTTGAGCCTACTTCTGTGCTGTCCTTCAAGGATGGATGTCCTGTGAGCTCCACTGCGTTGCCGCTCCATCCTCGGCCTGGAGCGTTCTCGCCGACGCGGACACGTCTAGGTGCTCGTGCTTGTACAACTTGTACAAGGATCTACGTTGGCGGCACCATTCGACTAGTTTGAATTTTGATGTGGACACTTTTGACTTGTCCGAATTTATCCGCAGAGGAAAGTACTTCGACCTTGGACTTTGTGCGAGCCGACAGGCCAGGTGTGTCGAACGAATTTCGGTCGTGGTCCTCTCGCATAAAGTGGGTGTTCTGGAGCTGCCGCATCCGTGTCATCGTAGTTTTTGCGAGTGGTGATGTGGCCTGCGAGGTGTTGTGAAAGAGATAGGTGAGGTTCCATGAGCCTTCTCTTGGCGCTGTACAAGGAAGGGCACGGTCCGGCTCCGTGAACCATCGAAGCACAGGTACTACATGTACCTACGCCTGACCTGAACTGCTCTTCACAATGTCACAGCTCATATATGCCACGCGCCGTGGAAAAAAAGACATCGGAAAGAGGATCTGTCAACTTATCTGAGATTTCGATTATCCCGGCAGATGACGCATTCGCCATGGCGCTCGTGAGTCTGGTGAGCACAGTCCGGGAGTTGTCAATGGCGGCGCGTTTCGAGTCCGACTTTGAGTGAGGTGAAGAAAGTTGAGCCTGATCTGAAGTCGAAAGAAAACAGAGTTCACCCTGTCTTGGCGGCAGCTGCCGAGCTCGCCAGTGCCGAAGTGGAAGGAGGAAGTAGCCACCAGATATCTTGAAGTCTATCTTGTCAGCGCATCCCGTTGGCCAGCGACCTTCTTCAGGAACTTCAGTGAGAGCTCGCAAGTAAGCTGAGGTGTTTCTGTGAATCGCTGATGATTTCTAGTAGTAAAAGACACATGAGTTTATGCACAATAGTACATGCGCCTAGGTATCTCAGAGCGCACTGTTGTCTGCCGAAGCGAAGAGCGCTGCCTCGCTTTCTTCCGCCGTCTAGTAGAGGAAGTCTGCCCCATTTTAGTTCACCACACCAAGGCACTCTCCTGCTCGAGCCACTGCTTAGTGGTGCTCATGGTGGCCGCCCCTGTAGCCGATAATCTTGAATCGTCCAATGATCTCCCCGATGGAGAAGAAGCCAATCGTCTCAGCGCCAATTATGCCCACCTGCGTCAGAGTCGCAGAGTCGAGGTTTCTTAACCGGGTCAGGAAAGACTGTGGGTTGTTGACGGCTGTCTCTGCTGTTCGCTCGGCAGCTTTGGCAGTCTGGGAGCCAAATGTCGAGGGGTTGCGCACGGCATTGGTGATGGGTGTCAGGTAGGACTGCACGGTCTGGATGGTACTGGGAGCGTGTTAGTCAATGTAGCGAGGTATTCGGACGTGGGCGCGCTTACGGCGGCTGCATGCCTCGTCCGGTGTAGATGATCTTGCCCAGCTCGCCCACGACTCTGCCGTAGTAGACCACGTGTGGGATGAAGCCTCGTTGTCCGTCAGTGACCATCACACTATAACTTGATGTACCCATGTCCTACCTTGTACCCAGTTGATCGCCGCACCAGTCCGGCCACCGACGTTGGAGACTGCGTTCTGAGCAGAAGCAGCTGCCTTGCTCAGCGCAGGGCCGGCAGAGCTGCTGACTTTGGAGAGGCCTTGCTGAGCCTTTGATACGGTGCTCTCGGCCGTCTCTTTCGCAGCGGTGGCTCCTTTCGATGCGGCATTGGCGGCTTCGGAGGTGGTCGAGGCAGCGCGACGCTGGGCGACGAGTCTGACCGACTGGCGCATGGCCAGCCGCGGGAGGAGAGAGGAGGCCATGGGGACAAAGGAGCGGATGTGATGGGGCTGCGGCAATGGCAAGAGAGAGGAGCTGTCAAGGTGTTTTTCCCACAGGAGGTTGGCCGGCACGGAAAGACCCGTCCGCCGCCGATCTTCAGAAAATAAGTTGCTGTCCAACGCAGCCTCACCATCTCCCTTTACTTGACCACTATCCCAAGGATATGGGCTGATGAGCAATGGATACGTACAAGCTATTGTCGCGATCGACAAAACTGTCGAAAAAACGCGCTACTCCAAAGGCCAGGACGACGCCCTCGAGCGGCCAGACTTCGCAACCACAACTCTTCGCCGCCGAAAATGCACAAACATCGACTGCTTCGAGGAAGCGCAAGCGAGGACAAGACAAACCAGACGAGGACTTTGGTCTTGACTTCTTCGGCGGAGCTAGCACGAAGTCGAGTAAGGGACTCAAGGCAATAGAACCTTCGAACGAGGAAGCAAGCGACGACAACGATGAGGAGCTGGACGACGACAAATCCAAGCTGGTGACTACCAGTGCGAATGATATGGGCTCAGACGAAAGCAAGAGCATATTGAAATCGCACAGACTCAAGATAACGTGGCTCAATCCACCGGTAGCACATAAGAAAGATCGAAAGAAAGATCGCGGGAAGAAACTCAAGTCTGTGAAGGCTGAGAAGCATTCGCTTTATCCACAACCGGTTCAGTCATTCTCCCAGATGCGTGATCGATTTGGGATCTCTAGCAGGCTTGCGGCCAACATCGAGGACCAAGGATACTCCACTCCCACTGAAGTGCAGCTCGGAGCTCTTCCTCTCCTGCTCGATGCGCCGGACCGCTTTCTGTCTCCAGATGTGCAGAACGAGGCGACGAAACTTTCAAGTAGGATTGATCTCTTGACAGTTGCGCCTACTGGCAGTGGGAAGACCCTGGCGTTTATTATACCATTGCTTCACACGATCAGCCAAGCGCGACGAAAGAGAAAAGACAGGAATACATCGGCAATCATCCTCGCGCCCACAAAAGAGCTTGCCGGACAAATTGTGAACGAAGGCAGAAAGCTAGCACGAGATACAGGCATAAAGATAACGCAGGTAAGGAAAGGCATGAAGCTGGTAGCACCAGCCAACGCATCCGACGACGAAGATGAAGAAGTCCGTGAAAGCAACGAGACAGTGGTCAAGTCCGATATTCTGGTATCGACCCCTGGCATTCTGGCGAGTGCAATCCAGGAAGCAACGGAGCAGGGCTTAGCCGCGCTTTCCGCTGTTGAGAGTATGATCCTTGACGAAGCAGACGTTCTGCTGGATCCTCTATTTCGAGATCAGACCCTGGCCATCTGGAACAGTCTCTCACATGAAGATTTGCGTGTCAGCTTATGGTCTGCAACGATGGGTAGCAACATTGAGGAACTTGCGCGTTCAACACTCAACGCGCGGCGAACACGGATCTCTGCTGAGGGTGGTCAGGCCGTCATCGAAGCACCTCTGGTACGACTGGTCGTGGGACTCAAGGATTCGGCCGTGTCAAATGTTCAACACAGACTCGTATACGCTGCCACGGAGAACGGGAAGCTTATGGGTCTGCGGCAGCTGCTACATCCAGCATCTACATCAGGAGACTCAGGTCCACCCCTTCTACCACCCTTCCTCGTGTTCACCCAAACAATTCAACGCGCCATCGCGTTGCACTCTGAGCTTCTTTACGACATCCCAGCTGAGGCTGGCGGCATCAGCCGGATTGCTGTGTTGCATTCAGACCTGTCAGACACTGCGAGGGATAGTGTAATGACCAGGTTCCTCAAAGGCGAGATCTGGGTGCTGATTACCACAGATCTCCTCTCGCGCGGCGTTGACTTCCGTGGTGTGAATGGGGTCGTGAACTATGATATTCCCACCTCGAGTGCAGCCTACGTGCACCGGGTTGGTCGGACTGGTCGAGCTGGTCGAGAGGGTGGCATTGCCGTGACACTGTACAGCAAAGAAGATATCCCATACTTGAAACCCATCGCCAACCTCATATCGACAGCGCACAAGATGAACGATGATCCGGCAGCGGCAGGCACGCAAGGTGTGGAGTCCTGGCTGCTCGATGCTCTTCCAAGCCTTAGCAAGAAGGCCAAGCAAGATTTGAAGCGACGCGGCGTCGAGTCTAGGTCCTCAAGTGGCAAGCAGAAAGACCTCAAGGCTGCGCGACGCACTAGAATCAGCACCAAGTCGGGTTTTCTACGCAAGGAAGAACAGAAGAAAAAGGGCGCAGTCCGAGGCAGTCGGAACAGGAAGGAAGCAAGCTTTGCCGACGAAGGAGACGAGACTGACTTTGGTGGCTTCGATTGATTGCAGACGTTTTCAATACTACTGCAGATTGACGAAGAGGCCTCCATCAACTAGCAACTGTGCGCCAGTGACATATTCGCTCAAGTCACTACGTCGCAACAAAATGTCAGCTTCGCGGCACAGTTTGGCCGGATAGTGCTCACTACTCACCTGGCCAGGAACACCGCGGGACCTGCGAGATCCTTCGTCTTGCCCAGTCTGCCCAAAGGAATTCGGTTTTCCATGTACTTTTTCTTCTCTTCATCCGCGAGGTCGTCATCATTCAGCTGCGTACGAATAGTTCCTGGCAGTAGCGCATTGCACCGGATACCATACTGGCCGAGCGCACACGCAGTGCTTTGCATCAGCGACAAAATGCCGGCCTTGGTGGGAGTGTAGTGTGTTTGACCGGCGCCGCCGACCAGAGCGGAAATCGAGGAGATGCCAATGATACTTCCGCCTTGTGGCTCCTGCTTGGACATTTGTTGAGCGGCTGCTTGCACCGCGAAGAAGGCACCGTTGAGGTTTGTCGAGATGGTGTGGTTGACCAGGTCGGGTGACATACTACTCTCCTGTCAGTCACACAGTCATGACACAGGCAAGTGCTTTCCATCAACACACGTCAAAAAGTCTGCAAACTGGCACACGCCAGCGTTGCTCACGAAGATGTCCAATCTGCCAAACTTCTCCACTGCTTTCTTTACCAGTTCTTGCCCTGTTTCTGGTTTGGAGATATCTCCCGCAACACCTATCAAGCTCGCATCTTGTCCGACTTCCTTTCGCAGGTCTTCAAACTGCTGTGCTGATCTGTCGTCTGGAAAGTAAATGACTGCAATTTTGGCACCGTGCTTGAGGTAGTCAATTGCTATCGCTCGTCCAATGCCAGTGACTGCCCCCGTGATCGCTGCCGACTTGCCCAGGAGCAATTGTGCCATCTTCAGGGATCGTGAGTCCGAGTAGAGAATCGATTGAAACTGCACGAGAACTTGAGAATCGAATGAACGCGTCTTTGACACTAAACACGCGCCATCTCGACATTCTTTCAACCGATCCGGATGCCACTATAGCTTGCCGGACTTTTGAAGTGGGCTCTGCTGGCGGGGTGGGAGCTGTTTGCTTCGGCGCATCTCAGAGCGAACTCTCTCGTGATCACAGGCCAGCAAAGGCCGAGCTCGTATTCTGATGATCATCAAAGGGTGGGATATTATCCGGGCAGGCTGACATTGGGGGAATAGCTTTAGGTTGATACGCCACGAACATCGAATTCGCTCCATCGAGAAAGGGCCACCCAAGACCAGACTCAGCTTGAAGCAACACCATCCAAGAGATAGACGACAGAGCAACATGGCACCAATATCGATACTTGACACCCACATCCACCTCTGGCCACAATCCATGTCCAATGAAGATGGCCATTCGTGGATGACTCCCGGAATGCCATTGGCAAAGCAGCACGTCCTCTCAGACTACTACAAAGCCTCGCAACAAGTAGATACATCCTCCTTCTCACAAGAGACTATGGTCGAAGGCGTCGTCTACGTCGAGACAGACGTCCGCTACGAAACCCCATCAGGAGATCTCACGACTTGGGCGAAAGGTCCGCTAGATGAGGTCAAGTTCCTGCGAAGTATTGTCGAGGGAGAGTACGGCGAGAGAGATAGTGAGATGCTCAAAGGAATCGTCGGCTGGGCGCCCATGGATCAATCAACCTCTGTACTCAAAGCCTGGCTGGACATCGCCGAAAAGACTGCTGGCCCAAAGACATGGGCCAGAGTCAAGGGATTCCGCTTTCTTCTCCAATTCATTCTGGACCAAGCCAAGTTCGAAAACCTCGTGCAGAGTCAAGACTTCATCCAAAACCTCCGCATCCTCGGGGAAAGGGGCTTCTCCTTCGACGTCGGAGTCGATCAGCGCTCGGGCGGCTCGTGGCAGCTTGAGGCGATGACCAAAGCCATGAAAGCCGCGCACGAGGGTGTTGGCAGTGAGCTCAAAGTTACTTTCATCATCAACCACCTCTGCAAACCGGACTTCGAAGCTGGCGAGGAGTCCTTTAATCGTTGGAAGAGTGCCGTGGAAGAGATGTCCGCTCTCGACAAGACGTACATGAAACTTTCGGGCGCTTTCAGCGAATTGCCCGATGGGTTGTCGAGCACGGATACGATTGCATCGAAAATGAAACCTTGGGTTCAGCATGTGCTCAAGTCCTTTGGACCACAGAGAGTCATGTTCGGTAGCGATTGGCCGGTATGTAACGTGAGAGGGCCCAAAGGAGAGCAATCTTGGGTTGCTTGGAAGGATGTGGTCAAAACTATTTTGGATGATGAAGACCACGGTCTGACCGAGGAAGGTAAACAAAAAGTCTGGAGGGGCACAGCAAGAGAAGCCTATCGTCTGGAATAGTCGACTGACAATTTGCTCGAATGACCCAAGTCAAACCCCAAACGATGAGCATGCGCTCTGCTCACTCCGGCCTCAAGATTCAACCCATATCCAAGGGCTTCAATTCGTTTTCTCGTGGATCCAAAACATACTCCCCACACACCTGCAATCCCTCAGGCTCGGTCAAAATCCAGTTCCAGTCTACAGGCATCTTGCAACTCCGTCTTCTGCGCGGGCGATAGCCTATTCCATCTGACATTCCCTGGGGGTCTAAGGGCTGGGTCCGGGGGTTTGGTAGCGAGAAGGTCGAGCCTCAGGGGCATGGCCAACGCACTGGATGCCATGAGCCGTTTCTTCGCTCTCCAGGTCTCAAGTCGAGATCGCTGCGAGGGTCCTGCCCGGCCACGTATGAAGTCAAGAAATTTCAGCCGGAGGGAAGGGCTTGCTGCATCACCGGCAACAACGTTCTCAATCATGGCAATGTCATGCTTCCAAAACGGTTCACGATCTTCGTGGGAGAGCACTCTTTGGAATGCATGGCGCATATGAAGTAAGAGGTTGGCCAGAACCGTCTCGTCTCCACATTTGAACAGCTTGATCAAGAGTGCGATATGCTCGTACGCCATTCGGTCAGGGTACCACTTGCTAATGTTATCGTGGGGCAAAATGTCCGGATAGAACGGCGGCCTCCACTCGTGGGTGACGCTTGCCGTAATTTGGACCCTATGATGGAGTAATTGAAGCGCCTCGTTGCCGTCGAGCTGGCGTAAAGCGAGGTATGCGGCGCTCAGAGCGGCGTCGTTAAGGATGCGAGCAAGATGTTGGGCGTAAAGCTGGAGACCTGGCTGTCTGAAGAAGGAGACGCTGTACCCACTGAGGTGTCCATTGAGGATGCCGTGTCGGACGACGAAACTGTAAATCGCGCTGGCCTCTTTGATGGATCCTCGCCTGGCGAGATCATCTGCTCTCTGCTTGAGGTCGAATGCTCTCTCGATACTCTGCCACAATCTCTACTTCAAGGCCATCGGGAACATCCTCAACGGCTCGTTCGAAACCAGGCAATAGTCCTGTCTCTCACGTACAACTCTCATTCCATCGATAGACTGAAGCACGCTCCTGAATGTCTCATCTCCACGCAAGGAAGAGAGCCGAAGTGGTCTCGAGGGACAATCTCTAAGCGTCATGTGGGCTGTGACGTACGACACAACAGACGCCTCTGGAAGGAAGCAATCCGTATCATGCGAATAGATCCTGGGCGGCACCATCGCGTCAATCCGCCACGAGAGGGCAGCCATGAGCTTCGAAAGATCACTCCAGAGTATGACAAAGGTGCCGGCGGGCTCGTCGTTCTTGGGTCCCTGCGCGCCCTCATGCGCGAACCAGTGCTCATCGCCACCATATTCAAGAGCCAGTTGGGCTGCGATGTTCTTCGGCAGCTTGAGGTGCTGTTTCGAGCCGTATGACCGGACGACGACGGGGATCGTTTGTTGCTGCGTCACCGAAGCAAATCCCTTCCAACCGAACTTTACCAGGACGAAGACGTTCTCGTCATAAAGGTACTGTTCAGCTTCGTCATGGAGTTGACCATTGACTCTCAGGATTGCCGGGTGGTACACCCTCCTCAGCTCCTTGGTGGCCGCTTGGGTTTCTTCCTCGCCACGTAAGAGGTACCAGAAGATCATGCGGCGAAGTTCGATCGGCAAACCCAGAAGTGTCGGATCAGAGGGATCGCCTCGAGGGACCCGGGGAGCCATTCTGTCATGGATTTTCTGCTTCAGAGAGAGCACTGGCGCCATTCTCTGTAACTGTACGAGGTGAAGAATGGCTGTGATGTATCAGAAGCGATAGAGGTGACCAAGTGAGTGTTTTGAAAAGCTAGCGTTCATGTGCTAGTTGTGTGGAGATGGATTTGAAGATGGATGTGATGGTGGGTGAGCAAAACTCCTCTGTGAGTCTTGCCAAATCAGAGAGAAGCCCAATGTCTTGAAGAAAGAACCAAGCACATTGGACTCGCCTTCCCGCCTTCTACCCTTCCACGCTCAACTTCCCTGGCAACGGCCTCCCACCAACGGCAAGGAAGTCGAAAGCTGTTGCTTGAATGAGCTCTTCTTAGTGAGATCGATGAAGTATTTGTCGCTGAAGATTGAACTATACAGATTGAAAGTATACAAGATATGGACGCTACACCCAAACAACCAAACAACTCCTCGCTGAACAACCAAAGGGGTATCTCATCTCATCTCATCACCAAAAAACTCTCACAAGAACCACAAAATCAACCATCCAAATCCCATCAAAACAACCACATCCACCTTCACATCACGCAACAAACCTCCTCCCCACCCTCATCTTCCCCGGCAAAGGCCTCCCCTTCGCAAGAAACCCCTGCGTAACCTCCAGCGCAGCCATCTGCTGCCCCACCCCCACCACCCCATCGAACCCGCCAGCCGTCCACGAACTCCCACAAACATTCTGCCCCGGACTGCCATTACAGCTCGCCAGCGCCCCATCGGCCGACGCCTTCAGCAGCGGCTGGATCTTATCCGAAGAGTCAGGAACGAGACTCTGTGTCGAAACGAGCCACCGCGTGAGGTACGCTTTGAAGGAGAGCTGGTCGGTATTGCAAGTCTTCGACGCTTCGCACTTCGTCTCGACGAGGACATTGTTGCTCGTGAAGTCCGCCTCGACGGCGGAGACGAAGCCTTCGAGGTGCGGCTGCCATTTGGCAGTGTCGGTGGTCGTGGAGAGCATGACGGCTGTACCATAGAGGAACACGCCAGCGTTGTAGGACCATTTGTCGTGGTTGACGTCAATGCAGCCTTTCAGAGCGTCGGTGCCGTCGTAGACGCTGTGGGTGGATTTGTCGATGAGCCCGACGGAGAGCGTCCAGTCGAAGACTTGCTCGGCGAAGGCGAGGTATTTTTGGTCGTTCGTGTAGCGTCCTAGACGTGCGGCGAGTTGGAAGAGCAGGCCGTTGGAGATGCTATTCTTGTAGTGGTATCCATCACGGTTGGGGTCGATCTGCCAGCCTAGACCGCCATTGCAGGTGGATTTGTCCCAGCGGGCGGAGACGGAATTGAAGACGTTGGTGGCGAGTTGGAGGTAGGTGATGGTGCTGCCTGCAGGTGGTGGGAGACCGTATTCGGCGGCGCTCATAGAGAGGAGACCCCACCAGAGCTGATCGTCGTTGCCGGTCGCTGAGGCCTGCATGAAGTCCTGGTTGAGGCCGGCCTGGGCGAGGATGGCGGCGGCGGCGTTGGTATTGTATTGGGCATCGCCGCTGTAGTGCCAGTAGTGGATTGCTGTGTCCCACATTCCCGCTGATTCCCACCACCAGTATGGCTGAGGCAGCAGGCCGTTCATGGTGGGACTGTAGTAAGTCATGAGGTTTCCGGCGAGGGTAGTTGCAGCGCTCGTTGTCTTCCCCGATGCCCCAATGGCGAGTTTGGTTGCAGAGACATACGTTGCCGCGGTGAGAGCAGCTACGAGAGGTTTGAGGACCATCTTGATCGATTGCGCGCACGAATAATGTCTGCAACGACTGGTGGATAGTTCAGATGGGTGAGGTACAAGGAGCGTCCACGTGTGAGATAACAGCTCTATGGGACCTCAAGAGGAAAGAACGAGAGACGTATCAGCACGCGTGACCTTGTCCTTGAAGTGAAGGCGAAGACTGTCTGTACCACTTCGACAGACATGGCAAGGGCGAGGGTTTTATCCTCCCTCGTCCAGCCTGTCTGTCCGGACATCGTTGAACAGCAACATTGCCAGCCTCAATCGCAGAACCTCCAAGCAGAACATTTCTGGGGCCAGCCTCACCGCAAGAATAGCTTCATGTTGTTTGCCTTCGCTGCGGCAGTCTCGATGGCCCGCCGCACAGATGAGCAGTGTCCAATTCCATAGCAGCGACAGCAGCAACATGTAAAGCCTGAATCCTGTTTGGGGGCCTTTTGGCGTTATACAAAGGCAGAGTACTGCATGTCTGACAAGAAATGTAGAGGTTGAGTAGGAGGTGATGTTGCTGCTGCGCTTCTTGGCGTGGCGCAGCCCGACCTCTCTGGCTATGTTTAGCCCGGCACAGGTCTAAAGGCGTGAAACGCCCAATTTTTGCGTGCGGCTGCGTTTCATCGATGTGGCACAGGAATCCTCTGAATGTTCAATTGAGGAAGGACAGCAGCGGCGAGAGAATAGAGCCTTATGGTCGCAGACCTTTGGCCTGATCTTGCTGGTAGGCCTTGCCTGACCAGGCAACGTCCAGATTGCTCAGTCGCAACAGTGTAGCATATGGCTGGACAGATTGAGGACCCTCTCTGGAATACAGAAGGGCCGGTTCGACGCTGCTGGTCCTCCCAAACGTTGCGTTCCTTCTTCGGCTTCACAAGGATTCCGCGAAACGTCGACTCGTCACATTGAGTTTTGCAGTAGCGCGAAGGCATTGCTGTATGTCCGCAGCACGAGGCTCCTCATGCAGAGATTCTTCTACATCCTTCACATGAAAGCCAATGCAGCTCTTCCTTCCACTGGGCCGTGCATCCAAGGGCTTGTCGTCTGCCGCGGCTCAGTCCAGCCTTTCCAGTCGGCCTCGCGTAACGCCCTTCCCAAAGAAAGGCTGGACTGAGCCGCGGCAGACCAAAAACCCTCAAACTTTTCTGCACGGGCTGGAGTTCGCCTCGCCGTTGAAGCACATCCTCCCGCGGAAAGCAGCCTTGGGATCTTACAGGCGGGCGAATACTTGTTGTAGCCATCGCCTGAGCGTCGCTCGACGGCACGAGTTTGGGGGAATCGTAGCAGTGGCATACTGGTGTTCTCTTCCGTGGTTCGAACATGCTGCAGAGGCTCGCGTGTAGCGGAAGAGCTGCCGCGTTCGGGACGCTGGTTCCAGACATCTTGCTCCTCTTGAGAGACCTCAAGCGTGGCTTTCTTTCCTCGACGAACAGCCCATTGCACCTTTCAAGTTATACGAGCTCCCTCCGTCGTTCAGATCGAGCCGACAGTTGCGACCCAGCAGGACTGTTGAGCGTGTATTCCAGCCTACGCTGAGGCCTTGACCGCGATGGACTCAGCTGTTGAGTATAAGGCCCATATCCATCTCTTGCAACATGCTCAGCATATTCAGGATCGTGCCGTCTTGGAGATGCCCCGTTCGACCTCCTGCTGGAATTTGTGCCTCTTCGATGTAGGTCGCTCTCTCGTCTCTGGACCATCTCCTCGCCCCTTCCTTCTCTGCTGTGCCTTCGACTACCACCATTCCTGCTCCTGCTACGTGGAGGTAGGCCTTGCTCTTTCCTCCTGATATTCCCGACTTCTTCGTTGCTTGCGCCGCCGTTGGTTACATGGTCGGAGAAGATCATCATCTTCTCTCCGCCGGGATATTTGCCTTTCTTGACCTTTTTGTAAGAAGTCAGCTTCTGTCCTATTCTTTTTTTAGTAAGATTGTATGGTACCTTTCTCCGCCGGTGGAAGTAGGTGCAAGTAATGTAGAAGCCATGAATGTGAGAGGGGATGATGGCCAGGACGAAGAAGACGCAGTTGAGTGCGAGGTCCAGTCCCAGGCCACAGAGGCCATACACAGCCGCGGGAGGAAACAGGAAATTGACAATGAGCAGTATGAAGCGGTCTATCGGACCTCGCATCTTGTGTCCTGTCCTGGGAGCCAACTGCTGGACTACTCCGTGGCCTTCGACAAGATGTGCAAGTAAGACAGGAGGAGAGGAGGAAGGCCTACGGACTGCACACGCATGTTGTATGCTGCAGCATCAGAATAATGTGACGACGAGGATGGACAAGCCAACAACAACGTCTGCGAAACTGGGAAAGGACCGCATCGTGGCATAGCCCTGCAGGTGATGTCAGTTCATATGGAGTGGCTTGCCGAGGCGTCCATATCCTAGTAGCGGCATTCGTGAAGGTATATACATTTGAGAGGGGCGTGCTGTCTTCCTGATGGCCTTGCGGGAGTAATATAGGTTTTCGTATGGGTTTTCCATCAAAACTTGAAGAACGGAGATTTGGAACAAGATTCATGTGAAGAAGTACATGCATGGCCACGGCTAGATGCACATATACACAGTGGCTAATCGAGCTAATGCGGGTTTACCTCTTGGCTTGTCGCAGCAAATTGACTTTTAGGCCTCGATTCTACTCACCCACAGCGTTGCACGTGATGTGCACGGTCCAACAACAACTCATCCACCACTTTAAGCCACTGTGGTCCAACACTACCCTCCATGCCCCTACCCACCATGCGATATTCCGTTTCATCTCCTCTCCTCTACCCTTTCACACATGGACATCCGCAGAACCCCTTTGTGGACGATATCGTAAGTGTCAGCCTTGCGATGTTATATCTCTTACTGTTCCACCTCCAATGCCCTGTTCCCTCACGACCCAGCGACACGAAGGAATGGCTTGCTCACCACCAGGTTGCATTCGCCTAAACCCCTTTCAGCCAGCGGTGTCGAGCGCCTGCGGTCGGTGTCCAGCTCTTTGACTCCAGGGCTGTGCTGAGGCTGCACCATGAGTAACTCGACTCATTTCAATGCCGCTTTCTACATCCCAATCCCTCTTCCTCTTCATCCACCTGCCGTGAGAGCAGAACAGCGACGGCATTGTCTGTTGACCAGATCAGTCCCACCACAACGACTTTCCCAGCCGTGAGGCCTCAGCGCTGAGTCACGGCGAAGCCGCTCACCATACATCATACCCTCAAGAAAGAATATCAAAAAATCAATCCCGACAGAAAATAGTCAATATTCAATCCTACTTCAATCCCACTTGCCAAGAAATAAATCCAAGCACAATGGCTATACCACAGAACACCGACGTTCCCACCTACGTCGTCTACCGAGACACTCCAGCAGGCGAGCCATTCGACCCAACCTCGCCCCTCCTCTTCTTCCCTCCAAAGGGATCCGATGAGCTCTTCGACGCCTTGAGAATCGCCTTCCCAAATGTCAAGACCCATTCCGAGCGTATGCGAGACGCCATGATCCAGTACCTGCTTCAGGAGCGACAAGATGAGCAGCTTGCATCTCCTGCTGTGACGATGGACACCATGCCAACCAACACCTGGCCATCGATGTCCTCGGATTCCAACTCTACCTGGAGCAGCCCAGAGCTTCTGAATTTCCCAACTCCAGAGGCTTCTTTCTCAAATTCGCCTCAGCTGGCTCCCCAACTTTCTCGACAAACCTCCATCGCCACATCTAGCCGGGCAAGCCCAACTGGGCCATCTATCGATCAAATGACGAATGTCTTCTGCTTGTCGACATCTTCGCAGCCAAAGCAAAGAATCAGACGGAAGATGACCGACGCCGAGAAGGCCGAGTACCGAAAGCGACGTATTGTAAAGGCCTGCGACAAGTGCGCCAAGCGAAAGCGAAAGTGTCCTCACAACCAGGCTGAAATGGCCCAGGTTCCAAACAAATCCCACAACAGGACAGCGAAGCCATCTTCCAAGTCGACGACCCCAATCAACGACAGCCAAACTCAAAAGATGGCTCTCGACTCGGCGACGACCTTCGATGAACTGGCAAATTCATTTGATCCTAACGAATTCATCGATTTCAACGACTTCAACATGTTTGAGGAATCCTACGCAGAGCTCGACATGAACGACATGATCAACTGGAACCAGAACGAACTTTTCACACTAGATGTGTCGCCACTACAACGAGACTGGTCTTACGGCAGTCAGGCCGACGACTTCACCATGCTTGATCCGCGCGCTACCCACCAAGTGGAATTCAACAACATGAGTTTCACAACCGGGGAGACGCACGGTGACACTCTCTACAATCACAGCAGCGATAGTAGAGGGGAGCAGCAATCATTCGATAATCTACAAACCTTCGCCCACTTTGAAGATGTACATGCCTTGGCTAAGGCCGGCGGTCTAGATCGCCAAGGCAACAACGAGCATGCTCAGCATCTACGCAACAGCGGTGGTACGAATGGTGGTGGTACTGCCACGAATGGCAGCGGCAATCAAATGCTTTGGGAGCATCTACGAACTGGCCAGCCCGAACCTCAGCCGGAGAAGCCTGTTCCGACTCACACGGCGCACGTCCACGCTGCAGACAGTATAGGCTTACACTCTCTCGATGAACCTATAGCGCAATCGCTGGAGACTAATCAACGCACGCTACCTCAGACCGTATTGAGGTTGACAAGCACGGCCAAGGCGGTGACGGTTCTACTGCGACTTCTCGGCAACCGCTCACAGGAATGCTCTTCTGTGACTGTGGACAGGATCGTCCACTTACTTCGCGATCGAGATCTACAGACCGATGCTCATCTACAACAGCATCGCCGTCGCCAAGTGAGCAACATGCCGGCGCATCTACAACGCGCGCTCTTCCAGGAGTCAGCACTCGACGACGGCAGGAAGCGTGCAACAGCGCACCCAGAGGAAGTCCATCTCACCAGATCGGATCTGGTCCGAGAAAAATCTGGTAGTCGTAGGCTCGTACTTTCCCTTTTGGGAGAGTCAGCTACGCCATTGACATCCACCTCCGTGTCAGTGTCGTGCGGTGCTCGAAAGAGCCCTGCAGCGGCTGCTCAAGGACGGCCTCAAGATCTGCTGCAACAACAGTCATCTGCAGAGCGAGATGCTGTGCAGACTGAAGTTCGATCTTCGCTTCCTCGCCGACCACAAACCTCGCTAGGCGAAGGCATTCCTGCTGATGCCAATGCGGCATCTGATCTCTACATGGCCCGTCGTCGTATCTCGCCGAGATTGAACAGATGGACGGATGTGAATACCAGCCCATCAGTGAATGCTAGTATACCCGGGACAGACCAACTGTGCATCAGTGCCACAAGCAAGACTGCCACGCAGAACCAAGCCAGAGCCCAGAATGCTGCATTCGGGCAAGAACAGCTCAACACAGACGTTCGACCATCGAGGTCCACACCGACGCCTCAACCCAATGGCGGTGCGTACCTGCGGGTTGGGCAAGAGGCGGCATCTCCAGTCCACACTCGTCCACGCAACCCAACTGCGTCCGGCTTCAGCGGAGATACAGACGACCACCACGGCGCAGGCAATACCAACCTCGCCACAGTCTCCCGCGTCGCCTCGTCCCTCGCGCAAGCCGTCGCCAGCGGCCTGCAAGCGCACGAGGCCCGTCTGTCATGCCACAACACCTACCGCGACCACCACGGCAGATCCGCGCTCGCCACCCTATCCTGGATCGCCGTCCTCGGCGCCCTCTTCATGGCAACGGCCATGGTCGGCATCTCGCCCTCCGTCGCCCTCCTCGCTCTCGTCTACCCGCTCTCCGCCGCAGAAGAGCTGGAAGGCACCACGTCCCGCCAACAGAAACCCGTCCGCTGCTCGAGGAAGAACAGCTCGTGGCTGTCGACGTATGCGTCGATGCAAGTCGGGTCGGCGAAGTCGTCGTCTCGGGGACGTGGGAACGAGAAGGAGAAGCTGCCTCATTCCGCGTGGGTGTTGCGTCCCGAACCGGACCGTGCAGTCTTGCAGGTTGTCGGCGGCGCATAGGGAGTTCAAAAGCGATTCTTCTTGCGATTTGTGAGGGTAGCGGTTTAGCGGGTTGATTTGAGCTTGAATGCAACAACAGATTGTTTGTGATATATACCAAGTCGTCGAGATAGAGACAGACACATTCTATTTTAGAAATTTGAATCGTCGTCATACACTACCTTTACTTGTCGTGCATTCCTTCCACTTGATATGTACTCGCTGTCTCTTGCATCACTCCATTGTCCTGTCACGTTGACTGACCGTTCCCGTCCAACCAATACATGCCACTAAATGCCTTCTACTTGTGCAAAAAAGGTCTTTACACTCTGCTCGCTGCCAAAGAAATAAGACGAGCTGACAGTCTGTACTCATTGCAAGGTAGTCTAAGAATTTAGAGGGTAGAAGTATCGGGTCGGAGTTCGTCGAAACCGTGACGGAGGCAAGCATCTGAGAGGGACGGAAATCTCAAAATGTATGTACGAACGTCGTACGAAGACACCTCCACGAGACTAGCTACATAGCATCTTCGACTTATCAAGCCCGGAACAGCAACGGTCATAGCCGCGCTATTCTCGCTATCGCCATAATTCATTGCCATGTTTGTAATATTTCCTCCATCGTTGTACGAAAGAAGTGTCCCTCACTCGCCCAGCTTCACATGACCGACCGCTCCTTTGAGTCAACATACTTCTCGGATCTACCATCTCTCGCGCCCAGGACGACCACGGCGTTAGGAGACTCGTTCGGTCCTTCGCTCTCCATTCATTGATCATGTCCGAAGCAAGACAATGCTGGCTTGTGAGGTTGAAGGGTGTATGGATGGAAGTGGCACAAGCTGAGCATTCCACGCTAAAATCAATTCCTCGTTTGCCGAATCGAGTAAAGGCTTCTCGGGCTCGAAAACAGGCGAAAGTGCTCGAGGGCTCCTCTCGTTGTACAATCGCAGGTCCATGTATATATATAAGAGGAACATAGACTGCTGGTAACCTTGATGTTCATATTCCAGCACAGCAGTTGTTTACGTTCATTCGACTTTTTTCAAGATGCCTTCTTCCATCCTCCTCAAAAACGGCACCGCCCTCATCCACGACGCCAACGACCACGTCGACGCCCTCGTGACGGATATCCTCATCGAAGGGGACAAGATCGCGAAGATCGCCAAGGACATCCCAGCTCCAGCGGGTGCGGAAGTGATTGATTGTTCGGACAAGCTCGTTTCGCCTGGGTATGGCGCTCTTTCATCGTCCGTTTGGGTCTAATGTTCTGCTGATGGATGTTTTACTAGCTTCGTCGACACGCATCACCATGTCTGGCAGACGCAGTACAAAGGGCGACATGCGAATGAGACGCTGTGGCAGTATATGGCCACGGGGAACCTCACGTCGCAGCTTTTGAATCCGACGGATGCTTTCTGGGGCCAGTTGGCGGGTTGCATGGAGATGATACATGGCGGGACGACGACCGTGGTTGACTATTGCCATGTGACTTATTCAGGCGAACATGGTGAGTATAAACGTCTTCGTGTCTTGTCTGACAGTCGCTGAAGCTGTGTTGCAGCTCGAAAAGCCATCTCTGCGACACTGGCATCCGGCATCCGATCCGTGTTCTGCTACGCCGCCATGGCAAAGGTAACCTCTTGGAAACCGGTCACGATTGACCTCAACGGACTTGCAGGAAACGTCATGGCAGACTTCGAAGACGTCGCGAAGAAAGGACCCTATGGCGACGACGGTCGAGTGACGGTTGGCTTCGGCTTCGACGGCTTTCCCTTCCTGCCTAAAGAGTATGCCGCTCCCTTGATGTCCAAGCTCAACGAGCTCAAGATCGAGGTGATCACGGTTCATCACACCTGGTGGGACCTCGCAGGCACGAGCCCGACCGGTCTCGAGAAAGTCGACCAGAGTGGTGTCCTTGACAATCGCTTCTTGTTGGCTCACTCGGGCAACTCGACACAGGCAGATGCCGATATCATGAAGAAGCACGGCATCCATGTATCCTCCACACCATCTACGGAAATGCAAATGGAGATGGGTCTTCCGGTCATGGCTTTCAGAACGGACCTTGGGATTCAAAATTTATGCTCGTTTGGTGTCGATTGCCATTCCAACAACTCAGCGTACATTCCAGACGAGGCCAGAATCGGACTCCAGGGCGCGAGAGCAGCTCGAGCGCAGGTAAGACAGTCCTCCACTCGAATCAAGCCGCAGCGTTAACGTGTGTGTAGCCTCATCTAGACAAGGGCAAGCTCGTCAGCCAAGTCGGTCACACGGTCGAGGAAACGTTCAACTTGGCCACGATTTTCGGGGCACGAGGCGCGAAAATGGGCGACAAAACCGGTAGCATCGCAGAGGGCAAGCTCGCCGACCTTGTGCTGTTTGACATGTCGTCTCCCGCAATGGTGGCCGGAAGTATCCACAACCCAATTGCTGCCATCATATTGCACAGCAGTCCAGCCGACATTGATACCGTCATTGTTGGAGGTCAGATCAGGAAACGGACCAGTAAGCTTCTGCCTGTGAAGTTGGATGTCGAGGGGCAGAGTGTCGCTGGAAAAGATCGCCTCGACTGGCCTGGTGTAGCGAAGGCCGTCGTCAAGTCTCGAGAAGGCCTCCAAAAGCAGATCGATGGGATCGATATGGTTGAGGGAGCCGATAGAGTCAAGGATTGGTTCCACATTACCGACTCGATGCTCGTCGATGTCCCATAGGCTTGGAAATGGAAAATATGATCCGTAGAAGACGTCTCCCAGTTTCGCAGGCGCGATACCAGTTCTGAGAAGAGCATTTGGCTCTCGATTCAGCAAGTCCCGTTCTGTGGTCGACGATTTCCTCAGAGCCAGAGACATTGGTCCATGGGCCGTCCGCAATCCGCAGTCGACGGGTATCCCATTGACCCCGTCATGACAAGTCCCCCGGTCTCGTCTTGGAGCGGAGCGTTCTGGAGCAAAATGCTTCTCTCAAACACTTGATCGACCATCCAAGCAGTATACCGCCGTCTCTCACCCAACCTGCAGTGCTTCTCCAAAGACATGCTCTTCACTTGGCCCTAACCTGCCCATCCGTACTATCACTAACAGTCTGCAACTTCCGATACTGCTCTTCCAACTGCCTCTGCATTTCGAAATCCACCATTCTCTCCTTTTTCACCCTCTGTTGCTCCATGTCGCGAATGACGCCGGCGTGCATAGCCTGCAATTCCAAGTCAGTGGCTGTGAAAGTGAAGTTTGGAGGTCATGGGGGACGTACAGCTTGATCGAGCTTCTGCTGGCGATGCACGAACAACACAATGCCAACCGTGGCGAGGGTCGTGGAGGCTAGGGTTAGTTTGGCGGCGGTGGACATTGTGCGTGAGAGAGTTGTTAAGAGGTGTGAAATGTTGAAGGTCCAATGCGAGATCTGAAGCAAGAAGGATCATCGGGCGTCCCACGTGTTTCCGGCGCAGTCGCCGACGTCAACTCTTGGGAGAGCTTCTGGACCTCACAGCTCGCCTTCTGCTGCACCTGGTCTATAGCTTGACATATACGACTCTTGATCTCCTCCTTTACTCAACAACTTCGACAAGATGGTAATGGCTACTATGGCGACTGGCGACTACACATACTGACCCTCGTCACAGGCAGCCCAAAACTCAGCCGGCATCCAGACGCTGCTCGAGGTTCGCCAGACCCCAACATCACTCACTTAAACACTCCTAACACGCACCCTAGGCAGAGAAAGACGCCCAGAAGATCGTTCAGAAAGGTACATCCACCTCCTATCCAAAACCGCAAAGAGCCCAGCTAACGCGCGCAAACCAACCAGCCCGAGAATGTAACGCCTTCCACACATCCTCCTCCCTCCCTCAAACACCCGTGAATAACATGGTCATTTCCAGACCGAACCAAACGCGTAAAAGACGCCCGCTCCGAAGCCCAGAAGGAAATCGAAGACTACCGGAGTCAAAAGGAAGAGGAGTTTAAGGCGTATGAGAAGCAGGTAATACATCTCCACCCTACAATCCATCCAACCCTGTGACAGTGCTGATATGAGGGGACAGCACACATCCGGCAACAAAGCCGCGGAAGAAGAAGCGGAAAAGGACACGCAGGAGAAGTTGAAGGAGATCAAGCAGATTGGGGAGAAGACGGGGCCCAAGGTCGTGGATGATTTGATCAAGGCCGTGTTGGATGTGCAGTTGGTGGTGCCGGAGAGGGTGTCGCAGGCGACTGTATAGATATGAAGAGGTGGAGGGAGTGGTGGGAGTGGTGGGATAGAGTTGAGTGCGTTGTTGAAACATTGTGAGATGGGTGGGTTATGATACATACCACTACAACAAAACGGAGAGATGATTGATATACACTACTTTGAGATCCCTCTCGACCATGGCCAGAAGCCGCCTGTGCTTTTCACCTCGCGGGAATCATCTCCATCCGAGACCGTCTTATCTTCCACCGAACTCTTCGCAACTGCCTTCTTCTTAGCATCAACCACAGGCACCTCAACACCACCAGGAAGCGCAACAATCATATACCCCTCCTCCACCTCCTCCTCACTCTCCGATTCAGCCACTTGCATAGCAAAAGGGAGGTCAAGTTTATCATCCTTCCTCGCCACATCATGGGACGCCGAGCTCCCCGAAGTGCCCTGCTTCCCTTGCATCTCGTTGAACTTGCGCCTCGCCTCGTTCTGAGCAGCCAGGATGCGTGAAGCCCGTAGATGACTGGGGATGGTCTGGTTGGGATGATGGGGCTTGTTCTTCTTCCGCGAGCCGGTCATGGTGGTCTAGCTTTCTGGCCTCTCTTCCGGGTGCTCGGCTGTTTAAGAGCACTTGCTTGCCTGCCATCTAATCTATAGCGTGCACGATCTCGTGAAACGATCATCTCCCATCAAAGCCCCTCCTTAGCAAGCATATCAGCGATGCTCAGATAGAACGCGATGGCGTTGAAACTACCACCACACAAATCGTCAGCAATCAGTTAACGACCTTATGTTTGCAAAACAATCATACTTCTTCTTCCTCTTCCCCGTCAGTTCCCAAAAATACCACCGCAGCCGATTGCTCCAATTAATCAAATCCAGATGACTGACATGATTCAACGTCCCCTTATACTCCCCCCATCGACTACTCTCCACACTCACCATCCCATCATTCGGCCCCTCGACCTTAGCAATCACATCGTGCGACTTCCGAAACACCGACAGGAGATGCGGCTCGAACTGCGCGCCGTAGCTGTAGTACTTGATCCCTTCGACGTCCGGAGTGCGCGGGTTGAAAGATGAAGCCATGTATTCGCGGGTTAGTTGGCTGAAGGCGCCAGTCTCCAGGCCGAAGGACTCCATGGCTTTGTAGATTTTGGGGATGTTGGTCATGCCGATTTGGGCGAAGAGGTAGTCTGCGAAGGAGGAGCCGCGGTGGGGGGTTGCTATGGTTGTTAGGGAGAGGACCTTCAAATTGGATGGTTGGAGTCGTGATATCATGTATCGTGAGTCGAGGCCGCTGCTAGAAGTCAGTGGTGAACGATACCGTTCTGCGTCAACGATCATACCCCTAGCTCGATGTCAGCGAGATGAACAGAGTCATACTTCTGTTCAATCACTGACCATACTATGCCTACACCAAAGTCAGCCAAGAACCCCTCTCCAAACTACCTAAACTTCTCCCAACCACCTACGCAATAATATTGACCGCCTTCCCCCCAGCCCTCCCTTCAATCGCCTCCGCCAACTTCCCCGCCCGATCCTCAATACTCCCCGAAGGCGGCACGGCCGAAGTAATCACCTCTACCCCCTTCGCTGCCAGCGCCTGCGTGATGCCATACCAGTACTCAATGCCCGGGAGATTCGCCCCTCCGAGCCCCAGCTCGTCGAATCCGAGCAGGCCGTGCGCGAGGATGATGGGGTGTTTGGGGGCTTGATAGGTGGATTTGAGGACGGCGAATTCGTCTTCGATGACTTCTGTGGAGATGTTGGAGAGGCGGGGGTCTTTCTTGGCTTCTTGCGCTTGTTCTTGCTGTGATTGTTTGAGGATTCGAGTGGACGCGTGGAGACGCGCTTTGGGGGTGTTGTAGATTGCGGATAAGGGTGAGACACACCGCCTTCTCAGGGCGGTACGATGGAGGAGGAGCATGGCAGGAGGATCCCGGTCGATAGTCGATGAACCTGTTCGTTGTGCAGGTCTTGGTTGTTTGAGGTTGTGGAAATTGAGTTTGATATTCGACTGATTGTGACGTCACTTTTCGACGACAGAGGCAACAACGACCACATCAGGTGAATGCCACTCTGCGGCTTCACTTTCCTGCGCTCTTTTGAACGTGAGATCAGTAATATATGAGCTCACGCGACCATCGTCATGTTCAATTTATCTGCTACAGATCTCAATCTGCAAGACGGAATACTGTGCATGCGGCAGGGATTCTGCGCTGGAGTCAATCAATGTCCCGTGTGATGTTCAGTCTGTAGACCGGGATCTTGGGTATACTGTATTTGGCTTGGAAGTCATAACGTGAAAGCTGACGTCGATCGAGAGATGGAAGGGAGAGTGGGAAAGAACTGAGCGGTAGTAAAGAGAGTTTGTACATGTTGGGGATACCATTGGAAACGACAACGATGTTGCAGATTTTGCAGCAGCTCTTCGAGAGGTATGAAATGTTCATCCTCTTCACAGCTTTTACAATCCCCCAACGCTGTCGAACCCTTCCTTACGATTTGTGGACTCTGAAGACTTGTGTCGAACTGAGGCTCTGCTCGTCTGAGCGCAAGCGTTCAGTAACAACAGACCTGCGATCCAGCCGAAGAGTCCAGTAACCTGAGCATCTCGTCGTCACTGGACGCTACTATGGTGAATGACATCGAACGCCGAGCCTGAGGTAACACCATAGCCATGCTAGCTCCATGGAGGTCAAATTCCGAAAGCCTATATATCGGATACTCACTTGACCGGATGGACAGATCGATGCATAGACGGCCAGCAGTGAGTGGGCATCGATGCGAATACTCCGGTGCTTAGTGAGAAGTCGTGTTGTACCTATGGTCCGTAATGAGGGTGCTGGACCTCTCGATATGATTTGGTACCGTCAGTACCCGCAACCAATGACTCCAGAAATGCCAGCGCAACCTTCGAGGGGTCCTTACTACTGGCTTGCGATGATGGTGTTCATCACAAGAGAGGTATCCTGAGGCCAGCAGTCATCTGATCGGCGTACCTTGCTGAACAATCAGGTGCCGCCATTGCTAGGGAGCGTGCATCGTGGAAACATCAAGCTGGCAAGGCCGACTAGCTTCAGCTTCCACATGAGGGCCTTACTACTTACCTTATCGGTCTCACCACCCGGACGATGCTTTCGCCTCTTATTTCTGTTGTAGCTGCGACCTCTCCAATCATAGAATCGTGCCAGAATCGGGTAGTGAAAGTACGTGAGCCTCATCCTGGGTTTCCCCGCGTCATGATTCATCTTGCCTGAGGTAAAAGTCCGGGTTCTGGGATGGGAGTGTACGACCGTCGCCGGCATCATTCTGGTAAGTCTCGGGTTGTCCTCCGCCTGGCTCGGAGTAGTAAGGGGTGGCCGGGGTCGTAGGCACATGGTGTTCGGGCCTTCTGAATGGAAGCACTTGTCATCATGGCAATTTTGACGATGATGCCATAGTCTGATATTGTCACCCAAGGCCCAAGCCAAATATCAGACCCGGAAGTGAGTACGATCCGAGGGAACGCGAGCGGCCTCTTTGTGTTCGCTACATCGGCCGGCTCCTGCTGAAGCGCAAGTCAAGTTCCTGGATGCCCATGACAAAGTCTCGTGAACGAGAAAGAAGATGAACCTGGTAGAGCTGGGAGAGTTTGAAGGGGTGAGTATCAAAGACCCCTATAAGGAAGGTGAGGTTCAGTGTAGCTTTTAGCGATGCCGTTCGATGCGAGCCGGAATCGGATGCAGTTGTTGTAGATAGCTGACTTCGGTAAGCACGTTGTAGCTGTCCGGCAGGAATCTGCTTCGTCTAACAAATCATCCTATTGGTGCTCCAGCGCCGAGGGCGGGTAAGACCCTATCGTGGAGTAGGAAGGACCTTTCAATCTGTACACTCGCAATCTCATCAAGGCCAGCTGAGGCATATGATGGTGATGGATGCTTCGAAAGGCTGATGTTGGGCGGCAGGATTGGCGATCTGTTACTCTCCACTGTCAGTGTAACATAAGAGCGACAGTTTGCTGGAGTGATTGGCAAAATGGAGTTGCAATTCGAAGCTCGACCCGACCATATTTGCCGTGTTTCCGTGCGGTGTGGCTCCAGCAATGGTGCACTGTTGTCAAGCAAAGCTTGTCTCATGCTGTAACGACGAGGCGCTTGTTGACACTGGCGTCCTAATCGTGTTGGAGCCAGCGCGAACGCCCATGACAGCTCCACCCACACTTCATACACTTCACACGTCACGATTGCCATCGTACGCTTTTCGTGGCATGGCGCTGATATTATGGACAAGTTTGTGGGACGGTACCAAGGCTTGGTGGCAGCGATTGGGCGCGAGGTTCGGAAGATCTACGCTTTTGTGTTTTCAGCGAGGAAAAGTCTCGCAAGCGTGTCCGGTGGGCAAGGGAGTCGCCGCGCAAAGAGCTGCGGTCGGAACGACGATCTCTGTAACATCGCAGAGGTTGGGGCCGCGCCGAAGGCAACACAACCCACTATTATCAAAGCTACTTTGTTATTCCCACACGCGTAGTGTAGGGTCGTCGCAAGATTCGACTGCGTATACACGCGTATGAAGCCGGACAGATACACGTTAATTCTACTTCGGACAAGTAGTCCATGCACCATCCCCTTCCGCATATACACAGCCGTGATATCTGTATGCAAACTGGACGACGTGTGTACACTGTGCGAGTGGTGAAAAGAGTGTAAGGATTCGACCCATGGTTGTTGCTGACGGCACCCTGCATTTGACTCGGTCGCTCCTTGTGGTCACGCAGTGGGCAGATCTCGCTTGGCCTGCTGCAAGATAGGCGGAGGTGTCAAGCACGTGCGAGAGAAAGCATCCATTTGGAGGGCTTGCCGTGTGGTAGAGGCAGTATCGGTACATCAGCTGGCGGACATGTACATAGTAGGCAAGATGGGGGCACGGCGGTCAATTATTGCTGAGCACGCGGCGGGACAGACATCCCCGTTGTCATGAAGATCCTCGCAACGGGTGACGTACGGCGGGCCCGTGAATGCAAGGCTTCATCTCAGGAGGTGATGTGAACGTGGCCGTGGCGAGGGGCGGCGGTGGTGGCGATATGATAGCAGGCCGGCAGGACATGCGCAGTCACGCCTCGCTGTGAAGTGCTGCCGTCTGCTGCTATTGATCGTAGTGGTGTGGTACGGAATGAAGGGCAGGTGGCACGTCCCCTGCTCCGGCAACAGCAGAGCTTGTGCCGGCTCGACAGAATGACGATGTTGACCGTTCCCTGCAGCTCCACTCGCCGCCCATCTGTCCTGACTGGCTGCCGCCGCGACTAATAACTGTGCTAGCTGGCGGTGCATGCAGTTTGTCTGCCGGCCTGCGTCTGCAAAAGTACTAGGCCAATGTCTTGATTAATACTAGACCCTCCCTCGCCCTTTCTTGCGGCGGCTCTGCTGCATACTGCCTTACACGCTGTTACACGCCCGACTCACCACCACACGCTGCCCGACTGCTCAGCGCACGCCCGTTGACGCTGCAGCCGACTCTCATTTCCCACCACCACTCAGCGCGGCGGCAAGGGAGCGCGACGCGGACTTCAGGAGAGGCTGGGGCAACCATGACATCAGAGGACTGCAGTAGTACGATTGCAACACCCTCGATCGGGGAACCTACTCTACACCTTGTACCCTCGCCAACCTCATCATCTCCAGACTCCAGCGCCGTCGCCAGCGAAGATGATACGATGACCATTGCACGAATAGCCAGGCCCAAGATCGGGAGCAGAAAGAGCAGCGGCACCATGATTGTCTCGCGCGAATCCGCCACCACCGTCGTCGAGCCCGACTTCGACGAGAACGACGTGCGCACCATGTCCCCCCGGAGAAACAGCGAAGAGGTCGACAAGCTCGGCGAAGAGGCGCGGAAAGATCTGATCGAGCAGGCCAAGGTGTTGCAGACGAGCCTGCAGGCGATAGTCGACCGAGTGGAGACGGTCAAGACGGAGCACGAAAAGCTCGAAGGTGGCAACAAATTCCTGCAGTCGTACGTCCAAGCACTCAGACACCCGTCTCACGCACGCGCTGACACTATCGCAGATATATCGGCGAGCTCATGCAGACGTCGAAAGTCACATCGACCGTCCCGTCAAAATCCAAAGCCAAGGGCCGAAGTAACAAGTGACGACCGCCCGACACCGCTTCCGACACACTCGCAATTTTGCACTGTACCATCATCACCAAGACATCATTGTCCGCTGCCCACTGCAGCATTTTAGCATGGCGTGGAGTGCTTTTATACCTGGGGGGCAAATGAACTGGCGTTTGGGGGGGATCCACCGGCGCATAGTAACTCACGGTCGCACGCTCAACACCCCTTCGAGCGGCGAACCTCATCAACCCACATTGGCGGCGCTAGTCTATCTGGACGGCATTATCGTCCATCTTGTTGTACTGCCACACGAGCAGAGTCATGTATATTATAATGACTAAAGTAGTGAACTCATCGCGACAGGAGATGTAACGGCAGTTTGAGATGTCTCTGACTAAGGGGTGAAGACCCGAAGATCAAAAGACCCTCACTCGGGCCTGTCATCAATCGCGCCACACATCATTACCATTACCACTGATACCTCACTGTCTTCATTCCATCCAGCATACTGACGAACAGATCGCACACCAAAATTCGCACCATCGACGTCGGCCACCTCCAGAACGACTCCACGTGCAGGACCATCGCACCATCACCACCAGTGGCGTATTCTCGAACAACGCAAAGAAGCTGCTTATCCGCACGCACACGCTTCCCGAACCTCCAGAGTCCAAGCCAGCATCCTCCCACCACAACGCCCTCCCAATCACCACCCATCGAAAAACTGCAGTCATCCTCCCTAGCCCGAATCAAGCACGCCCAACCCACGTGGCTATTGCAACGCCTCAAACCCCAAACGCAAAACGCAAACGCCATAGCTGCACGATAAATCACACAAAATCCTTTTTTCGCAACTCTTCCCGGATTCTCACGCCCCAAACGAGTTGCCAGCTTGCATTGCACGGCACTCACCGCTCTCGGATCCTGGGGAGCTTTTGCTTTGGGGTAGGTTCTGGAGCGTGGGCTTTTGTGGCTTGCGGGTTTCGTGCATGAATGGACGCCTTTGGGGAAGTTTCTTGGCGGGGTGGCCGATGAGGTGGGGAGTGCGGTGTGGAGGATTGTACGACTACTGGGGAAGTGCCATGTGGGATTCATTGATGGTAAGAGGGGGCTGTTGGTGGTCGTGCACGTGAGAGTGAGGTAGGTCTTGGAGGAAGGATGCTGCTGTTATCTGCGTGTGTATCTTGCCTCTTCTCTGATCACCGACCAAGCTGGAGAGCTCAGTTGAACAGATCGTATTCACGTTCAGAAGAAAATGATGTGCGTAGCTGAAGTGAGAAGACGACTTCTGTAGGCAAGTGAAGCACACAGATTGCTCTGTCTAACGGGGACCGATCAAGTCCCATCGATGCATCCCGTTTGAACATCATTGTTTCTCTCGGCACCTCCAAAGGTAGTGAGGCTACGAGATGCAAGGGCACGGGAACATTGGTCTCGTTGTCATAGCTATGCGTCTATATATGAGTATCACATGCAAACTCGCTCGCTCGCTCGCCAAAACTACTTCTCACAAACACGAAACACTTGATCCAATCTTACTCACTTATAAGCCTTCCCACCCACACTCTCATCAAACGCCATCAGTTCCTTCAACCCACAAACCTCAAAAAGCGCTCCCGGCCCCATCTTCTGCTCCAGTGGAGGCTGTCCCGTCGTTCTCAACGCTTCGAGCGCCTGCCTCACCGCCGGCACAACAGCCTCCATGCCCAAACACGGCCATATCACGATCCTGAAGCCCAGGCGATTCGCCTCTTCATTGCTGACTTGGGGTGTTTTGCCGCCTTGCACCATGTTCAGCAGGACTGGGACGTCTTTGGGGAGTTGCTTGATGACTTCTTGGGCTTCCTCGGTGGATTGAATCGCTTCGAAGAACAGCGCGTCGACGCCAATCGAGGCTGCGGTCCTCAAGCGTCCGATCGCCTCCTCGAACCCGCCCCTCCCCTCCGTATCACTCCCAGCCCGCGCATCAGTTCGCGCAATGATAAGAATATCATCCCTCCCCTCATCTCTCGCCTTACACGCCGCTCGCAGACGATTATAATACACCTCCCTGCTCACCAACACCTTCCCGCTCAAATGTCCGCATCGCTTCTCTTGAACCTGATCCTCGATATGCAGGCCCGCGACTCCCGAGCGAGCGTAGGAGGTGACGGTTTTGGCGATATTGATGGGTCCGCCGTAGCCCGTGTCCGCGTCGGCGATGACAGGCGTGGAGGGCGACAGCGAGGCGATCATGCTGGCGTTGGCGTGCATGTCGGTGTAGGTGGCGAGGCCGAGGTCTGCCATGCCGAGTTTGGACATGGAGGTTCCTGCGCCGGTCATGTAGAGGCATTCGAAGCCGGCTTCGAGGGCGAGGCGGGCGGTTATGCCGTCGTAGACGCCGGGGGCTACGACTGTCTTGGAAGGGTCGGAGAGCATTTCGCGGAGGCGTTGGACGCCTGTGGGCTTGGTGGTGTGGCCGTTGGTCGACATTGTTCTGTTCCTGGCTCTTGTTGTGATCTTCTCGATTCTGGGATTGTTCGTGTTGAAAGAGAGGATGTACGTCTTTTCACAGCTCTTGCTAGATGAAAATGCCTATCGATGTAAAGATGAAATAGAAAGCAATACTTATACCTATCGCGGCCCTTGTTCCGGGCAACAGACGAGGACGACGATTGCTGCGCATCATTTACAGAGCTTGCTCCGATCCCGGCCTTGCGGTCCACCTCTTTACTCGTTTCTGCTGACTCAAGGAAAGCGTTGTTCGTGTTGTTCGCAGATATATCGGACGACAGAGGCAGAGCGTAAGTCGGCGTACTGCGAAAACGCGGCCTTCGAAGATGAAGCAAGACGTCTCTGTGTTTTCCGGCCGCCGGACCGCATCGTTCTCGCTCTCACGGCCTTCCTCGAGCTATCCCTCTTCCGTCCCTTTCACATGCGACTTGTTGGAACCTGGGGTACAGCATGACGATCGCCGAGGCATCTTTGCGGATTGGCTTTCGAAGTCATGTGCGCCGGACGTCTTCTGATATAAGCATCATATGCTGTTCGGGGTGTTTCTTTTGCGTTGAACGCCTCCTCCGAAACACCAAATCCGTACCTTTGTTTGTACTTCCTGTTGGACTGCTCGACGTTTTAAGCCTTCTCCATCTTCAATCCGCTTCCAGCATACTCCACGATCAAAAATGGGTGTTGCGGATGGTATGACCGGCTCATCGGGAGCAGACAGCGCAGTATGAGAGACGCAATGGTATACTGACGAGCTATCTCCCAGCCAAGTTCCCGGCCTCGCAGGCCTTCGATGAGATCGCCAACGCGCTCTCCGACCCAGCCGCCAAGAAGGACGCCATCAAGCAGGGCGCCTCGATCTTCGGTTTCACCATCAAGAACGCATCCGGCGAGGAGAAGTCGTGGTATGTCGACCTGAAAGAGACTGGCACTGTTGGCCAAGGAACCGCACCAGAGGGCAAAAAGGCAGATGGTATGTTGAAATACACCGAGTCCGGGGTGACAGTATCACGCTGCATTCGTCATCGATATAGTAGTGGCGGAACACAGATTCGCTGACATGAGAACAGTCACCCTCGTTCTCTCCGAGGACAACTTCGGCAAGCTCATCGACCAAAAGGCCAACGCACAGAAGCTATTCATGAGCGGCAAGCTGAAGGTCAAGGGCAACGTCATGAAGGCCACCAAGCTCGAGCCGATCCTCAAGAAGGCCCGACCACAGTCGAAGCTTTAGAGCGTGTGTGGGAAGCGGAAAAGAGTACGTAGATGCATTTCGAATGGCGCGCTTGGTTGTTTGAGCTAGGATGATCGCCAGCTTGTATACTTACCGTATGAGATCAACCGAATGGAAGCTATGGCCAAGACTTTGCCTTGCAGGTGCACTTTCTACCGTTGTCAGCACTGCTCTGAGTACGACGCTGCGGTGGCGGCTCGTTATTGCGGCGGTCAATGACCCCTTGGTCTGCTACTGCAGTTGATGCCGTAGTGCCTGGAGCGGGTGTTGCTCGTGTCCTGTCCGTATCCATTCGCTCTGCTCTTGTTAGATTACGCTGGGAAGTAAAGACACCGTCGCCAGCCGCGTGCGACTGCGGGCGTCTCAGGGACTGACTTTGAATGATAGGCTCGATTGGAGGGTCGTCGTTGCTCGGCGGAGGGCGTGTTGGGCGAAGGACGTGATGGAATTGATCGAATTGACTGCTCCGCAGTGGTCGGCCCGACTGAATGATTGATAAAATCTGGATTGCAAGGCATACCTTCTGTCTCTGCAAAGACTCCTGCACAAGGAGGCCTTGTAGACTGAGAGTCCTCAAACTCCATTCGAGTGGCATAGTCAGCCTTGTCCTTCTGTTGCTGTAGCTTCGTGAGACTCTTTGTTTGTATCACCCGCACTTGCTTGTTGCAAAAGCGATTCAGACTGAAGGGTGGCGAGGCAGTAGTCTGCAGCTTGGCCAACATCGACTCATACCGGTCGATCTAATCGTCGAAGAATGGCATCATCTTCTCGAAGAAGGTCAGCATATCGTAGCGGCTTTAGCGCAACCACCCCTTGAGACCGTTATGAGAACTTTCGCCTGGTGAAGTCGTTCTGAATCCGAAGTGCCTTATCTTGTTGGACCACGCCTTGACGCAGAGTCGCCGGTGCCTCCACCAATTCCTACACAGGGAGTCATCGAAGTCTTGCCAACTCTCGTCGTCGGCAGCTCGCTCAGTAAGGCGCTTGCGGGCCTCCTCGTACTCCTCTTCAGACTGGGCATCCAAGATGTTGCGGTAAAGGGCAAGAGCTTCTTCTGCTTCATCAGACGGTGATATGCGGCCAGTTGCTGGGTCTGTCTGGCATCCGACCTTGTCACAGCAGGTGGCTTCAACGTCGGCGTTCATATGCCAGACACAGAGCATCTTCGGCTGCTCAGACCATATGCGATCGAAGGCGCTGATAAGAGCTCGATCACGATCGTGAAGGATAACTGTTGGCTCCGGCAGTGACTGCTCAGTCATCGTTTGACGCAGAGTCGTAAGAGCCCAGGCAAAGTTGTCTGCCTTCTCGCCAGTCATTAGGACGTGAACTAGGGGAATGGTAAGGCCAGTCCTTGTACTGCCATCAACAGCGAAGAGCGGCAGGCTGTAGAGATTCGTCTTGTATGTGACGTCCATAACAAGAACGTCACCGTTGTCTCGCCAAATCTAGCAGTCGTCATCGTCGCTCATATCCTCTGAGTCTCCAGTCAGGTCTGCAGTAGTCGTCATGTTGTACCTGACTTGCTCTTCATCCAGGATTTGAGTGACTCGCTCAATGATTGTCTGATGATTGAGCTTGATATAACGCAACCGCTTGGAGTGCGATTAGAAACGCACTAGCTTGTGAAAGCTCGGAGAGATTTTACTTCTTCTATTACGGTATAGGGCGTGCCTACCCTCCTCGTTCCGGTCAAAGTAGAACGTATGGTACGGCCAGAACTGCCATCTCTCCGAGCTTTCGCGAGCAATTGGGATGAATCTTCCACTTGGAGCAGAACACCGTGGGCAGAACACTAAGAGTATACATTAGCTAGTTGAGCTAGCAAGATGCCTGCTACTTTGAACCCTTCCAGGTTCTCAAGTGTCTACTTCCGTTCAATCCTGCGGCTGAAGCTCCCCATCTCGAGTGTCATCAACAGCTGCTGGCTACAAAGTCGCAACTTGATGATCTGCTTGCCAGTGCGAGCGATCGATCCAGGCTGTTGAAAACCTGGTTGAATTGACTCAGTAATGCTTCCGTCCACCGCAGCTGGTTCGACGTGCTGAAGAGAAGCGGTTTAGTCAATGAAGGCCATACGATAGAAAGTGAGGGAGAGTGAGTAGGGAAGTGAAAAGTCCGAGAGATGGCACTTCTATTACGGTAGATTCCCCCTTTACTTCTGATGCTGTCAGGCTCCGCTGGTCGCTTTACTTCTGTCCTTACCTCTCCCTTTATAGTCGCTTTACTTCTGTCCTTACCTCTCCCTTTACTAGTTACTTTACTTCTGTCCTTACCTCTCCCTACTAGTTCCTTCACTTCTCTCCTCACTCTCCCTTTACTAGTCGCTTTACTTCTCTCCTCACTTCTCTCCTCACTCTCCCTTCACTAGTCGTTTTACAACTGACTGCGCTGCTAGTTGCACCCCAAGCTGCGTAGATGGTCTGGAAGTAGTGGGGATAGTATCCACCTGGACAGAACAAGGCGTGGCCAAAGCTCCTCGGCCATGGGCTTGGCGCAGTGACTGATTGGATTAAAAGCGAACGGCACGGCCCGCGCTAAGCGAGGCCGCGACTCTTTACCTTTCGTTTGTCCGTCGCGCTTCTCCGACCTTCAACCAACACCCACAACCAACACCGCGACAACAGCATGGGCAAGCGTGGCGCAGACAGCCTGCCCCTAGAAGAAGAGTGCATTCGATACCCCGACGGACGAACCCTCATCTTCCGCCCCAACGAGACCCACATCGACAACCCGCCTGTAAGGGCGACGGCGGCCCAGTTGGCCAGAAGAAAGTAAGTGGATTATTGGAAGCTAGCTATTGCGACAACACAGCACTGACATGTACGGCAGGATTGCTCAACCAGCGAGACCCAGCCGTTGTCGCGGAGCTTCGCCTGCAATGGCAGCACCCCCAAACAACAACGCCATGCCACCATTCTCCTCCAACAATGCCTTCGGGCAATCTTCGACCAACAACGTCTTCGGGCAATCCTCGACCAACAACGCCTTCGGGCAACCCAGTCAACAGTCCAACGGACAAGCTATCGACGCGAACGACCTTAAGGCTGTCGTGCGTTCTAAGTTCGGTGCTTTCAATTTGGAGGACAAACCACAACCATCCGGCCCATCTAATGGCATGTCCGGCATGTTCAGCTTCGGCTCATCTTTCGGTTCCAACCAGCAGCAAGGCACCGCTTCATCATTTGGAGGATTTGGACAGGGTCAGCAGGATACCATCACGCCAGCAACTGCGGCGACCAGCACCTTTGGCAGCTTCGGCAAGCCTCAAGAGCAGAACGGCGCAAGCTTGTTTGGACAACCGCAACAGAGCAGTGGATTTGGCAGCTTCGGCAAGCCTCAAGAGCAGAACAGCGCAAGCTCATTTGGACAACCGCAACAGAGCAGTGGATTCGGCAGCTTCGGCAAGCCTCAAGAGCAGAACGACGCAAGCTCATTTGGACAACCACAACAGAGTGACGGATCCGGGCTCAGCGAGCAGAAGAAGCTGCCTACATTCGGGCTAAGCCAGCAGCAAGAGCAGCCTGCAGCACAGCAGTCAAAGCCTCGCGATCCTCCCCGTCGTGTCGTGTCACAGCCGTCAAGCATTACAATGATCCACCAGCCACTGCAGAATGGAACACAGACTCCAGCGGCGAGCACGCACGGTCCCATACCACGACAAGCAGCTCAGCCAAATGGCGAGCAGAAGGGCCTTTTTGGCGCACCCACACCACGACCACAAGCTCAGTCAAATGGCGAGCAGAAGGGCCTTTTTGGCGCACCCACACCACGACCACAAGCTCAGTCAAATGGCGAGCAGAAGGGCCTTTTTGGCGCACCCACACCACGACCACAAGCTCAGTCAAATGGCGAGCAGAAGGGCCTTTTTGGCGCACCCACACCACGACCACAAGCTCAGTCAAATGGCGAGCAGAAGGGCCTTTTTGGCGCACTCACACCACCACCAGCCCAGCCAAATGGCGAGCAGAAGGGCCTATTCAGCGCACCCACATCACAACAACCAGCTCAGTCAAATGGCGAGCAGAAAGGCCTTTTTGGTGCTACCATAGGACCGTTCGAACCCCCAAAGAACGGTGGCAGCGTCTTCGACGATTACAACAACAGGCCACCCAGAAAGAGCAGTTTCGTCTTCACCTCCTCCGACCCATCTCAAATCTATCAGCCGAAGAAGAAGAACCACGCCAGTGACAACAACGACGAGCAGGCCATGGAGGAAGACGACGACGAGCAGGGTGTGGAGGACGACAACGACGAGCAAGCCATGGAGGATGATACCGACAAGCAGGCCGCAGAGTCGCGCGTTGTGGGAAAGCTCGGCGGTCCTCTTTTCCTTCCAAGCACCAACTCCTCTTTTCCACCGATCAACTCTGAGTCGCCTGCAACGAAATCACGGTCAATATTTGATCGCATGGATCCAGCCGATCGAGCCAAGCTTGGAAGTCCAAAGACTGCGGCTGTACCCCAAAAGTCGCTTCTCAGCAAGGAGCCGGAGACTCCTGCTGCTACTCCACTTTCGGCAGAGAGCGCTGCCCCGAAGCCACGTTCGCTGTTCGACCGCATGGAGCCTGCTGCTACTGCACCTTCGGCAGAGAACTCTACCCCGAAGCCTCGTTCGCTGTTCGACCGCGTGCAGCCTGCTGATCAGGCAAAGGTCATTGCTTTAAGCAACGCCGGCTCTCCACAGAAGTCGAAGGCATTCGATACTTCCGCAACCTCCCAACCATCTACTCTCCTCGCAACGCAGGATGATGCGACCAAGGAGTCTTCACCATTCCCAAAACCCGCGTCTCAACCATCATCAGAACTATTTGCGCCTGCCACCCCACAGCCAGCTGCGCCGACTGCCTTCAAGGTACCAGTCGCAGCACCACTTGCAAGCGCTGCAGCACCGTCTGCACCGCTCTCCGGCAAGACACCAGAGACTGCAGCAACCTCCCAGCCATCCACCCTCCTCGCAACGCAGAATGATGCGGCCAAGGAGTTTTCACCATTCCCAAAACCCGCGTCTCAGCCATCACCAGAACTATTTGCGCCGGCCACCCCACAGCCAGCTGCGCCGACTGCATTCAAGGTACCAGTCACAGCACCACCTACACGCGCTGCAGCACCGTCTGCGCCGCTCCCTAAATTCAAGACAACTGGTCCATCGGTAGCGGCCGAGGAACTATCTCCGGAGCAGCAAGCGAGGTTGAAGTCTCTCAACGATGGCCTATTGGCACACCTGAGGACACAAGTTCTTGAGCAAGACTGGACTCCCATCTTCCAATACTACACGGAGCAAGCTGCGAAGATTCGTGGCGTTGAACTCCCTCCAGCGCCGACCAGCTCGGCCACTCAACCTCATAATGACCTCTTCTCCAAGCCAGCAGCGCCCAAGGCGACAGAGACCGCCACGGCATCAGCAGCTGGAAAGAAGCGACCCTTCATAGAAGAGGGTGACGATGAGCCTGCACAAACGCTTGGCTCTGAGAAGCGCAGCAAGCTGAACGACTCTTTCTCCAAGCTGTCTGAGACCAGCTCGGCCTCTCAAGCCACAGGAGCTGCACCCGCCATGAAAGCTGTATCCGCCACGACACCAGCAGCTGGAAACAAGCGACCTTTCACAGAAGACGATGACGATGACCCTGCACAAACGCCTGGCTCTGAGAAGCGCAGCAAGCTCAACGAATCATCTTCCAAGCCGTCTGAGACCACGACCAGCGCCGCAGAACTGTTCTCGTCCAGCTTCAACAAGTCCGCATCCACCACAACGCCTGCAGCTTCGTCTGCCGCTGAGGCTAGCAAGCTTGCTCCTGGCGTGACTACCGACGGCGAGGCATCCAGCACTGCCGACGGAGACCCTAGCGACGAGAAGCAAGATCCTCAAATTGAGGTGGACATGACGGCATTATTGCCTGCGGAGAGAGATGCCAACGAGGTACTCATGGAATTCAACCACATCCAGAGCAAGAAGCTCGTCACCGGCGAGGACGGGAAGTCGAAGTGGGACGTTATTGGTGAGGGCCGCGCCTACCTCCTCAAGCACAAAGAGACGGGTAAGATCCGCATGCTTCAGAAGGTCGGCCTCGGTCAGCTCGCCCTTAATTTCGAGCCCATCAAGGGCATGTCGTACGGGCTCTACCCCACCAAGAACACCATGGTGAATACGGTCTTCCAAGACCATATTCACTGCAACCCACCGAAGCTGGAGCGGTTCTACCTCGTCACTGAGACTGCCAACCAGGCGGAAGAGTTGGTGGACCTTCTGCAAGAGGCCGCGCGTCGATGAAGGAGACGGCACAGCACAAAAGTTTCACGGCATTCACGATTTGTTGATTTTCTGCATTGGGCTTGGTCACACAGCGGGCGTTTGTTTTTTTGTTTTTTTTTCACGACGAAAGAGAGAGACTAGACTGCGCGTTTGGCTCGTCTTGCATTGCATTGCGCGGAGTTTGGGTTTTATGAACGCGGCGGCTTGGCTTGGCTTGTTCAAGCGTGTAATGCGCCGCAGATACCATGATGCACGATTGGGGATGTACAGGACGGAACAAAGACGCATATGGCGGCGAGAGAGAGAAGAGGAGACAGACGGATGGGATTGTTTGGATATCTGGAGCTCTGACTTCAAACTGGCAACAGTTTTGGAAGATAAAAGGGCCGGACGGATGATTTCGTCACAAGACATACGATGACCTGCGTTCCGCTGGAGCTCGTCACCATCGCAAGATGGTTGATGGGCCGGTGGGGGCGCGGTCGTCTGTTGTCTTGTTCTGGATATCTGGGTGACGGGGAAGGTGTGGTTGGGCCGGGTCTGTAATGGACCTGGAGCTCACGCCCCCTTTCTCAAGCTCGGATTGAAAGTCGGTCGGCTCTTTTTCTTTCTCTTCTGTAGCTAGATTGTTGTCTTGATGTTACCGAAACCTGAATTAAAGGAGGCGTTGAAAATCACTCTGAGGTCTCACTTTTCTTTTGCCTTCTTCTTGAACGTGAACATTTGAGACTACTAATACAGGTTTGATGGTGAAGGTATGAGGGATTGGCTCTGTACAGCGACACACTCCCTTTCTCCTCCTTATGCGTGAGTGCAAGGTAGGTCACATCCATCCACTCCGCACCAGATACCCCCATTCCTCCTCGCCACCCTCACCCCCCTCATCCCCTTCCTCGCCCTCCTCCTCATCCAACCCCAACCCCAAACCAAGTCAATCCCCCCTCCCCTTCCCATCATTTCCCCCCTCCTCCACCTCCTCATCTTTCTCCTCCCCTCCAAGCGCCGTCCCCGGCGAAACATCCCTTACGATCCTTCCCCCTCGACGACGATTCCGGCGTTCTTGAGATGTGGGGCGGCCGCTGCGGCAGTGTTCTGCGGCGGAGAGGAGGAGGAGTTTGGTGTTTTCTGTTGAGAGGTGCGGGTTGGGGGTTAGGGGGGAGGTAGTGGGGCCTGTGGAGAGAGGGGGGTTAGTTTTGGTTGGGATGAGACGAGGGAGAAGGGACGATGGAAAGGGTTGTGAAAGTAAAATGTGAGCTATCGGAAGTGAATGTACAGAAGCCTGCGGTTAACAGGTCCAAGCAAGTTGTTGGATGGGAATCGAATCAGACAGACATGTAGTAAAAAGAAGAAGGATTTCAAGTACCTTGCACTCCCACACCCACACCTCCCTCCCCTCCTCCCCCATTTACTCCACCATTAACCCTCACATTCTCCGGCGGCACAATCTCCCCCTCACTCCTCCACTTCCCCTCAACCGTATCCTGCACACTCAACCTCTTCATCCAACTCGGCATCTCCCCGGGAATCCCACTCCACCGCTGGCTGCTGCGATCCGGCGGCACGCCACTCAACGCCGAGTTGCGGTTCGTCGGGCGCGAGATGTCGCTGACCGTGGGGGAGTCCGGGGAGGGGTCGCTGCTGAGCGGCGGGAGGGCCATGTTGGGGTTCGAGGTGGCGGTGCTGAGGCGGTGGGTCGTGAAGGTGAAGTGTGCTTGCTGGGGTTGGGACTGTTGGTCGAGGGATTCCTTGCTCGGCGAGAGGATGTTCGAGTCGCGGTTGCGGTCGCGGGCGTGCAGGGAGGTGTGGTTGAAGCCGCTGTGAAGAGACATCCTCCCTCCGCCGGGGGTCGTCGTGCCGCCGTTGGCGTGCATGCTGTTGTGGTGCAGGTCGCGCAGTTGTTCGACGTTGGCGCTGTAGCGCGCCGCGGCGTCCTTGCTGAAGCGCGCCTCGACGTCCTTGGAGTATCGCACTTCTTTGCTGTACCGACTCGACGCCACGCGGGTGTCGCGTTTGGACATGCCGGGTTTGAGGCTCGAGCGGTACTCGGGCTGCAGGGAGGAGCGATACTCGCGGTTGGAGTAGCGTTTCGATTCATGAGGCGTCTGCACGACGTGCTCCATCTTCGTCGTGTCGAGTTCTTTTCGCTCGGGGCCTTCTCGACTGCGATCTGTATCGCGGCTCTCGAGACGAGCGGCGGCTGCTTCGATGGCGCTGTCATTTCGTTCATTGACATTCCGTGGCGAAGTCGTCCGCTCCCGATCATCATCGCGGTTGAGCCGATTATTCAATCGATTCAGCGTCTTCTGCATTTCCTGCAATTCAACCTTGCCCGTATCCTCCAGCTCATGCATCTTCGCATCGCTCGCCCGCGGACGCACAATCTCAATGGCATCGACATCGATCTGCGAAGTTCGAATCCCCGGCAACGCCTTGCTGCTGCGATGCAGATAGCTGTTGATCTTGGGCCGCGAAGGTGCGTGTGATGATGATCCTGGTAGCGTCTCGCCTCGGCGATTGCGTCGTTGCTTCTCCGTGTACCATATGAAGAGGAGGAGGCCGCCGAGTAGGACTATGACGGGAATTATGACGCCGATGGCGATTTGGGCGTGTGTGTCGAGGCCGGGTGGACCACTGTCGGGTCCTCGCTTTTGGATGTACATCTGTTCAGACACGGCGCAGCAGCAGCAGCAGCAGCAGCCAGGTTTCCCTTCGTGGTTGTTTTCTTCTTGTAGCTTCGTTTCAGAGCGTCGGTGGATCTCTCTCCTCGTGGTAGTATATCGTTCCCGGCAGATGCGAAAAGATGAAACAAGATAGCGACGATCTTCAAAACAAAGATTAAAGTCCGCACAATTCAAAACAGCAGCACACGAGCTGTCGTCGATGTGTCGAGTGGTACGACTCAGAGGCCACGACGAAAAGTGCGATCCAAACACTCCCTCTCTCCTTTCCCAGCCGGGGTCGTGAGGAGCAAACGCATTGATAACGACGAAACGAGGCGAGGCAACCCCTTTCATACCATGCTCACTCTACTCAACCCATCAAATCTTGCTGTCCTTGCCAAAGCGCAATCGTGGCATACCAAGGAGCTTCGTAGCTGTGCATCCTGGTGCTGTCTGCCCAAGTCAATCTGGGGTCTGAGTCGGGGAAGCTTGTTGACATGACACGGGGGACAGCAAAGCATCTCCATTGCGACAGCTTGGGGTGGACGTGAAGGCCGCGTGGAAATTTTCTCAGCGTGCGGAGTGCTCGAGATATCTTGCTTGTATGTGTGCGCTGGACGTGTGAAGTGTATGTATCGTTGTGGCGAAGTTGTTTCAAAGCGATGCGGGTTTTGGGGAGGTGAGGTCGCTGCGAACCCCTGTCAACTCTATGCTCCAGTCCTCTCATATAATCTTTATTGCCGACAGGCTGTCCCGGTAACCGCACGGATGGCCATGTCCAGAAAGAGATAAAGGTGGTATAGTGAAGAGACTCCTCTCACGAACGGCTTCAACCTACGCAGAACGAAACGGAAACGAAGTCAGCATCCACTTTTCGCACATTGAACTTACCAAACATCTGAAGCGCCCACCGCACGAGTGCAAAAGTGGATGTTCCTTGGTGGGCAGCAGAATAAAGTCGAAGTAAATTCCTGGGAGCATTGAAAGTTTGGCTGGAGTACTACTTCCTCCTTGATCTCAACAAGCAGTCTCCACATCAGGCCAGCACGAGCAACGGATGGTTCAGGAACGATCATCCAGCAAAGGCTCGTCCAGGTCGTCGCCGTCAGCAACCTGGGATTCATGCGCAAGGGCTGGGCATTTCCTCCAAGACGACAATCGGACGCGGACCGAGCCTCAGAGTTGGCATGCATCGAGCCACCGGATCAGAAAGGCTTTTGGGGGTGATGCCCTCACCCGAGTCTTTGGGAAACCTCATTACCACCCGCTCGCGGCCGCTTCTTGTTATAGCATCGTGAGAAGGATATATACGCCATCCCCGCGTGGTCGTACAGCCATTGAAAATTGGAGACGGAAGTCAAGAGCGGGCATCGAGATTGAAAAGTCCTATTTTCGTTGTCGATTGGAAAGCTGTCCTTCGAAGGAAAGCGTCATTGGAGTAGTCGTTGCTCGGCACACGGGAAAAGTGCGTTCCTCTGAAACGCTTCGATAGCCTCAGGAGTATGAAGGGATGTCAAAGACCAAAGCATCCGGGACCTTCTCACCAATTCAACCTCCCTCCCCATCCACCAGCCACTTCCCTAACAAGTGCCTCTCTCACCAGCTTGACCACCATCTTTGCATCCGGATCCTCGATCCCACCCATCCCGACGAGCCCCTGCCTCCAATCCCACGCCCGCTCAAGCTTAGCCTGCTTCTTGCCCTTCTGCGACCTCGTCATCAACTCCGTACTACTGATAGCGAGAAGGTCCCAACTGCTACCACCAAGCTCGCTGCGTGACTTCTTCAGGATGCCGGAGGCGGTGCTCGTCTCGTCCATGTAGGCGTTCAGGCTCGAGGCGAGTAAGCTGTCGGCGTTCTCGCGGATTCGAGAGGGCGAGGCGGAGAAGTCTTCTACGACAGCGAGGAGGGCGAAGACTTGTTCTTGGGTGAAGATGCGTTGGTCTTGCCCTAGAAGTGGTAGTGCTTCACCGAGTAGCGTGAGTAGGCCATCTGCCGGAATCACGGACTCGATGTCAGGATCGAAGAGACCGCCAGAGATACAGTCTGCTGCGCTTCTGATGACCGCTACGAGCGACGATGCCGCTGCTCGTCGCCGCTCGAGTGACTTCAGAGGTCTGCCCATCGGTGTCCTGATAGTAGCGTAGACGTCCTGGTCTCGCAAGTCGTAGAACTTGCGAAGTGTTGCGTAACCACTCAATTGTGAAGACAGAAGTGAAGCCGCGTCGAGGTCGGTCCGAGACAGTTCCTTTAGCGCTGGGCGGTCCACGCCCAAGAGACCTTCGAGCTTAGTATCAAGCAATGCTTCGGCAGGCATCGCAGCTGAATGAAGTAGACACAGCTCCACGAGAAGGGAGACTGTTGACTTCAGCTTCGACTCTGCGTGCGCTCGGGCGTAGTAAATCAAAGCAGAGCCGTACGCCTTCGAGCCTTGCTCTGCAAGAGAGTCGGCGAAGCGCTGTTGTGGTGATTAGCAACGTGACATCTATCAACGGGATTGAAAACTCACCTCAGCTATACCTCTCCGCTGCTCTGTCTGCCCAAGCTCATCGCACACTTGCAACACTTTGTCGACTCTCGCCTCCTCTGTCAGCTCCAGGCGATCGAGAAGCTCGCCAATCTTCTTGCCTGCATCCTGGCTCTGTTCCAACCGATTCAGCACAGCGACCGCAAGCTCCCAGCCTTCTCTGTCTCCAACTTGCTGCTTCCTCGACAGCAAATCGGCATACTGGCTGAGCACCTCGTCTGGATCCGTGCCATCCTGTACTGTTTGATTTGACGGGCCAGTCGAGAGTAGCATGAGATCTTCTCTAGAGAACCCAGCATCGAACAGACCGCCTCTGCTCATAGGGCGATTCGAGGGCAACCATTTGCCGAAGTATGCGAGCTCGACGACGGAGACTGTGACTGGCATGCTCCATGTACGCAGAATGCTTATCACAGCTCCGACGCTATCTTCAAGTACACATGCTGTAGCAACCTCCACCAGGTCCATTGTGTTGACCGTGAAGACAGTATCTTCAGGATCCTCGGTCACTCGTGCAAAGGCGTCAGCGAGTCTCCTCCTGTAGGCCTCCAGTGGTGTGATATCGACATCGCGAGGTTTCTGCGTCGTACTCTTGCGGATGCTGCTCTTATTCAGGCTCGTGTCCAAGCCTTCTTGGTTCGACCCATCCCACCAGACCGCCAGATAGATCGTGCCTTCCAACCAGTCCTGGGCAGTCATCAAGATCTCCTCTGACTGACCCAGAAGTATCCCGTACAACAGCTTCAAATTCTCGTACACGTTCCAAGGGACTTTGCTCGAAGCCATCCTGCTCGCAGTCGAAAGGTTCATATCACTCTGCCCCAAGCTCTTCGTGAACAGCCGCTGCTCCGACTGCTGAAAGTTCGATCCGTCTCCTTCCGCAAAGTCCTCCAAATCAGCCAACTTGGCACCAGCTCGCTGGCGGAAGATCGTCCAGTCCATGCCTTTCCCATCCCAGTCATCGTACTTGTAGCCGGGACAACTCTCCAACACCTCCAGGACATCTCTTACCGCCAGCTCAATATTGTAGACTTGTTGATCGTTGTACTCCTGATCTCGCCTCTCATCTTCCCTCGCAGTCGCAGCATATCGCCAGCCAGCATCTTTTAGCAACCGGATCGCCTGTCTTAGCTTGCCGCGCAAGAGACTGGCGAAGACAATGTCCCAGAAGGACTCGTGTGCAGACGGCGAGGGTGAGTTCTGGAAGATGTTGTCGAAGTCATCGGGGAAGGGAACGTGGTAGGTTTCAAGCCAGTCGATGAGCGCTCGCGGTACCGGGACTGCACTCGACGATGCAGTATCGAGCGGTGTCGATCGGGCCTGCCGAGCCAGAGCCTTGCTGGCCTTGCTACTGTGAGGATGATGAAGCTGAAGCAGGAGATTGGCGACATAATTCGCCTTGCTAAAGCCATCACTCGCATCAGGCCCAATACCCCCAGACTTGGTCTCAATCTTCGCCTCCTGCCTCCACAGCTTGGTGAGCTGCGCAGCAGTATCCGTCAAGATGACTTCTCGCTGTGCCGGCTGTCGCTGCAACCTCGACCCCAGATCACCAACAATACGCTCGCTCTGCACAACGATTATATCCGTCTCCTTGAGCTCTGCCGGCTTTCGTCCACCCGTCATGCCCCTCGCAATCTTCGCCGTAGGCCTGTCGCGCGTATCTTCCTCCAGACTTCTCTTCACGCCGCGTGATCTCGGTGCTGGGAGGGAGCTCTTCATCGTGCTGTATGCGCCGGCGTCCATGAGCAGATCCATTGTGTCGTCTACCTCGCCCTCAGCGTCCTCCTCACCATACTGATCAAAGTCGTAGTCGTCGTCATCCTGATCAGGTACCTCGAAGCTGGCAGTCTTCTTCCCAAAGGTATTGTTCGCGGCATTGAAAGACGAACGCGGCGGCTGGCCATCAGGCGTCGTGGACCTCTGCGTCAGCCATGAAGGCGGAGGGCCAGCCGGGGTAGTCGAGGGGATGTTACTACGTATCGAACGTGAGTTGGGTGTGGTCGGCATCATGGCTCAGCTGATCTTGGTTGTGTTTCGCATGTGCTGTCGTGGTTGCCCGGTTGTTTGGCGTGTGAAGTCGCGGTTTAGACTTTACCAAGCTCCAGGAACGCTGCTTCCCTGAATGCTTGGCGGGCCGACGCGCCGACGACACGCGCGTGAATGCTCGCTTCTGCTGACACTCACCTTGAGGACCACTCACCCAAGCCAGTAAACTGGCCCGCGATCCTTGTACCAGCCGCTTCAGCCTCACGACAATCTCACGACGTAGGCGGTGGACCCACGATGCCCTTGTAGAACTGTCGGCCTTATTTAATAGTGTACAAAGACAGCAGTGCCCAGGTTTGAGCCCACGTCTTCTCCCTCAATATCCATTTCCTCCCACGCCCAAGTCAAGATGCCTCTTCCCGCAGAATCCCACATCCCCATCCCAACTAAAGATATCCTCTCCTGGTGCTACGAGAAGAGACATTTCTACGACCAAGACAAACCTGTACAATAATTCCCACCACCCTTATTCTGATCCCACATGCTGAACAACCCGCAAAGATTTACATCGACACAGCAACCGACGAATCCATCTCCGCCTCCCAAGCCTACACTACAATCCGCAAATTAATCGCGGGTTGGCGAGCCCTGGGTCTCAAGAAAGGAGACGGTGTAGCAATCCACTCGTTCAACCACGTACGCTCAAACATGCCCATCCCCTCCAACCCCCTTCCCCAGGCCCACGTCCAGTATCTGAACACAACCACCACAGCTCTTCTACCCCCTCCTCGTGCAATCCATCCTCGGCGCCGGCGGAATCTTCCTAGGCACAAACCCAAGCTACACTTCCTACGAACTAACCCACGCCCTCGCCACATCGCACACGAAATTCCTCCTCGCGGCCCCAGACCTCCTGTCCGCGCCCAAGAACGCCGCCAAAACCGTCGGCATCCCAGACGACAAGATCCTCATCTTCGCGGATGCAGATCATTCAGGCCACAGGTCCTGGCGCACCCTCTTCAACCACGGGGAGGAAGATTGGGTCTCTTTTGACGATGAGGAGACTTCGAGGAACACGACGGCGTTCTTGATGTTCTCCTCCGGCACCACGGGTCTTCCCAAAGCGGCGGAAGTCAGCCATTACAACCTCATAGCGCAGCACACCCTCGTGCACGAGAACCCCGCCCATGCAACGCCTTTCCAGATGTCCTCGTTACAATCCCTCCCTTTCTTCCACGCAGCCGCCGCGCCGTACACCCACGTCTCGACCCTCCGATCCGGCTTCCCCTCGCATATTATGCGGCGCTTCGAGCCCTGGGCGTACCTCGACGCCGTGGCCAAGTATCGCACCACGCGGATAATGGTCGTCCCGCCGATGGTCATCGCTCTGCTGAATTGCGCTCTCGTCGACGAAGCCCGCGTGAGGAAGTCCCTCTCCAGTGTCCGTCAGGCTGTAGCGGGCGCTGCACCTCTATCGGCAGAGACGCAGGCCCGTTTGCAAGCCCTCCTGCCGAAAGACACGCCATTCACCCAAATCTGGGCTATGACCGAAACGTCCTGCGTGGCGTCGTATTTCTACCCACCCGAAAACGACGATACAGGTTCCGTGGGGCGGTTCATGCCTTCGCTGGACGTCAAGCTCGTCGACGTGGATGGTTCAGACGTCGAAGTCGGGCCGTACGACACTCGTGGCGAGATATGTATCCGTGGACCGACAGTGATTCGCGGCTATCTCGATAATCCCGCCGCGAACGCAGAGTCCTGGGATAAAGATGGCTTCTTCCACACGGGAGATATTGCTGTCTGTGATGGGAAGACGAAGCTGTGGTATATTGTCGATCGGAAGAAAGAGTTGATCAAAGTCCGAGGGTTTCAGTGCGCTCCCGCGGAAATCGAGGGGGTGTTACTGCAGCATCCTGCAGTTGCTGATGTTGCGGTTATTGGTGTGGATGGAGATGCATCGGGGGAGTTGCCGAGGGCTTTTGTGGTGAGGAGGAAGGGGATAGAGTTGAGTGGAGGGGATGTCAAGGGGTGGGTGAAGGAGAGGTTGGCGGGATATAAGCAGTTGGAGGGCGGCGTGAGGTTTGTAGAGCAGATTCCGAAGAATGCGAGTGGGAAGATTCTGAAGAGGGTGGTGAGGGAGTGGGTCAAGAGGGAGGGGGCGGCGAAGTTGTGAATCGTATGTCGTGAAATGCATCTCTATGTTCGAAGCCCAAGTCTTTGGCCTCTAATAGCTAGTCTGCACAGTCCACGAGTCAGCGCAGTGTTCTGAAGAAGTCCATATCGTAAAGCAACAGCAATTCTCGTTCAAACATCAGACAAGAAAATGAGAAGATTGGTTTAAAGCTGGCTTGAAAGCACATCCAACCAGAGACAACAAAGAATCGGCTGAAATCTTATGGCCCCAGCTGCTGTCATCACAGAAAAGGAACTCAAAACGAAATGCAAAAGACTCACCATCTTACAACTCCTTCACCCCCAATGCAAACTTCACATCCTCCTTCAGGCCCTCCATCCCCTCGGTGTGAGTGAAGCCCTTCTTCAACGTCGCCCCGGCGCCCTCGACCACCTCGAACCCCATGTTCGGCCAGTACTGCCCCGTCTCGTTGACGGCATATGTGGCCATGAGACGGCGGGCGCCGAGGGGTTTGATGTAGTCGATCAAGGCACGCAGGAGTTTGGGACTAAGTCCTACACGTCGGTGGATCGGATGCACGCAGACACAGCAGAGCTCCCAGTCTTGGCCTGGTTTGTCCGAGGGCGGGAGGGCGGAGAGATTGGGAACGGTGGCGGGGCTGGGTTCGTCCTCGGGGGTTTCGTCTGCGGTCGTGGTGACGGGTGTTTGGTCGGCGGTTCTCTTCTCGAAAGCAGATTGAGCTTCGTCGAAGTACTCGAGACCGCGGAAAGGCAGAACTCCCGCGCACGCGATGGGTCTGTCGACTAGCAGGACGACGGCTATTACACCATCGGGACCGAGTTCTTCTTTCAATCTTTCGGCGGCTTCTTTCGATCTTTCCGGTAGGCGGTTCCAGGAGGGAGGGAAGACATCGTGATTCTTGGCCTTGAAAGCTTGTTGTATCGTCAAGTGCAGTGCTTTCCACCAGGGTTGCGAAGGCAGCGTGTGGCCCGGAACGATGATGATGTTGGGCTCCGGTGTGCCTGGCACGGCCATGACGGGTTGCGATCCGATTCTTTGGCAGTAGTAGTTGACGCTGAAAAGAGACTTTCGGCGTATGATGGCCTACCTTTACGTGAACTCGCCTATTCAGTACCTGGTATGGTGCTTTTGCCGGAGACAATCCTTCACCTGGACACCGCACTGCATGTCCAAGCATAGTAGAGCGAGTGGTCTGTCTATCACATGTTGTCGCAACTAGCGGGTAGACTCAGGTTGACTCATCACCTCTGGAACCTCGCATTCATCGTCTTCGGGTCTCACGTGGTCGTGGAAAAGGCGGTGCCTGGCGAAAAGGTCGAGCTGCAGGCGAGCGGCGGTTAGCAGCAAACTCTGTCGCCATCAGGTCAGGCCAGCGTCGCGGCCGCGGGAGGACTTCGTATGCGGGCGGGCTGGAAATAGTAGCTGAAGACATCGATGTTCGGTGCACGTCGGTGAGCAGTTGGTATGAAAGTCACGACGACCGATCATCGTAGCTCTGTTCGAGTATTGCGGTTTGGACGTGACGAACGGCCGCGACAGGGATTCATTTAAATCACCCAGGGTCTGATTCTTATCTTGAACGCCCTAACTGCTGCGCGAGCCGTGGGTCGCACGCCGAAGTGACGACAGCAGCCAGCCTCGACGCTGCTTAGCTGAGAGTTGCTGCGACTTTCCGCCTTACTCCGTCACCGAGAACGCGACAGCAAACCGACCAAACCGTCGCTGGTTCCGCCCGCCGAGTTGCGCTGCGTTGCGTGGTGTTCTCGCTGCTGTACATACATATTGTGGCTATCATGCCAATCCTGCCCCGAGATCCTGCCTGACGTACGTCGTTGTTCGTTCGTTGGAGGATTGAGAGTATACCCAACTTATTAGCGGGGCTGGGAAGGCGGCTTTGTTGAGTGAGCCTTTCAACGCATTCTCTTCTCGTCATTCTGGACTTATACTGCACGAGGCAGTCCTCGACGAACGATACCGCGCCGCCAGACGAGGTGTTGGTTGCCCTCGGGCTGCAGCAAACATGTCGAATCCAACCATGTGGGAGAAGGTGAAGGTGGGATCGAAGAGCGGTTTTGACAAGACGTGGAAGGCACTGGATAAACTGGGAGGGCCAGTCAACCGCCTGAGCAACAAACTCGGCAGCGAAGCCTTCTGGCCGACGACATTGGACAAGGAAAGCGACAAGGCTGCGCGGATCTTGAAGAGCTTCTGCAAAGACGGCTTCTACGCCGAGGAGGACAGATACGATGCGCCGCAAGATGGGCCCAAGCAGAAACAGAAGGTCGTCAAGAAGATTCCTGCAGATGTTATTAAGAATGCAAAAGGTCTGGCTATCTTCACAACTATGCGCACCGGTCTTTGGATCTCGGGTGCTGGTGGGTCTGGCATTTTGGTCGCAAGGACTGCTGATGGCTCGTGGAGTCCACCATCAGGCATCCTGCTTCATACGGCTGGACTGGGCTTCCTGGTCGGCGTAGACATCTACGACTGCGTGATCGTCATGAACACCGAGGAGGCAGTCCAAGCCTTCACCAAAGTACGATGCACCTTGGGAAGTGAAATCAGTGTAGCAGCAGGACCTGTCGGTGCAGGTGGTGTCATGGACACTGAAGTCCACAAACGACAAGCCCCCATCTTCACCTACCTCAAAAGCCGCGGCTTTTACGCCGGCGTGCAAATCGACGGTTCCGTCATCATCGAACGCTTCGACGAAAACGAGCGCTTCTACGGCCAAAAGATCTCCGTGCAGGATATCCTCGCGGGTAAAGCTCGCCATCCACCCTACGAGGTCAAACGCCTCATGGAGACCATCAAAGCTGCCCAAGGAGACACCAACTTCGACGCCAGCATGATCCCCACCGAAGCCCCACCTTCCGACTTCGACGTCGAGAAGGGAACGTTTGGAGTCCCAGACAAAGAAGACCCAGACCCGTACGGCGTTCTCGCCCTCGAAAAAGAGGGCATGAGCTTAAAAGAAGCAGGCACCAAAAAGCGGGCTAGCTGGGAGGAGTTCACATTCAACCCGGCGCCAACCTCGCCCGTGCACAGCATCTATGCGCGGCAGAGCCAGGACTTCGCAGGTGGAGTGAGGAGGAATAGCTGGCGATCGAGTGCTTTCGCAAACACAGAGCCCAAGACACCGAGTTCGTTGCGGAATAGCATGGATCAGGTGCGCTCGCCGAGTTTGATGGTCGACTCGGCCACGCAGACAGAGTTGAACGCTGAGTTGGCCGCACAGTCACCCCACCGGAGGAGCATGCACAGTCTGAACGGCAGCAGTAGACACGGCAGCCAGAGCAGCATCGACAAGACTCATCTGCACATGCAGAACGTGCCGGAGAACGACGTCCTCAAGACCGCGGAACATGCGAATGGGTATACCACGCCCCCTCGCACCCCACCCGCTTCTCACGATACGCACGATCACGTCGACGACGAGCACGACGAGGAGGTCCACATCGTCGAGCCAGCGACTATGCATTCCGTCCAATCCGTCCAACCCGCCCAACAAGTCATCTCCCGCGCCAAACTCGTCGACGTACCGAAGCGAATCCCGCCAAAACTCCCTCCACGAAACCCCGGCCGAAACCTCAACGCTCCCGTCGTCGTAGACGCTTCCCCCAAGGAAGGCACTTCACCGCAAGACGCCTCGCCCGAACGACCAATCTCCACCGAGCCAGAAGTCAAACCCGTCGAAGAAGCCGAACCAGCACCGATCCAACTCATCGACGGGGAGGAGAAGAAGACCGAGACCGAAAAGACCGCCGAGCCCACCGTTGCCGACAAACTCGAGGACATTAAACTCGACGACGACGAAGAAGACGAGGACGAGAAAGGCCGTCCGGATCCCTGGGCGAAAGTCGAGGAGGCGAAGAAGTTGGAGCTGGAGTATCAGCAGTTGAAGGATGAGAGTGGGGAGCATAATGCGGCGAAGATGCCGGGTGGGTTTGATTGATTGACAGAAGAGGAGGGGGAAAGAGAAGGGAGGATATGAGCCGATCTGATGTTTGTTGATGCTGATGCTGTTGTTTTCTTGCGCATACGCCTTTATGAAGTTGACGAAAAACGGGAATGGGATGGAACGGAACGGAACGAAAAACTCAGAGGGGTCTTGATGTGCCTACCTGACCCTCTTGTGCATAGTAATCGTGGTTTGATGTTTGAGTTCTACTTCTAAATGTGACATGGTGGTGGTGGTAGTGTGGTGAAGAAGAGGACAGGAAACGAACCAGATAGACGACAGAAAGGAAACAAGACTTGTGTGTGCTTACCTCGACCGCTCGTCTCTCTCTCACTTACCTCCTTCTTCCCTTTTACTTGTTGCGTGTCGGTGAACGGTAGATGACGCCTCGCATCATACGAACAGATACCGACAGGACTTGTTTGTGCTCACATTGACCGTTCGTGTCTCTCTCTTACCGCCTTCTCCCCTTCGAACTCGTTGCGTGTGAATGAATGGCACGGGGCGATTGATAACGCCTCACCTCTCACGAAGAGAAAACTTCCAGGAGCAGATTCGAGAGGTCAGGCAAGTGGAACCTCCCTATGATTCACAATCTGTCCGATCACTCTGGAGCACGACTCAGAGCTCGATAGGGCTTCCAAATACGCGGACAAAGGACAGTTCCATGCCTGCCACTTCGGGGCGGACCAGTAAGGGGAGTCTCCAGCGCAACGCTTGCTTCGGAAGCCAGCCTTCACATGTTCATCGGCACTTGCATGCGGTGCCGCTCATCAGAAGCCCACTGGAGGTAGGATCTGTGACATCGTGACGTTGCTCATCATGTACAATGCGTGTGACCGGGTTCTGAGGTCCTGGAAAATGGTATGGGATCCACTTAGGGCCGCGCCATATGCGGATGCTGCTTTCACGATCTTGAGATCTGATGGTGGGTATGGGACACTCCAGCTGGTGATGATCTGGTCGATATCCAGTCGGTGAGGTGGCAGTGAGGCAGTGCACATGTACATGCACATGGGCATGGACAAGGACATGGCACTCACTCATCAGATGCCGGCAATAGTGCGGGTCCTTTCGTCTGAACGCTATCCTCGTTAGGAAGGAGCAGCGGATAAGCAGATCCAGACACCAGGTCCATGTACGTCAAAAAGCTACCTGTCAAGCTGTCAACCAGGCCACCGGTGCAGATCTGCGTCGAGAGAGGCAAGCCAAGGCTGTCAACGTATTCCTTGAAATCCTGCGATCATAGACCTGTGGCGAGCAATAGGGTTTTACCCAGGTGGTGTAGTCTCGACCGTCGAGCTATGTGCATAGGCTCTTGCTTGAGTCTGCTCATTGGCCGAGGTATTTGCGTTGTTGAGCGAGTGCATACGTACAAATGATTAGCTTTTCGGAATTTGCTCCGTAGTCTTCCTTAACGTACGTCTGTTATAGGAGTTGGGAGGTAGCCTCCGTGCAGATCCAACCAAACCGGTGTAGTGCGTTTGTCGATATTCCTGTAGGCGTGGGAACTTGAAAAGAGCCGCGAGAGCCTATGCGATCTTGGTTGCGGGAGCACGTCCGTCCCTCGTGTCGGGCGACTCGTCGACCTCCCCGATTTTGTATAGTCCTGTGACTTTTGGTACATGCGGTATGCGTCCACCAAAGGTAGGTTGGTGCATGCATCGTTCCAATCCCTGTTCGCTGGTTTCCCCAACCGAAGTTCGATCTTGACACAAGGCTTGAGTATGCTTGGGCTCTCGATTAACTTCTGGAGCCTATCTTCCTGTTTATTACTCATTCCCCGAGCGACTTGCTGTTCAGTGTTGCTCTGAAGAGACATCCTCGGCAGAGCCCAAGGCAAGGTATTTGGGAGAACGCGAAGAGGCTTGGTCAAGCCGGTCAGGTCCGAAAGACGAACCGTCGTCATTTTTGGTCGTGTATCGAGGGTGCATAGACAGAGTTGATGAAGTCGCTACGACTTGGCAGCTGGGTGACGTTCCCACCCTCTCTCAACCCCTTCCGCCAGAGATGTACGCGCTCAACACATGTCGCCGATCGTTAATTTTGAGTTCACTGAGAGCGCGCCACCAAGTAGGATCCGGTGAAAGTGCCGCCCGGGCAGCAATACTTATGATGTTCCAACTCCAGTCGAACGGCAAAAGTCAAGGATCGTTTCTGCCGTCGGCGTGGTTCGCGGGAAAGCTGCGTGAGGAGGCTGAGTCGCTGTATTGTCTGCGATTGGAAGAGCTTGCGAGTAGCCACGAGCTTCACATTCACGAGACGTCGCGCCTGGGAAGTTTCAGAGCGTGGTGGCAACGGCAGGCTTCGTATGCCACGTGCTACTACTTATATCCGGCAGAGCAGTCCCACGGGACACCCTCCGATCGTTACACGATCTTTTGGGGTCCTCCATGTCCGTGATCTGGCAGAGGCTTTTGGCTCGCGAGTCATTTTGCCGTGCGGTAATCCTCAACAGTATGCTTATCAGCCATAGGGCACAAGGTCCTTCCCTGATGTCTCATGTCCAGCAGGCATTCGTGTTGGACGATTTTGAACCACTCGCGGCGTTGGCAGACGGATGGCGGTGTCCAGTGATGTGTCCCAGTCGCTGGCAAGGCGGTAGGGCAAGGTGCAAGTGTGCAATTCATGGCCGAGACGTATTCATCCCTTTGAGCTGAGCGCAACGGCCGCGTTTGCCACGACGACGACGACGAAGAAGGAGAAGAATGAGCATTACTTGATTAGAGATTTGCCCTGCCGGAGTTGCGACCAGCAGGAGTGACAGGAGGCAGCTGTAGACGGCTTGCTGCAGGTCAGCGGCGGAGGCGATTGTTCTGCCACTGATGATACTCCATCCTGGCTGACACTGCCGATGCTTGCGTGTTCTCGTTCCTGGTTTCGATTTCAGTGCTGATGGTGCGAAAGATGGCAATTGCGGCTAATAATGAATGCTCAATCGTTTGTGAAGTGAGACGTTCAAGCGGGAGTCGTGATGGGATGCAGAAGGTGCAATTTTGGCTTTCGCGAGAGACGGGTGGGATGCGCTAGCATCACGGCCCGGTCCTTTCGTCCACTACACTTCTTCTTCTTCGTGACCACGTACCTTGCCGCCCACCTGCATCTCGCGGGGGACCTCCACTTCATCAGTACGTCTTGCTCATCAGTCTGCACGCCTACACCTCCGAATGGATGCTCAGCCTCAAGTTCTCTCGGGTGGAGGATACGGCTGTATGCAGACGCGGGAAAGTTGCCTGCTCCAGACAAGCCTACATGCCGTGGTACAAGGACGTCCCGCGCCGTGGCTGGTTGCTGGGCGTGACTGTGAAGCTGTGAAGCTGTGAAGCTGTGAAGAGTACGTTTCAGTGGGTCTGAGTACCTGCACAACTACGCCATAGTTCGTCAAAGCCGCCGAGTTCTCCACCATCTGAATCGAAACAAGCGGATTGGACTGCCCAGGATTGGAAGTTACTCGTCGCACGGCCGACCTGGTGTTTGAAAGCTGAAAACCTCCGAGAGCGAGGAAGGTATTCCTGGAAATGTGAACCAACCCCCGGCAGACGTTGTGCGACCTTTGGTGGTTTCTGACGAGGACATGTTCAAGAGCGATGAGCTTATTAGCAACCAGCCGCATCGTTCAGACGCAATCAACCGTCATGCTCGGCTATAAACGCAGGAATTATATGCTCAAACAAGCGTCAGGACTTGGTGACATTCTTCACTGCGTTGTAAGTGAATTGCTGAAGCCTGAGAGGTCTGTCAGACCCCGGATCCGAGTAGGTCCGAAACTCTCAACGAAGTGGGGATAAAACCGCGCCTCATGCGGCTGTTGATATTGTAGCCTCGAATCGTTGCGGTCGACATGATGGATGCATGAGAATCCAACCACATGCAATGCACAACTCAGCGCAACATCGAACTTTCCCAGCTGCCCGAGATTGGCAAGAGATATTCACCGCGTGTTGCCTTCCGGGTGGAAATATCTCGCTTCTCCTGCCCAGTGCGAAGCGAGCTAGACAGCCACGATCAGACCCCATGCTCATTGTGCAGGTCGCCTTGCAGAGCGTGGCGAAGTGCCTTTCGCCTAACCCGGTATGTGGATGAGCTTCGAGGGATTGCCCTTCTATCGCGACGCGGCAAAGCTGCGAGTGAGCGGCTTGACTAACGAATCTACGTCCTGTGATTGTCCGCTCCTACGACGCTTGTCAACGTTCAGCCATCCACATTCGACGCCCTACACACACGTTCCCTACTCCGACAAGCCATATGCGACTTGTTCCATGGTGGAAGACGCCGTCTAATTCCGCGCCAGGGTTTGAGCACTGTGTGCCCCTACTGGTCTGCCCTTCAAGAAGGTTCTGTCCATCCTGCCAAGTGCGCACAACAGCATCTGCGCACTCGATTCACGCCAACGATGACGATCTCGACACAGTCAGCCAGGTTGTACAAGCCATGCGACCATCCTTGCCGCTACCGAACATGTGCCACTGTATTACCAGGCGGTATGAAGTGCACCGCAATCTGTATAGGAAAGGATTCTCGAAAGCTCTATGAGCTCTTAGGGAACAGACACGAGCGCGGGCTGCGTTGGAACTAATCGTTTGCGGATAGAATATCATGGCCAAGTGCATAAAAGCTGGCGTCGAGCGTGGACCCACGGGCAAAGATATATGTGCCGTGGGAGAAGCAATCATCCGGATATCAAAGCAAAAGTGGACCGCTTGGTAAATTGCTAGCGAAGAAGACGCAAAGGGCTGCCAAGAGGGAGTCGTTCGTGACATTGATCAAAACCCCCTCGCTCGCTCGCCTGCCCATACCCATGCCAGATCATCATGGCCTTTCCTTACCCTTCTCGCCTCCTGGTGGCCTGTCAAGACAAGGCTTTCCATACCGCTGGGTCTTACAGACTGGCCTCACGCTGCTTCGTTGCGAGGAACTCCCTACAGTCACGATCCCATGCCATACAAGCCGGTATCGTCGATCGCGCCAGTGATCAGTCGTTCATACCCCCAGGCTTCCTCCCATCAAAGCCTCCACCTCCTTCCATCACATACCGTCATCACCACACAAACACCCCTTACTGGCAACACATTGGCATATGGCGAGCTGTGTCAGAAGAGGAATTTCTTAGCTACAGATGGCAGGTAAGTCACTGGTCGTGAATCTCGATTTGATGCTGTTGACAATGAGCGTACAGGTAGCGAACACGATCGATAGGAAGGACAAACTACTAAGATTCCTTGCTGGAGTCCTTCCTGAGCGAACCCCACAGCCTCCTGGGATAGAGAGCAGTCTCGAAGGCATCAAGACGCGCGACGACTTCATTGCCGATGTCGAGGCAGGCATCAAAGCGGCGCCGATGGCCGTTCGACTGACACCACATATCCTGAGTGTTGCAGACTGGAGCAATCCCCTGGTCGATCCGATTCGACGCCAGTTTGTACCACTCCAGTCAACACGGCGTCCGGACCATGAAGCACTCTCTTTCGATTCGCTGCATGAGACGGCCGACTCTCCTGTCCCTGGACTCGTCCATCGTTATCCGGATAAAGTGCTGTTCCTCGGTGAGAGTTGCACCTTCATTTACTTTTCGTCGACTGACACGTTCCAGCAACCTCCGTCTGTCCCGTCTACTGTCGGTTCTGCACGCGTTCCTACGCGGTCGGCAGCAACACCGAATCCGTGACCAAAGCCTCTCAACGACCAACACGCAAACGATGGGAAGCAATGTTCGAGTACATCGAACAGAACCCCGAAATCCAAGACGTAGTCGTCTCAGGAGGCGACTCGTACTACCTCCAACCCGAGCAACTTCGCCTCATAGGAGAACGCCTCCTCTCCATCCCACAAATCCAACGTTTCCGCTTCGCAACCAAAGGCCTCGCCGTCTGCCCCATGCGCATCCTCGACAACTCCGACGCGTGGTCCGAGACTTTCATCGCGCTGAGCGACCAAGGCCGCCAGATGGGTAAGCAAGTCGCGATGCACACGCACTTCAACCATCCACGCGAAATCACCTGGGCGACCACCATGGCTGCCAAATACCTCTTCTCGCGCGGCGTGACCGTCCGCAATCAGACAGTCCTGCTCCGCGGCGTCAACGACGACGTGCCCACCATGTCCCTCCTCATTCGCAAACTCGCGGACCTCAACATCACCCCTTACTACGTCTACCAATCCGACCTGATCCGCGGCGTGGAAGACCTTCGCACGCCTCTGTCCACGATCTTACGGTTGGAGAAGCATCTTCGCGGGACGATTGCAGGGTTCATGATGCCATCGTTCGTCGTCGATTTGCCCGGCGGAGGCGGCAAGCGGTTGGCGAATAGCTTCGAGTCGTACGATGAGGAGACGGGGCTGAGTACGTGGAAGGCGCCTGGTGTCGCTGGGGATGAGGTTTTCACTTACCATGATCCCGTCAAGGACTAGAGATTTTGAGTGAAAGAACATGCCTTGCATGGTGGTGATCTGGTGACAGTACCCTGGGAGGGCAATGCTGGGAAGGAGTTGAAGGATTCTGACGAATAGGCATGAAACGACAGTGCGTGGCGCCGACACACTAAGATGGGTAGGTTTCATCAACAAACAGTACTGCCCGTCGGCGTGGGATGGTCGATTTCCAAGGACAGAAACCGAACGAGCAGCATTTTCGGATCGTCTTCAGTTTGGGAGGTATGTGGGTTGTTGAGTTGATTTAGCAGAGCATCCATACTTATGATGAGATACGAACACAACGAGATTGAACGTGGCGGTGTATGAGCACTTCCCACTGGTCATTGGTCTGTTCTGTTCAATCTGACTTTCTATGCCCGGGCAGCAATCGAAGATTTAAGATACAATAAGGCTGGGGCCGCAGAGCCGCGACAGGGAGGTCTCCACCGTATCATGATCGTCTTCGGAACAAAATGTATGTATTGAGCATGGACAACCTCTGGGTGGTTTGGTATTCGATCGCGATTTGTCAAACGTCACCTCCAACTTTCCCACAACCAAAAGACAGGGATCAGGCAAGAAAGAGGCAACGAGTACAGCGAACTCAATTATGCCGTTCTATCCTCGTGGAAGCCCAACCACTATATCCAACTCCAAGAAACTTAACCAGCGAGCAAATCCAGCTCTTCGTGCCCAAAATACGAGACATCAAACTTCACCACTCCCAACCCTCCGACTCAGAATGAGCAGCTCACGATAGCTCTCGAAGACATAATTGCCTGTCCAATTTCATTAGCCACGTGCACCCTGAACAAGAAGAAAAGCTTGTCCAAGAACCCTTTGCCCCAAAACGGAGCTTGCAGGTCCCGTCGAAGTTTGGTTCACAAACTCACCTAGCTGAACCTTGAAAGGAATCGACACCGAGGCGACATTCTGCTCGGAATTCGGCAAGTTCTCTTGCGACGTCGATGGGGAGGCGATGTCCTTTTGGTAGATGTCGACGGTCGAGGTCCCGGGTGGGAGGGGCTTCTTGGAGAGTTTGAGGGTTTTGGCGTCTGTGTTTCAATATCACATGTCAGTCACAACTACAGCGCTCTCCTTTTCTCGAAGTTTTTCGGGTCTCTGTACGTACGCTCTCGAAGGATGTCTTCCAGCACCCCATGCGTAATCACCTCCAATGCCTTGCCTCCTGGCAAAACACTCGTTCCATCCGCGTGGTGATGGTACACGAGAACTTTCTTGTCTTCCTGCATGGCGAGATATGCTTGACCGGGTGAGATGCGACGTACACGGCGGGAGATGGTCCGGCTTAAACGGCGGGTTGTGTTGCGGATGCCGTCGTACAAAGAAGTGTGGTCGTCGCTGCTGAGACGGCCGCAAATGGATGTGCGTCGGCGGGCTTTGTTCGAGGTGCTGTTGAAGAGGTAGTTGAAGGCTGTTTTAAGCCAGGTGAATAAAGAGAAGGCCATTGTTTGTGGGGGGCTGCTTTGTGTGATTCGGATAGCATATGATTCCGCGGTGCGAGTGAATGGATGCGATTTGTGAATATCTGGAGCGAATGATGATGCTGTTGCGAATGTTTGACGGTATAGTATTGAGGATTGATGTGCAGGATATCTGGAATGGAACGACAAGGTAGGGGTAGTAGCGATCTCATCGATGGCGAAGACGACGCTGTGATTGAAGTCAAGCATCATGGAAAGAGCAAATGGACAATCCTGAGAAAGGTGCATCCATGTGTTCTTTCGCAAATACCAAAGAGCATGAAATGCATGGCCATGAAGTTTTGAGATGGAGACGATGCTTACATTCATCATTACACTGCTTTACCATCAATACCGCCTCGAACGGTTGTCTCGCTCGTCTCGATGCCTGTCGCGGCTGCGACTGCGGTGAGGTCTCCGCTCGCTGCGATATCTGTCGTCTCTTCGATCGCCCTCGTATCGATCACGTCTCTTTGGACTGCGGCTTCTCGAGCGCTGCTTTCGCGCATCTCTCCCATACTCGTCACGGTCGCCCCCTCGCTCCTTTTGTTTCTCCTCGAAGACATAGTCGTAATGTCGGCCGTCACGGTCTCTGCCTCTGTCATCGCGGTATTGCTTCCTCTTCTCCAAGCTGTCAATACCACCGAATCCACCTCGCGACCTCGCAGTCTTTGAATTGGTTGTGTTGCGCCAATCTGCAGAGAGCTTTGAAACACTCTGTGAGAAGTCCACGTGGATGCGGTGATCGTCGATCAGTACGCCTTGCATCTTGAAGTAAGCTCGCTCACAATCCTCCTTGTTCGCAAACTCGATGAAGCCGTACTGCAGACTGTCGCCAGTCTTCTTATCCCTGATAACTTCGCAAGACAGGATCTTGCCAAATCGAGAGAAGATCAGCTCGAGGTCTTCGTCTCGTGTAACCGGGTTCAGTTTGCAAACAAAGAGAATCTGCTCTGGGGGTGTAACATCCGCGAAAGGTAGGTCACCGATGAGCTCCAATGTCAACGCCTGCGCACGGGCCTCTCGCTCTCTTCTGATCTTCTCAAGCTGTTCAGGGTCATTGTTCTCTTCCAGAACCTCATCGTAAGCAATCCGAACTGTTGCGCGCTGCTGCTCCGAAGGCACTGGACTTCCCGGTGGCTCTGCGATGCCAGGTGGATCGTCGATTGGATCTTCCAAAACGACGGTGTGTAATATCCTTATATCTTGAAGAGGTGTCCCTTTCTGATCCACAAATGCAGAGTTAATCTTCTCGAGCGCATCGAAGCCTTCCACAACCTCTCCAAATATGGCTGCTTTGCCATCGAGCTGCTCGATGTTGTCGCCTAGTGTGATTATGAACTGACTACTGGCCACGCGCTCATCTGGATTGGCTTTTGAAGCAGTTGTAGCCATGCTGAGAGTGCCCCGCTCAGTATGCTTTCTCTTGCTGGAGAATTCAGGCCTGAATTTTGCTCTCTCTGGCTTGGCAGCTCGCTTGGTCGCGCCATCTGGCAACGCCCATATCGACGCTCCTCCATCGCTGTCTTTTGATTCGGGGCCAAGTGGGTCGCCGCTCTGGAAGGAGAAGTTCGGCTGGACGTTGTACACGGGCGAGTAGTTGTAGTACTTGATCTTGCAGAGCTTTAGGAAGCTGCACACACGTGACCGAGTCTTAGCATTCTGATCAGCCTTCACAATGCAAGCGCCGTAGCAGCACACGACGGGCGCAAGGGTTGTTGGGGATGGACTCACTTCTCGCAGCACTTGGGCGCTTCCGCCAGGTACAGGTCGACAGTGATATCCCCTGCAGAAGTCTCCAGCAGGACGGACATGGTGGAATGTGAATATGACGGGCGCGAGATGCGCCGTAAATCAAATAGCAAGGCCGCCTGTCACGATGTCTGTGGTGAAGTCGAGGAACCCCCACAGTTCCGTGTTCTTCAGGTGTGCATTTGTGTAACAACTCGGTTCGCGCGTCACCGTGAAAACCAATAGAGTGTACCTACTTCAAGGTCCGCGCCGTCGCGCCGCTCCTCCCGCGGCGGATCCTCCGCATCCCGCGCTCGCCCTTGCTTCCCTGACATCCTGCAAACAGACGACACGCCATGAATCTGAACCGATTATCCAACTTCTCCTCCTTCGCTTAACCCCTGGAGTCTGTGCCGTCCCCCCTCATCCAGCTCAAAGTGGAACACGAATATCACAAGCTCGCGAGCTGTCCAAGCGACCTGAACTACGATCATGGGCGAGGTCGCTCTTAAACGCGGAGAGATGAGCGCGCCATGTGTTCCACTTTGAGCGTGACCAAGAGAGGCCAGTCGACCGCATTAGCCGATGCAAAAACAGATGATGGCAGCACATGCACGTCTGTCTGCCTTCTGTTTGACCTAGACGCCACTACAACAACATCCTGGCCGAAGGATTGGCCTGAGACCATGGCTTGCTCCTGTGGAGGAATTTGATACCTTGCAGGCACACCTTGCCAATTCGATCTTTTCTTTGTTGTCGTCTTGCGGTCTGCCCCTTCCCGCATACCCGGCTGCATCTGGCAAGACCGACCAGAAAGATCAAATGCGGCTCGGAATGCACAATGCAGCACCTGAAACAAGCACGTCACAAAAGATACCAACCACCTTATCACTGCGTCCTTCAACCGATCTTGCCTAAGCCAAGGCCTCGCGGAGTTGAACAATGGCGCATTCAGAGGAAGGCCTATCCATGTCTGCGTACAGCGCATGTTGTACTTTCTACTCTAAGTTTGACAGGTCAGTTACTCCCGCCAATTCTTTCAATTTGAAAACAATCACTGCAGCTGAAGTTCGTCCATTCTCATGACCAAGAACCCGGTCACAGTCACATGACGCTCGGCGGAGCGTTGGTGTGCAACTCTTGCCGACGGGTTCTTGCAGCTTGCGCCCAAAGCACGAGCACAGCAGGACTCTACATCTGCTTTGTGGTTGGCTGCTCTCACCTTGCGCAATATGCCCTGGTCTGGCGCAGATCTGGTCAGGGAAGCCTTGCTATAGAACTGTGCAGGGGCGATTCACCGGCCACCAAAAGATCGTTCCTGGGGGAAGATCGACTGGCAGCGGCATCAATAGCCTTGTCTTGTGCCGCCGGCAGCCTTGACTTACAGCCACACTGGCAAACTGGCTCTGAGAAAGGTCCGAAAAGGGACAGGGGATCGATGGCGCAAGTAAGGGTTGCACGGACATGGCAACCATTCGATCATCCCATTGATTGGTTCCAGATGTGTAAGTAATGGAAAGCCTTCTCTGGCGCTCCGAAAGACCCAACAATCCTTCACATTCGTTAAGACACGGCGTCAATTGCAAGCCACCTACACTAACTCGGTTGTACTTGCACTATACACACGTGGCTGTGCAAGTCTGGCGCTGCCAAACACTGTCGACGACTGCTCTCAAGATTGACAGGCAGCTCACACGGAGCGACATCAGCACGAGCAAGCGCAGTACACTGACAGGAGCCAAGTAGACAACCCCTTTCTCACGAAACCTGTCAAACCTCGAGCCTCTCTATTACGCTTCTGGCTGCCTTTCAGCTGCAATTGAAAGTGACGGCCCTTGTCATCTTCTGTTTCCTCGAACAGCATAAGACCAGTCCAGGTGTGACCGTACCAGGCCAGGCATATTCGCAAACCAGGTCGGGTTACCTGAGCCCTGCCGCGGATCTGCTGAGAGCAGGGGTCGTTTAAGGTATACTGCTGCCGCTATCCATCGCGTTTGACGCCGGTTACCAACAGCTGCTCCAGAAACCTGATGGGAAGAGAGATACAAGTACACTCAGGCCAATCTTAACGGTGCACTGGCCACTGATGATGGCGCAGACGACACTTTAAAACCAATCAGACCCAGTGCATCAGATTCGCGGATCCTGGTCGGCCTGACCGATTGTTTCGCCTGTCCGACGCAAACATTTCTGGCCAGACTCATTTTGATCGCTGCGAGCCTTCAGCGTTTGCTTTCCGCCACCTTGATTCTCTATTCCATGCCCTTCTGACTTCACTGGCCTTTAATCCCCGTGCAGATCTGACAAAAAGCAATCTGGACTCCTAATACTTGCGAACTGCCTTGCTGTTTTGCCACCTGAATCCTGCATTTCGACTTCTCTTGCGATTGGCGGACATCCTCTTTCCTTGTGCTTGTGTGCGGCCGGCAGCCCTCCCTTATGCGCCGGCAGAAATTGATCTTCTTTCTGCAACAAGATGATGATGACCCAGTCTTCCTACTACGGCGGTGACTTCGACTCCTTCTCCCGCTCAAGTCACCGAGCACCCACTGCGGCTCACTACGACCGAGCTGTCCCATACACTCACACTTACTACGAGCCGCCAGACTATCCTGGACGCGCCGGCTCTCGTGCGCTAATCCAGGAGCAAGGCCAGGATAACCAACCTTCTGCACACGCTCGAAGGCGAATTCAAGTAGCCGTGAGTTCGTGGCTGATCTTGGGGTGAATGAGACGCAGGGCTGACATCGCACAGTGCTCCCGATGTAGGAGACGTAAGATCAAATGTACCGGCGATCCTGGAGATGGCAGTGGTTGCTCAGCTTGTCGATCTGCTGGAGCAGACAGGAACACGTGCACATTCATTCGAGTAAGAACACTGACACAACAAGTCGAGCCTCAACTGACAGTTCTTAGGTGGGGAGCCATCCCGTGTCTGGCATAGATCTCATGCCCGCGAGCAGCAGCATGGCAGGAGGCACACCGTCGACAGCCACATACGGCACCGATGTCACGACAAGCGCCTACGATGCTGGCCTGTATCAGACGCACCACCGTCCTTCACTGCCTATGTTACAGACGCGCTCGGCCTACCCTGAGTACGACACCTACAACGCATCACCAGCTGACGATTATACCTACGCATCATCAAGCATACAGCGCCAACCAACATACACAAGCGGCTATGGCGCTGAAAGCTTTCGTCCATGGACGAGTGGGTCCATCTCAGCACCCGTGACATCTGGCAGCATGTACTACGAGCCTGGATCAGCATTCAGTTTTGGCAATCTGCAGGTGCCGGCGATGCCCGCAGGTCGTTTACCGAGTGTCACGGCGGAGGCCTTCTCACCGCTCAACATGGGATCGCTACACTCCTCACTCCCCACGCAAACAGTACAAGAGCGCCGCTTGCCCATGCCGTACACACAGTCGTACGCACAGCCCGCGCATTCAGCGGCAGAAGTCCCCCAAATCCGTTCCCTGGGCTCTGTCTCTGATGGGCGCATGGTGATCAATGGCGTTCACAGCCGTAACAGCATGCCTTGGTCGATGGACAACACCTCTCTCACACCCAGCGCTCGTCACGGCTCCCTGAGCGGTGCATCAGCCGTGCAGTCGCAGCATGGTCTTCCAATGCCAACATCCACAGGTTCAATGACCGAGCCGACCATCTTGGGCTACCAATTCAGCACCTCTTGCACCAGCCCAGAAGTCTCTCCCACCTCAGGCCCGACACTGTCAGAGAGCTTCTCAAGCACGTCGACCGCCGGCTCCATCATGCCACCGCCGGCCCACTTCCGCTACTCCAACCACCACAGCCACAGACATCACAACACAGCGAAGTCCCCTCGCCCATCTTCAGCTCGTGCCGCTGCCGCCAGTCTGTACAGTTTCAGCGCAGGCGTTGACACTACAGACCGAGGCACCACGTCCGACCGACACGGCAGCACCGACGATAGCGTGCTGAGTGCGACTCCACAGCACAACTACATGCCGCCGCTTCGACACCCTCAGCCTCAGCACACCGCGAGTCTGGATGAGTTGCGACGGCGCTCGTCGAATGATGAGCGTGCTACGACTCATCGTATGTCGGTCTCGAACCTCAATGCGAGGTATTGAAAGACCACAACTCGTCGCGACGTCGGCGGGGTTCAATCCACCACCAACCCAACCTCCCTCAACGTTCAGCTTCCATCATCTTCCCAGCCATCAAATCAAAATCCAGCGTTCTGCGCCTGTCACATTAGCTTCGGCGTTCTGCTTTCCACAATCAACTAACTACTCAGGTAGTCATTTTCGGCATTCCATGCATCCAGGGAGAAAACAGCACTACTTTAACGACCAATATCACGAACGAACCGAGAACTATTATAGAAAAAGTCCAACCCGCGAGGGCTGCATCACATCATTCGAGAGAGGGTAGCGAGGGGTGGGGAGTATGAGGAGTGAGGAATTTTCGGGCGTCAAAGACACATTTCGGTTTTTGTTGATTGTTTTCCTTTTTGGGGGATTTTAAGGGGGCGATGGCGAGAACGGCATGCTCAAGAAAAAGCAAATCATCAAGATGTCGGTGCATTCGTGACAAGGGATTCATGGGCAAGAAGGCATCAAACAGGCATGACGATCATGGTAGATAGGCGAGCTCCTTTTTTCGGTTTTTTGTTGTGGGATCGATACCCAGAATCTCTTTGATGGGTTGTAACGGTAGATATAGTCGTAGTGTTCAGAGGAGGGGAGGAAAGATGAGGGAGGGAAAATAGTAGATAGTGATAATGGAAATAAAGCCTTCTTGGCTTGGATTGAATGAGTAGTTATATACGTCTTGGTCTACTTTCGTCATCTCATGATCGTGAAGACGGGACGGAGCAATTCATGTCTACTCCAGCAGAGACACTTGCTCCTTACTATCCTCCTGTCGCGGCAGTGTCACGTCGAGGTTGTTCACTGAAATTGTGATCGTACCCTTTCGTTGTTCAGCGGGCTGCCTCTGAAGTCCCATGTCATCGTCGGTCATGCATTCCGCGTCGTCGGACGAATTGTCCAGGATGATGGCCTTTCGTTTCCCTGACTTTTCCCACTGTACTGTGGGGATTGTGTCTTTGCCGAAGTGCTGGCGGAGGATATGCTGTTTGATATACGCTTTCGTATAGGATCGATGGCAGCGGGGACAAGTAGGGCGCAAAGATACGCTCGTGCCACTTGCAACTGGACGACCCCGGCCCCTTTTCACAGGTACTTCGACCTGCTGATCCACTGCTTGTTTCATATCTTCCCAAGTCTCGAAGGCGCCCTGGTTGGATGTTGCCCTACTCTCCGGACAAAGCGCTTTCCGCTCCAGTTTCTGGTCAGGTCCATTGTCTTGCAGTTCTCGCGGTTGAGGTTCTGTTCCCTGCTCATCTTGACGCATGGGCATGGTGTTCGCCTCGCCGGGCTTCGAGCATTTGGAGCCCTACTCCGGTTGTCGGTTGGTGGTCTCAAAATTCTCAGGCTCGATGTAGCTCCACTCTGGGATCTCGCGGACCTTCTTCCACAGCTCCTTCTCCAGCTTGTTGGCAGCCTTGGCGTAGGGAGTAGTCTCAGCATTGTACCGCTTGCAATTGCGCACGATCAAAAGGACATCTTTGATGAAGTCTTCAACCGTCTCGTATTGGTCCTTCTCCAACTTTGATTCCATAGTGGCCAGATCCATGGGCTCCTTGATGACATCGTAATAGTCGTGCACTTCATCTCCATTGACAGGCACCATGAATGGCCACGCTGCGCTGCTGTTTGACAAGGTCGAATGCAGACTTAGCAGTAAGCTATGCGATGGGTTGCGCCGAGGCTGTCTTGCCAGCAAGTCCATGTCCTCTGACCATCCAGTGGCTTTGATCGCAGCGATGGACATCGGATCGATCTGAGGAAGTGGCTGCCCGGGTTTGCATTTTCTCCATTGGGTAGGCGGTTGATGGATCTCGTAGCTTTTGCTCACTGCCCGAATTTTGGCGTGAACGACCGCCTTTTGCTTCAGCAACAACCTCCCTGACTCGAGATATCTGAGTTTTGGCAGCATGGAACACTGCATGATTGTTCCACCCTCATAGTCCTTGATGTAACCCATCCATTTTGGCTTGTCCAGTGTGATCTCCTTCGTGAAGCCCTGCTTTTTGAAATAGCCAATAGCATAATTGTCGGCATAGGTCAGGAAGTGCATGACATCGCTAGTCGCCTTCACGTAGTCTTTGAGGTGGTTCATCAGATGTGCGCCATACCCTTTGACCTGCTGATCGCTGCTGATGGCGCAGAACACGATCTCGGCAAACTGCCTGCCACGAAATGGACGGTATGTGATGCCGCCGATGATCTCACCAGGCAAGTTGGACGACTCGGCGTAGCTGCCGGCCGGAGGGCGCTTGACGATTGCTATGCTCATGTGCGTTCGGTCGTAGACGAGTCGCGCGATGTAGTCCTTGGGCATCTTCGGCAGCTGTTTCTGGAAGATGCATTTGAGACCGGTAAGGACTATGAGGGAGTTCGGGTGGCCATCGTTGTTGACGACCTGGAAGGAGATGTCGCTGTTGCGCTCTTCGGTCACGGCAGGCTTCTCGGGGAAGGCATCGTGGTTGATGGCTGACGGCGCGGTATCGGTGGCGGGGTGTTCGGGGGGCGGCGGCGAGACGGAGGGCTTAATTCGCTTGGAGTCGTGGCCGTTGATACCGTCTTCGGCCTTGCGCTTCTCCTCCTTGTCGTTAGACATGTTGTCTAGCGATGTGTGAGTGGCATGGACTGGATGCAGGCGTGAGTTGTGGAGACGAGGTCGACATGCGCTTGCCTAAAACGCGGAGGCGGAAGGGCCCGAGCCCCGACTTCGACACGTGAATCTCTTGGCGGCAGGAGCTCCAATTGTCCATTCACCTCACATCATCAACTGCTCCAGTGCACGACAGTCCTCCACAGCCAACTCCGCACCGCCCAATGTCTTCACAGTCTCTGCAAGCACTGTGGGAGGCTTCCGCAGGCCAGCCATTCGAGCCCGCCGTCTCCAAGGACCAGCAATTCTCCATCGCTTTCTTCCTGCTGCTGGCTGCTTTCCTCCTCTCCAGCTTGTTCGGCCTCAGTACGTCCCAGGCCTCCAATGCACCAATCGCACGTGCTGACATGTGAACAGACCTCTCCCTCAAGAACATCCCCCTCTACGCTGTTCCTGCGTCTTTCGCATTCGGGTACGAAACACTGAGAACCATCAAGCGTAACGCAATGCTAATTGATCCAGCTTCGGTGCTGTCTACATGATCTGCGCTGTCGGCGTCTATGTATAGATCGCGTTCACCAAGCTCCAAACCTCGTTACCAGTCTCACAGAGACTCGACCTCCTACGCTCTGTACCGCCGGAAACCTCGCCCTGTACCATCACCAATACCCACCCGCACCCCATCGAAGCCGAAGTTTCACCCGGTAACTTCAACTCTGTTCATACTATCCTGCAGCCTGGTTGGCTTCTTCGTGGCCTTCGGCTTGACGCTGTATATTATACGCTTATATCCAGAAGCTGAGGCTTATCTGAGGCAACAGAAGATTAGAGGGTGAACAGGCATTGACGGCAATAACAGCACACTAGAACGAATCGTACACTAGCGATCCACCACCTCACACCATGGCGACGAATGCGCCCCTTTTCACTGCTGTCTCTTCATCAGCCCGTCAGATTCTCCTGCTACTCAGATGCATCTCTTTTGCCAAGAAGGCTCACGTTAGCATCTCATCCAATGGAATGCGATTCAGCACCGAAGACGGGAGCATCATGGAAGCCTTCATCTTCCTCGACAAGGCTCTATTCACGTCTTACAAGTACAACGTGCCAGACCAAGACTCCGAAGAGGCATCATCATCGCTTCCTCCTTTCGAAGTCAACTTGATGTCCCTGTTGGAGACGCTCAACATTTTCAGCATATCTGATCCGAGCACCTCGAAGCGGCCCGGCGAATATGATTCATTCGCCGCTCACCGCCTCAACCGGCATGCTGGCATCAATGCTTTCTCCAACCAAGCTCTTGGTGTGACGGGCATCTGTACCTTTTCATACGACGGCGAAGGCAGCCCTCTCAGCATCCACATGTCCGAAGCAGGAGTAACGACCACTTGCGATCTTACAACATATGAAGCAGATTCTGCCGAAGAGATTCCTTTCAACCGCGATGGGATCATTATGAGAACAGTCATGCGCTCGAGCTTCTTCTTAGATGCCATCGCAGAGCTGAGTTCGATGAGTCCGACCAATCTCACGGTCACAGCGTCACCAACGTCGCGAACTGGGACCAACCTCTCCTTCTCGGCAAGCGGCGCGCTCGGATCAGCGACGGTGGACTTCACCACGGAGGCAGACTCTGAGACTCCGGTTCTGGAAACGTTCCAATGCAACGATAAGACGTCTGCGAGCTTCAAATTCGGTCTCATCAAAGCGGCCCAAAGAGCAATGTCTTCTGCAACGAAAGTGTCACTTCGACTGGACGATGAAGGTGTGCTCAGTATGCAGTACTTGGTGGAAGTAGACGTGCCGGGCGCCGACAATGGTGTTGCTTTCGTAGACTTCCGGGTTGTGCCTTTGGTGGAAGGGGAGGACGAGAATGGTGACACGGCGAGTGATGCCTCTTCGTAGGAGAGTAAGCAGCATGGGCAGGTCTCCAAAGACAAATCGAGTATCGAAAATGAGCGCCTCGCTTCGATGGTTGAGAACAACCAAGTCATTCATGAAAGATGTCCTACCTAGAGCCGTCTGAGGTATGTTCTCATTGCGTCATGCGCTGATGTAACTTACTTTCGCTTCAACGGACGCCGGACATTGTATACTCCCCGACAGACTCCATCTTCAACCGAAAAACAAGATGTGGCAGTCCCATACCGGTGCTCCCGCGACCAGCGTTCGTTCTGCCCTATCAAGAGACTTGCGCGAAGCAACCAATAGCAAGAGCTGAATCACAGAGTTGAAGTCTTCAAAAATCGTCTACCTCGAGTGAATCTTCAAATGCTGCCCTACAATCGCTGTTCGGGCCGAACATGCCCACAACGACTTTTCTTCCTCATAGCCGGCGATTCCGTCGCTACACCGATGAGGACTCGATCTCGAAAACACCTGAACGCACGTTGGCGCCTGCAAGGGCATCCACGCGAAAATCTTCTCAAGTAATCGACCAGATCGCGTCGTCTGCGTGGATGACAATACCACGAAATGATGTATATATAGGCGAGATCATGGGCTGGCAATGGGTGCTCCATCGACACATGATCTGAAGATGATATCTTTGTTGACTTTATCCTCGCTATTGAGCGTGGTCTCTGCCATAGGTGAGTGTGGAATGTCTTGTTGTATGGCAGATGCTAATGAAAAACAGCTATCGATCGACGCATGTTGCCGACCGAGAATGATCTGACAGCCGCAAACTACTCATCCTATGCGCCCATCCAGATACAATGTCCAAAGCGAGACCAATGGGTCCGCTCAGCTGGAGGTCTCTCTGATGAAGAGACGCTATGGGTCGAAGGTCGAAAACACAAGGTTCTGGAAGGCTTGACATCGTATCTCGAGAGGCTTAACTTGAGCGACTTCGATTTGGAAACATATCTCGCACGTCTGCAACAGAATGAGGCGAATGTACCTGCGCTTGGCATGGCGATCTCCGGTGGTGCCTGGTCTTCTGCTTTGACTGGGACTGGGGCGCTGAGAGCGATTGATGACCGCTTCTCGCCTGCTGTGGAGCAGTGAGTGCTATCGCATGCCACTCAAAGATATCACCTTCGCTGACACATAACGAAGGCGTATTGGTGGCTTACTTCAATCACTGACTTACTTGGCCGGTCTCTCCGGAGGTTCCTGGCCTGTGATGGGCCTTGCAACCTACAACTTCCCTACCATCGACGCAATGGTTCATGCCTGGCATGTGGACATTTCACGGACCACAGCTACCACAGACACCGAGCACGCTGCTACAATACAGACCATGATCGAACAGATAGCTCCCAAGCACGACGCAGGCTACAGCTTATCCTACATGGACCTTCTTGGACGCATGTTCGCCTACGAGTTTGTTGAAGGTCCAAACGGTGGCATGGCTACCACGGTCTCGGGCATTGCGGAGTTGAGCAAATTCCGTGAGCACAATATGCCATTACCGCTGTGGCAGGCACCGCAGCTGGTGGCGAATGATACTTCATTCTACGGCATCCGAGTTCCGGCTGATAATGCGGCTATCTATGAGTGGACCCCATTCGAGGTTGGGAGTTGGACAGGGCCAGAGGAATTCTTCCCTACCAAGTACCTTGGGACGAAGATGTCTGATGGCTTGCCAGTTGACAACTGCGTGGTGGGATACGACAAAGCGAGCTTCATGTTGGGAATGGCAGCCGATGCCTGGAACTACTGGCTCCTCGAGGCTTACTCAAACAACACCCTCGGAAGTTTCGCCAAGCGTAACACAGAACCTCCAACCAACTCCATAACTAAAAGAGCCGGCCCACCCCTCTCCTTCCTCGACGGCATCGCCTCCCTCTTCCAACAAGCCTACGGCCTCACCCGCAACGCCTCCCTCTACGTCAACATCCCCAACCCCTTCACAACCTCCACCTCCACCGCAAACTCCACCACGACCCCCACAAACCTCACCCTCGTCGACGAATCCGAAATTCTCCAAGCCATCCCCCTCTGGGGCCTCGCGCAGCCCGCTCGCGGAATAGACTTCATAATCGCCTGGGACAGCGACGGCGACGCAGCACCCTACAGCTGGAACAACGGAACCTCCCTCTACGGAACCTACATCTATGCCAAAAACCACGGAGTGCCCTTCCCCATCGTCCCTGAGCCCGCAACGTTCATCAATAGGAACTACTCGATCCGCCCGACGTTCTTCGGCTGTGATGCGAATCTGACCACGACGAACGATACCCAGGCTCCCATCATTCTGTATTTGGGCAACGCGCCATATAGTGCGTATACGAACTACTCCGCTTTTCAGAGCGCGTTTAGCGATGAGAATATCGCGGTTATCATGACGAATGGTTTCAATCAGCTCAGTCAGGGGAATGGGACGCTCGATGCCGAGTGGCCGGAGTGTTTGGGGTGTGCGGCGATTGATCGGAGTTTGGCGAAGGTGGGGATGCAGAGGAGTGAGCAGTGTCAGAGGTGTTTGGAGAGGTATTGTTGGGATGGGGTGAGTGATGATAATGATTCGGGGATTGTTGATCCGGCCTTGATTCTCGATCCGAGTTTCTCTTTCGAGGAGTGGAATAGGACTGGACCGCAGGGTGGGGATTTTTGGGCTGAGGTTTGAAAGTTTGGGAGGGTTAGATGTAATGTGGTCGAGTACTCTGGTAGCATGTGTATTGCCGTTGCTGTTAGGCGAGCAGCATATAAACCTCATATCTACTTGCTGGTGCTTTACCATGTCGTTGCCATCCATCATGACCTGAGATCCATCCCAATTCCCCTGCAGGCGTTGACGGTCTTGTCCATCCCACAACGTGGCACCTCGAACAACTTTCTACATGCGTCCCTCGATACCCCAGTTCTTGGCAATTTAGTCGTCTATCAGGACCTGAGACGTTTCAAAGCACCCCTGAAGACGTCCATGCTCTTGGTCACACTGTTGCGTGTGATTTCAAGTACTTTCTCGCAATCCTTCCACGACATCTCGCGGCACAACACTGCCTGCTCAAGCAAAGATGCCACCAGAGTTGTCCAAATAGCGCTGATGGTTTCCCTTTCTTCAACCGCCGGTCTCCAGTTCCGTCCAGAGTGAACATATTTTGCCCAGACAACGCCAAGTGCCTGCTCCGGGATGTAGTCTGGGTGGAAGGTGACTTGTACCTGAACCGTACGCGTGTCGATGTGTTTTGCAATGAAAAGTTCGATGGCGACTATGTCGCCCACGTTTTGGACTTCTTGAAGCTCGGCGGTGAAGCGGTTGATGGCGGCCCAGGTGGGACTGCTTCGCGGAAGATTTGTTGACCAGCGAACACCCATTCTGGCGTGCATGGGCCTTTGCGTAGATTCAGCCGAATAATGTTGTCTTCTCGTGCTGCTCCTTCCCAGATGCGATTCCTTAGCTCAGATGGGAGTTCGAGGAGATGGCACTGCTGTCATGTCAGTGGAGGCATGCTGAAGAGGTCGTGTTTTCTATTCACCTTCTTGCTGTCCGAAGCGGCACGGACTTCTGCGTCGGCCATTTTGATCCGACTGAGTGGTGGTGGAGTTTCAGTATTTGCAATGTGAAGTTGAAGATGTAAGGAAGGCGCAGCTGTGTCTGTGTGCGGTCCCGTTTAAGCTCAGACTAGCGGGCCGCTCTTTCACATGCAAGCGGAAGCTACGACCCACTCGGCAGAGCCCAAGCAAAACTCGAGACTTGACGGATCACCTTTGTTGAATCGCCTCATGGGAATCCAGAGGCTGATATCGTGAAGTGAGGCAGCCAGGCTGGTGACATGGCACGGGAAATCGGAAGAATGTGAGTCAAGCAGTGGCCACGCTTGATGTCGCTTGCATTGTGTGAGCTCGATACATATCGTGAAGCAGCATCAACGCCGATTGCGTGAACAACATCATGGATACCAAACATCCTCCGCTCACTAATGTGCCTCCTCTGAAGTGACATCCCTCCTCTGGCCCAAACATTCACTCATTCAGCAGTTCACGAACTCTCGTTTCCGAAAATCTTCCCCGTAATCAAGCCGAACCCACGGTGTGAGACCTCACAGACCTTATAGAAATCCTCCCAAGACGTCGCACGGGACAATAACGCCTGCTCGAGCATCGAAGTCAGGTAAATGATGTCGATCTCTTGGGATGACTCCATCGTTGGCTTGAAATTAAACCCTCCAGAATGAACTTGTCGAATCCAAGAGATGAGGATTTCGCCCGTGACGACGAAGCCTGGCTTGACCGCGACGCGCACGCTCATTTGCGCAGTGTCGATGAAGGCTCCGAAGAGGCGTTCGATAACCCTCAAGCCGGCGATATCGTCAGGTTCGCAGATCTCGTAGGTGAACTTGTTGGTACGAAGCCAGATTGGGAAGGCTTCGGAGAAGACTTGCACGCTGACGCCTGGCCATTCGGGAGTTCGCTGACAGACAGAGTGGCGATTCAGTTGGATTTCGTCGCTTTCGAACGCTGCTTCTTCCCAGATGCGCTCACGCAGTTTGAGTGGAAGCTGGAGGAGCCGGCAAGGCTGTGAAGGGTCAGTCAGTGGCTCTGTCAAGATAGATTGTTTGATGCTTGCCTTCTTGTCCCCTGCGTTGGCCATGCTTCGTTGCTGCATGTGGCGTTGTTGTCCAGGTGTCGAGATGGAAGGTCAAGATGCGAGTGTGTTTGCTCACAAGCGTTCCAAGCTCAGGCAGCTGCCCGAAATGGCGGGTCTTCACATGCAAACGCCAGCAAACATCTTCATGACCGCACGCAGACATGTCACTATGCGTGATGATCTACTGCATCAGATCGGTGCACTGTTTGCTTCCCCGACGATCGATTTATTTCTAGTCGTGATAAGTTCTTGCCAAGACACAACTCCCCAAGGTACACGTCTGGCTCTCGCGCCGCACAACAGCATGCTCTCTACTGCTTTGAGGCTCAAGACGACAACTCAAAGCAACCAAACAGTCTCACAGCCTCGGAGATTCCCCAGTAGCATGTTCAGATCATTGACTCTACCTCGTCCCAGTCTATTTCGTGGCACCTGAACGCCAACTCCAGGCTTGCTATCATCAAGAGCGAAAACATATTGACGTTGTCCTCTCGGGGTGGAAGCCAGTATCCATCGCCGTGGAGATGCCTTTGTCAGAACTCCATAATGCTGGTACTTGGGCGAGTGCTGGCCGTCATTCGCTTTTCGAACGTGATTGTCAAGTCCATCTTCTCGGTGTGGATATGCTTGAGACACATTTGCTCGAAAGCAACAACTCGCTTGACCTCAGCATCGCTCTGCACGCAGATGGAAAATGAGTTCGATATCATCCAGAGTGGTAAGGCTTCTCTGCGGACTTGACGGCAGGCTGCTGTCCAGGCGGGCGGGCTTGTTGTATTGATAATCTCGGTACTTTCTTCATCATGCGTGGTTGCGAGCTACGGAGTTCGGCTGGCAATTTGAGAAAATAGCAGACCTGAAAGGTGAATTAGCTGTACAATGTTTTAGTTCTACAGAAAGGTATACCGGATCCTGAAATACATCTGCGCTCTCTGCCATTCTGTAATTAATCGCACTAGATATTGCAAGTAGCAGTGAAGCAACAAGCCGGGGAGGACAACACGGCAACGCGTCGACGCGTGTCTCACACAAGAACACGTGATTCTGGAGTAAAGTTCAAACGGCGAGTTTAGCCGAAAATGAGTTTGAAGGGAAGTTAGTCCCGACATCCTCATCGTATGCATCGTCGCTTCGAATGAGGAGTCAGCTTGCGTGTGCCAGAGATGAAAAATACATCATTGTAAGCTTCGTGGAGGCATCTTCACGATACTAACGACCCAAGTACTGTATAACTCGTCTCAGGAAACTTCTCAATCATGATCTCCGGACTTGCCCACGTAAACCTCACGGTTCCAGAAGGAACGCTGAGCCAAGCCGATGCATTCTACGGACAGACATTGGGCCTCACTGCAAGAGCAGTACCGGAGAGGCAGAGAGGTACATTGGCATGGTATAGGTCAATCCAGTGATCAGAAGAAGATCCGTCACTGAAAGTATTCAAAGGTTTGACATCGGCGACTCCGGCCAGCAAATCCACATCGCCTTCGGCCCCAACGAGCTGAAATCTTCACGACATCCATGTTTTCGACTCGAATCGCCTGAAGCACTCCTTGCGCTGCGGCAGAGGATCTGGGAACACCATGTCAAAGGCGACGATGCAGCGCCCAGAGAAGCAGATCAGCCTGGAGAGACGAACAGCGGAGCTCAGGGGAAGGAGTACCCTCAGAGGTTCTTTGCTCGCGATTATGCTGGGAATAGGCTTGAGTTCAGTCTGTGAGGCGTCGTTACTTTCGAGACAGAATCACTCAGAGGAGCTGCGGTGCATGTATGCTCGAATGCAGAATGGACGTGGTTGAGCTCATATGAGTGTACGAAGTTAGGAAAGTACCGCTCAAATGACCTTGATGGATATGGCATATTAACTTCTTGACTTCACATTGAACTTGGATTCCTGCTTTCCAGCACTAATTGTCTTCACACAGCAAGACGCAAGCTGCTCACTCAAACAGCCGCCCTACACCTTCCACTTTCGCCTTGATGTACAACACAGCTGGTATCAAGCCAAAAGAGGCACGCTCGTCCGCAAGACCGTCCTCCTAGTGCACGACTGTGATGTCAATAGGACACAACTACAACGCCCTTCGCCGACTGGAAATGCTCGAGTGGCGGGGTAGACTGCTCAGTCGACAGCTCACATGTTACTCAGCAGACGTAAAGGTACAACAGATAAGAAGATGAGCTGCTGCTGATACCAGGTCCTCAATCCAACTGACCCCGAAGACAAAGAACCAGAAGACACCAAGATGACCAAGTCCAACACCGAAGACTTCGGCTGGACAGCCGTCCCTCGCAACCGATCCAACATCCCCTCCTCGCAAGAAGCCCAACCATCCAACATCTCAGCGACTTCGGAACCATCTGGCCAAAAACCAAGATCGTCGAATCCGCCACAAACTACGCCAAAGAAACCCTCCCCAAAGAGACATTCAACCACAGCCTCCGAGTCTACTGCTACGGCCACACAATCGTAACCCAGCACTTCCCCTCCTGGATCACAACCTCCACCAAATCCGCCTTCTTCGAAACCTGGGCGCTGACTTGTCTCTTCCACGATATCGCCACGACGCCTGCGAATCGCAACACCACGCATTTGAGTTTTGAGTTCCAAGGGGGTTTGATCGCTCTGCAGCAACTTCAGAGCTTCGGCGCGCCAGTGGCGCAGGCGGAGAGTGTCTGCGAGGCGATTATTCGACATCAGGACCCTGGCGAGACGGGGACGATTTCGAGGATGGGGCAGTTGGTGCAGATTTCGACGGAGGTTGGTGAGTGAGACGCAGCCAACCAGCCAACCAGTCGATTGTAAGAACCTTCGTGACAGAGCTGACGTTTCGCATGAATAGACAACATGGGCTATCAACCCCATCTCATCCACAAAGACGTCATCCCCCAAGTCGTCAAACAACATCCGCGCCTCAATTGGTCTTCCTGCTTCTCCGGCACAATCGAGGAGGAAATCGCCGCGAAACCCTGGTGCCACACGACCGCGTTGGAAGGGTTCGCGAAGGCGGTTGCGGGGAATGAACTCATGCATCCTTACGATTAGTTTATATAGCTAGCTCGTTGATACCGTCGTTATAGTTATCATGCATGATCAACCAACGTCACGCTCCCCATCTTCCCCTCCCAACTCCCACCCCCAATCGTCTTCAAAGGCGCGACCACGGCCATCCGCACCCAGGCGAAGCTCTCGCCGTTGACGCCGACTTTGGTGAGGAATTCCATTTCGGTGCCGTTGTTGACGGAGAAGAACGTCTGGTTGCCGCGGCCGATCAGGCTGGCGTCGACCCATTGTCCGACGGGGAGGCTGTAGTTCAGAGCGAAGGCGTTTCCGGCGGAGACGAGCATGATTTGGGAGGAGGAGCCGTTTCCTGAGCGGAGCTCGCTGTCTGGGCCTGTGAAGAGGGGGCCGGGCGTTTGGGAGGTTTGTTTGAGGGTGAAGGAAAGGGTATAGTCGTTACCCTTGGATGTGAGAGGTGTGGTTACTGCGCAGCCATTTGTGAATTTGAGGGCGCCGTTCGCGATGCTGCAAGACGTGTTGGCGTTGTAGTTGTTCCCGGAGAGATCTCTGATGCCGTTGCCCGGGTGTCCGTGGTGGCCCCCTCCCCATCCCTGTCCATATGGCTGAGGCTGATGGCCGGCTCCAAACTTGTAGCTTAGGATCGTCGAGGACTTTGAGCGTACAGTTCGGTCGAGATTCTGAGCAGGGGCCGCAGCTTGCAGGGTCGGATAGATCGAGTCGTACTGCTCTTCTGTGATCTTTCCGCCCCACTGCTTATCAGCGAGCGCTGGTAGGTAGTATCTGAACGGATTGTATGCCTCTAGATAAGTGGAAGTATTCGGTCCGTAGTCGTTCCACTGCGCGGCGATGTGTCCAACAACGTAAGGCGAGTCTCGTGGAGGATTGTTGGTGGCATTGGTCTGATCGAAGATGTTTGGAGACCATGCTGAGCCATCTGGGTTACCGTGGAAGATGCGGGTCTTGTTAAGTTCTTGGGGGTAGCTCGTCGAGTACTTCTGGACGATGTAGAATTGGTCGTCTGAGTTGATCACGTTGTATCCCTTTTTGCTGGGAAGGAGTTAGCCCGCTCCCTTACGAAGCGTGCGTCGTTTACTCACATGTAATCAAAGTACGGATTGTCCTCGAAGAACTCCCAATGTTGCACTGTGACATCCTTGCTGATGTTGTTCGTGTAGTTGCTCATCGGCGGGAAAGTGCCCTAAGGACCATTAGCATCGTTCAGAAGACCGTCTTCGAGATCCGCCTACCCATATACGAATGCTCTTCCCAGACTCCTGCTTGATATATTCATCGAGAGCAATGACAAAGCGGTTGTACTCAGCAACCAGAGCGCTACCTGAAAGTCAGTCCCCATCAACGACAAAGCGACTTAATACTGCACTTACTTCTTCGTCAAAGCAGCATCAACATATTCATCCGCACCTACAGCACAACATCAGCAACCCAACTCTCTCACTTCCTCATCACACTGAACCTATCTCACCAATATGCACAACCTTACTATGAAACCAAGGCAACATCGTCTTCCAAATCGTCTCCATCTGCGGAATCGTCTCCGGATACGAAATATTCAGCAAATCCCGACTCGTCTCAATCGCCAACTCGGGCTTCCACTGCGTAATCACAAGCGCATGCCCCGGCGCCTCAATCTCCGGAATAATCGTAACGCCCCTCGCCGCACAGCTCTGCTGAATCTCATCGAACTGCTCTCGCGTGTAGGACTCGTTGCGGCGTTTGTTCAGGCCCGCGAGGGCGGGATCGTCGGACCATGGGCGGAAGGCGGCGTAGAGTTCCATTTGGCGCTCGTAGGAGTAGATGTCGACGTTGTTGTAGAGGTTGTCGGAGAGGTGCACGTGGAAGGTGTTTTGCTTCCAGTAGGACATCCAGCTGCACATTTCGATGAGGAACGAGGGTGGGTAGTAGTGGCGGCCGGCGTCGAGCTGGGTGATATGTCAGTCAGGTCGGTCTTCAATTTTTGAGGACGAATGACTTACGAAGACACCTCGCGTGTTCCATCCCGGACTATCAACACCGCTGCCCACAGCAATCTTGGCTCCATTCAAACTCGCCTGCTGCAGAATCGTCCTCGTTCCCCACCAAACCCCCAAAGGACTCGCTCCAGCAACCACAATCCTATCATTCTTCACCTCAATCTTATAAGCCTCCGAAGTCCACCTCCCCGCCACATCCTTGAACTCGCTATTATTCCCAATCGTCAAGAAGATCGACTCCGGCACGCTTCGGCTGCCAGACTGTACGCCTAAGTATCTTCCATAGAGCTTGTTATGGTCTTGAGCGAATGTCTGTACGAATTCGTTAAGGGTCGGTGGGATGAGTGTCCAGCCGTTGTCGTCTTTGGTCTGGGCGTATCTGCTGTCGACGATGATGCTTTGAATGCGAGTCAAGTCTAGCGATTGGTTTCCCTTCGAAGCAGTAAAGGGTACAGTAGGCAGACCAACGAGATCAGCCTGCACGAGCGTTGAGCTCAAGCAAAGCGCCGCAGCGAACAACCGCTTCAATACAGCCATAACGATGCTGGAGGTAAAAAACTGCTCGACAGAGAGACTATCATTGAGAAACTCGGCGAGTACAAGTGCTCAAGTAAACACCCTCGCATCCTTCTCTCCCACGAGATGTCACCGTACCAGCGGGGTCCCTGAGACGAGATAAAAGAGCTCGCCTGCTGCACGAACATCATCATCATACCTCAAGCGGTACCTGCGTCGTGGCGTAGCATTGGAGTGGGGTGAGGTTGAAGCCAAAATCAAGCTCAAAGCTTCCATGGCACTTTAGCCGAGAAGATCAACGACCCGGTAGGAGATAAGCCGCGTGCCGATGTACAGTAGTGTGAGAGGAGAGATAGGCCAGAGATTCGAAGTAACGTAGAGCAGGCCACTGAATGTTTCGATGGTCTCTTGGGATGTCACGAGTTGGTGTAACGGTGATTCTGGTGTTAGGCGAACAAGTGTTTGCTACTGTACACTCTTAGTCGTACATGTAACCGTACAAGCAACAAAGCATCGTGGACATTACCGTGAGACCTGTCTGGATCTCGTCCAGGCAATTCTTACGACACCTTGGGTTCCACGCTCTGACTTCCTTCTTCCATCGCTTACTCCGCCGTCTTACCCATGACCGCATCCCTCGCAACATTGAACAGAGGCAGGATGTCCGTCCACAGCTTGTACTGATGAACGCCCTGTCCGACCAGGGGCTCCAGTCCAGGCACAGTCCTCCAACCACTCTGGGCCGCCAACTCCATCAACTGCGTCACGGAAGGCTTGTATGCCATCTCCAGCAGCACTTTGCCAGCATTGCCGCCTGTGACACCCGCTGCGTTCGAAGATGTAGCGCCAACGTTGAATATAACCTTCAAGATCGACTCTAGGCCTGAGTCGATGGGCAAGTCCCCTGGAATCGTCCCAATTGCAACGACAGGCTGCTTATCAGCTGGAATCGATTGGGCTTCTTCCTCGCTCGAAAGCAGCTGAATATTGTAGTCGGCCGAGAAGCTTTGCGTGAGGATTGAGAGCTTCGACTTGTTGCGGCCAACGAGGTAGATCGGGCTGTAGCCCATCTCCTTCAGTGCGTAGATCGCAGCGCGAGAAGTGCCACCTCCGCCAACGACCATGGCAGAATCGTGGAACACGCCAGCGGTGCCGTTCGCGCCGGCGTTGCGGAGGGCTAGCACCATGCCTTGCCAGTCCGTGTTGTGGCCGGTCAAGATTGTCCTGCCAGAGCCGTCCTTGGAAGGCACAATGGTATTGACAGCCCCGATCGTCTTTGCGGCAGGGTTAATAACATCCAACAGATGCATGATATCGAGCTTCAACGGAATGGTGACGCTCGCTCCTCCAAAATCTGGCGAACGGATGATGTCTTTGACGTCCTCAGCCCTGTCGGTCTCGAACAAGCCGTACTCGTGAGGTAGACCTGTGAGCTGGAACAGATGGTTATGCATCGCAGGGCTTCGACTATGGGCAATGGGACGTCCAAAAATGTAAAACTTCTTCGCCTCGATGTACGCAACCAGCCCCAAAACTTTCCTGATTTCAGCGGCGGAGAGCTGGCCAGGAGCAGCTTTCGAGGGCAAGGCTGGGTGCGAGACGGGAGTCATGAACCCATTGTTGACACGGCTCATCTTGCCCTTCTCTCCCATGTTCATAGTGATGAGGAGCGTTCTGGGATGGGTCTGGGCGACCCACTTCTTGAAAGCCTTGAGGTCGTCGTTGTCGTCGAAGCTCTTAGCAACACCAACAAGCTTCACGATATCGCCGTACTCTCTTGCAGCATCGAAATGTGGTAGCCAATCTTCCGCCCCATTGGCCCAGGAAAGCGTTCCCTTGGGGTCGTGGTGCGATGCGATGATGGTGCACATCTTACGGTGGTTCAATACGTATTCTTTGACCTCGTGCGAGCTTGTGAGCTCGAGATCAACAAAGTCGAATCCCATACGCAGCCCAACGGCGTAGAGCGCGATCGCCCTTTCCGAATCGTCATCGGGGAACTTTCCACCTTGCGATACTGATCGTAGCGTGAAGATCAGAGGCAGCATCGAAGATGAGCGCAACAACGCCACCTGCTCGGTTAAAAAGTCTGGTGTAGGCAATCCATCAGGTGACTTGGGGTCAACGAGCAGGTCGACCCTCAGCTCGATCGCATCGACACCCACTGTGACCTCAGGCAGGATGGGGGCGACGTTCTGGATTGAAGGTGTTGTCAAGGCGACGAAGAAAGATTGCTCCTTCTTCTGTATCTTCTGAACGGCGCCGCTCCTGCCAGTCATGGTGTTGAGGAAGCGGGTGAAATCGTCCAGAGGGCTTGTCCAACCGACAATCGCTGCAGACTCGTCCACAGTCTGCGAGTGGTAGTGGAGGTTGCTGCACTCTTCAAACCACGGCTTGCGGCGAAGGTACACACCCATCATGTCCTCAACGTAAGCTGGTCTAGTCTTGTCGATGTTGAGGAAGTCCATGACAGCCTTCACATCACGCGTGACGTAGAGGACCATGCCCTCGTTTTGCCAGTCTTTGAGTAGTTCTCGCGCTTCAGGAGTCTCGACAACGCCGCCGCCCGTCGCGAAGATATGGCCATTAGGCCTGTCTTTCATGCATCGCCTGAGAAGAGCAAGTTCTCTCCGCCTGAATCCTGCCCAGTCGTTATCTTTGAGCATTTCAGGTATACTCATTCCCTCTTGTGCTTCAAGCTCAGTATCCATGTCCACAAGCGGCCAGCCTAGTATCCTAGATGCCCAACCACCTGTCGTCGTCTTGCCAGCTCCACGCATGCCAATGATGAAGATGGACTTCTTCACTTCCCGGTGTAAATAAGTGCCACTGACTCCTTTCACGAGCAATGGGCGCTTGACACCGTTTGCACCATTGGTGAGCGAGCCGTTCAGATGCTGCTCTTCCTGCTCGACACCCTCAAGTTGCACGCCAAAGATCTGATGCAGTTGATCCCACCAACCCGGCCAGGTCTTGCCGACACATTCGCGTTCTTCGATCAGCGTGCCTTCAGGCGCAACTGTAGCAAGAACACTGAAGCTCATGGCTACACGATGGTCGTCGTAGCAGTCAATGCCGTGTTTTGGCGCCGAAATGTCCAATCCCCTGCCATCGATCTCAATGCCATCGTCCAGCTCACGGCATGTGACACCGAACTTGGCCAGCTCGTCGTACATGGCCTTTATTCGATTGCACTCTTTCTGTCTCTGGTTAGCGATTCCAACGATTCTCGTAGTTGCGCCATGCTTGTTGGGTTTGGCTACAGCCGCGAGAACAGAGGCGGTCAGGAATGCATCAGTCATGGGCTCCATATCGACCTCTGGCAGTGGCTGAAGTTCGCCAACTGGTGGCCCAGTGACAGTCGTGCTGGTCTCTGTCTGCTGCACGGTGCACCCCATTGGTCTCAGCACATCCACGGCAAAACGAGCGTCTCCTTGAAGAGACGCGGATCCAATGTTGGGTACAGTACACTTGGTGCCAGTGATGGCAGCCACTGCAAGAGGATAAGTCGCACTGCTGGCATCGCTCTCAACCTCGTAGTCAGCTGGGTTCCGGTACGGTTGTTTTGGAACGTGGTAGACGTTCGGCTCAGTCTTGCTTCTGGTGACGTGCACACCGAAGTCCGCCATCATAGCGATAGTCATGTCGATGTATGGCTGGCTGATGACCTTGTCGCCCACTAGTCGCAGCGTGACTGGCTTCTTCGCATATGGTGCGCACATGAGGATGGACGAGACGTATTGGGACGAGACTTTGGCAGTCAGCTCGATGTCGCCGCCTTCGAATCCACCAATTGCAGCAATTCGTAGCGGCAGACTCTGGCTTCCAGGCTGGCCGAGATACTCGATGTCCACGCCATTGGTCCGCAGTGCATCGACAAGGGGTCCTTGGGGTCGTTCTTGCATGCGTGCATTGCCAGTGAGAACAGTATGCGAAGCTTCAGCGGAGGATTGAGCCAGTGTCAAGGCAGTCGTCAAGAAGCGTGATGCGGTGCCAGCGTTGCCGATGTAGATCTCGTCCTTCGATGCCTTGAGCGCACCGCCATTGCCATTGAGCACTAACACACGACCTTCCTCCTCCCAGCCGTATGTTGCTCCGCCAAGCTTGGCAATGGCGGACAGCATGAACTGAGTGTCGTCTGAATGTAGCAAGTTGGTGATCTTGCATTTGCCTTGACCCAACGCAGCCAGCAATAGCACACGATTTGAGATGCTTTTGCTTCCGGGGGGTTTGCAAGATACATCCAACGAATCTGGTACGCCAGGCCTGACCCGAATTGAAGGGCATAGTACGATGCGAATGTCCTTGTCTGCAACTTTCGTTGCCTGTGGTTCGTAGCATTTCCCAATCGCCGAGAGCAAAACAATCTTCTTCTTCGACCCAGCGTTCTTCTTGTCCACTGCCATGCGCCTGAGCAACTCGTCTGCTCTGCACTTCTTTTTCGTCTTCTTCGTGATGAACTTGTCAGTCACAGCAGTAGGAAGACCGTAACTTGCAATGCATTTCGAAAGCCTGGCAACTGCACCGGGTGTAAGGACTCCAAGGTATCTCGCAAGCTCTGCCTCCTTGACCATTCCCACCGCGACGGACTCTCCGTGAAGAATCTCGGGCGTGAGTATGGCCTCGTAAGCATGACCGATTGAATGCCCGAAGTTGAGCAGATTTCTCAAACCACCTTCTCGCTCGTCGCTGCTCACGACCTCAGCCTTGACTCTCGCAGAACCCAGCACAATTCTCTTGAAGATCTCTTCGATGCCAGCAAAGCGTCCATCGCCTAGAGGCTTCTCCAAGGCCGCCATGATCACATCTGCGTTCTCTTCCAATCTCTCAAACTCCGCCTCGTCCCAGATGGCAGCAGTCTTGACTACCTCCGCCATCCCGTTGCACACCTGCCTCTTGTCCAGCGTTTCCAAGAAAGCGAGATCAATGTATATCCTCTCGGGCTGCCAGAAAGCTCCAACCAGATTCTTTCCCATGGGCACATCAATGGCGGTTTTGCCACCAATAGAGCTGTCCACCATGGCCAACAAGCTCGTTGGAATCTGCACGAAGCGCACACCGCGCATGTACGTCGCAGCCACGAATCCGATCAAATCGCCCATGACACCTCCACCTAGCGCGAGGATGACTGTATCCCGAGTACATCCTTGCGTGAGCAGCCAGTCCTCGATCTCAGCTTTTGTCTTTCTGCCTTTCGACTCCTCCCCAGGTCTCACTCTGTCGTAGATCAGAAGTCTAGCTTCCTCTTCAGTCTTGCCCAATTTCGACCTCGCCTTCTCAAAAGCGCTCTTGAAGTCTGGGACGTAATTTAATTGGGCGAGGTTCGTGTCGCAGATGAGGACGTAAGTAGAGGAGACGACGTTGTTTAGCAGATCTTCTGCGGCGTAAGTTGGCCAGAGTTTGTAGTCGACGACGATGCTCTCCTTGCCCAGAATTGGGACTTTGATGGCCGACGAGGCCCCATTCGTCGTCGCCATGCTGGTATTACGACCTCGATTTCGAGGTGTAAAGGTTTGTGAAGTGGTTCAGAGTCTTTCTTTTTCGTTTTAGCTTATGAGCAACTCAGACGGAAACCGAGCGGCGGACTCGGAAAGGATGCGTTGAAACGAGATCAGGTTCACAACGTCCCAGATGCGCAACTTCTGCATCCAAATTTCATTCAGAGACTAGCAGAGACGAAATTGCGGGACGAATGTTCAATGGCACAGTCATTCGAAGAGTCACGGCGGAGCAATAATTTCGTGGCTGGAGATCGGCCGTCGGCATTTGACGCAGGGACTGTGGAGTGATCTCAGGCACGGCACGTGCAGAACGACAACAACGACATGATCGAGAAGGGAGCTTTCAATGTTCAAGGTCGATAGCTTCAAATGCGCTTTTGAGAGTTCGCATATCTACAGACCTCTGCCTCTTTCGAGTCTACAGAATCATGGACGCCAACGCAGGGCTTTCCCCTGCTGCCCTCAAACGCCGACAGCAGGTATCTTTCCCTCATTAGCCCCGGCGCCCACCACAGCCTGTAATCGCGAGCAGTAGAACGGAAAAATATGACAATTCAGGCATGCGCAGGCCGTATCTACCACTGAGTGGCGGGGGCGTCTGCGGTAGCCTCTCCAGGCGCATCAGCAGCCCAGCCCTGGTTGCCGGTCTCGACTGGAGCACTGGCAGCAGCCCAGTCGGCACCCTCAGCGTCCCAAGTCGAAGCCGCGGCAGCACCACCAGTACCACTGGCAGCGGCGAAGGCGCTAGAGCCAGCGTTGCCAACCTCCCACTCGTTGTTGAATCCGCTCTCGACGGCAGCTGGGCCAACCTCGTCCGCACCTGGGACCTTGCTCTCCTCTTGACCAGCGCTATCCTTGTTCTCCTCGGCCTCTGGGTCGCGGTAGAAGTACAGATCGGTCATGACATCCCACTCGGCCTCACGGCTGGCGAGAGTGCCACGGAGACGGAGGACCTCACGGGCGAGCATCCACCAGACAAGACCAATGGCGTGACGACCCTTGTTGTTGGTTGGGATGGCCACGTCGACGTACTCGGTGGGCGAGTCGGTGTCAGTGAGGGCGATGACGGGGATGTTGACGTAGGAAGCCTCCTTGATGGCCTGGGCGTCGGTGCGCGGGTCGGTCACGATGATCAGGCGTGGCTCCTTGAAAGAGCGGGTGATGTAGTTCGTGAAGTTACCGGGGGTGAAGCGACCAGCGATGGGAGAGGCACCGGTGTGGGCAGCGAACTTGAGGACAGCACGCTGGCCGTATGGACGGGCAGAGATGACGGCAACGTCGGCTGGGTTGTCAATGGCGACGATGATGCGAGCTGCGAGGACGATCTTCTCCCTGCGACATGTGTTAGTGGGGTTCAGAGAGATGTTTCGAAGTCGTGCAAAATGCGCTGAAAAGCCATGTGCTTTCGCTGTCGTGCGCATTATGTAGACATGGTGAAGTAGAGCTTGACATACCAGGTCTTGCCAATGTTGATGACATTGACGCCGTCTGGGCGAGTCTTCCACAGGTATGGCTCCATGTGGACTTGGAGGTTCTTTGCGCCGATGTGGCACTGGGCGGACAGCAGCATCTCGATGTCCTGAGCACTGGCGTTGAACGCCGGGGGAAGGTTCTTTGCGGCCATCTTCGCGGTGGTGGTGGTGAAGGAGAGGCGATGGTCGAAGATGTGTTTGGTGCTGCGGCGGCGGGCAGTCTCGAATTCAGCAGCGAAATTCCCAAGTGCATGCTCGGAAGCTGCCGCAGCGATCTGCCACGTCGGGCTTGGCGCTCTCCTCCGAGCCCAGACGACTTCCAATGCGAGTAGAAAGTTGACATCCATCACATACCAGCCATGCCGCCGCGAATACCAGTCCTGCAGTGCCTGCGGCCGCAGAGCAGTATGTTGTGAAGGTGCAGAGACTGAATGCCCATGCTGATATAGAAACAGCATCATCCGCATCATGCACCTCACGTGCCTTTGCGACCACTCCCTCATCACGAGCATCAACCGTAACGCAGAGGAGAAAACACCGCGATCCTTACGCCATTGCACAGGCAAAAGCTCGCAAGGCTGCGAACATGAGCAGACAGGAAGTCCTGAAGAAAGAGCGAGCAGCAGTGTTAGGAGATCCGGTCCGGGGTGAAACAACTCCTTTCGTACGATCTTTCGATACAGCTCTACCTCCAGAACCCTCACCTGCTGCTGCCGCCACGAAGGGTCGAACCGATGAGTCACCATCAGAGGACGCACCTGGGCCGCGTGTGGATTCGGACAATCACCTCAACTTTTTCCTCTCGAAGGATGAGCTGGAGGGCAACGTTCAAAGAAGCAAGTGGCTGACACAGCCGCTTCCGGAGGATGTTAAGGAAGAGGCAGATCAACAACAGAGGCTAGAAGAGCGCGGTGAGCGTGATTCTTTCAGCGATAGGAAGTCGTCTTCGGGGCTCAGCGCGCAACATCAAGCGGAGATTCACTCTTTGCTGAGCGGCATGGAAGATTCATCAGCTCAGGAACCTCGCGATTCATGGTTTGACTCGGCACGACGCATATCGGACTTCACGAGCACGCATGCATCACGAGAAGAGAGGCTCAAGGAGGAGCATGAAACTGCCGAGGAAGCGCTGAAGCGTATCTCGAGTCTTTCCCTCGGCAACAGCAAAGATCGCATTCGTGTCAACATTCAAAGATGCGTCGATGTATTCGGTCGACATAACACCGATTCCACGCTACCGCCACGGCCGCGATCCGCCGACACCATTCAGGAGCAGGATAAGTTCCCTCGCGTTGGGAAAGACACGGGCAGTAGTGAGGTTCAGATTGCCATCCTCACGGCGAAGATTCGCACGTTGGCGGACACTCTAGAGTTGCGAGGACACCCGGACAAGATGAACAAGCGTAACCTGAGGTTGCTGGTTCACAGGCGCGCGAAATTACTGAACTACCTGCGAAGGAAGGAGAGGGGTGGTCCGAGATGGCAGCATCTCATTGAAAAGCTAGGTCTCACCGAAGGTACCTGGAAGGGAGAGATCAGTCTGTAAAAGATTGTTTCAATTTCCCTGCATCATTGCATAGCGATGGGAGCGGTCACAGCGAGTAGCTGACGGAGCATGTAGAAGTGTACAAATATTTACTCCTTCTTGCACCCCTTTGTATACGGGGCATCGACCAATACTCTCGATGACTGCTCTTCTCAGTCGCAGTGAGCACATGCAATGGCACTATAACCGTCTTGGCAGAGATCTATCCCCGCAGATCGCTTGAGGGCTTCGGACGTCTTCAACCGCACGATTTGCTGCGGAGAAAAGCAGCATCACGACACCACCTGCATGAAATGAACAACAAGACTCCGGCAGATGCGCTTGCCTGCGTCGTATACAACAGTCAAGCGGGGAAGGTAGCATGGCGGTCGTCGAAGATGCAGTACAAATACCCGTCGTTTCCAAGCTGGTAGGCGAACCGACCGCCTTCTCGACACTGTTGCGCGAATACATGTCGATGGCAAAGATGGCTTTACTGAAGGCTCTATACACTATCCTGCTGCTGCCTTCGTTGAGTGCCGGACTGGTGACCAAGACAGACAATGAATCCGCGGCTCCGGTCGTCACAATCAAGAATGGAACCTACGAAGGTCGATATGAGCCGGCTTATGGGACTGACTACTTCCTGGGCATACCCTACGCTCAACCTCCTGTTGGTACGTTCGAGATATTGAGCTTGACCGTGAATCTCTTCCTGATTCCAACCAGGAAACCTTCGCTTCCGCACGCCTCAATCTCTCAACACATCGTGGTCCGGAAGTCGAAATGCCACCGAGTATGGCTACGAATGCATCGGCTATGGTCGAGATACCTGGAGTCAGGGAAACTATGTGTCTGAGGATTGCTTGACTCTGAATGTTGTCCGCCCCAAAGACGCTGGCGAAGGTCTTCCTGTCCTGGTTTGGATCCACGGTGGTGGTCTGGTCATGGGTGGATCGGCGGACCGTCGATATAATCAGTCCTTTATCGTTCAAGAGTCGGTCAAGGCGGGCACGCCTGTCATCGCCGTCTCGATCAATTATCGCCTGAGTTCGTGGGGTTTCCTTTACGGGAAGGAGATCCAGGAGAGTGGGAACACGATGCTTGGATTTCGAGATCAGCGGCTTGCCCTCCATTGGGTGCGGGAGAACATCGCTGCATTTGGAGGTGATCCCTCACGAGTTACTATCCAAGGTGAAAGCTCAGGAGGGACATCTGTTGCAGCACAACTTCTGGCGTACAACGGACGGGACGATAAGCTGTTCGCTGGAGCCATCGCACAATCAGGAAACATCGCTGGCCTCGGAGCATATCCCACCGTCGAAGACTGGGAACCCGTCATCGCCAACATCTCCCGCGGTGTCGGCTGCAACAACACCACTAGAAGTGTTCTCGACTGCCTACGAACAATCCCCACCGACAAACTGAACAGCGTCCTCAACTCCACCCTCACAAGCGGAGCATCCTTCGGCTTCGTCGTCGACAACGACCTCATCGTCGCCCCAGCCTCCTCACAGCTCGAAAAAGGCGCCTTCGTCAAAGTCCCCTACATCGTCGGCGTCAACAGCGACGAAGGCACAGGTTTCAGCCGCCCGGTCAACACCACAGCCCAGCTCCTGCAAGGCCTCACGGCTCAAGGCTACGACAATGCCACCGCCCAAGACTTGTCCATCCTATACCCCGATATCCCAGACATAGGCATCCCCGCCACGCTCCCCGGTCGTCCCAACGCGACGATCGGATCGCAGTTCAAGCGGACGTCGGCAATGTACGGCGACATGTCCATGACCGCGCCGCGGAGACTCTCAGCGCAGATGTGGACGAAACACGGCGTCCCAGCCTACTCGTATCGTTTCAACGTCCTGGTACAGTCTCTTCCACCTCCTCAATCTAACATCCACTAACCTCTCCTCCAAGGTCAACGGCATCTCCTACATCTTCGGCGCCGTGCACTTCCAAGAAGTCGCCTTCGTCTTCCACAACACCGAGGGCTACGGATACCCGCAGAACGGCAACCCCAGCCCCCTGGGCGGGCCGGAGAGGGCCAAGTACCTCCGAGTCGCGAAGCTCATGACGCGCATGTGGATTAGTTTTGTGAATTTCGGGGATCCGAATCGAGGGGTTGGTGATCGTAAGTCTATCATACATACATACATCATTTGGTACATGTATGTTCTTGTGCTGACTTAGGGGGATGTTATAGTCGAAGCAACCCACTGGCCAGTCTATACGCTGGAGAACCCGCGACAGTTCGTCTTCGAGCAGAATGTCACCTCGCATGCGGAGAGCGACTGGTACCGAGCCGAAGGGATCCAGTACATCTCCGACCTCATTCTGTCGAGACGAGGGACGGAGTGCAGTGGGATCGAAGCATGCAGGAACAATGCTTGGCAATAATAGCACAAACAGAAAAGGAGACCCGCCAAAGCCAAACTCTCTACAGACCGTACACAATGTCTCCGTTCTTCGTAGTATACTAAATTAAACCCCAAAAAGCAAAGCATAGCCACCACCACCATAATCTCCCTCCCACCCAAAAGGAACACAAACCCAAGAGTTTGCGAGAAAAGTTAAGTCTACCCGCAACGATTGGCCCGCCCAACAGCTGAAAACATTCACCCAATTCTACCGACCTTCAGCCGAGTCCGTGACCGCACAGGCCACATCCATCCTCCTCCACTCCCACCACTCGACTGCTGCCATTTTCCGCGCGCAAACGCTAATTCTTGTCGTCGGACTTACTGCTTGTTTGCATACCGAATACGCAGGGGGTCGTGATCCTACCCGCCCTGCCGAATGTTTATGCATAGTGTAGCATATCTGCTAAACCACCGCGAAGTCGGTGCGAGCCAAGCGAAATGCCGGGGATTCGCCGAATGCGTGTAGACGAGCATGTGGGTCCGTGCCTGCGCTGCCATACAAGCTGCTGTGTAACCTGAGAGGGGGCGGATAGACTCTGCGGTTTGTCTCCTACAAAAGCGAAGTGCAGGCCCGTCTGCTGGTTTGTTGCGAAGACGCTCTTTTTTTCCCATTCATCTCGTCGGCCGTCCACGTTTCCGAATCCTCTACGAACCACCACCACAGTCGTTACCCTCTCGACCCGTCCATACGAACAAGATGGTCAATAGTCAAGTCGTTGTCCTCGGCGTTGTCGCGGCAGCTGGGGTCTCTGTGCTTGTTGGATACGCGGTGACGCGCTTCTACTTCACCGATCCTCCGAGGCAGAATGTCGATGGCGCGAACGGCGAGTTCAGTCAGGCGGCGTACATGCGGGATGTGCGGTTGAGGAATCAGGACTCCATCGCGGCTGTCATGGGTCTTGGTCGGCGAGATATAGTATGTCCTCGCCTGGGATGAGTCTGCAGGGCGAAGCTGACAAGAGATCCAGAAAGCAGCACAAGATAGGGTACAATCAGGCTACTCCTGAGCTCTGAGATGATGAGGTGGTGAGTTGAGCATAGATCCAACTTGCTCTTATTATAAACGTTGGCTGACGAAGTCCAGTGGATGGGCCACCCTCCGCGAACCACCATTCCATCTCATACCGGATAGTCCTCAACCAACTTGGTGCGCCGGCCGGCCGCATCATACGAATGACGAGTAACACGGATCTCGAAACGACTGGCAGGCTCATTCATCAAGATCTCGAGATTTTGAACTCTCTTTGATTCAGCGGGCAGGATGGAGTCATCGATGGGCGGAGATTGACTGGCGTTTCGGGAAGACCCAGGCGGGGTGGGATATGAGTAGAGGTCTTCTTCCTCAATGGCAATGATGCGATTGACGAATTCGGCGACTGAGGTAGCGCCGTGCATGGACTCTTTCAAGGGGGCCTGGTGCATATCAGCGATTGTTGCTACGACATGGGAGGTATTTCTTACTTTGTGCATAAGCTCGACAGCTCTCCTACGCAGTGAAGGAACACGGCACTTGGTTGCGACGAAATAAAGATGTGGCATTACACCAGCTTCCAGAGTCTGTCAGAATTGTCAGCAAGGGCTTGAGAGGTATAAGTTGTCAGATGGCAAGAGTATGGTCGTTGGTAGGTGTGGTGAAACGAGCCGCATGTTTAAGGTCGAACGTGGGCCACTTACAAATGTCGGTCTATCAGGCTTGCATCTCGTAAAGATGTCTGCTAGGCGCAGGATCTCTTCAAACTTTTCTGCAAACTGATCAAAAGCCATCTCGAAGGGCGAGAGGCAAGCATCGAGCCAAACCATGAAGATGTGGCACTGCATTAGTAGATTGGCGTTTGTCTCGTCTTCGACCTGGCAGAATGGCGTCTTCTTGAAAGCGTCGTGCCATTGCAAAAGTCGTTCTCGTAGAGTCGATTGCCGTCCAAGTATCTCATCCGATGGGCTGATAGGCGTAGAATAGTCAGGTGGTGGCATCCGCACGGCTCCAGATCCATTCTTCAATCCCATGTCGGTCGCTACGGCCGAGTCGTCCACGCAGCCATAATACAGCCGACTAACGCCCTTGTTGATGCCTACAACATCGCCTGGTCGTACTGCTCTTGTGGGATAATCATCGACGAAATTGGTAGGTGGGAGATTGGCGCCAGGTCCAACGCTGAATTCTGCGGCTGCGCGAATACAATCATGGACCTCGGTTGTCAACGCGTATAGTGACGTGCGTGCGTGGAGGATATCGCTGAAGCCTTCCTCCGTATTGACATCGGTGAGATCAGCCGGAACTTCGACTCTTCCAGAATGGCCAAAAAGTGCCGTTTGCAGACCGAATCGAGCAAACATGAGCCTCAGATTCAGAAACAAGGCAGTGTCTGTGTCACCATTGGGTTCGTATTGGCTATGGATGGTCAGTACAGTAGGCTGGAGAACTTGCAGAATCTTGTTCTTCATGAACGTACCTTAAAAGCTTGATGCCTTGGGTGAAGAGCCCCAACGCTCCAAAGACATGATCACGAATGACCTCTGTACATATAAAGAGCGTGCACGTAAGCAAGGCCAGTAGAGGAGTCGCTGTCCCTTCGTCCATCCGCTCCTTGAACCGGCTGATGGCACGGTTGTAGTGCATCAAAGCAGTCACATGAAATTCGTCTATTGGTGGTTTTGAGAACGCCGGGTGTGCAATATTGACCACGCCATTCTGAAACTTGGGATCTGTCGATATCTCTGGGTCTCCGGGAGGGTAGAAGCTTTTCATGAATTGTGGATGTTCGTAGAGAATGGAAATCGCAAGAAGAGCATCCAGAACGATGGGCTCGGACTGAGCGACCTGGAGGACTTGACCGCACCAAAAGTCCTTGTCCAGAGCCCCGGCCATACGAGGGGCCGTCCATGAGAGGAAATAGTCGAAAGTTCGTCGTTCGTTTTCTTGCAATCCAAGTGTTTGGGACAGCCGTTGGCCGATGAGAGAGCGACTCGTCTTGCTGATCGTGATGGGAGACGCCCTATTCATGTACCCGCCACATGTCCTACCACCGTTGATGCAATTCCGGCATTCAGGATGAGTCTCGTCACATTTTATCCTGCGGGATTTGCAGGTAGTGCATCCTGATCTCGACTTCTTGCTGGCAATTCTTCCATTCCGTTTCCTCGCCTCAAGGATGTTGGCCGCAGCGGCAGCCTGCCAAGTGAGTTCGCCCATCTTCAAGCCCACGCCTCCAGGTTGCACGCATCTTGAGCCAGGGTTGTGGAAGGGGTGCGGTGCCTGGACTCTCGTTCCTGCGTTCAGAAACAGAATAGGGCGGGCGGGAAGGCAAGACGTGTGGTCGCCCTTGCGGCGCGTTACGCTGACACCCGCTAGCGCCTCTCCAATCACGGCCACTGCTTCTCCCAACCAATAATCACGTGACTGTCACCTCGGCGCGTCACGAAGACACCCGTTAGCGCCATCCCAATCACGATTGTTACCGCGCGAATCGACATCCTCCTTTCCCGCCCGCCATTGAACCATCTTTCTCAACTTCCACAACATGCAATGCTAACAACAAAGCGGCCGACGCCGACGACTGTCCTTTACACCGTGTCGACGCGCTCGCCTGCGAAGACGATAGCGGCACGGCTATCCCACTATGCCTTCATCCTCCTACGCGTTGTTGTAGGGATTTGCGTGGCTACGGTGCTGCTACACGAGTTCAGCAACCCATCTCCATACATCAATGGCCTTTCCGCTCTAGCATGGCTCGAGAACGCCATTCTGACATCACCAACTGTCCAGCTGGCCTCCCTGCTGGTATCGAACTTGACGTTCCTCTGGCGGATGCTCATCTGTGCCGCGATCACATGGCTCATCTTCCGCAAAGGCTACACCGAGGAATCTTTGCTGGTGATCCGCGGATTGGGAGTGCAAACGAGCACAAGTAGCCCGAGCTATCTCTGGACGAGTTCGACGAGGTTCATTCCGACGAGTTCGATTCAGGACATCTTCATTCATGAGGCTTTCAAGGGCTTTGAAGTGAGGTTCTACTTGGCTATTGTGGTGGAGGGTGAGGAAGACGTCGTGGTCGTGTTTCCGGTATGGAGCATTTTCAATACCAATGCTTACCTGGGGCTAATCTGAATGGCAGGGCATACTGCCACGACGAGAGACTCTGGAACAAGTTTGGAGAGGCGCCAGGGCTTGTCTATACGAACCCAAGTCTTGACAGATCCCTTGAACATGCGACAGCCCGGATGACTTTAATCACCCATATCTGTATCATTGGGCGACCTCGCAGCACCGGTCAAGCCTTTTCGTGCCGCATACCGAGCATTGACGACATCTGGTGGTTCCATCCGCTCGCGCTGCATGACGGGCACATAGTCACCTACCGTTCGTGGCTTCTCACTTCCATCAAAGACACGATCGCTGCTCTCTTGTCCGTTACAAGTCGCCAGATGATCCAGCTGGATCGAAGGACCCTGCCTCGACACGACATCCATCAGACTCCAAGCAAGGACTTCATCCATCTTCCTCTTCCGCCAAAGAGACCACAGCTCATCCATGATACCGTTTCGACCATGCTTGCCGTCCTCGATACCGGTCGTTGAACGCTTCGACTGATCGCGGCCGCCCATCTCGTCGCCGACGTACACCCAGTCGAGCGCATCAACATAGCCTTGATCTGAGCTTCCACTACCATCGGCGTGGTCTCCATTCGCGAGCTTCTCGGGGTCTGGGAATATGCAATCCCAAAGTACGAGCGGGATGTCGCTCGCCATCTCATACACCGGCCTCGCGGGTGTTCTGTGGACATCGAGCAGTTCATCCACTATGCTTGGCTTCTCATAGCCCTGACCTACCAGGAATAGGACTGCGACCAAATGCCGGACCTGATGCCAGAGGAAGGCACTCCCGCGGACTTCGAAGTAGTAAAGCTTGGGCGATGCCGTGCCGACCGCTGTATTTTGTGCCTCCTGGCTCGGATCCACCTCGTAAATACCAGCATGAAATATTCGCCGCTCCCAGCTGGTAATCTGCTTGCTGGGATCGATCTTGCACAGATTCCGAAAATCATTCAGACCCTCGTACTTCTTGGCCGCCTCGTTCATGGCCTCGATGTCAAGCCATCCCTCCCCCGTTCGACCCGCTGCAGACGATTGAGGCCCACTACCTGGTAATGGTATGTACGCAGGATTTGTGAAGAAGTAGCGATACCGCCTCTCCTTGCAATTGAAACGCGCAGAGAAATCTTGGGGTGGAGAGGGACACCATGCGAGGACACGGATGTCGGGAGGCAGGACTCGATTGATGAGTTGGATATAAGGTAGCTCGTCGCGTACAGGATCAAACGCCTTTGTGGCAGGTCTCTCTGCATCCTCTGCATCCTGAGTGTCCGTCATCTCCTCATCCCCACCTCCACCCTCAACCACACCCCTATCCCTCGGCCTCGCACTCCTCACCCTCACGCCCACCACCTGCCCAAACGCACTCACCCCCCGATCCGTCCTCCCACATTTACTATACTCGCACCCCTCCCACGAAACATCCTCCTCGACCCTCTGCCCCTCCCTCCACCGCGGAAAAATGAGTTTCGTCTTCCTCAGCGCCTTCCACAGCTCTTCCTCGATCGTGGGCAACGGCGTCGTGTTATTGCTATGATGCTCGAAGCCGTTGTAGTTGCCGCCCAGGTAGGCGAATTTGAGCGCGATGAGGCGCGTGGTGTATTTGGAGGGGTCGAAGGGTTTGGGTTTTTTCAGGGGTTTGGTTTTGGAGGATTTTGAGGCGGTGGTGGTGGTGGTGTTGAGGGCGCGGAGTTGGGTTTCGAGTTGGGTTACGCGGGCGATTAGGTCGTTCTGGGACCAGGTCGTGTAGTCTGGTTGGTGGGCCATGGCTCTGCGGTGGTTGGTGGGGGATTGGTGCAGTTTGCGGGTGCGAGGTGTTGGGAGGTTTGGGTGTGGTGTTCGAGGGGTTTCATCGGGTCTGAGGCATCGCGGTTTGAGTTGGTGGAGAGGGCGCAGCCTCATGGTATGGGGTGACCGATGAGCCGCATGTGCACTTTGAAGTTTCGAGGTTGAGTCGAAGCTTTGTGGTTGCCTGAGGCATCAGCGAACCTTCGCAACGTCGGCCAATGGGTCGGACCTCATACATCCTCTTACAACAACTCAAGGCTCGTTCGCCCATGTCTCTGCAGCAGGTGATGAAGCCATACCGCATCGTAAAATGTTCCCGCGGCCAGAATCAACGAACTCGGCGACGTGCTACATCCAATCGCCAGGATTCTTTCTTCCTCAAGCCTGTTCTCGCTGAAAATGAAACTCCCCCTTCAAGCAGAAGCTAGAAAAGCCGCAATATCGGACTTGTAGCAGACCTCAGTGGATGCATCCGGCGTCAGGCTCTAGCGACAGCTGCTTACGGATCTGATATTGCCGATGTACTGTATAGCGTAAAAACCCTGACCCCGCTCAGACGAGGAAGGAGCTGTCCTTGAACTTCATGTATCGACTACAGCAGAAAGAGTCTCGAACGATACTTTGCACTTTGATTGCGGATTCGAAGTGACATAGCTCAGCATGGCCGAGAGCACCAGACTACAGAGGATGAATCCACCACCTCCATCCAACAACATCGTCAAGGTCCGCGTGGTCGACACGACGGCTGTCTTGACTGTGAAGGCCGAATGCTTCCTGGATCCGACATTACCTGGCCATGATCTTCTGAGCATGACCGCAGTCGCCTTCCTGATCGAACATGAAGGTTTGGGCAAAAAGGCTATGTTCGATCTAGGCGTGCGGGAAGATTTTTGGAACTCACCACCTGCGGTTGCCAGGCGTATTGAGGCTGCGATTCCCGGTGTGAGGGTTGATCAGGATGTTACAGAAGTCTTGGATGAGGGTGGCTATAGTCTTGATAGCATTGGTGGATATGGTCCTGGTTCCAGATCCAAGTCTTTGGCTTACCATTGCTTGCAGATGATATTATCTGGTCACATTCTCACTGGGACCATACTGGTAGCACATTCTTGTTCCCCAAATCAACCAGGCTGGTGTATGGCAAAGGTACGGGCCCATTTCCAGGGTATCCCGAGGATCCAAACTCCCATCTCAACAGCGCCGACTTCGAAGGACGACCGCTGCTCAAAGTCGACTACACAGACCTACGTATAGGGCCATTTCCAGCGCACGACTTCTATGGTGACGGATCGTTATACCTCCTTGATTCTCCGGGACACTGGCCAGGACATCTCTGTGCTTTGGCTCGTACCACTCCAGATACATTCGTTTTCCTCGGTGGCGATATCTGCCACTTCGCGGGTGACTTTCGGCCGTCGACCGAAATGCCTTTGCCTAGCTATATCCCAGAAGACGTCTTCACTGTCAGCTCAACAAGCCAGACAGATATGAGCGCCGCACGCAAAAGGTATCCCATGCCTTGTCCATGCTCGGTGTTCACACATCACCATCCGCAAAAGACGTCTTCACCAGACATCGCACCCGAGTCAACGCCATTCTTCAAGCTGTCGAAGCATGAACACTCTTCATACAAAGACCCAGATGTTGCCGCCCAAACGGTACTGAAGATGCAAGAGTACTTTGACTCAGACCCAAACGTATTCGTATGCATAGCACATGATCCTTCACTGCTGGTTCACCTGCCGACCTTCAATCGTGAGCCCTCGCTTGATTTAAACGGGTGGAAGGAGAAGGGATGGAAGGAAAAATGTCATTGGGGGTGGCTGGGCGAGCTACCCAGATACGCCGGAGATGGGTCGTTGATAGGGCCTGGGATGCGAGAGAAGCCGATTGTGGAGGGAGTCTGGAGGGAAGGCAAGAGAGTGGATGCTTGATACAGCAGCATCGATAGTAGAAGCGACACGGTGATCGCCTGGAAGAAACGCTCAACAATGGCTCCCATTTGCTTGATTGCTGTGAGTATCAACCGGACGAACGCAAGTACTCGAGAGCCAGTACTCTTGGCAATAAGATACTGATAAGGCTTTCTTGGCCTGCCTGAAGGAACACTTCTGTTTCTCCACGCAACATTGACAGATCCGCCTGTCTCGTTCCTTGTTTGCGATTACGTACAAGTGGAGTAAGTTCACCTAGCAACCATTTGCGGCCAGCCAAGCCAGACCATGAGTACCGCAATGGTACCTCTAGTTCCTCGTAGGTACTTCTCTGTTATAAGGTCACGCTCTGCTACATCAAGCAAGTCGTTGACGAGTTGATAATGTGAGGTTGGCAGCTTAGCTCCGTCGAGGGATGCAGTTGCGCAAGCGTGAGGGATGAAGTGGAGATTAGAGTTTTACGGTTTGTGAGGCACAATCCCCGAAGTGGTCGGTCTGGAGATCCAGTGGCAAAGGGAAAACGGGCGTCGCATGCGTGTAGCAAAGGGGAAAATCATGCGGTGTGGCTGACTTGAGCCGCGGATTGATTTTGGACGTGTGGTTCCAATGGAAGGCGACTGCTCGTGCTTCTGATGAAGTGGATATCCGATGTCCGGGGAAAGGAGTTGCGCAAGGCTGATCCGCAGGAACGAGATGCTGGAGGAGTGCTAGTTGGAGTGTGTTTCTGTCTTTAGGCCAAGATTGCCGTGGCGAGGTAAGCTGCTTTTGACGAAAAGCAATACAAATGCTACACTTTGAAGATGAGTCGCGTGAGAACATGTCTTGCCGCGATGAGGATTTCTTGATTCTTCCTTATCGTGGGCGATTGTGGCGCCGTCGAATGCATTAGCGGGGACGAGCCGCGTGCCGGACTGCCATGTCCTGCTTGTGCTCTTTGCTTCTCAAATCTTCCCCAAACATTCGCACCCTCTGGCAAGGGAGGGGCCAGCAAAGCAGTTGGGTGATGACGACGACTGCTTCGTCCGCGACACAGGCAAGACACACGCGTGCAACTCACCACTCTCCTTTTCCCCGTTCTCACCACGCACCACTATCCTTGCACCAGCACCGCAAAACACATCTCTCGCTCCTTCTACAGTACCTTCATTCACTGCTGCAGGTTTTCCTTGAGTCGCCCTTGCTTTTCTCCCTTCTCCTCAAACACTACTGTGCTTACACCAGCAGTCAAGCCGGGCGAATTGCCGTGCCGCGTGCAGTTCCAACCGCAAGTCGTCGCTGCTGCTGGCCACGCCTGCGTCCACTTCAACCGGCCTGCTGATACTTGGCGAACTACTGCTTATCGCGGCTCTAAGCTCGCGTGCATCCAGCCGTGTGCAAGGGTCGCTGCCACCGATCATCCCAGTCGCTGGACGGACTGACGATTGCATCTCTCCACTTCACTTGCTACTAGTCACTACTTACTACCGCCAATTGCGTGGGCACCGCGCGGTCACTGCATTACATTCAACACTTCCTGTTGTTTCTCCCCCGTCCCAGGCCAGCACATGTTGTCTGCGATATCCAACCCGCGAGGCATCTGCGGTAAAGATCGATCTGGGGACCGATCTGCTGGAAGCCACTTCTTCATCAGCAACACCTCTCCGCCGCCTTCATGAACATCTTGCTTCTCTTCCTATGGCACCTCGCGCTCTGTCTCCATGCAGTCGCATCCGAGCAGCAACCCGATCCACAGCCCAGACGTCCACCGCCGGTCAACGAAGCTGCCAACAATGGCACCTACGGATACTACCCAACATATTCCTTCAAGACTGAGGTCGATCTTACCGCGCCAATAACAAACTTCATGCAATGGAACGAACGATGCAACGATGGGTCGCTGTACTTCCTGACGCCGCGAGGTTGGGGTATTCCAGACCCCGGTCCCATGATTCTTGATGAACAAGGCAACCTCATCTGGACCAAGCATTTCGCGAACAAGTTTGGTGGACAGGCTTACGACTTTATGGTGCAGAAGTACAAAGGGGAAGAGTATCTTACGTTCTGGCTTGGTGATGATCGCGTACGCGGTCATGGTTCGGGCTTCTACTACATGGTGAGCAATCGCTTCAATCCTTTAACCCGCATCTCATACTAACAATAATATGCGTAGCTCAACTCTTCATATGATATTGTACATCGCGTTGGAGCCGCCGATGGGCTGAGTGCTGACCTCCACGAGTTTCTCATCACCGATCAAGGCACCGCCCTCATGACCATGTACGAGGTGAAAGAGTTCGACATCAAGGATTTTCCCGACTTCCCGGACGACGAAGAACATGCTGGTCCATCCTACATTTGGGACTGTGTATTCCAAGAAATCGACATTGAGACCGGCGATCTTGTCTTTGGATGGAGAGCATCAGATCATGTCGACATTTCGGCGACTTATCGAGGAATAGGCCCTGGTGGCTCAAAGCGCGATCCTTACGATTGGTTCCACATCAACAGCATTGAAAAAGACGAGCTGGGCAATTACTTGACCTCCTCGCGATACACCCACAGCATCACGTACGTTGATGGAAAGACTGGCGACGTGATCTGGACTTTGGGCGGCAAGATGAACAACTTCATGGATCTCAGTGAAGGTGATGCCACCAACTTTGCATGGCAGCATGACGCACGATTCTTGCCGACCGACACATTCCCCAATCTATACAGTCCGCCAGAAGAGAGACCAGGTTACACAACTCGCTTGCTGACACTCTTCGATAATGCCGCTGAGGATCAGCATTACGAGTGGGGCTTGGACTACTCGCGTGGATTGCTGTTGGAAGTCACCTATCCAAATGAGCGGGTGCAATCCATTCAGCCGTCAAAGCGCAATCTGGACCTGCACGAACGCGGAGACATGGACTTGATCGCGACAAAGATCCAAGAGATCAACGGAACCAACCCTGACTACACCGTTCGCGTCATCAAGGTGTACATCAATCCAGATCGTGTTCACTCATCTTCGCAAGGCTCGATGCAAGTCCTACCCCAAGGCCATGGTCAAGATCCTAAAGTATTCGTCGGCTACGGTCTCAATCCAGTATGGACAGAATTCGACGCTGACGGTTCTGTGCTCTGCGATGTGCATTACGGTGCGGAAACTTCGTACGAGCGAGGCGACATCCAGAGTTATCGCACATACAAGTTCAAATGGGTTGGCCTTCCAGATAGACGACCTGCTGTCGACATAAGTGATGACGATGCAGAAGTATACGTCTCGTGGAACGGCGCAACCGAAGTCGACGAATGGATCGTTCAATGCTCAAATACTCATACTACTGAAGAGCGGGCTTGGGAGGATGCGATCCGTGTCAAGAAGAATGGCTTTGAGACGTCCATCACCCTAGCTGATGAACTCGGAACTTCGAGATACCTCAGAGTCATTGCACTCGACAAGAACGGCCTGCGGTTGGAGCACGGCATCACGACTATCATCGACCGCGGAGTCATGGCAACATACATGCCGATTTTCAGCGGCAAGGTCTCGGACGTCACTCACGTGTCTGGTCTCAAGATGCTCTTGATACTGGTGTGCACCGTCTGCACCGTTTTCGTGCTCTTCGAGGGCTATCGACGTTTCCTCGTGTGGCGTACTGGAAAGCCGTCTGCTGGACCTTTGCGATGGCGGAAAGGCGCGACGTATCGACTCATCAGCGAGGCGTGACTAGCCGCTGGTCGGGTTTTGAGAGGATGAACTGGGTCTTCCTTCAATGTTTCCTGCTGTTCTTTTGAGCGTGGAGTTCTGGCTAGAGGTGTGTGGGGATGTACAGATCTGTCGACACTGGACAGTCGTCGAGGCTTTTTGCATCGCATGGGTTTGGATAATGGCATGGAAAGCGAAACGACTGGTCTGGGCGGGTAATACTTGCTAGACAGTCTTGTCCTGGGATAGAATCAAGACCTTTAGAGCGGCTCACTGCTCCTAGTACGACCTTTTGTGATATAGCCAACAAAACATTCCTGGTCTCATGTCGTTGAGCAAGAAGACCGACATCGCTTCGGAAGCATGCATAGTCGTTGATCAATCAACGCTGTCAGACGTCGGCCTTCGATGCTGCATCTCTGCAAGAACCTGAGTAATGTCTGCCATTGGGGGTACACAGTCACCCTGCCTAGGCCCCCCAAGTTCCAACCCCAGTCGTCGCCCTTCCAAAAGATTGCCAAAACTCCCGGCCCAACAACCACATCTTCTGTCCCATGGCGCCATCCACGACTCTCCTGCTCACATTCGCTCCCCATCCTTAACCTCATCACAAACCTTTCTCACGCCCTGTATACCACGTCCACTCGTCGACAAACACTATGCAAACGGCGGCAGGCATCGAGAGTTGAAGGAAATGCTCGGGTGAAGAGCTTGCCCGCCGATAGCGAACGGACGAGCGAGCGGCCAACACGTCTGCGAGCTTCTCGGCACGAGGTAGCCGAGCAGAGAGCAGAAGGGCGCGTTTTCGCAGCATCTTTTGGGATTTGATCTTCGACATGCGGTGGCTTCTTCGCCGCTGTCGGCGAAATGCTGGCAATGGTTTCTGTGAGTGTTTGTCGGCTATTCAGAAGTTCGCCGTAGCTCTACTACTTTTCGTTTTCTCGTTATTTGGATGGACATCCAATGCTTTCGTTGGGGATTTCGATGAGTGAGCGATTTTACGATTTGTGCTTTTTTCCAAGTCTTCTTCGTCAAAATGTTCGAAGCCGTAGCCGAAGCGGCGGATTCCCATCCCCACCATGAGCAACAAGAGAAGCCCGAGCACCATGCAGCGGGGAGTGCGAAGTCGAGTGTCTGCTCGCAAGAGGATCTGGGTGCCATTGAGCAGCAGCACCACGACAAGGAGGATGGACAGCAACCTTCGCCATCTCTCGACCTCAAGAGGACGGCGAGCAATGTCCTCAGCAAAGTCGCCTCGCGCATGACGACGAGGAGCATCGTCAACCCCCCTCCACCACCTGATGGGGGACTCAAAGCCTGGACGCAAGTCGCCATGGGCTGGTTGGTGATCTGCACGACCTGGGGCTGGATCAACTCATACGGAGCCTTTCAGTCGTACTACAACCTCACGCTCGACGAGTCCGCCTCGACGATCTCCTGGATCGGATCCGTGCAGAACTTCCTCACGTTCTTCTGTGGTGCTTTCTCGGGTCGACTGCTGGATGCGGGACTCTTCGTCCCTGCGTTGCTGGTAGGGGCGTTTCTGCAGGTGTTGGGCATCTTCATGATGAGTCTGAGCACCAAGTACTGGCAGCTCATGATCACGCAGGGCATCATGACGGGCATCGGCGGGGGATTGTTCTTCACGCCTGCGATGGGACTCATGGGGACGTACTTCTCCAGCAAACGGGCTCTGGCTATTGGGATCGCCACGTCCGGCAACTCGGCGGGTGGAATGATCTATCCTGTCATTGTCCAGCAGCTTCTCCCTAAGATCGGATTCGCCTGGACGGCAAGGGTCCTGGGCTTCTTCAACCTCGCGTGTCTGTGTCTCGTCTTTGCGTTCATGAGGCCGAGACTCCCGCCGCGCAAGTCGGGTCCCCTGGTGGATTTCTCGGCGTTCAAGGAACCTGTTTATTCCCTCTATGTCGCGGGATTGTTCTTCGGGATCTGGCCGATATACTACACCTTCTACTACGTAAGTCCTAGTCTCTCGCTTCGCACCGATCGTAGACTTATGCTCTCTCACAGCTCTCCTCCTACGGCTCCTCCACCCTCTCCCTCCCCTTCTCCACCTCCCTAACCCTCACAATAATAATCAACGGCGTCGGAGCCCCGGCCCGCATAATCCCGCCCTTTTTCGCCGACCGCCACGGCCAGCTCAACACCCTCGTCCCCATCCTCGCCTCCCTAACCCTCATCTCCTTCACCTGGCTCGCCGTCCACACAACGCCCGGCCTCTACACCTTCACCGTCTTCTACGGCATCGGGTCCGCGGCCTTCCAGTGCCTCCTCCCGTCCACCGTCGCGAGCATCACGCCGGAGATGAATCAGTTCGGGACGAGGTTGGGGATGGCGTTTGGGAGTTTGAGTTTTGCGGCATTGACGGGGCCGAGTTTGGGGGGTGCGTTGCAGGGGGTTATGGGCGGTAGGTGGGTCGGGGCGCAGTGTTGGGCGGCCGGGAGTATGGCTGTTTGTTGTGGGTTTGTGGCGGCGGCGAGGTGGAGGAAGGTGGGGTTCGCGAGGGTTAAGGCTTGAATGAATGAGGGGGGGGGTTAGAGTAGAGGATGGGGGGGGTTTCTTCGTCTGGGATTTAGATTGGACATTGGTATACCCTTTAGCGATGGAGTTGGATGGGCGAGGGATGATGCATGGACGACTGAAGTTGGACCGCATTGCTGGGATATCATCTTACGCATATCTAGGACTCATGGCTCATATGACTGAATAATCAAACACCATATCTACAAGTACAACTCCCCATTCCTACTGCCTCCAATCCAGATGGGCCCAAACTCCGATCTAGGCTGATGTGTAGCATCACTCAACGCATTTTCTCGCTCATTTAAGATCCTCGGGCCCCTCCCAGAGGCTTCAATCTTCTTCAACCATGCCGGCGTTTTCGGACCTGCATGGGCAAGTCGGTCCCGCCAGTACGTCTTCAAATTCATGTCATCCAAGTAATCAGGTTGTCCCATCTCCTCGGCATTGACGAACTCGCCGCGCAAAGTTGCTGCTACCCCGTCTGCCCAGTGGATGCCCACGTGTTGGGAAATGTATTGCATTCGACCGATGACCCAGGAGGCTTGGCTGGCGGCAGCGGAGGTCGTGGGGAGGAGGTCGCCGCTCATTGCTTCCTTCCAGGCATTGGTGCCGATGCGTTCGAGCGCGCAAGTCCCCGCGAAGAAGAGTGGCCAGATGGACATGTACGCTGTGATGAGGATACATGGGGAGTTGTAAGCCGGGGAGGCGTGGCCAAGTTGCGTGGGGATGGCGAGGCAGATCTCGTCAGCCATCTGGCGGCGTATGCTGCGGAAGTACTTGAATTGGCCAGAGTCGTTCTCGGGGCTAGGGTGGATGCGACGGTAGAGATATTCTTGCGTCCGGGTGAGCATGATTCGCATGCTGCGGTAGGTGTTCCAGGTACCGGCGGCCGGGTGAACGGTGTAAGAGTGTACGACGCCGTTCCAGACGTGAGGGGATTCTTCAACTTCGAGGTCGTGGTATTGCCAGGCTGGCTTGGCCATGGTTTCAATAGACCATTCGATCATGCGCATTTCGATCTGTGCGGCCTCATCCAACGCATGGGCGTCGGATGTTTTGTTGTACCGCACCTTGGACCGCAGAGCGGAGAAGTCCCAGCATATGATGGTCAGTTTATCTAAGGGTGCGACTTGTTGGCGGTTTGGGCTCAGTTCTTCGAGTTCCTGCTCCCTGTGCAGTGTCAGCATAGAGCAATCGACAACGGGTTGACCAAGTCTTACCATTCGTACAAGAAATCTGGCGGGCTTTCATCTTCCCATATGCAGTTGATGAGCTGCCAATGAGTCAGTTCCAAAAGCAGGCTTGTGTCAAAGGCTGTGAGCACTCACAATCTGGGAACGAGTCTCGCGAAAGAGCATCCTTCCTGTCTGCGTCTTGAATTGATTCTTTCCTCTTAATTTGAGCAGCTGGGTCGATCCTTTGATGTGTGCTTTCCACGACAGTATTGAGTCTCGGCTGTCACAAGTGAGGTTCTGGGTACGTCAGCTAGGAGTGTTGAATGTTTGTTGGGCCTGCTAACCTCATAGTATCCCAACATGGCCACGGCAACAAGACTATCGTCCGTCTTGCTTCGTTTTGGGTCCCGTAATGCCGAGTTCAGAAGACCTAGAGCCTCTCCATACAATTTCCGTGAGTATTCGCGACCTTGTATGATGTGTTGCACGTTGTCGAATGATGCAATACCACACGCACGTATGGCCAACTCCAGGACAGGGTCCATGTTGGAAAGTCTTGCTTGATCCCGTAGCCATGTCCAGTGTCCATTCTGGGATGTGAATTGATTGAAGAAGTAGGTAGTCGCGAGTTCGTCCACGTTGGGCCTGAGGGTGCTCGGTACTCCAACCTGCTCAAGTCCATAGAGGGACTCAAAGTTTTGGACGTCCTCATCAACAGGTGCTTCAGCGAAGCCAAACATGAGATAAGTTTCGTGCGGCGGTAGGTCTATTATGTCGTCACTAGAAGAGGAAGAGTCGCTGTTTGGGGTTGGGGCGTTTGTTGCTGGTGTGGGAATGCCATTGTTTGTTGTGGTCGGCGGAGCCAAGTTTCGAGCCTTTTGTCGATTCGCCTTGAGCTTGGTCGATTCGCTTTCGTCCTGGATCTGCAGTTCGGAGACGTCTCTATAACCAGTACACTGCTTCTTCAACTTGGCACACCGCGAGCATGCAGGCTGGCCCAAGTCACAGCGCTTCTTGGCCTTTCGGCACTGCTCGCAGCCAGCGGAAGGCTAGGATACGATTAGCATTGACTGGGTAAAGTCAATGGCCGTACATACCTTGCCCCGGTACACCATTTGCAGTTACTAGAAAGGGTAGGAGTTGAGAGGTGCTTGGCAGGTCGAGATGATGCTTGGCGGACGACCGGAGATGATACGGCCGCTGGAAGTATGCCTGATATTGGGAATGCTGCAGGCAGCAATATTTCAGAAAACGGAGCAGCTAAAGGGAGTTCAATCAATGCGATCGAGTGTCTCAACAGAAACTTACATCATCTGTCCCTTGGGCGTTCAGCTCTCAGGCAAGCACTGCCGGTAAGAGGATGCCGAAGCGCGGACAGGCGCAACAGCTGACGGATTCAGCGAAGAAGACGGCACTGCCACTGAGGCTGGATGACTTTCGTGTGGCACAAGGGGAAGTCCGGCGGCTATAGGTGTAGAATGTAGGCCTGATCAGCAGCGCGAATGCAACTCACATTGCTGACATAGACGAGAATAGGGCGCGGTTATGTAGGAAAGTACATGATCCCAGCCAATGTCTCCCTTCTTGAAGTCGACTGGCCCGCTACCTTTCAGCCCTATGATAGAGGACGGAGTCGGAGTCGGTGGAGAATTTGCCGATTGTTTCTGAACGGCCAAGGCGACAGGATATGCATTCGATGGCTGTGCAGCTCGAGATAGCATGACATCCATGTCTGCGAGTCAAGGCAATTCCGACGAATTGAAGCGTGAAATGAGAGGTGAAGTCGGATGATGGTGGGTAACTTCCTCGTGAAGTAGTTGGAGGCCAAGTCGGAAATTCAGCGGCACGTGTCCAGCACTTTTACCGCTGTCTCTGCTGATCTAAGCGAGCGCCAAGCCATCACAGCGACCAAATTCGACCACCATCTCATTTACTCTGCTTCACCCAAGCCACGACGGCACTGCACCAGCGACAACCACCGCCAACACCGTCAAGGTACGTGATGAAAGGAGGAGACGCAAGGGCAATGGCATGGAGAAGAAATGGCAATTGGACACATTCGACTTCGACGGCCATCAGAACCTTTTCGCATCCATTTTTGATACCCTCATACTAATACGGCGTACAGATGGGTGCCCACAAGTACCTCGAGGAGCTTCAAAAGAAGAAGCAGTCCGATGTGATGCGCTTCTTGCTCCGTGTGCGCTGCTGGGAGGTACGACACCCCGACAATCCATGAGCGGCATAAAGCACTTCGTGTGCTTGTGCTTTGATTGTACTCGTTGAACATTTGCTGAGAGTACATCAATCTAGCTCCGCCAACTCAATGTCATCCACCGCGCCTCCCGCCCATCCCGCCCCGACAAGGCCCGCCGCCTGGGATACAAGACTAAGCAGGGCTATGTCATCTACCGCGTGCGTGTGCGCCGTGGTGGCCGCAAGAGGCCAGTGCCAAAGGGTGCTACCTACGGTATGGGTGGACGATCAAGATGGACGGGACAATGGATACTCATACACTTTCATAGGCAAGCCTACCAACCAGGGTGTGAACCAGCTCAAGTACCAGCGTTCGCTCAAGTCGACCGCTGAGGAGCGTGTCGGCCGCCGTGCCGCCAACTTGCGCGTGCTCAACAGCTACTGGATCAACCAGGACAGCACCTACAAGTACTACGAGGTCATTCTCGTCGACCCCCAGCACAAGGCCATCCGCCGCGACCCCCGCATCAACTGGATCGTCAACCCCGTCCACAAGCACCGCGAGAGCCGCGGTCTCACCGCGACCGGCAAGAAGAGCAGAGGTCTCAACAAGGGCCACCGCTACAACAACACCAAGGCCGGTCGTCGTCACACCTGGAAGCGACAGAACACCCTGTCGCTCTGGCGCTATAGATAGGCGGTGGGTTGAAGGAAAGGCGTTTCTGGCACATCTGCTGCGACGTCTATGGACTGGAGTTGTTGCAATGGCATGGGAGCATCTTCGCGTTTGCCATGGGTTCCGATTCGCACTTGGCACAGGCCAGATTCGGGCAAGTAGTGAATGAAGCGGGTCCAAGGCCCCGAAATGGAATGAAAGCAAATCAACCAGGCGACCATTCTTCACATCCCAGCGAGATTTCGCAAATTTGTCTACACGCCCGCACGTATTCTAGTCTGTTCCCGTCCAAGTTACGACTCAATTCGTTCTGATCGACGTACTAGCCCTCATGGACAAACGCTCTCCCTGAATCCTTTCCCCTCGGTGGCTAGCTACGCCTCGTACTCAGCAGTCTTGGCAGAGATGAAACCACGACCACCACCGAGGGACGCAACACGCGTGATGATGCGATCCTCGCGGCCGCTGCGCTCGCTGGTTGGACTGTCAGCAGTGTTTCGCACAGGCAAGGCGCCTGCATCTGCTACAGTCGTACTGCCCTGGTGGCTTCCCCGTGGGCGAGAATCGGCACTTGGAAGCTGCTGGACACTACACCGTCCAATGCCTCTGGCGAGCGCCTCTTACCCGACGTAGCACCTCGATTCGTGACTCGCCGGTCTGGATGAACAGCATCCAGCACTGCCTCTGCCAGCGCCTGTGCGGGCAGTGACCGACTTCACCACCGCAGCGCAGATGATAGGTCGGGGTTGACACTGATGCCTCCATGGTCCTCACGCCTGCTGTCCGGCGGCAGCTCGAGCAGCACCCCCAACAACATCACCAGTACCACACCCACCCGCCACCCCTCCAACTCCGCCGCCATCCAGCGCGACAAGCAGCTCCCGCGACCGCCGCAAGAAAACCTCGATCCGCCCACGCTCGACCCAGACCGCATTCCTGCATCGCCGACCAGGCCACGTGCTGGGGGCACACGACAGCATACCCATAGCCGCTCCGCGAGCAACCCTTTGCCCAAGCTATTCGGGCGCAAGAAGAGCAACCAGCAGCTCGGCAGTTTCAACGACACCGATGTCCCTCTCGACGATGACTTGGTCCCTGTGCTGGACGAGGCATCCAACCCGGCACCAAGCAGAGTCATATCTGGCAAGAAGGGAAAGATCGACGAGGATGACAAGGCGATGAGGAAGTGCATGTGCTGCGATAGCCGCGTGCGAGTGCCAAGAGATCTAAGCAAGTTCAGGTGCATGTGTTGCTTGACCATCAACGATCTCAAGCCGGTTGAAGAGCAGTCTGGGACCGACAAGGACCGGCCACAGGTCAAGCGAGCAGGTACATATCCAGGAAAACTGGCGCCGGGCGTCAAGTTCCCATTATCGATTGAACACACGAGAGCATTGATCGATCGATGCGTGCTCAACTATCTCGAGGCGAGATGTAGGAAAGAAGACCAGATATACCCCGGGCAAAGAGTAGCTTCGCCGAAAGAGGAGAAAGACGACGTTTTCCAGACATGGCAGCAGGCATCAGAACTCCCAGTATCTACGCACGAGGAGGAGCACACTGCCAGACGTCTTGAAGATCCACCCGTCTCATCATCGCCTCCAGACACACCGCATGATGCAGAAGCAGCAGCTTCAACAGTTGCAACTATTCGCGACATCAATGAGCTTAATAAGTTCTCTGGGATGCGAATCGATACACCACCTCCTGAGCACTTTCACAACCCACCCGGCGGAGCTGTCTCCCAAGGACTACCGTCTCGAAAGCCAGTGCCGATACCTGCCAGACCCTCTCGCAGGCCGCCCCCGCCTCCAGTGCCAATTGCTAACCGACGTCCTTCGCAGAGACTGCTACCGAGCGGTAGTCTGACGCCGACTGGCCCCAATTCACCACATCCTCAGATGAGTCCCAGATTTACAGCGCAAGAAATGGAGGAGCGACGGTACCAAGCTCGTGTGAAGACGATCTTTAGGCCGCTTGAAGAATATCTGATTGCAAACTTTGGCGACTACCAATGTATCAACAAATCATTCAGCACTTTGCGAGTACCAACGGCGGGCCGAACACGCAGTGAAAGCAACATTGTGACCCCACCGCCAGAGCCAACTGGAGAATACCATCCGAGTCCTGTAGATGGATTATCTGAACTGGACGCTAAAACTTTGCTGTTAGGAGACATTGGTGAGAATGGTTCTTGGTGGACGGGCAAACTTGGGCGCGATCGGGCAGATAAGACAGTCCGGAGGAAGAGGGTCGGCGAAGGTTCCAAAAAAGCAGTCTCATCGAAGTCCGCCAACATCAATTGGAAGGAAGTGGATACTTGGTACGAGTTTATTCATACAGCTGGACACGATTGGCAGACGAAGGTCACCCTTGTGCGAGCCGACGAACCTACATTCGACAGATCAGATCTACAAGGGGACATCAACTTCGAAGAGATTGAAGACGAGCTCGCAGAAGGCAGAGAACATGCCGTGCGGACTCTGCTTAAGATAACAGAGAATCTACTGAAACGGCCATCAAGGCCGCTCAAGGAGCCCGAAGACATGAGGTTCCTCCTCATCTTGATATCGAATCCATCGCTTTATCCAGGCAGTAAACCATACCGAGCTCTGTCTACCAACAACCGCCCTGCTGGAAGATCACTATCTGGCAAAGCAAACGGGAAAATGCAAGCAAGCCCATTGTCTCCGAGGAAATCGTCTGGACGGGAGGGAAGCCAGCACAATGGTCTGTTGAAACGCATCTTTGGGCTCATTGCACATTCGTCAGATTCTTGCCATCGATACTTGGTGAACTGGTTCGCGCGCTTCGAAGAGACACACTTTGTCAAGACGGTAGACTTGGTGGCCAGTTTCGTCAATCACAGAATAGCTCGCAGGGCGGGCCGTCCTCATAGGAAGAGTGGTGGCATCAACGACGGCGGGCTCATTCCAGACCTGTCTGGCTCGGCCATGAATACCTCTGCACAGCTACACTCAGCGATGGGCCTGAGCGGTTCATTGAAGAAAGGACCTGACAACCCGAGCGGAGAGCCTGACTGGGCGTCTGACTGGCAGATCAAGGCGGCGGCCAAAGTCATGTCTCTACTCTTCGCTGCCAACAACATCTGGCAAGGCCAACCGCGCGAGATTGGACAACGAATAGACTCCGGCTTCTCATCAGCACACCAAGCCAAGGCTAAACGGAGTGGTCAGCTGCTGCATACCTCCAGCTTCTACAATACACTCCTCGACTACCAGGATATGATTGCCGATTTCAAAATCTGGGAGACGAGGCGCGATAAGTTTGCGTTTTGCCAGTACCCGCTGTTCCTGTCCATGGGCACGAAGATCAAGATCCTCGAGTATGATGCCCGTCGGCAGATGGAGATCAAGGCACGAGAGGCGTACTTTGACCAGGTCATCCAACAAAGAGCCATCGATGGGAACTTTCATCTCCGCGTTCGTCGTGAGTGCATGGTCGATGACAGTCTTCGCCAGATCAGTTCTGCAGTTGGCGCCGGCCAAGAAGAGCTGAAGAAGGGGCTGCGAGTTCACTTTACAGGAGAAGAGGGCGTTGATGCTGGAGGGCCTCGAAAGGAGTGGTTCTTGATGCTGGTGCGCGACATCTTCGATCCGAACCATGGTATGTTTGTCTACGACGACGAATCGCAAACGTGCTACTTCAACGCCCACTCTTTCGAGACGTCGGATCAATTCTACCTGGTCGGTGCGTTACTGGGACTGGCCATCTACAACAGCACCATTCTCGACGTCGCCTTCCCGCCTTTCGCCTTCCGCAAACTCCTCGCAGCTGCGCCATCTTCCATCGCCAACACCTCCAACGTCTCCTCCCTCACCGGCACCAAAGGACAAATGACCTACACCATCTCCGACCTAGCTGAATTCCGCCCCTCCCTCGCCGCAGGCCTCCAACAACTCCTCGACTTCGAAGGCGACGTCGAAGCCACCTACTGCCGGGACTTCGTCGCCCCAGTCGAACGCTACGGCACCGTCATCGACATCCCCATCATCCCCAACGGCGAAAACACCCCCGTGACCAACGCCAACCGCCACGACTTCGTCGACGCCTACGTGCGCTACCTCCTCGACACGGCCGTGTCGCGGCAATTCGAGCCCTTCAAACGCGGCTTCTTCACCGTCTGCGCCGGCAACGCCCTCTCCCTCTTCCGCGCCGAGGAAATCGAACTCCTGATCCGCGGCAGCGACGAGGCCCTCGATGTCGACTCGCTCCGCGCCGTCGCCACGTACGAGAACTGGAAACATTTCCAACCGCCACATTCCCTCGTGCCGAACCCGGCGGATAACGTCCTCGTGGTGGTGTGGTTCTGGGAGCTCTTCGCCGAGGCGACACCGGAGAAGCAGCGGAAATTGCTGACGTTCATCACGGGCACGGATCGGATCCCCGCTGTGGGCGCCACGAGTCTGGTGTTGAGGATCGTGGCGGGCGGGGATGGATGGGGTGGAGGGGGCGAGGAGGAGAGGATGCGGTTTCCCGTGGCGAGGACGTGTTTTAATATGTTGGTGCTGTGGAGGTATGATTATCGGGAGCAGTTGGAGGAGAGGCTTTGGAGGGCGGTGGAGGAGAGTGAGGGGTTTGGGTTGAAGTGAGAAGGGGTTGCACAGGGGAAGGGAGGGAAGAGTAGGATATGGGTTTTATGGGTGTTGGATAGGTGAGAGTTGAGGTAGCCGCTGTCGTTGATATTTTGTGGAAGAGAGTGCGAGGGAAAGCGTCGTTCATCGAGCAGTACGAGTATTGTCATAGAGACGCAAGGTCCATAGGATAGAGGAGGTAGAATTGATGATGAAGAGAATATCGATGTTCCGTGCAAACTGATATGCTACGGAGATAGTCATCTCTTCCTTTCGAATGAGGTTGTCGACGCACGATTCCTCCTCTTCATCCCTGTAGAACCGGCGGGAAGATCCTGCAGATGGGAGAGTACATGTATACCCAAGTTGTCCATCACAGAATGAAAGCCTGGATCATTGGCGAAAAGCAACGGTCCGGCCACGGAAGCTAGTTAATGTCTGAACTCTAATGCGCTGTTCATGCGCCCTGCGGGTTTGATTTCGACGCGGTCTTCAAGTTGATTTCTCGACGCTTCGACGCGGTCTTCGAACTGAAGAGGATTTAGCTGTGCCATTGGCTCAACGGAGCGGTCCGTCAACGGACGCTAAGCAATGTCCTTCGATACGCTCTGGTTTCGACGCAGTCTTCAGGTTCTGCTTCGACGCGCTCTCATCATCTTCTTTTGGATGCGCTTTTCTCGCTCTGGCTCGGACTGAGGGCGGCGAGACTTGACCTTTGACCCGATTTCGTGGAGAGGCTAGAAAGCACAATGGGCTGTTTTCGTTGGGTTGATGTTGCACCTTCGCCTGATCGGTGACTACCTTTGCCGTAGGACAGGAGAGGGACATCGAGCTGAAAGTCGAAGAATAGTACAAAGCATCTCTCCGACATCGCGATAACCCGAACGAAGTAGCACGAGAAAGGAAGTATCAAGACGCTTCAAAGCCAGCGATTGTACACGAGATCCGTCCATTCAATGACCTCAAAAAGAGTGGCTGGCTTGATCCCATCGTCAACTTCATATCTAACTGACCTCGATATCGACGTCCACGGATTCCAGTCTGACGAACGACGACCTCCGCGAGGAATGTAGCCGCATTATTCACGAGCTCGGCCAGTGTCCATTAGCTTTGCATGGGAGTGCGACAATCGGGGGCCTGATCGTTCGAGGTGGGAGGAGGAGGATAGGGATGCGGTTGGGGTTTGGAATGGTGGATCTACCGCGAACAATGGGGTATGTAGTTGGGTCTGGCGGTGAAGGGCGAGCGATTCTAGGCAAGATTTCGAGGAAGATGGGATGAATGTGTTCGTTCCGCGAGATGGGACTTTGGTGTGTTGACGGGGAGGAGTTGTTTCTCTTTCTCTTTTTGGTGGTTTGGGGCACGACGAACGGGAATGAAGTGGAGACGGAAAGGAAGGATACAATGAGCATGGAGAAAACAGAATAGATAGACAGACTACTTAGCATTCACCTACTCTGGCACGACATTTGGTCCAGAGAAGACTCGAAACACTTGGCCACGTTTCTTCGTCTCCGAATCAAGGCCGAGAATGACCATGTCTCGAAAGTTGACGCTCCTCGTGGCACCTGTCGTGAGGATGCTCTCCAACGCTCAGCGAACAAGCAGTCCCTACCTTTGATGCCAAACGGAGGTAACGAGAAGTTTTGACGAGAAGGAGAGCGCTCAAATACGAGACACGCATGCTTCATCGCAAATCACTCTTCATCGACTTCGGTCAATGGACCTTTCTTGCTCGCAAAGCTCACTCATCACTTCTTCCATATCTTTTTCTCCCCAGGCCGAAGCGACGATGATGCATGATGCGTTCCCACGTGGGTGAGAATGACTATGTCATCAAGTAATCGCTAGTCGCGGCTACGATTCCTTAGAGTGAAGGAAGGATGTCTTCAGAGTCCCCGTGGGCTTGATGCTCGTGCTTGTTGGTCTTTTCTTGATGGTGGAGATCCTTCTGGTGTTTCGTCAGACGTCACTCTCTAGAATTTGCTCGTTGAGTGCTGCGAGTGCGGTCTTGAGATGGAGGATACGCCATGAATGGGGTTCGTTGAAATGTGCGATGAAGTCACTTTGCAGCTGGGAGACTGGTGCTTGCTGCGCCGGCATTCGCTTCTGCCCTCGTGTCACTGGCGATTGATCGAGACCCAATTGGAATTGACGTTTCGACAAGAATGATGAAGGTGATCTGTCTTGATCCTGCTTTTCGGTGTGGTTGTCGATCGCGTAGTTCTACTCTTTGTTAAGATACTGCTTTTTGGTGGCAGTAATGCGTTCCTGATCAAGGGCTGTGGTTCTCATCAGGTGGCCATACATGCGAGAAGCCTTTATCACAAGTCGCATTGCTTTCGATGCCGCTGCTCCCGTATTCGCTCGGCGACCGGCGGACTGGCTAAAGAGCTCTCTTGATCCTTGGTCTGCGTTTGCGAGTTCTTGACATCGTCATAGCCATAGCCATTGTGGAATGTGTGACCCTAAGTCTTAGAATGTACCTAATACTCTCTCGTCAATGGCGCCGCTGTAGCACGTGTGAAGAATTTGGACGATGTCACCAGATCTGGTGATCTTATCTGATCTTCGAATCAATACTTGGTACCTCTCGGTTGATGGTCGTGAGGAGGCGTATCCGCGCGGTGGTAGCTGTTGTGCGTGCAAGAAACGCGACGCTGCTATTCGATGCGCTGATGTAAATCTTGCAGAAGTACAACACTGCAGGTGTATGGCGTAGATTGTCTCGCGAGTGGTTTTCGATACGGCGTATCTTTGCTCGCTTCGCGCTTCTAATACCTGACCTGCATCGCTGTCCGCGATAAGAAGTTGGTGTAGGAGGACATCTGGCCGAATGAAGCAGGAGTGAAGGTGCTGTGCGGACATGTGACAAGTGCGTGAATTCATGCACTTGGTCAATCTCGGCGGAATTGGCATCGAAGCGGGCAAGTCAACGTTCACGGCGTCGAAGTTCCTGAAGGATACAAGCGGTTCGATTGTGGCGTGCAGCTATCCACATGTCGGCGCCGCTGTCTCCCTGCCAAGAGAATGGACGATAGACAAGAGGAAATCAACGCACCCCTGCTCGGCCGACACAGAGACATGTCGCGGTGAAACAGAAGTCGAACACTGCCATCATCAAGCTCACGCAAGGCCTGGCGCAAGCTTTGTTGTGGGTGGAATGAAGAGGGACGACGTAATGAAGACGAGCGGCCGGCGTTCTACCAACGTTGGGGGGAGTTTCGAAATATCGGATGAAACGCGCTCCTCTCCTCTTCCCCATGTATCGATCAGCATGGAATGAAGGTCTTGGCAAACGGGCGGGTACTGGATCGCGCGTGGCTTAATCAGACGAGGAATTGCTAGAAGGCGTCTAGCGTGCGAAGGTCCAAGTGCAGGCGACGTCGGTGATAGGCGACGTCCAGTGAGAGGATGAGCGAGTCTTGGTCGTGGAATTGGACGCGGGAGAGATGATGAGACGGGGCTGAATTCGCGAGGCCGCTGTCCGTGTCGCTGCTCCTATTCTGGTGGCGAAAATGGAACGGCCAGACAGGCACAAGGGCCGGAGACAGACATTGCATTGCAGCGATTGCTGGTGTCTGACGTATGTCTCTTGCGCGGAGGGTGGAGGGATTCGTGGGTGCCAAGAGAAAGGGAGCCAGCATCCCGGCGCGGGTGGGCGTTGAGTGACAAGTTGTCGTCGTGGGCGTGGCGCGCAAGCAACAGCCCGCTGGTTCGCTGCTAGCCCCTTTCAGGCCGGCTGCGACGCTCTCTGCCACTTTCCACTTTGCTTTCTGCGATCAAGATCACTAAAACGGCTGCCCGCCCTTGGTATATGCAACACCGCTCGTTCCTTCCTGCACTGCATCACTACCACTACTACGCGCCGCTCGCTCGCTTGCCTGCTCGCCTGCCAACCTCTTGCTCGTGCCTATATCTCTCATCGCTTTCCTTCCCGCGCGGCAAAGCTCTCTGTCGCGGTTCCACTCATTGGCCTCCAACTTTTGTTACCGCGCACTCACCACACTACTACGACGTCGCTGAGCGACCCAATTCCACAATAATCTAATCAACCACACCCTCACCATGGCCTTCCAACCATACACCCCCAAGCCTGTCACCGACATCTTCACCGCCGACACCGATATCAACCGCAGAGAATGCCGCCGTGTGGTTCCAATGCGAGTGCTCGCTCTCGGGCTTGGACGAACTGGAACGGCTTCACTTCGAACTGCTCTCAAGGATCTGGGCTTCGCCGACTGCTACCACATGATGTCTGTATGTAACATCAACATCATACCACTCGCAACAATTGGGAATTTTCTGACTTTTTAATTGTAGGCATCTGTTGAGAACCCTCCGGATTGTTTGATGTGGAGCGATGCACTGGCATCCAAGTACGACGGCAAAGGCCAATTCGGCCGCGAGCAATGGGACCAACTCACCGGCCACTGCCAGGCCATTTGCGATTGGCCCGCCGTGGCCTTTGCAAAAGAGCTCATCGAGGCCTACCCAGAAGCCAAGGTTATACTCACTACCCGTGATGTTGACAGCTGGCATGCGAGCACAATGAAGACGGTCCACTGGCGTGCAACCGAACCAGAGCTCAAGTTTGTCTCGAAGTTTGATTGGGGAGCGGGTCTCTACCAACCAATGCTTTCCAGTGAGTAGCAATCACGATCCATCTCAAATCATTTCAATCACGGAATGTGTTACTGACTTTGTAACAGAGTTCTGGACCGAGTTCTGGGAGGGCGATTTCGAGAAGAACGGCAAGCGACGATTCAAAGAGTACTACGACGAAGTGCGATCACTGGTGCCGAAAGAGAATCTGCTGGAGTACAAGATGGGAGAGGGATGGAGGCCACTCTGCGACTTCCTGGAGGTTCCCGAACCACAGGGCAAGAAGTTCCCTCGCACCAACGACACAGACGGATTCGTGGACCGATGTCGACGGAGAAACCGCATGCAACTGTTCAACGTCCTCTTCCGCGCAACCGTCGTGGGAGGATCACTGGCAGCAATCGTCATCAGCTCGACCATGACGATCCGCAGGTTCTTTGGCAGCCGCGGGAGCGTGCTGTCGTGAGTGAGATGCATCTGCTACTGTCAGATGCGGTTTGCCGCTTTGCGCATATCGTTTTGCATGGGATTATCGGTTAGAGGCGTCGATGACAAGGGACGGACATGGCGTTGTGTGACCTGGGACGGGTCGGAGCATCTACGGATACGGGTCGTTGGAAGTTATCTTGCAGGATGTTCACGGCATCCTTTTTTGCTCATCGGGAGCGGTTGTGACATGGTGGCACAGCAGGACTGCTGAAAGGAACGGAAAAGCATGTGTTGCTTGAGACTTACTCCGCCATCTACAAGACGTAGACTTGGCCGGCAGATCGAAATGAACTCAGAGGGACAATCCAAATCCCACCAAGCAAAACGCTACCTCCTTCTTCTCTTACGTCGATACTGTCTATCATCGGACCACCGGCTGACGTTTCCTCTGTAAGATTCGTTTTAGCCGTGGAACAGACGGCCAGGAACAATAAAGGTACACGCGGCTCTGCGGGTCCGACTGTGACCAGGATATGCACAGACACACAGACAAGCATTGCACATACATTTTGTACATGACGCAGGTCCGAGAACAATCAAGCAGCCGTCACAAATCAATCTATCCAGGGCCGTGACACGGCGACCGTCGTGACGCCCGCAGCTGTCGTGCGACGTGCACGATTCGCAAGCATCGCCGCTAATGAAACACGGTCGAGATGCGAGAGCTTTGTGAGCCACGCACGCGAGACGATCTCTGGAGGCGCTTGCAGATGCGGGAGCTGAAACACATACTGCGCGGCCTGTTTTTCTTTTCAACGACGATCGCGGTAATGAGTCGTCAGCAACCACAAATACTGTAGGTAGTGTACTGTCTGGCGTTAGGGTTGCTTTTGGCCAAGAGGTGCGTGAGAGGGATCTTCGTTGTGGTGTTTGGTGCGGGGCGGGATAAACTCGTGCCGCTGGGTTCGCGGACAAGGTGTGGGGAGCGGCGGTTTGATGATGATGTGGTCGTTTCTTGTTAGGTTAAGTGGGCATCATCATCAGTCAAGGTGCTGGGTGCCCTTGTTGGTGGTCAGGAGGCGCCTGTTGCGGTTTGATGATCCAGTAGCCTCTCGGCTCCTGGACATGGGGCGTGCTGCGTGCAGAGACTCCGGGCCAGTAGTCGCAGCGAGTGAGCGGTGACATGGCAGCGTGCGTGACCAGGGATGGAGGACGGACGGCCGTTCTGTCAGTTGTTTCGATTGTTTGCGATTGCTGGCATTCTTGCTCAGGCCCGTTGCCCGGCTCGCTGGCCCGTCCGTTCTGACCTGCCTGCCTGCCTTCACTACCTTGCTCGAACCGCAACTTCACCTCGTCCCACTGCAACAACCACAGCAACGACCCGGATTCTGCGCCCCTCGACGACGTCCCAGACTACTGTATAATAGCATGACGTGCAGATAAACAAACGGGCCCGGCACATCATCGACCACTAGCCAACGTCCACTTTCTCGCGTGCGTTCCTGGATGCTGGATGCTGCCACTCGCGCTATTGCTTGCGTGATCGAGCCCCCAAGATCTGGCTATACCGGACCCGCCGCGCCATGCCACTCGCTACACCAGCCTTCGCACACCTCTTCGCCCTCCGACGGATAATATATGCGGCGCTGGTGTTAAGCTGTTGGTGGTCAAGAGGAGTGGAAGCACAGCTCGACAACGAGACGTCGCCGACATATCAATTCAAGTCGGTAAGTTTACGCCTGGAGGATTGCGCCAGCGAAAACAAGCCAGCCCGCCAGCCAGCCACATCCGCCCAGCCAAGCAACGATCCCGCTAACGCAGGTACCGTCCTTCACAGAGACCCGACCTTCACGCTCCCATCCTCGAGTTCGCCGTCCTCAGACCGGAACTTGTCTTGCCGGGATACGTCTTCCTTGCGCCGTACCGCAACCTCGATCCGGGGCCTTATATCTACGATAACAATGGACAGTTGGTGTGGTCGGGCGCGGGCGAGGCGGGGCCTAAGACGGCACATGCGCCAAAGGTTTGTGTGTACAAGGGAGAGGACCATTTGTGCTTCTTTGAGGGAGAGCAGCATCAAGGCTTCGCGAGAGGACATGGAATCATCATGGATAACACTTACCGAGTGGTCAAGGCGATTGACAGTTCGGGCGCTGGCGCGAGTAGCGATATGCATGAGTTCCGCATGACGCCTTATTCCAATGGGACTTCTGTCTTGATGACGGTCTATCAGCCACGGCAGTACGATCTCACGACCAATGCTCGATTTAATCTGCAACATGGCCTAGGATGGATCGTGGAAGGCGTGTTTCAAGAAGTGGATATTGAGACTGGGAGAGTGCTATTCGAATGGCGGTCACTGGACCATGTCGACCCATCAGAAGCGTGGACTCTACCCGGCTCGACGGATACCAGCGGCGACGGTCTCCACGAACAATCACCTTGGGACTACTTCCACATCAACTCGATCGATAAGAACGAAGAAGGCGACTACCTCATCTCAGCGCGCCACGTCAGTGCCATATATAAGGCGTCTGGCCAAGATGGGAGTATTATATGGCAGCTGGGCGGCAACAGTCCTTCGTTCACGCAAACGAACTTCCAATTCTCGTACCAGCATCATGCGAGATGGGTTTCGGAGAATGGAACGCATACGGTGTTTTCCTTCTACGACAACGCGAGCAACAATTACAATGCCACGGGAGAGTTCTCGCATGGTTGGATCATTGCGATTGATCATATCCAAGAGACTGCGACAATGATCAAGGAATGGGGTGCACCGCAGTCAGAAGGTGGACTTCTCTCAACATCTCAAGGAAACATGCAGCTGCTCCCGAACGGAGGCGCTCACATCGGCTGGGGAGAACACGCATACTTTTCCGAGCATCTCGAAGACGGTACCTGCGTGCAGTATGCAAAGGTGGCAGATCGAGCGTCGAATGTCATGATCTATCGATCCAACAAGTTCAACTGGACTGCGCAGCCTGTGACGAAACCCGCGCTTTGGACGTACAGCAAATCTGGAGAGGTGAATACGAGTTTCTGGGTGTCGTGGAATGGAGCGACGGAGGTTAAAAGTTGGAACTTTTACGTTGCGGAGAGTGCGTCTGGGCCGTGGGAGTATGCTGGGAATGTCGGGAAGACTGGGTTCGAGACGGAGTTCCACATCGAGACTTTCGCGCCCTGGTCGTATGCGGAAGCACTGGATGGCGATGGGAGACCCCTGGATGCCAGTGTCGTCGCGAGGACGTTCGTGCCTAGTGGGAGACTTCGACCGTGGTGCAATGACAGAGGATGCGACTACGCCTCGAGAGTCCCCGAGGAGCAAGAGACGCCATACGAGGCTGAGAACAACGTGGCGGAGAAGTTCCTCTCGACAAACCGGGGCTTCAACACGAGCCAGTATTACCAGTACCTACCAACCATCGATACCCCCCAGGAAGCGACGACCCTCGAAAGCGAGCCCGAAATCGAAGACGATACAACCGAACCGAACAATACATCCACTCTGGCGGTCATCGCAGGCCTGGTGATGGGCTTCACGGCCGCGACGATGGGATTCTTCTTCTGGCGGACGGGATTGTTCAGGAAACTGCAGGGCAAGACGGATGAGATGACGCACGCGGCGTTTGGGTCGAAAGTGCTGGGGAGGTATACACGGGTTAAGGAGGCGGATGGGAATTCTAGTCCTGGGGGGATGTCGTGACTAGGGAAGGGGAAGGTGGGGAAGATGGTGTGAAGGGGGAAGGAAAACATGCTGTGAAGGCGACGAGTATGTGAAGAAAGCAAAAGGGCGAGGTTTTGGCATTGTGGAGGGTGGGTTTTGCAGATGTTTAGAATCATAGCCGTGGGCGTTTATAGAGGATGGGGCATGCATTTGCTAAATTAGGGGAGCAGTTGCATGGCACTGTTGCATGGGAGGGAGTTTTGATGTGTTTGAGGAGAGTTCTATACCACTTATCTGGCGAGTAGAGTGATGATAGGTCGTCTGTACGAAGAAGGAAGGTGTCTCTACTGTTCGCGGGCTCATCATCAGGCTCCCTCTCCATCTACCCATCCACCTCTGATCTAGAGGACTCTCTCGTATTTCCCCAGATTCATTCACGCGCCGCCATCCCGTATAGAAAGCGTTCTTTGGGTCCCGAAGGAGACACCGTTCGTTCGTTCGTATAGTTTGATACGATGTCAGGAGTTGGGAACGGATAGGGTACAAAAGGAGGAGGTTTTTGTGTTTCTTTCGATTTTGCTTTTTCTTCTTCTTCTTCTTCTTCTTCTTCAGTTGCTACTACTACTGGCTTTGGAAACTTTCGTTGCCTTCAGGGCTGGTTCTGCTTCTGGCCCCTGATTCTGGGTGGGGATGCGAATGCACTGGACTGTCATGACTGGACTGGACTGGCTTGAAGATTGACCTGGATGCGAGGATGATTGGGATACCGACAGACGGCGGGACCATTCACGAGAAGGAGAGCATGTTGTAGGGTCCTATTGCATGGCTGATCAGAGGCGGCCTTGTTCTAATTCCTTGGGGGAGAGTTTCTCAGCCCTGTCTTGAGGGGTGTTGAGGGACGGACGCCACGCTGCAGATTGGATTGGTGAAGCGATCATTATCTTCGTGCAGGGCCTGGACGGAGTGGCCGATGGATTCTTCTTCGATTGATTGACCGATCGAAAGATCTCTTGCCAAAATTCCTGGATCAAACCCGATCCAATCCATCCCGCGAGATTCTTCGACGCCACTGGATCCGCACCTCTGAAACGTCGCCCTGGACTCGTCTGTTTCATCTCCCCCCCGGAAGCCACGCCGCGGGTTAGCGCTTCGGATTGGCAGCGAGATGTATGGGTAGATGGACGGGTATCAGCAGCAAACGACAAGGAAGCACGCAGCAAGCAGCAAGCAGGCACATCCACTTGGTGCCTGGCGGGTCTTCGTACGAGGGGCCGGATTCACACACGCATCAAGTGGTATGTATGCAGAGAAGTCGCAGGTCGGGAGAGAAGTCTGGGCGCGCAACATCCGCCGGCCTCGTGGTCTGAATTGCTTGATGGATTCCGTCACCACCAACACCACACAGCCATAAAGTCCTACGTCGCCTCTGTGCATACGTTCCAGCCGCGTACCACCGGCTTGACGAAGTCGACGTCGTCGTCGTGCTCCCGCGCCGTCCTACGTAGATCCGCCGAAGAAAGGTAGCGGCGGCAGCAGCTGGTCCAGGAGCACCGCCATGATGGTCTTTCGCTAAAGGTGGATGTGCCAAGCAAGGGCTTGACGACGCAGTCCCGACGAACAAAAGAGGTTGGCAGCAAATCCCGGCGCGCGAAGAGTCTTTTGCCAAGATCGAAGACGGCACGCTTCTCCTCTGCTCACGTTGCACCACAGCTACAGCTGCTACTGCTAGAGGCATTGCTCCCGCCGCTGCGTAATCGCCAGTTCGCCCGCCCGCCGTGCATCCGCCGTAGTCGTGGTGCAGCCCTGCTCGAGCCGGGGGCCCGCCAGAAGATAACCGTTCCGTGTTGGCCGTCTTGACGAGCACGCCATCTGGATGCAATCCCACGCCAGAAGCTCTTCGCTGGGCACGCAGGGCGCTGGCATGGCCCATCAGAGAAATACCTCGCGCCATCTGCCCTACGTCCGCAACCGCCTGGGCTCGGATGCTCTGCCTTCGCCCTCACTGTCCCAGAAGCCATTGAGCGAAGAGGAGAATCCTTACGAGCACGACGAAGACGACGACGACGACGGGTACCTTGACGATTCGAAAGCACCACATGCTCCCGCCAAGGAGTGGAACCCCGCTTCGATAGAAAATGGCCATCCTCGACGGTCGCTGTCACAAGCTCCCATGCTTCCCACATCCACCGACAACGCAACCTCACAAGGCATTCACGTAACGAGGTCACGACCGCCCCCGCCGACATGGAAGAACCTCCCCAACAAGGGCCAACTGGCCATCCTGGCCCTCTCGCGATTCGTCGATTTTTTCCAGATGGCTGCCCTGCAGACGTTCATGGTCCATCAACTGCGAAGCTTCGATCCTGACTTGACAGACGTCGATATCTCACATCAGGCCGGTGTGCTGCAAGGTGCCTTCACCGCTGCGCAAATCATCACGAGTATATTATGGGGACGGGCGGCGGATCAGCCAATGCTGGGGAGAAAGACGGTGCTGAACATTGGACTGGTGGGGACGGGGATTGGATGTATAGGAGTGGGATTCAGCAAGAGCTATGGACAAGCTGTGTTCTGGAGGTTGATGAGCGGGGCGATCAATGGGACTGTAGGATCGGCGAGGACAATGGTTGCTGAGATCACACCCAAGCCCTGGCATCCTCGTGCGTTTCTGCTTCTGCCAGCAGCTTTCAATGTTGCAAATGTTGCAGGACCGATTCTTGCGGGATTGTTCGCCGATCCGACCGTCAACCTGCCGAAGCTTTTTGGGCCGAACAGCACATTTGGAGGGCCGGACGGTGTGCAGTGGATGAGGGAGTATCCTTATGCGGTTGCCAATCTCATGAGTACGACACTGCTTTTCGCGGAGGCGATTCTGGTGCATTTTGGGCTGCAAGAGACGTTGAAAGGGAAGAAGCCGCTGGATATTTCCAAATTTGATCCGGTTGCGTTGGTGCGGTCAGCGTATGAGAGTGCACAACGGATGAGGAATCAGGGATACAGGATGCTGCAGGAGACGCAGCGAGAGGGGCTGCTGTCTGGCGACACGAGAGGGTCTGTGGAGATGGACAGACTGACGGCGAGCGGAGAAAGGGAAGCACAGAGACCGGTGCAAAGGTTGGCCTTTCGACGCATTTGGACGCCCAACGTTCTGTGGACACTGCTCAGCATCGCCATCTTTGACTTCCACATGGGTGCGTTTGCGAACTTGTGGATCTTGTTTCTGGCGACGCCACGAGAGTTCACGGGTGGTGACAACTCAGCGCGTGAAGACACCTCTTTACAAGCGAGGAGCATGTTCAAGTTTTCTTCAGGACTGGGATTCCCGCCGCCTACGATCGGATTCGCCATGGCCATCATCGGATTCATCGGCGTGGCGCTGCAATTCCTGCTCTACCCCTGGGCGAACGGCCGCTTCGGCCTGATGAGATGTTTCCGCGGCTCGCTCTTCCTCTTCCCGGCAGCATACTACCTAGCACCCTACCTCGCGCTCCTCCCATCAACCTCTCCACCACCCAACCCCGCCAGCGGCGCCATCATCTGGATCGGCATCTCCTTCGTCCTCTTCCTCCAAGTCGCCGCCCGAACTTTCGCCCTCCCCGCCTCCATCATCCTCCTCAACAACAGCTCGCCCCACCCCAGCGTCCTCGCGACAATCCACGGCATCGGCAATGCCTGCTCAGCCACCTTCCGCACTATCGGCCCTGTGTTGGCAGGGTACTGGTTCGGAATCTGGACCGAGCGAGGAATCGTCGGAATGGCGTGGTGGATTGTAGCGACGTTGGCGTCGGTGGGTTGTGTGGCGAGTTTTAAGGTGCGGAATGGGAGTGGGCATGAGATTTTCTTGCCCGGGGAGGAGGGCGAGACGAAAGAAGGGGAGGCCGGGGGTGGGAGTGGAGATGGGAGGTGATGAAGATGCACGCATGCATGTCTGTATGAATTGTATGTGTCTCTATTTTACCTGTGTTTTTGTTATGTACTGCTGATAGAGAGCGGCATCAAGTGCGAAAAAGTTTAGAGAGACATCTCTTTGGAAGAGGGGAGACTCGGTTCACGTCAACAAGTTCATCTCACTTTTCTATCTCGTTTCTCGTACCTCTCACGTGATCCCTGGTTAACATCACCCTTTGCAAGCTCGGCTATTCACTGCGACTGCCTTGGACTGCGTTCGGGTGGTCGTACATGGCTTCTCTCGTCTCTCGTCCCCCTATTCAGCCTCGAATATTGGATGGATGAATGGGTGTTACGGATATGCTTTTCCTTACTTACCCACCGCAGCTTCTCTCCGCAAGGCTGGGATCCCGGGAGTCTGGGTATAGAGGTATTCATGTATCTTTTGATTGGACTGTTTATAACGAGCTTGAGGTGGAGGAGATGGGGCCCCGCGGATTGATCTCTTGGTACTTTGTTTTGATTTGATTCGAGAGAAGAGAAGGACCAAAACCTGGATCTCAACAATACTTGAAGATGGACGACAAAACAACCACCGCCGATACGATCCAACTCGAACACATCCCTCCCTCGCCTCCATCCAACACCACCACCCCCTCCCCCTCCCACCTCCACCACGACACCATCGCCCCGGAAGCCCGCGGCGACATCCTCCCCGCCAACTACTACACCTCCCCCCAATTCCTCGGCACGCTGGTCGCGACATGTCTCGCGCAGATCTCCGGGTATCTGGGCTGGGTGTTGCCGGCGAATACGATTAGTTTGATTGTGGCGGAGTTGGGAGATGGAGGGGGAGGGAGTGGGGCGAGTGTGTGGTTGGCTGTTAGTTGGCAGGCGTGAGTTATCTATCATATTGAGATTTTGGGAAGGGGGGATGGGGAGACAGGGTTGGTGGTGGGTGCGATGCTAATGTGTGTGACGATAGGGGCTTCGCAGTCGGCTTCCTCTGGGTCGGCCGTGTACGTCTTCTCCCCTCCCCTCCCCTCCCCATCCCACCACTAACCCTCCCTCCTCTCCCTCGCAGCTCTCCGACATCTTCGGCCGCCGCTACTTCTTCATCTCCTCCTCCGCCCTCGCCATCCTCGGCAACATCCTGGGCTCCACCGCGCGCTCCCTCGACACGCTCATCGCGACCAACTGCATCAACGGGCTCGCGGCGGCGGGACAGTTGAGTTTCAGTGTGGTTTTGGGCGAGTTGGTTAGTAATCGGAGTCGGGGGGTGTATAATGCTGTGGTGCTGAGTACGAGTTTGCCGGTGGCGGTCTTTGGGCCGGTGGTTATGAGGGTGAGTGAGTTTTTATGGATGTTTCTTGGGGATGGTGGGATGGATGGATGGGTAGGGGCTGATGTTGGCTGTGTGTAGGCCTTCTTCGAACATACCGCGTTGACGTTTCGGTGGAGTTATATCCTAGGCGTAAGTTCCCCCCCCCCCCCTCAGCTAAGACCTCCCCACCCAGGTCATAGTCAACACCCTCGCCGTCCTCCTCTACACCCTCTTCTACCACCCGCCCTCCTACCACCACCTACACGTCAACGGCAAATCCCGCCTGCGCCAACTCCTCGACTTCGACTGGCTCGGCACGGCGCTCTTCACCGCCGGCCTCACAACCTTCCTCATCGCCCTCAACTGGGGCGGCAGCGTCTACCCGTGGTCCTCCGCGCACGTCCTAGGAGCCTTCTTCGCGGGCCTCGCGGGCATGGTCGCCTTCTGCGTCTGGGAGGCTTATTGCCCGCACGAGTACCCCCTCATGCCGGTGGGGCTTTTCCGGAATGTGAAGTATGACGCGATTGTCGCGTGCGCGAGTATCGGCGCGATGGTGTATTACTCCGGCACGGTGATCTGGCCCACGATGGTCGGGGCGCTGTTCACGGACGACGTGGAGCGGGTGGGGTGGTTGTCCTGCGCGGTGGGCGGGGGGCTCTTATTCGGCCAGATCTCCGCGGGGATCGGGGTGCGGTACCTGCCTAGGATGAAGTGGCAGATGACGGCCGCGGGCGTGGTCATGATGGCTTTCATCGCGGCGTGCGCGGCGGCGGATGGGGGGAGTGAAGGGCAGACGGTGGCGTTTTTGTTGCTGGGGACGGCTGCCGCTGGGTATGTTGAGAACCTGACCCTTTCGACGATGGCGTTGGTCTGGGAGCCTGATGATATCGGGCTCGTGGCCGGTGTGCTGGGCGCGATTCGCACGGCTGCGGGGGCGTTGGCGACGTCGATGTATAGCAGTATCCTGTCGACGGAGTTGGCGAAGTACCTCCCGCGGTATGTGGCGCCTGCGGCCATCGAAGCTGGATTACCGGAGAGCAGTGTCTCGGCTTTGTTGAGTGGAGTTTCGACGAGCAGCTTTTCGACTGTCCCTGGGATTGACGAGGCTATTATCGCTGCGGTTGGGGCGCCGATCAAGCAGGCCTATTCCAGGGCTTTCAGGACGGTGTTCTTGTGTACGATCCCTTTCAGTGTGATCTTACTCGTGGCGGCGGTGTTGTACTGTCCGAATGTGGAGGATTACATGACGGAGGAGGTGGCGAGGAAATTGCAAGGGGTGAAACCCAAACCTGTTGAAAAGACCGAGGACGCTGGGGTCGTATGAAATGATCAAGAAGTAACTGTACACGAAAAAATCAATGCTAGCCAAAACAAGAAGATCTATCCCTCAACTACAACAACTCCGGCTCCACCACCCCCGTCTGCCCCGTTATCAAACCATACGTCTCCACCCGTCTATGCTTCCCATAATTAAACGTCCTCTCCTTCCCCTGCCGACACTCCGCCAGATCAATCTCCGCCGCCACCAGCTCATCTCCATCCGTCCCTGCCTCCGCAACAACATGTCCCTCGGACCTCACGATCGAACTGCCCCCGATCAGATGGTACTTCCCGTCATCCAGCCCGCACCGCGCCGCGGAAATCGAGAAACACGCGTGCATGTAGCTGTTCGCTTGCTGGACTAGTCGAGAGTGGAAGAGGGCTTCCTTTTCGGCTTCTTCGGGCGCCATGGATTTCCCGCCCCAGAGGTGCGACATGTGCCCGCCGGTGTTGTACCCGAACATGAGGATCTCGGCGCCTTGTAGCGTGTACACGCGCCAGGCCTCGGGCCAGCGCCGGTCGTTGCAGATGAGCATGCCCAGGATCGGGTCGCCTTTTCCCTCGGTCGATTCATCTGCTTTGGTCGTGGTCGACTTCTTCACGGCGTCTTTGACGAGGCCCGGCGCGCGGAAGGCTTGGAAGCCGTAGTTGCCGGGTTTGAAGTAGCGTTTCTCCAGCTGGTTTGTGGCGGCGGGGTCTTCGAAGGGTTCGACGCGGCCGGGGAGGTGCACTTTTCTGTATTTGCTCAGGACTTTTCCTGTGGATCCGGAGAAGTAGACGGAGGTGTTGTAGCCCATCCCGTCGGGGGTTCGCTCTGCATACCCGAGCACGATATCGATATCGTGAGCTTTCGCTTCGTCGAAGAGTGGTTTGACGTCGGGGGATTGTGTGATGTCTTCGCCGTGCTCGAAGTATTTGTCGAGTTCTTCTTGGGATTGGATGAAGTGTCGTGGGAAGAACGTCGTTAAGGTACATTCCGGGTAGACGACAAGTTGGACTTTCTGTTCGGCGGCCTGGTGGAGGAGTTTGATCAATCGTTGAACGGTATCTTTCTTCAACGCACCGAGATCTACAGCACCAACTTGAGCTGCCGCGACTTTGATCTTTCGGGACATGCTTGCGAGAATAGATAGCGTGAAAGCTGGGAGGAGTGACGAGGTGATATTGGACTCAACGACGACTCCGTTCAAACAAGCGTGGGCGTTTACTTCCTTTTGAACGACTATACGAGCACTACTCTCGTCAACATTCACAGCACACCATTTTACCTTTCACACGCGCAGAGCCCTCCTGCCCGGCCCGGTTTAGCTCCCATCGGCCGCCTATGAGCTGCTGCAAGATCGCCAGCGTGTGCCTATCTTGCGCTTATCAGGCCGCTTCGGCCAACATTCTGACCCTGCGCCGGGCAGCTGCATCGTGGATTCGGGGGTGCTAGTTGGAGAAGGACACGGAATAACACCGAGCGTTGGGTTGTGTGTTGGTATAAATTGTGTTGTTGATTGTTTGTTGTATAGAGAGTGTGATGGGATTGAGGACGAGGTGACGTCGGCGATCGAAATTTGAGCACGGACGACATATCTCTTGGCGACGACGACGGCGACGAGATGGATTTCGATTTGGTTGTCAAGAATGGCATTCTGGTAAAACATAGCATGTCCGTTCGCCGCCAAATGCAAGGCTGACACCCATCAAGGTCACAGCCAGCGAAGTCCTCCCCGAGGGTCTCGAACTGGGCATCAAAGACGGAAAGATAGCCTGCATAGGAACCAGTCTCCCAACCTCCTCAACAACCAAGATCATCGACGCCGAAGGAGCCTACGTAACGCCCGGAGGTATCGACAGCCACGTCCATCTCGCGCAGAAGAACTCCCCCACCGGCGACAACTGGGAGACAGGAACTCGATCCGCCATCGCAGGAGGGACGACGACAGTCATCGCCTTCGCCTCCCAACAGAAAGCTGATACGTCGTTGTACCCAGTTTTGGAAGACTACCAGGAGAAATCGGTTAATCAGACTTACTGCGACTATGGCTTCCACTTCATCCTCACGAACCCCACTCCAGAGATCCTCCGCGACGAGCTACCCGTGCTGGCGGAGCGAGAGGGCATCACCAGCGTGAAGCTGTACATGACCTACGAACTGATGAAGCTGAACGATCGAGAAGTGCTGAGGATCCTGTTCGCGTGCAAGCAGTTGGGCATGACGACTATGATTCACGCCGAGTCGCACGATATGATCAGTATGATCATCGAGGGGCTGGAGAGGAATAAGAATACGGATCCGTATTTCCATGCTGTGGCTCGCCCGCGGATAGCAGAGGATGAGGCATCGTATCGAGCGATCTCGTTGGCGGAACTGGCGGATGCGCCGATGCTCATTGTGCACATGTCGTCGGATGTGGCGATTAGCCATGTGCGTGATGCTCAGACTCGATTATTGCCCATCCACGCTGAGACTTGTCCGCATTATCTGTTCTTGCTTTCGGAGAAGATCAAAGGCGAGCCACACGATCATTTCTCCGGCGCGAAACATGTCTGCTCCCCACCGCTGCGACACGACGTCAAAGATCTCGACGCTCTGTGGCAGTCGATCGCAAACGGCACATTCACGACCTTCTCCTCAGATCATGCGCCCAGCAAGTACGATCATCCAGGCGGGAAGAGGCTAGGCATGGTCGATGGCATTCCTCGATTCTCAAAAATCCCCAATGGTCTTCCAGGAATCGAAACCAGGGTTGCCTTGCTCTTCGGCGAAACACCAGCGTGTCGGCCGGCTGAAGAAGCTCGGTTGAGTCTCCCTCGATTCGTACAGTTGGCAACCACAAACGCAGCCAAGCTGTACGGCCTTGACGGAAAGAAAGGTAGTATAGCCCCGGGCTACGATGCCGATCTCATCATTTGGCATCCAGGTGATAAAGGCGCCACGACCATTACCCAGAGCAACATGCACCACGACATTGATTACACACCATTCGAAGGCGTCCAGGTCGGAAACTGGCCTCGATATACGATCCTCAGAGGTGAAGTAGTCTGGGATCAAGAGAAAGGCATCGTTGGCCAGAAGGGGTTCGGCCAGTATTTGAAGCGTGGCAAGGGTCAGGTCCTTGTCGGCAAGACTGGGAATGTGCCACGGGGAATGAAGCCGGAAGAGCGCCAGTATTGGTTGTGAATGTAGCGTTTAGCGTATGCTGGGCGTCGAACATAGATCTGCAGAGATCCAACAAGTAATCTTCCGTCCGATGGTATAGCGTCGGCCTTCAGTGACTAGGCACCACACCCCAGGAGCCTAGAGGGTCGTCTTTTCCAGACCGCTGGCTTCGCTCCATAGCCTGAAGCCTCTTGACTCTCTTCACCATGAGACCCACCGTGACTGGCCCCAGAAGTGTGCATAACAGAATTGCCCATGTAACGACGAGGAACAGCTCAGAGCTGCCACCATCGCCAGTTGTCCCAAGCACTCCCTCGCTCTCAGCTACTGAACTGATCAAGAAGCCGATCTCTCCTCGCGCTACCATTGCACTGCCCAGTAGAGCGGCCGGATAGAGCGAAACCGGAGTCTTGGGCTGAGATGATTGAACTGGCTCGCGGGAATTGTTTGGAGCCGCTTGCGATGATGATGCCTCCGCTGTGGTTGACTTCGAGGTTGCTTCGCGCTGTGAATTCTTCGCTGTCTTTTGCCGCAAAGAGTTCGGCCAGCACACAGACAAGCTTGAAGGCAAGTACTTCTTCACCACTTTGAGAAGTCTCGACGGGCCCTCGAATCGTAGCAGGCAAAGTCCGCAAAGCAGTTTGGCGAAAACCATGAGAATTGAGTAGACGATGCCTTTCCAGATCACGTCGCCGCCAAACACCTTGGAGATTGGAATGGAGAAGCCGATCGAGGCGAAAAAGAACGGCTTGAGGACGAACTGCAGTGCCGGATGGTAGTACTTCTCAAAGATCTGAGTGCCACGTATGAAAGCTGGGTTCTCAACAGACACTTGGCTGGACTGCAATTGCTTCTGTCCGGCGGTATTGTTGCTCTCCGTGGCGCCATTCTGTGTGATTCTCTGCGGCTCGTCGCACTCGGAGCTGCTTGATTGAGGCTTTTTCGTCTTGCTGTTCGATGATACATTGGCCCTCCCTTTTCCTTTCGAAGAGCTGGTCGCATTCTTGGGTTTTCGCTGTGCACTGTCGCTCTCTCTTATGCAGTCCAAACAAAGGCTGTCCCACCATGTGCTCGAGGCACCAGCAAGATATGCTGCGAAAAGTACCGATGTCCCAGCATAGCTGGCACCCGTCACAAGAGCGAGCAATACCAGCGTGTGGAATGCCAGTGCTGCACCTTCCGTGCTCAATAGTCGATGTAGTCTGCTCTCTTTCCGAGATTGGATGAACCGAACGCCACGTTTTGTCAAAGGTTGGATGAGGAACAAAAGGATCAACGGAAGGATAACAGCAAAAGCGACTGACACCAGTACCGGTCTTATCACAGTGACTGGGCTGAAATCGGAAGATTTTCCAAGATTGGAGATGATGCCGCTCATGACTAGGCCAACGATATCGTCCATCATCGCAGCAGACGATAGAACAACTCCAAGGCGGCTTTGACTCAAGCCGCTTGTTGATAAAATGGTGAAGGTAGTCCCAAGCGAAGTCGAGCAGAGTGCAGCACCTGCCGCAAAGGCTTGTACTTTCGTTGTATCCATGAAGCCTTGCAGGGAGAATGACAGGCCGATTGGAGCGCTGATGCCGATAACTGCGACGACAGACGAGAGGAAGAGATTCGATTTCAAGGTCTTGAGATTCGTCGACAATCCACCTACAAACACAGATAAGGCTTTGTTTTGGAGTCCTTTATGAACGACTATGCTTACCTTCAAATACTATGAGGATTAATCCCAGGTATCCCAACTGCATGATGGTGTTTTCGATTCCTTCGGTAAGCCATTTTCCGCCAGGCGTGCCCCAGGCAACACCGATGGCTATCTGACCGATGAGACCGCAGAAAAGGAGGCGATCGAAGAGCCAGTTGATGACATTTTGAAGGATGAGGAAGGACGAAAGAACGAGGATGGTCACGATGCCTGGCTCATGGTATGACAGTGCCGCTGAAGACGACATTTGTCGGCTCCTGAGACTACAGCTTCGGGCTCAAACGACAGCCATGAGGATAATAAGGATGAGGAGTGAAGAGTTCGACTTCTCTGTTGCAGAGAGAAGTGACGCCCAATCCTAGGCTAGCGTCCAATTTGGCACGTACCACTATCCTCGCACGGGCCACCAAATCTCACTTCACTTGCTCGAGGCAGTTGCATTTCCTGCAAGTTCATCATCATGGCTCGCAACCATTCACCATACTCCAGCGCAGAATCCTGCCAGCCTAACGGTCGCTGTCGACAACGCAGTGCAGATGCGAGTTCGCCAGGTTGACGAGAACCGTGTTTGGATGACGAAGTGACCTGGAATCTGAACCCGACAGCACACAAAACATCCGTGTATATCACTAAAGACCGTGAGAAGACGCTACCTCTTCATACCATGCGTCTCGAATAGCAGCCGCAGCATCATACCCGTACGCCCAGAGCAGCTCTTAACGGGCCTTTCCTCAATCTACAAAAGCTCGCATGTGTACCATCGCCCGTCATCCTAGGTCGCAAACTTCAAATACCTTCCACAACCGGCACGGATGATTTGCAGGCTTTGCGCAGCATTCACGGTCGACGTAATCCACGGAGAGTACGCGACCTGGAAGCGCCTCAGTGAGACCGAGTACAGCTTCAAGCATGGGACTCACGAAACCGTCGTAGCATCTGCTGCGGCGGGTTGTGCGACATGTGGACTGTTTCGCCTCGTGCGGCAGAAGAAGATCCCAGGATACGAGAGCCTCGGCGACAAATGGCTCATGAAGAGTGCCATGGTGATAGTAGCCACCAGCGGGCCTCGCTTTTCCTTTGACTTGATGAGTGAGGGACCGAATAGCTCTTGGATCGGCTTTGAACTGTTTCAACCACGGTCCGACCAACGAGCTGACCCAGGCTTGGAACCAATCGCTCAGCTACGATGTGAGGTCTCCGATGATCCTCTTTCAGCGACAACGATACGTATGGCTTCACTCTGGGTCGACCAGTGCCACTACAATCAAAGAGACTGCTCTCGCCAGGATAAGACGCCGCTGCCGACAAGAATCATAGACGTGGGCTACTCGGACGAGTGTATCTCCGCCAGACTTCAGGTCAATCGTGGTCAACTTGGCAGATATGTCACGTTGAGTCACTGTTGGGGCAGTGCTAAGCGCCTGGTAACGAACAAGCGCAATCTGAAGAAGTTCCAGAATGAGATTCCACTCAATCAGATGCCCGAGACATTTCAGGACGCTATCAAACTGACCAGATTGCTGGGTATGCGGTACTTGTGGATCGACGCTCTATGCATTGTCCAGGATGATCGTGAGGACTGGCGTCGCGAGTCTGCAAATATGTGCTCGATCTATGAGAACGCCGCTTTCTCTATCTCCGCACTGGTCGCTACGGACAGCTCATCTGGATTTCTGCACGCTCGAGACATCGACCAGTGCGTTGTGGCAGCAGGGGACCTCACCTTCGGCGTCCGCCCGAAACTGCAGTCCATTGATGAGGCTCTTCGAGAGTCAAAGCTAGAAAGCAGGGCATGGTGTTTGCAAGAACGCATCTTGGCACCTGCTGTCCTTCACATTGGCCATCAGCAGCTGTTTTGGGAATGTCGAGCGTGCTCCGTGTCCGAGACTGAACCCGACTCCGGAGAGGAAGGCCCATCGTCGAGATCTCCCAACTCATCGTTCACATACATCCCGTCGGCTCCTGATCGAAAGGAGCTGTTGCGGCTTTGGTATGGTCTCGTCAAGGAGTACAGTGCTCGAGATCTAACGAAGCCCACGGATCGGCTGCCCGCAATTGCAGGTCTGGCAGACAAGGTTCGAAGGGAATTTGGCGGCTCGCCACTGTACGTGGATGGGTTATGGCTGGACGACCTGATGGCTGGTCTACTTTGGCGACGACCGAATCGACCCAAACCAAGATTAAGCACCACGAATGGAGAAGCGCAAACTTTGTCCACTCTTACCCCTTCGTGGAGCTGGGCGTCGACTCTTGGCGCTGTCGAATACTCATGGCAAGCTGAGTTTGAGTTTCACTTACCCTCTCCCCACGACATGACCGCCTCACTCGACACAGCTTCTCCGACAACAGTCTTGCAAGTCGAAGGCTACGTCAAGCGTGGAATGTGCAGGCTGTCCTCTCCTAGCTCCTCCTCGAACTCCACAAGCAATGCGGCCTTCAAGCCCTCTGGATCATCCATTGTCATCGACAGCATTGCTTGCATGCTCGACGACGTTGAGGAGGTGGTGCCAAGTCATTGCTATTGCTTGTGGGTGTCGACCTGGACATCATTCAAGTCGCAGACTACGAAGAAGGCCAAGTCAGCGAATAGAGCATTCTACCTCGTCCTGGAACGAGTTCACGATTCACTCGGCGATTCGGCATCGAAGGCCAATAATAGCTTAGGTCGGTTCAAGCGCATTGGCATGGGATACGATGCCGCCGATAAGGTGACCAGAGCGTTCGTCAATGCGGAACGGCACAACCTCGAATTGACATGAGGACGTTGCCCGGACCAGAAAGCAAACGACTTGAGTGATTTGGTATCTCGATGTAGCAACAAAAGAGCAGTCCCCGGTATTAAAAAAAAATCCACGCATCCGATCACGCCTTACTCCACGCTTTCCCATGCTCGTACGTGATATGATTTGGAATGCTCTGTAGTGTCATATGCTTTGTGTCGTGTCGTGTCTCTCTCTCGTACCCTATCCAGCACTGATTTCTTGTCCGTTCTTCACTCATCTAATCATCCCAGCTCTTCTCCACCGTCTCCCGCACTCTCTTGATGTACTCTTTTCGATTGTCCTTGTAGAGATTACTCGCTTCGACGTTCGCGGGGCTCGATGTGTTGGGATCATTCAGTAAACTGCCAATACCACCATATCAGCATCATCCTCTCCACCCAAAACCCCTCATAACCCCCTCTATCTTCATGACAAAGACTCACCTCTGAACACTCGTCAAAATCGCCGCGACATCATACGTGGGACTCCACCGGTTCTGCAAGATATCCAAACACAACTCCCCCGTGCCGTAGACATTCGGATGGAACATCTGCGAGATGAACTTGACGCCGGGGGGTTTGTTGGGGTATTGCTCTTCGAAGTGCATCACGAGGCGGAAGGTGCCGTCTTCGAAGGGCGTGTCCGAGGGGCCGATTATCACTGCGTTCCTGGAAAGCACTTTCCGTTAGTACGTGTACCGGGCTAAGGAGGAGTCGAGGTGTAGGGGCGGAGTGAGGGTGGATAGGGTAGGATGGGCGTACCATGTCATGACGTTGTCAGCGATGGGACTTGCGCTCACGCCGGCTGGGGGATCGGTCTGCATGCGTTTGAAGTCACGCATCAGTCTCCGTCGCGCTGCTGTGGACATTTTGACGGCTTCGTCGTGGGAGGCGCAGACCCAGGATCTGGTATGGTGGGCTTTGGAGAGTTTATCCGGGAGTGATGAGGCGGAGGGGTTGCCTGGTCGTTGGTGGTTTGCTAGTGTTGCAAGTTGTGTGGTCGTTGCAGTGGATGTTGTGGGTTGAGTTGGTGTGAGGTCGATGTATATCGTGCTGGTGATTAAGAGGGAAGTGATGGTTGTTGCGTGGTTGTCGTCGGCGAAGTGAAGTCGGGAGTCACGAGCCTGTTCATTACGGTCACTTCGCAACCGCCCCACCGCAGGTGCACACGTGACACATGCTTGTCTTTCACATGGGATTTGTTTCCAGACCATTCTGCGTCGTTTGTAAAATCAAATTAAGTGTTCACAGTGATATTACATGCGCTCACTGCTGCACGGTAAAACAGGATATCCAAAGTGAGCACAGCATACACCGGTGGGAACAGCCGAACAAGGCAGCCATCATCTCAACCTGACATGTGAACGTCCAAGAGGTGAGTGAAGAGGAGAAACGTATATGCATTCTTCGTTCACAATGGCTAGCTGCCTCCAAACGCCCACAAAAAGGCCCCTAGGCCTGCTCCGCATAATATTGGTATCGTCAAGTTGTCGTCCAGCCCAAAAATATCAATCGCCTCGCTGACGCTGGCCACGAGCCCGGAAACCACTGCCATCACACCCAGCGCTGCTGATCCTGAAATGCTGGCCTGAGAGCTGCTCAAGCCAAAGTATTCCCGTGCTTGCGAAGGCAGTGTAAGCACTCCTTCAAATGCAAAGCTGTTGATCCCCTGGTTCAACTCTTTCGGCGTGTTTGGAGCAATGAGGCCCCAAAACAATATCGCACTCCCCACTCCAAACACACATGCTGCCAAAGATCCTGCCAAGCTCTTCCCTCTCCTGATCCTGGGTGTGTACTTTCCCCACAATCTTCCAAACGTGCTGGCGGCTGTGTCGCACCACGAGAGCAGCAAAACGCTCATGACTGCCACGTCCTTCCTGCAGAAATACATAGTTGCCCACAGTCCAGCCAGGTAGCTGATGACACCGTTGAATCGGTCGTGTGCCTCGCTCTCACGCATGAATGCGCCGACAGTTTTGATGTACAGTCGATTGAACTCCGGCCACCTGAATCGGATGAGGTCGATGCTGAAGATGGGTACGAGGAGCGCGAACAATACAGGTGATATCTGTGTTGTTTGTGCACCTTCGTAGTACAGCCACAGAGCGACAAAGCCAATGCTGACATGGAGGATCTTTCGTGGAACCTCGTGCTTATGGACGAATGCTCTCCATTCGCGATGGATGGGGATCAAGCCTAGCGGACTGGGACTTCGACTAAGACTTCTCCAGTAGGCTGATCCAAATCCTTGTGGGTTGGCACTGGCTGGTGACAGGAATCCGTTCTCTTTCGGTGCGCCGTTGGGTGTCTTATTAACCTCCTCTGGTTTCCTTCTGGTCGGCTTGTTCACCGTCATCGTAATCGCCGCGCCCGACGATATGCCCCCGTTCATCGTCATCCTTGTAGGCTTTCGTTCAATCTGTGGGCTGCGACTCCGACTTCGTGCGCGAGACAGCTCGGGATCTTCTTCGTGCACAGCTTCGTGCTCTTCAATACGGTCCACCGAGCTCAAACGCTTGGTCGTAGATCTTGTCGCCGGAGGGAAGTAGCCATCCTTCGTACTGCTCTCTGAGGGCGTAGGAGAGGGCGATATCACTCGAGGAGTATTGGGTATTTGATATTGCGACATGGTCGCGTGTTGTGCGTCGGACCGCAGCGGTTCCCGGAGCTGACGGAAGCTACTGGATAGAAAGGATGCAGTAGCTAGCGATGCGGTGTGGACTGGGATGGGTTGTGGGCGTGGTCGACGCTGCGGAGGTGTGTGCTACAGCAGTCGTTCGTGAGAAGGGCAGGATGTGAGATGGGATGGATGTGAGAGAAATCCGGGATATGCGAGTTGACGCGGATGGGCAATGACATAGCCTGCTGATCCCCTATTCTTGACTTTCCAGCGCGTGCTTGGTTGTATGGCCACGGCCCACCACACCACAACACGGTGTCGGCAGCTCACAGGAATCCGGCTCCAGAAACACGCAGGAGCCTTCCTTCTGCCTGTGGCAGAAAGCACTGGCTCCGGCGGCAGCTGGAAAATGCTGAGGACAGATGGCACCAGCGTGCGACAGTCACATGCAAATGGGCTGCGCGTGGACAAGGTTTCGTTCCGGGGCCGTGTCACTCGCCAATCTCTACAAGAGTTGGCCTGAAAAGTCGTGGGCCTAAAGACTCTCCCAATTTCCTGTCCCTTGCAAGTCGTGGATACTAGCAATATATGAATCGATATATTGATCTGAACTGATGACAAATTGAACTGACAAGATAGAAGTTCCTTGTCCACATTCTAGACCGCGCACGAGGAGTCATCTTGATGGCCACCAAATTTGACACCCACCCCATCTAAATCCGAGCCATTGACGTCGCTGTTCTCGAAATTTTGGACAGACGACAACCAACCAACCATGCCTTTCGACCTTTCGAAATGTGCGAGGCCAAACATCCTCGCCCTCGAGCCGTATCGTTGTGCCAGAGAGTAAGAAGGAGAAAGACTCATTGGTCCCCGTGATTTCCATGAAAAGCTGACTTTCTGCAGTGACTACAAGGATGACGGCACGAACGTCCTTCTTGATGCCAACGAGAACGCCTATGGTCCTGGACTGGCCTTGACGGACGATGGAAAACTCGCCAACGGCAATGCATCTAGCATTGAAGTCGATCTGCTCGGCCTGAATCGTTATCCTGATCCGTATGTAAACATGATCTGGTGAGTCATGCATGCTAATTGATGAACAGTCACCAGCACGAGTTGAAACAAGAGCTCTGCAAGCTGAGAAACACTCACGTCCATACGAAGAAAAATATCACTCCAGACAACCTCTTCGTGGGAGTCGGCAGTGATGAGGCCATCGATTCGCTCATGCGTGCATTTTGCGTTCCTGGCAAGGAGAAGATCCTTACTTGTCCTCCAACCTACGGCATGTACTCTGTATCCGCACAAGTGAACGATGTCGAGGTCGTCAAGGTTCCTCTGGATGTCGATAACGACTTTAAAGCTCAGCCAGACAAGATCAATGAAACTCTTGCAGCCGACCCGTCAATCAAGATGGTATATCTTTGCAGTCCTGGTAACCCAACTGGCAGCCTCGTCCGCAAGGAAGACGTGCAAAAGGTCCTCGAGCATCCCACCTGGAATGGTATCGTCATCCTCGATGAGGCGTACATCGACTTCGCACCCGAAGGTGCATCGCTCGCTGAGTGGGTCGCCGAGTGGCCAAACTTGGTCGTGATGCAGACTCTCTCGAAAGCTTTTGGTCTTGCTGGCATTCGGTTGGGAGCAGCTTTCACAAGTCCAGAGATCGCAAAAGTGTTGAACAGCCTGAAAGCACCTTACAATGTCTCGAACCCAACGTCTCAGCTGGCCATACAGGCTTTGCAACCGCAAAACCTCAAGGTCATGCATCAAAACCGAGAGCACATAATTCAACAGCGAGATCGATTACTGTCAGAAATGCCGAAAATCAAAGGCGTTGGTCGATTCCGAGGTGGTACGGCAAGCAACTTCTTACTCGTTGAGATGACCGACACAGAAGGAAAGCCCAGCAATGAAGTTGCTCTGCAAGTATATGAACGTCTCGCGGAAAAGAGAGGCGTGGTCGTGCGATTCAGAGGCAAGGAGCTCGGCTGTCTGGGATGTTTGAGAGTTACTGTTGGAACGGGGAGCGAGGTGACTCGATTCCTCCAGGAGTTGAAGAACGTCCTGGACGACATCCACGCCGGAAGAGTAAGCCAGCATTCTAAGGAGCGAGAAGAGGCGAATGAAAAGGAGGCGAATGGCGTGGTTGCATAGAGATACATATTTAGATGCTCAGAAAGACTTTCACAAGACGCGAAAGACTTTGTCGGACTCTGATTGATGCAGATGAGGTTAACGCTAGCGGTTGGCTGCAGAACGGCGACGAAGGGCGGCCACACAACTTTATCTGTTGCTGTATGACCTTGTTTGTGTGACTAGAGCCCCTCGCTAGCAGAGCATGAATCAAAACAATAGCACCTATCCAAAGTTCTACAGAAAATGCAGTTCAAGTCAAACGGGAACTTTCACGTGAAAGTGAAATGTGACGTCACCGTCCAACGTCGCGTCTTCTCAGAGACCGCGTCTCTCCTCTCAAAACCATTACAACGTTCTATATCCCACGCAAAGCCATCGAAATGAACGACTACGAAGCCCGACGCCAGGAGAAAATCAAAAAGAACCAAGCCCTCCTCGCAGGCCTAGACATCAAACCTATCGTCCCCAAAGCAGAACGCGGCAAACCACCACCCAAGAAAAGGAAACTCACAGAAGCAACCGCGCCTTCACGCACATCCGCTCGAATCGCCTCAGCGCCCGTGAAGCAATCGTACAACGAAGATGAGCTGAGCAAACCGATCGCACTTCCTCGATCGGCGCCCAAGAAGCAGAAGACCCAGCCTAGTTCTAATGTAGAGGTCGAGGAGAGCCTTGTTCCCGCGAAGAATGTGGATGAGATCCAAGCCGGCTGGACGGATTGGAAGTCTTCGGCTGCGCCTCCGACGCGAGATGGCTCTTCACAGGTCTTCAAATTCGACGACTATCCCGATTTCAGACCCAATAAGTCGCCGGAGGAAATGCTCCGGGAGGGATGTTTCGGAGGGTCGTATTTCCGGCCTTTGAAATCTAGAAAGCTAGGGATTGTGGTGCAAGACGATTGGCGAGAGTTGCCTTCCGAATGGATCGAGGGACTGAACGTGGAGAGATTCCTCACGAATCCAGACTACGACCCCGATGTGAACAAGTCCAAAGTCTCCTGCGGACAGAGTATCGAGGAGTGGGAAGCCGCAGGGTGGATCAGCCATGAGCATGATGTGAGGGGGTGGTTTCAGTGGTATGCGCGGTTCTTTCAAGGACGTCGATGTGAAGATGATGATCGGCAGGTCAGTCGGTGGAAGAAGTGTGTTGGGGAGACGGGGCGGTGGAGGAGGATGTTGTTGAAGAAGTACATGCAGCTTGGTGTGAGGGAGGTGTTTGATGATGGCGCGGATGAGGATGCGCCTGAGGTTAGCCCGGTTATGCACCAGACTTGTCATCATTGGGCTTTTGAGGTGAGGCAGGATGATTTGGATGCTTATTGGGCGTCGGTTGGGAGGTAGTGTACAGTAGAGCTTGCGCTCGTTCTTTCTATTTCTACGATCGGTCTAGATCTTGGTGTATCTCAAGTATGGCTTGACTTCCCTCACCTCGCCAAACTTCTTCTTTGCATCTTCCGTGGTAACGCTGGGAGGAACAATCACATCCTGACCCACGTTCCAGTCAATCGGTGTAGTGACTCCCTTCTTGTCCCCAGTTTGCAAGCTGTCAATGACCCGCAGAACCTCAGAAGTGTTGCGGCCAGTCGAAGCTGGGTACATCATAGTCAAACGAATCTTCTTCGAAGGGTCGATAATGAAGACGGATCGAATCGTGAAGGCGATGCCCTTCTGGTCAATGTTCTGCAGATCTTGCTGGTCGATCATGTCGTACAAGAACGCGACTTTGCGGTCTGCGTCGGCGATGATGGGGAATTGGAGGTCCGTGTTGGAGATTTCGTTGATGTCCTTGATCCATTTGTCGTGGCTGCCGAGGTCGTTGGCCGACTGCGTATCCCAATCAGTAATTGTGCAGTAGCCCCTTTATAATCTATCCTACCAGGCCAATCATCTTAACATCCCTCTTCTCAAACTCATTCTTCAATTTCGAGAAAGCTCCAAGCTCCGTCGTACAGACCGGGGTGAAATCCGCTGGATGCGAGAACAGGATCGCCCACTTCCCGCCAAGCCATTGGTGGAAATCGATATCGCCCTGTGTTGTCTTTGCGGTGAAGTTGGGTGCTTCCGATCCGAGTCGCAGGCGTGGCTGCTCGGTGGGTGTTGCGAGGAAGCGTTTGAAGATCGGTGAGGCTTGTCGGCTGGCGAAGCTGCTGTGCGTCGAGGCTAGGCGAGCTGTGCGCAGGGTGCTGCGGGCAAATGTGGCGGCCATTGTGATGGTGTGGATGTCAAGGGCAATAGTAGAGCTCTTGATCTCGAAGATCATGCCACGGAGAGAGCTCGAAGATTTGCTATCCTTATCGATACGGATGACGTCAGTTTAGACTTCAGTAGCGCTGCAGAACTCCTTCACTTCACCCTGTGCATCACATGCAAACCTGACCACCCATTTCGTATTCGCTCCCTACCCATTCTTGTGCAACTCACCACGAGTCCTGTGTTTCACGCCATGGCTACGTGGCGTTTTACTTGCAGCCGAGTCTCCTCGCTGAATTTATGGGACCATTTTCACAACCCTGCGAGGAGGGAAACCAATTCGTATGCGCGGGAATGCTCTTTGAAGCCATGGCTTGTCTCAGGGCAAGTGGACAGCTGAAGGCGACTTTTCCATAGAGCTTGCCCTGATAGGTCGACACGCTTGAGCCTGAATCCCCAACTCCTGAGCAATCTTGGTCCTCATTCTTGATGTCGAAGAGTACATTTAGTCATTCACCATGACGAGCATCCAGACTGTGGAAAACGCCGAAGACTCCGAGCCCCTGGAAGACCGTCTCGCAAAGCAGTGCCGTGAATCGATCCTCGCGGCCAGACGATACGCTTTTGCGTATATGATATCTGGCGACCACTGGAATGGCGAGGTGCGGTCAAACGTCACAATCACGGCAGAATACGTCTTCCTATACCACTATCTAGGTATCGACGAACGGTTAGATCGCAATGCTTTGATTTCTTTTCTGGAAAGCCAACAGTTACCTGACGGCTCATGGTCCATCGCCCCGGAGCACCCTGGAGACCTTTCGGTCTCCTGTGAAGCATACCTCGCCCTGAAACTGCTGGGTGTGAGCCCGAAGGCACAGAAAATGGAGTCTGCTCGAGCGTTCATCCAATCGAAAGGAGGACTATCGTCGGTCCGGGTGTTCACGAGGATATACTTGGCCATGTTCGGCCTCATGTCTTGGGATTACGTTCCTCAATTGCTTCCCGAACTCATACTGGTCCATGATTCCGCACCAATCAGCATTTACAGGTTCTCATCTTGGGCTAGGGTCACACTTGTACCTTTGATTGTGATCTGCTACCATCGACCTGTATTCGCTCTTCCGAACGGTCGGTCTTCGAGCAACGACTACCTCGATGAGCTCTGGCTGCATCCGAGCAGGAAAGTCGTCAAGTACGCCATTCCGTACAGGAATCTGGTCCAAAACAGGAACTTCGTGGGCATGTGTGCCAAGTTCGCCGATACTGTTCTTTTCTACTTGTCGAAAATAAGATTGCCAGGCTCATACATGCTTCGCCAATATGCAGTCCGAAAGTGCGTGGAATGGATATTAGCACACCAAGAGCCTTCTGGTGACTGGGCTGGTATTTTTCCGCCTCTCCACGCCAGCATCGTGGCGATCCATCTCGAGGGCATTCCATTCGACGATTTGAGATTTCAACGCGCTTTGCAGGCCATTGAAAGGTTCACCATTACCGATCGTCTTGGGAAGCGTGCCCAGCCTTGTGTCTCAGCTGGTTGGGATACTGCATTGATGGTAACGGCCCTTTTGGACACCTGCAGGGAACCTGACGACGCGACCTCAGAAGTTCGGCAATGTATCGACAGTGCAATTCAGTGGATGAACAACCGACAATCGATAGGATGTCCTGGCGATTGGCGCATTTACCGGCCACTCATTAATTCTGGAGGACACGCTTTCGGGTACTTCAACAGCTGGTATCCAGATCTGGACGACACACAGGCTGTAGTCGTTGCATGTATGAAGGCAGACTCCACGTCGATCACATCTGATCACGTTGTTGCAGCTTTGGAGTGGCTTCTGGGCATGCAGAGCTCGGACGGCGGATGGTCTGCTTTTGATTATGACAATGACAAGCTCTACTTGAATCAAATCCCATTCTCGGACATGGACGCTCTCTGCGATCCAGCGACAGCAGACGTTACTGGGGGCGTCTTAGAGGCGTTTGGTCTGGTTCTTCAGGCGTATGAGACATCCATGGAGACGATGACACGCACCGCGATGACAGCGAAGATTGAGAAGGCTTGCGAGTCAGCGATTAACTTCGTGTTGAAACACCAAGAGTCCAACGGCTCATGGTGGGGGCGATGGGGGTGCAATTATACATACGGCACAAGCAAGGCTCTTGTGGGGCTGAAGTACTTCATCACACGCAAAGGTTATGGCGCTCTCTTTGAAGTCGTCCAGCACGGTGTCGATTTTCTTTGTCGATGCCAGAACCCAGACGGCGGCTGGGGAGAGTCGACGTTATCGTATGTCGAACCGATAAGCACTGCGCCAGGGCATGTTGAGTACGTTGCTGCCGATTCGACCCCGTCTCAAACCGCTTGGGCTCTAATTGCGTTGCTTGCATATCGGCCTACGTCTGACGAACATATCACCAAGGGAATCTCGTTTCTCGTCAGGACTCAGACAGAAGAAGGACATGGTAGGCAGGTCAATGGCTGCAACTTGGGCGATCGAACCGGACGTTCTTGGCCGGAGCCATCATATACCGCGCCTGTTGTTCCAGGACATATGATGCTTGGTTATGAGTTCTACAGTCATTATTGGCCGATGATGGCGCTTGGCCGCTTTGTCACCAAGAAGGCTCAGGAGGGCTGAATGTCAATGTGGTCCGTCGGACTTTACTGTAAGGAAAGGATCGTGCACGCATCTCACCTAACATAACATATTCATCAATGACCCAGGTTCTGATAATGGGGATGGCAAAGGCTGAAGCACACAGCACTTTCTGAACTAGCACCAAGAGATGGCGAAAGAATGAAGCTCGTCTTGGCTCTCTTATCTCGAAGCGGCATGCTGACGCGCCACGCGGTTTCCCGTAACACGTTGGCCTCAAGTTCCCGATGGCGATAAAAAACTCGAGCCACTCTGTTGAAGATGGGTATCGATTGGCCTCAAGGATCCTGCGGTGACACTAAGTTTTGCGAGCTTGGGCAGCCGAGTAACTTAAACCGTCCGATTCGCTGAACGTGCTTTCCTGTTTGGGATTTGCATGTGCAAGCTGAGCGGTGTGTAGGACGGCTGCTCGGATTTGTCTTTCTGGTCCCTGGCGCGATACTCGAGACCTCAATGTTCTCCACTCACACTTGATTCAGCCCATGCTGAGGCGTCATGGCCGCGCTTAGTACAGCCATCCTGCAGCGGGATAACGGTCGAGGTTTTATTTCTGTCAGGTTGTGCGACCTGCTTTTGCAGCAGGCTCCGGTCTTACCAGACTGCGCCTCGATGAGGCCGGAAGACCACACCCTCGTTCCGTTCCCTGTCACTCGTCTCGTCTGTGGCATGTTTCAGCGATGTACACGGTTCGTGGCGCGGGTAGAGACAGTCATCGAACCTGGTCGGTTGAAAAAAATGACACGATTTTATCCGAGCAAATGTCTGAGTTGCCAAGTTCATATGATGTCCGAGGCGAAAGATTCGAAAGAGACAGGTGCCTTTTCCATACTTCGCGGTATCTGTCGTCGTTGGTACCATTTCACCGTTCTTCAAGATTCCTCAAGATCGCAGATGGAGACAGGCAGCCTTATCACGCGACAAACACTGCATCGCATGGCTTCCTGCATCACCTCAAATGTGGTTGTTTCTACTCTCGCAGTCTTGGTATCCGTGGCAGCACTTATATTGAGCATCAGTTGGGGCTCAAATATTCGACAGAAAGGTCCAAATCTTGATCACATTCCTTCTGTTCTCTCACAACTGACGGCAAGCAAACGCCGAGCTGAATACCGAAAAAATGCAAAGGATATTTTGGAGATAGGGTATCATCAGGTAGGCAAGATAGGCCATTCAATGAGTACGCTGACAATCTCATCAGTTCAACAAATCCGGAAAAGTGTTTCGAGTAGAGACGTTGGACGGTATGCTCAATGTCCCGCTTCTTCAATCATTGTCACACTAACGTAATCGAAAGGCCCCATGGTCGTTCTCAATGCAAAGCAGACAGAAGAAATCAGCTTGATGCCTGAGCATAAAATTGATAATGTGCGGCCTGTGGAAAGGGTAAGCACACTCTGTCAGTCGCGTGAACATGGTCCTGATCTTCGACTAGGCCTTCATGAAGAGCTACACTGGGTACCTTGAGCCCGATGCTCTTGCTCTCCGAATTGTCAAGTCTCACTTGGCGGCTCGCCTGCGTAAGATTCCCGGATCTGAACACTGAGTCGCGGAACGACATCTAGACGGCATCCTAATAACCATCATGACAGCTGAACTCGGAGATGCCATGGCCGACCACACAGACCAATGCCTCTTCAAAGAGATAGCCGAGTGCAAAGGTAAGTTGCATGAACCCGCCACGTTTAGCTTTGCGGTACTGACTTCGCTGCATGCTGGACGCCGGTCAAAATATACGACAAGCTCATCCCAATCATTGCCAGTGTCTCGACTCTAGTCCTTGTTGGCGAAGAACTGTCTAAGAATGAACTTTGGATATCAACCACAATCGAGTACGCCATCCAACTCGTGACCACAGCAACGATCTTCAAGATCATCCCGCCATGTACCTTGCCGCTCGTGTACAGGCTTGTTCCTGCTTATCGAAGGCTGCAGAGGAGCAGAAGAACGGCCAGCAGCTTGATCAAGCCAATCATTCAATCTCGTCGTGCAGTCATGGACGACTCTGGTATTAACAGAGGTGGAGATAACCTTCTGCAGTGGATGCTCAACGAGCGGGTCAAGAAACGTATGTATGACAAGGACTTTCAAATGATGGCGGATCTTCAGTTAGAACTGGCGTTCGCGTCGACTCATACAACCACCATGACACTCACCAACATTATGTTTGACCTCATCGCATGGCCGAAGTACATCGACATTTTGCGTGAAGAGGTCGAAGAGGTGCTGCAGAACAATGGTGGCTCTTTCAGGGGAAACTTTACCAAGACTCTCCTCAAAATGGACAGCTTCATGAAGGAGTCTCAGCGAAGAAACCCCGTTGGCTACGGCGAGTTCCTCTTGGACGACTGCCATACGAGGCTCTGCGCTGACGCTTTCACAGTCAGCATGGCCCGTGACTTGTGCCAGGACACCATACTGTCTGATGGAACATTCCTCCCTAAAGGCACCTTCGTTGTGGCCAACAGCTACCACATTACCCACGACCAAGAGATCCTAGAAAGCGACACCGACCCCAATACTTTCGACGGACTACGCTACTACAAAATGCGAAACAAGCTAGTCGATCGTGGCCTTACGGAGAAAGAAGCGGCAGGTAAATACCAGTTCGTTTCTGCATCAGATAGCTCGCTCGCGTTTGGTGGAGGTATGTAAACAGCGCAGTCTACATCATCTTCGTCGCTCACTACATGCAGGCCGACGTGCATGTCCTGGACGATACTTTGCTGGTGCAGAGATCAAGATTCTGTTGGCGAAGCTTTTGCTTCAGTTTGATTTCAGAATGCCTGACGGTGCCACTGAACAGTACCAAGGTGACAGCTTCGAGCAAGCGGTATATCAACCCGTTGATCGCAGGGATTCAGTCGTAAATGCTAACTTCATGGCATAGAACCATCCGGATACCGACAGGGAGATCATGATGAGGCGCATCTGAACGCTACCAGCCTGGTGTTGGGCGGAAATGATCAAATTCGGGGTCATCGTCTATAGAACGTCTTTCTTTGCAGTAATCTATCCGAAAAGGGGGTGTTCATTCGTCAAAAGGTCACCTGTGTTGCGAGTGCGTCGTTACAATCCTCCAGATGCTTGATGTACTCAATAGTCTTTGCAAGTACAACGCTTTTCTTCAGTGTTCGCGCGGGTTTCAGCCCAGCGAGGAGAAATTCCTCACCCTCCGGGACACCCTCCATCTTGGCCCGCAATGTAGGGACCAGTACTTTTAATTCCGCGATCTTGTCATTGAGATTGCTTCGATAACGCTTTTCAATATCGTGAGGTGACTGGGGCGGCTTTTCTCTACGTTTCCTCTTCCCGCCTCTGCCGTGCTTTGACTTGGACTCCTGAGTCGTAACAGGTGGAACTGGCTTTGGAATCGATGAGGCCAGTAACGTTTGCCCACTCTCAGTGACGGGAATTATCGCAGCCTCGATGGTGTGACGTGGAAGGCTGTGATGATGGACGATCCCAGTTCCTGTCAGTTCGTCCTCGACCTCCAAAACGACGGGCGGTTGCGAGCCCGCTGAGATGGTGTTCTGTTGGTGTTGGTCTGCTTGAATATTGTGGTTCTGGTCGTTTGAGGTCTCGAGCCAGAACTTTCCAAGTTCTTCGTACGAAAGACTGTCCCCAAGGAGCTGTATGCCGAGTCCATCGTCTGACCGTGCGCTGGAGGTGACGTGTTCGTCAGAATATTCGGTAGGCGATGATGCAAGTGTTGTGAGTTCGTAGTGCCAGGGATCATCCGCAAGGTGCCAGGGATCATCCGCAAGGTGCCAGGTATGTGGTTCAACCAGGTCGTGATTCACGAAAGAATCCCAATCAACATCGTGATCCTGAACAACTGACATCGTGCGTTTTTGCCCTGGCAGTGGCTATGGCCAAGGGTAAACATCGAAAGTAGGATGCCACAGAGCTGAGACAGGTCGATGAAATTTCAAGGAGGCTCAATGAGACACTGTCGGATGCCAATAAATACTGGCCTCTTCACAAGCCAGTATGGCGGCTGGTCTAGCTGGTACTGAGACTGCGAGAAACGCCAGCACTCCATTGGCTTCGGGATATCTCTTTGCATCCAGTGATGAAGCGTGTATCCATGATGTGGTTCTGAGTGTAACGCTCAGCTTTAGCCCATACCTTCTTCCCACTCTCTTTACGAATGGCAAATTCAAACATGACCCGCTCAACTGATTCAGATCAGGTAGAAAGGTGTGAGAAGGCTGCTCCAGGGGCGTTTGAGGCTGCATCCAAACGAGCGTTGGCTGGCGTGCGATTTCAATGGCTCGCTATCGAGGGTCAAACAGTGGGGCAGCTTGTTTGTGGTCTGTAGCTCTATCTCTCAATAGTCGACCCTCCAGACACCTCAGTGGATGATAGTTTGGTGAAGGAGGTCTCGTCGGTAACTTGGCAAGTTCGCATTGGCACAGATCAGCATCCGTGTGAGGTCGGAGAACATCGGTTAGATGGCTTCACGCCAGTCATTCCGAGCGCAACAGGGGTCAGCTCAGACTGATTGTGAAAGGCTGAAGACAGTGAGCTGCGAGGCATCGTTCCGATGATGCAGAAGGATTAGAACCGGGAGTCTCGGGCCACTGGACGAGGCTTCCTCGATCTCGGAAACAGCAGCCTGCTCGATGGAACATCAGCCGCAAGATCTCTATCAGGGACGGCTCCCCCAAACGGGCTGAGACTATAGCTGAACATTATTAGTGATCTTGGTGCACTGCTAGAAACAGTGCAGAAACGCACATACGATTCTGCGTGAATCTCCAAGCGCGCGCACACACCTTCAGCCGGACGATATGTTAGGAGCCACTCTTGAACAAGAGTCAGAGCATTTCGGTGGCAGCGTGTCTCTGATCTTGGCTGTCCAAAACAGATAGCTGGGTGAAGATATCGGACAACCGCACGCCCGCTATCGATCGCTTCGTGCGACTGACCAAATAGCTCACCAGCCTATTCTCGCAGGCCCTTGCCGAGCATGGCGTCCCTGAACCGATGTGTAGTGCCCGAGATACCGGGACCAGAGGCTTGGCAGTAGCGTCGTGACTGCGAGATGTGGTCTGGCTGACAGGTCGTATTCGCGACTTCAGCTCCATTGCGGCGCACGGAAAGTCTCCCATATTTGCAGTGGCCCCATTGGGAATAGCTACTGCTTGGAGGGAACCAAGCAGCTGGGAAGCAGACCTGTGTGGCTTTTTGACCTTGCATTGCATTTGCCGTAGGAGAGATCCGGAGCTTGCGCGATAGTGTGATGAGTGCGTTGGACGAAAGCCATCGACGCACGTGTAGTACTCTTCTGTTGCAAAGATGTGTCGTTCGGAGTAGTAAGCAGGCTGAGCCAGAGGTGATGGCTCCTGTTTGGCTGCGTGCGGCTCTGATTGCAACATAATCGGCATAATATGTCTCGACGACTGAATGGGCTATCAGAGGGCCAGAGTATTGAGAAAGTAAAGCTGTCTCAATCGGACAGGAAAATCCATTTTGGAACCCGTGACGGCCATGAAATACAGCTCTCAGCGATGGCAGGGCAAAGCGACGGCGTATTCAGACTGGGAATTGTCGCCGGCTACAGTCCAAGCCATCGAAGCTCCCGATGTTCTCCTCATAGCACTTGGGATCGAAGAGGTCTTCAAGGACCAGCTGGATATGGCGAAAACGCTTATTGGCGTGCGAGTGAGAGTCGCCACCTTCAACTGCAATCGTTCTCTGGTTCTCGACCGTGGGCTCGAATTCTACGACATTGATAGCACTACAGTGCCTCCTGCTCGACGATGTCTCGCGGAGATGTGGCATTCAGCCTGTGTAAGACTCTCATGGGCCTTTTTCGGCCACGGACACGCTCAGGTTAGGGGATCACCGGCTCGTCCATTTGTAGCGGAGATAGCAATAAGGGATCAATCTTCCAAGCTCTTGATGCATAGAAGCTATAGGATCAGCCAAACCTCACAGATGCTTCTCAAGCCAGTGTCACATCCGAAGGGAAGGGATCTGGAGGCCAACGTTGAGATCTCGGATATCGCACAAAACCTCAAAGTCACACGTCGAGGTAGTAATTGCACTGTCTTCAGAGCGCTCACGGCGCAATGGAGGCACCCTCAGTCCGGCCTAAATCTCTCAGGAGCAGCGGCTGCTGGTCTCATCTCCTCAGAAACAATCAGATGGAGCGAACTCGAACTGTTGCCGTCCCCTTGGCAGAGAATACATTATGGGGGACTGCAAGCCATCCCAGCTGTAAGGAGAGCCCTACTGGACCATCTATACGCATTCGTTCTGCTTGTAAGCCAGATTCTCGACCAGATGTTGCAGACTATCGGCCAGAGGCAGTTTGCCGAAGAGAACAGTCGCTGTCTTAGAATGCGGGATCCTCTCCGCCAATCGAGAATGAGACAAGCCTGGTTCGATCTTGAACTGATCAAGAGACACGCCGATGGAGATGTCGAGGATTATATCTCGCAGTTATGGGAAGAAAGACGGCGATGTTTGATGGCGATGCAATGGACAAGAATTGGAGAGGTTGACGTCGACGAGGAAGCGATGTCTCAGGTTTAAAGCCTACCGACCATTCTCATTGTGGCGATGGGTCCGCTGAGACACTCCTCCCGCTGTACTGTATTTCGTCTCACCTCCTCACTTCACTGCAGGTACAACAGTACACTCTACCCGAGTTTTCACATGCCTTCAGCTGGACACTCCCTCGTACATGTCATTGCAGAGTGAAACAAATTGACGCCGACTTCGCCACGATGCAACTCTTCTACGGCCTGTTTCTCCCCGGACTGCCATCTCAGGTCTAATTTGCGAGTCTTGCTTGGAACGGTTTCTCATTGACTTTCGGCTCCCCTTCAGCTGCAAGTGCGGCATTCCTTCTCAGGCCTACCCCATGGAGACGTGCATCTTCGCCTTCACTCTGCCGCTGGTCGCCCTACATGTGTTCTATGCCAGGAGGACGACGATAGCCCGCACGGGACGCATCGATACGGACCACATCAGCTAAGAATATGTCAGGGCGAACGTTATCCGTACCGCCCTCACGAAATCCTCCTCGGTACCTTCAAATCACGTTGCATATGCACTCTCCGCAGTGTGCACGCGGCCCTCCACCTCGACGGTAATGCTGATCAAATCCCGAGTCGGCCTAGGACTTAGGGTGAATGATACCGGAACTCCTACAGGCGTGTTGGTTGCTTTCTTCGAACACCCATGCGACGTTAAAGGCTACCAGATAGGTGTAGCTGATGCAACCCATCTTTTCTTATATTAAGACCCGATCCCCAGTCGTGTTCCATGTTTACAGTCTTGTGTTCCCTCAGAAGTGGCAGATCATTCGCTCACGATATCAACGTTTTCACGCCATCTTTATTGCATCTTGACCCTGTATCTTGATTCTGAGTATTCTTTCGCTCCGCAAAGAATGATCAAAAGCACATCCCTGCTGGCTTTGTGGGCCGCATCGTCTGCCACCGCAGCACCTGGGAAACCATCGGGATCTTGGCAACCCAAAGGGCCATGGGGGCATCCATGGGGACGTCTATCTTCTAGTGGATGTGGCAAAACACATCACACTGGCTACAACAACGACACAGCCTCGCACTCTATCATATCTGGTGGCCTGAACAGGACATATGGCGTCAACGTTCCCAACGACTACAATGATAACCCGTCCAAGGCTCGAGCATTGATCATCGATTACCACGGAAGCGGAGGCAACGCCTGGCAACAATACGACAATTCGCAGTACTACAACTACCCTTCCGGAGAGGAATACGTCGTTGTCTATCCAAGTAAGTTGCGTTTGCCGAAGGAGCTACCAAGATTATGGCATAGATTGACATCTTTGAAAACAGACGCTTATGGATCCAACCATAGCTGGCAGGGCCCAAATTACGCTCCAGCCGGTGTGAGTGATCTGAACTTCACGATCGATCTCCTGGACCACATCGAGGACCAGTACTGCATCGATACTTCTCTGGTCTACGCTTCAGGCAAAAGTAACGGTGGCGGCTTTGTGGATACGCTTGCCTGCTCAGACCAAGGGGATAGATTCGCAGCATTTGCCATTGCCAGCGGCGCAATGTACACGGACACCTCTAGGGATAGCTGCTCCAAGAAGAGGGCTATCTTGGAATCACACGGAGACATGGACTCAACAATTCCCTATCATCCCACCAAACCAGGCCGGGGTGGTCCTATCCCAGATATCTCGCAGTGGGTCTCATGGTGGGGATACCGTACCTGCGGCAGCAGTGCTAAGCCACAAAATTCTGGTGATCTTGGAGGATACAACACTACCTCTTACTCCTGTGGCAACTGGGACAAGGTTATCGATCACTACCAGGTCTTCGACTTAGGGCATTGCTGGCCGAGCAGTACCGGCGAGAACTACGATGCACTGGCACCAGATCAGGACACAAGGAAGTGCCTCGACAAGGTGCTTGACTATACTCCAGTTGTGTTGAACTTCTTTAGCAAGTGGACGCTTTCGAACTCGCCGAAGAACTAGACGAAGTGTATGACAGGGAATGAAAAACCCGACAGGGATTCAAAGAGTAGCAACAGTCTATCAAGAAAATACACAGGACACCGTTCCAAATACCTTCATACCCTGTCCAATACAGTATCCCATAGCAGCCCATGCCACCGCTCGGACCACATACGAAGCAAGCCAAGGCTGACCAACAGCGCCAGCGCCAGTGCGCCCAGCACCTACCTTCTGAATATTGAGCTTATCATCACTTCACTTCTCTCCTGTCGCCATCTGACAAAGTACACGAGCACATTGCCAGCACCGCAGTCACACTCGATTTTCTGAAGAGCGGTGGCGAAAGTATCGTGTCTCCCGGAGCGTCACGGCCGAGCAAATCTCAGCCGTACGCGCCGTGCACAAGGAAGCAGTAACTTCCAGCCACCGCATCTGATATCTCACGCAACAATGGCGCGGACGAGGCTCACTTGCGGACGCCGATGACCACCGAGACCCCAAAGACCTGGAACCAGTGGCGTCGACCAATGTTTGTTGGCGGGTCAAGGTGACATCACGCGTCTGCACTCGAGCTTGCCGTCTTGTTCCGTTTGCTGCGTGCCTGAGAGAGCTTCACTTTGAGCTGTGGACGTATCATTTAGTCATGCCGACGGCTGCGAGAGGGCAGTAGACTCTTCAACAAGACAGAGAAGTCAAAGTTCTTTCATCACCTTTCCTTCAGTCTTCCCTAACTACCGAGCCAAAGCTTCACAAGAAGCTCAACGACACACACCACAATGGCTTCAGACAAGCCATTGCAGTCTCTCACTGACGAGGTAGACAAGTGGTCGCCTTATTCTCAGACGCGGAGTACGATCGATGAACAACCACTCAGCAAAGATGAGCTCGAGAAGACGAGCAAATGGATGCATGCCTCACTTTACCTCTGCTTGGGCATGCTGTACCTGAAAGAGAACCCGCTATTGCAAGAGCCGTTGAAGAAGGAACACATCAAAGCCAGATTGCTGGGCCATTGGGGTAGCGATGCCGGACAGTCGTTCACGTATGTCGACGCATGTGGCAAGGTTTCTTGGGCAACGCTGACTTGTCGAACAGCTATATTCACATGAACAGACTGATCAAGAAGTACGATCTTGATGCCTTCGTCGTTTCTGGTCCAGGCCATGGTGCTCCCGGCTTGATCTCCAACTTCTACCTCGAGGGCGTTTATTCAGAAGTATACCCTGAAAAAGCCGAAGATCTCCAAGGACTGCAGCGTTTCTTCAAGCAGTTCTCGTTCCCTGGTGGCATTGGCAGCCACATGACTCCAGAGACACCGGGTTCCTTGCACGAAGGAGGAGAGTTGGGATACTCGCTCTCTCACGCCTTCGGTGCAGTCTTCGACCACCCACAAACCATTGCCCTTACCATTGTTGGAGATGGCGAGTCAGAGACGGGCCCTCTTGCTACCTCGTGGCACAGCAACAAATTCCTCAACCCAATCACTGACGGTGCAGTCCTCCCTGTGCTGCATCTCAATGGATACAAGATCAACAATCCAACCATCCTCGCGCGTATCTCAGAAGAAGAGCTGGTAGCTTTGATGAAGGGTTATGGCTGGGAGCCATACTTCGTGGAGGGTTCGGATCTTGACACGATGCACCAAGCAATGGCTGGCACACTCGAGCACTGCGTTAAGGAGATCAAGCGATATCAAAAGGAGGCTCGTGACTCTGGCAAGGTCTTCCGTCCGAGATGGCCAATGATCGTTCTGCGGTCGCCAAAGGGTTGGACGGCGCCTCGCAAGGTTGAGGGCCATTACCTTGAAGGTTTCTGGCGTGCTCATCAAGTCCCTCTCCCCAAGGTGTCGAGCGATCCTGAGCAATTGAAGATGCTGGAGGAGTGGATGAGAGCGTATGAGCCGGAGAAGCTGTTCACAAAGGAGGGCAAGTTCATTCCTGAACTTCGAGAGCTTGCCCCACCCAAGGGCAAGAGGATGAGTGAGTTGTCCCACCGTCTGACTTTGAGGTCCGTGAGCTGACATATCCAGGCGAGAACCCAATCACGAACGGTGGGCTCATTCGGAAGCCTCTCAAACTCAACAAGTTCCAAGACTACGCTATCAAGGTCGACAAGCCAGCCGTTACCAACTATGGAAGCATGGGCAACTTCGCCATCTTCCTGAAGGACATCGTGAAGGATAACATGCAGACCTTCCGTGTCATGGGTCCGGACGAAACCGAAAGCAACAAGCTCTCTGAGATTTACAAGGCTGGCAAGAAGATCTGGGTCAACGGGTATCTTCCAGAGGACGAGGATGGCGGCAATCTTGATCCAAACGGCCGAGTGATGGAGATGCTGAGCGAGCACACAGTCGAAGGCTGGCTGGAGGGCTACCTGCTCAGTGGTCGTCACGGCTTGCTCAACTCGTACGAGCCTTTCATTCACATCATCGACTCAATGGTCAACCAGCACGCCAAGTGGATTGAGAAGTGCTTGGAGGTCTCTTGGAGACAAGCCATCTCGTCTCTTAACATCCTCCTCACCAGCACGGTCTGGCGACAAGGTGAGCAGAATAATCACGCAGACTTGATTTCACGACTGACTGATTTCACAGATCACAACGGCTTTACGCATCAAGACCCTGGTTTCCTCGACGTGGTTGCCAATAAGAGCCCAGAAGTTGTCCGCATCTACCTTCCTCCAGACGGCAACTGTCTTCTCTCCACCATGGACCACTGCTTCAAGTCCACGAACTACGTCAATGTCATCGTCGCCGACAAGCAGTTGCACTTGCAGTACCTTAACATGGATGCTGCCGTTGAGCATTGCACCAAAGGTCTTGGCATCTGGGACTGGGCATCGAACGACCAGGGTGAGGAGCCAGACGTGGTCATGGCGTCGTGCGGTGATGTTGTTACACAAGAGGCTCTGGCTGCGACTGCTCTACTGAGGTGAGTCAAAACACACATTCTACCAAGAAGAAGGCGCTAACGTTCACAGACAACACCTGCCGAGCCTCAAGATCCGCTTCGTCAATGTCGTCGATCTGTTCAAGCTCATTCCCAACGGCTACCACCCTCACGGCCTGACAAACGCAGAGTACGGCAACTACTTTACCACCAACAAGCCGGTCGTCTTCGCCTTCCACTCCTACCCATGGCTCGTTCACCGTTTGACCTACAACCGCCCTGGTCAAGATCTCATGCACGTCCGTGGATACAAGGAGAAGGGCAACATCGACACACCACTGGAGCTCGCCATCCGCAACGAGACTGATCGTTTCTCGCTCGCAATCCGTGCGATTGACAGTCTGACTGACGTGCTCGGTAACAGGGGTGCTGGAGCTAGAGAGAAGCTGCTGGAGCAGCGCATTCGCAGCATGAATTATGCGTATGAAGAGGGTCTCGATCCGGAGGAGTTCACCAACTGGACTTGGCCGTTCTGAACGGGATTCTCCCAACAGTTCAACGGTAATCAGGCCACGGAGAGGATGAGTGTATGACATGGCGTCTGGCAATCAGGGTGAGAGGCATGTAATGCGAACATGAATGTAACTTGTAATGAAAGCCATACATGAAGCTGCTTGTTTGAGTGCGACATCTCAAAATCTCTTGCGCTGTCTGAGGGAATCAAGGAGTGGGTGATGTGCTCTGGCACTCTTCTGCAGGTGAGGTCCGGAAATTCGTCTAGATGTGAGTGAGGAGAGAGCTAATCATGATGACAGGTGATGCTCTGACAGGCCCTTGAAAGGCTCCTGAGAGTGAGTATGTCACAAGTCGGCATGTGAGATGAGGTGAAGTCAAGCGAAGGGTGCATGGCACGTGAGAGCGTGGTCCTTCCTCCTGTTCGAGGAAGAGCACAGGTCTAGACTGTACTTCAATTCGTCTTCAGGGTCGAAAAAGTCAACACCGACCTCGCTCTCGCCCACGACCACGACGACATCGACATCGACACGACCAGCATCACGGCCAGGAGATACATTCAAGACAAGCATGTGGTGACCGCCAAACTGCGACTGACATAGAGAAAGACAACAGACGAGTGAAGCCAGCGGGGCAGTGAAAGCAAACGGCATGTGAAGTGCACGGGCCAGTTGTGACTAGTCCTTTCTGCCGACTTCCAGCCAGCTTCGCAACACCTGCAAGTCGCGCCTCTAATCGCTTCGAACGAACATTCTCCAGCGTCAAGCACAAGGGTCAAGCACAATTTGCCATCAACCACATCAAGGATCAGCGCAAAATGCAAAACAACCGCGTCGCTCAAGACCACGGCACTTTTGTGCCAGAGTCTCCCGTCATTCTGGTCGATGCGCCACGTCATGATGAAGTGTCCATCACAGCCCGCAAGAAAGGCGTCACCATCGGACACGGCGATCTCATGTTGCGCACCATGGCAATCGAGAAGTCCTTCTTCAACAACGGACCGCCATTGACGGCCTCGCCGCTGACGGCGCAACTCGGCTTTCCTCTCGAAGCTGTAGCATCACCAATGAACGAGTCGATCGCGTACAACTATCCCGTGAACGAAATGTTCGCTTCCTCCAATCCGGAATCGTCTGAGTTCTTGACAGACTACACTGCTTTCTACGGGGACGTCTCGCTCGTTCGTGCGGACGGCAAGGCCATGAGTCCGCTCCAGATTGAGGCGCTATTGACGTACATCAATCAGACGCGGAAGAAGTGGTTGACGAAGACCAGACACATGAAGGAGGGAGAGGCGAAGGAGGTTGAAAGAAAGAAGGTGAAGGCCAGACTGACGCCGGAGGCTTTCCACACGTTCTTCGAGAACTTACGGCGCCAGATGCTGCGCGCGGGCAACCAGGCATTCAAGAACGTGGTGTCTCCTGTCAGCATCACTCTCAGCGAGGTTGCACCAGCATGTGGTGCCTGCTACGCCAAAGCTGAGCCAGGCAAGCACTTGCTGACTTGCGCCAAGTCCAAGACGAGGTACTACTGCGGTCGGGCATGTCAGAAAGAGGATTGAAAGGAGCACAAGAAGGTCTGCGGCATGGACTAGACAAGAGTTTCAAGGGCATGAAGACACGGGATGGAGATAAACGATGACACGAGCATGGAGCTTCAGACGCCGTTTTGTTTGCCCCAGGCATGCGATTGCACTACAGTGGAGAGTTGAAACTCTAACGAAACGAATTGGCTTGATTAGAATAACGAATTAAGCGTGTTGGTATGTGTCTTCATTGGTTTGCTTTCGCTTTGTGAAAGGGAAGGTGCGAGGTGAATGAAATTTCGGCGCACGGACCATGTGAAGTTACTAGCGTCCTTTTCTTGTTCCTGCTTGACGCTGTTTATGTTATGAGCACCAGACAACACCTTGCCTCCAAGTGAAACTATAAGTCTCTATCAATCACCCACCGCCCGCCGTCTACCACTCACCGCCCACCGTCGACCACCCACTATGGCACCCCAACGCAACATGTTCGCCATGTTGGCGGACGAGAACGACGACGAGACCTCCTCTGCCCACAGTCAGCCACAAACCGACGACGGTACGACCAGTCAGACCATCTACACGCCTCTCACCGAGACTCATCAGTCCGACGATGCCGACTCAGTACAGTCGCCCCAAGACATCGTCTTGACACCAGAAGCCCAAGAGGCGCGAGCAGCACTCACTCGCCACAAGCAGATGGCCGCCTTTCTCATAAACTTTCACAACAACCACCACGGTCCAGAACAACCCCTCGAAGACGGCATCTGGGGCGCCGTCATCCACCCACGCACCAAACACGACCTCCCCGGAGGCGAGAACCCCCTCGAGGACGGCACGAACGTGCGAGCCCGAATCACCCCTGTTCCAGGTTCGATGGCGTCCTACGAGAACCCAGACAATGTCTGGCTGACACCAGAACTTCCTGCGAAACTAGGTTTTCCGGTCAAGATCACGACGTGGCCATACCCACAGGGCAGGGCAGCGGATCAGAACCAGTACAACCACTTCGTGCATACCCTGTTCCTCGGCGCCGACGCCTCGAAGTCTAGCTTTACCAAGTTCACGCACGAGGGATACATTGGCGACGCGTTGGTCGTGCGGACGGATGGAAAGGACCTTTCGGATCAGCAGGTGGAGGTTTTGCTGCATTTCATCAATGATGAGTTCTCGGTGGCGGCGGTGAAGTTGTTGGATATGGAGGAGGGCAAGGAGAAGGATGCGTGTAAGAAGCAGATCGCAGAGAAGTACCTCCACCCGGAGGCTTTGCATGCGTACTGGCAGGAGTACCGTCGGGAGAGGATCAAGAGTGGGCGAGTCTGGGAGGATGCGGTTTCGCCTGTCAAGGTGACGCTGGGAGAAGTGAAGCCCGCTTGTGGCAGGTGCTTCAAGAGGGAGGCCGAAAAGGGGCAGTTCTTGTTCTGCGAGGGTTGTGAGGATCGGTTTTACTGCTCGAAGACCTGCAGTGATAAGGATGAGAAGCGGCATGCGGAGTCCTGCTTTTGGGAAGACGAGACGGTGGACTCTGGTTTGGACAGTAGTGCTGAGTGTGTGGATAGTCAGTCGTCTGACTTCAGCTATTCGGAGGAGAGGTCTGACTAGAATGTCGAGGCATGGCAGGAGAGGTTCTTTGCTGGATCGGCCAAGTGGCAGTGCTTTTGACAGAGCACCGTCACCTTCTATCCCGCGTATGTGGCATTGTACTCTGCAAACAATGCTTTAGTTAGCGGATGTGTTATCAACAGATTTGAAGGGATCGTGGTTCGTTCTCACTCTGGCCTCGCATTCGTTGCTCCTTCCTCATGAATTAACCTTGATGCGTCCGCGCTCTTCCCTCAACATGACCGCACCTTCTCTTCTTGTCTCTTTTCCATGACTCAAAAGCCCACTCATCGCTTTTCGTCCCTCTTGCATCAACTTTCACCTCAAACACAAACTCCAACTAGCATCAACCACATCTTCGACTCCACGCCGCTTCGCATCGAAGCATCTCCACAAGCTCACCATCGCCCCAGGTAGATCATCTTTGCATCAACCTTCGGTGAGCATAAGAGACACCGAGAACCGTCGCACGACTGATCCGCCAGGCAGCAAGTCTCACAGTCTCTCAACATGGCGAGGCCGGGCTTCTCCAAGACAATCCTTCTCACGGCAACACCAGGAGAGAAGCCCGTGAATGGGATCAAGTGCATCCCGATTGACTTCGAGGTCATCTGGATGCCCAAAGACAGCCGGCCGGAGCTGTTAGATTGGAAAGTCTCGCAGATCAGCGTCAAGCTCGGAGTTCCTGTGAGGGCCACACGCCGTCCAGTGTATCCTCCCGTGCCAGATCCACCTTTCAACAACCGCGTCCCGCCACTCTTCATGAAAAGCGACATGGATGACCCAGATTTCGGCGCCTCGGGGCACATCAGCTGGCTGCAGGGAGACTTCGCGGTGCAGCGCTGCGACAAGAAGGACCTCGAGGTGGATCAGCTCGCGGCCTTGCTGCAATACATCAGCGGCAACTTCGTGATAGCTTCCTCTTGGGAGTTTCCAAAGTTTCCAAAGGACGTCCAGAACTCGATCAAGGCAGAGATTAGCAAGAAAGTCAATCCAACCGCTTTCGCCGCCTGGTTTGAGGACCGACGCCTGCAAATGATTGCGGAAGGCCACAAAGTGTGGAAAGATCTCCCGTGTCCCGTCGTGTTCGACGGCTGTGCCGCTTGTGGAGAGAGGGGGAAGGATGGGCAGGAACTGCAGCTTTGTGCCGGGTGCAAGGAGGCCCGATACTGTACAAAGGCCTGCCAGAAAGCACACTGGAAGCAACACAAGAAAGCGTGCAAAGAAGCTGCGCATCACAGAAAGGCCCACCTGCATCGGACGCTCCAGCTCGTCCTAAACTTGTGATCGTGGTGACCAAAGACGATCGCTGATCTCCAACTTCGAAGTGGTGCTCACGAAATATCGGTGGGAGGCTGGCGCTGGATGGATCCGCAGCTATAGCTTGCGCTATGGTTGAGATGTGGGATTGCAGAGAGAGAGACCGCGGATGAGTGGCTTGTTGCTTTCATGACTTCGTTACTTCAGACGAGTATTCGATGACCAGATTGTGGTATACTCAACTTCCGTTCTCGTTACATCTCCAATCCCACATGTTCCAGAATCATACCCTCGGTGTTCTGCAGAAAGTGGAATATTGATCTGCATGACTCTCAAGCTATCCAAGCAGCTTGGAGTGCGATCAGCAGCGCAGTCGCCTGTGAAAAGTCGGAGAGATGGCAGTTCCATGAGAGTCACTGTGACCGAAACGAGGAGGGTATATACATCCAGTGCCACCGAATCCCACCCCCACCGACTCCCCTCCCTTAAAAAGCATTCTCCTGACTATCCCTCACACACCTCCTCACCCTTCGTTTGAATTCTTTCTGATCATTCCGCCACAACTTCCCCGCCTCAATATTCGCGGGACTCTCATCGTTCGGACTGCTCAACATACTGATCACACTGAGCAGAATCGTCTCGGGGGTCTGCACGGGCGACCAGCGTTCTGCCGCGGACTCGTAGCCGTACTGGTCCTCTTCGGGCGGGTGCAGGATGGAGATGCAGACTTCGCCGGACTCGTAGACGTTCGGGTGGAAGATGGGGGTTTCGAAGCGGAGTTTGGGCGGTTGGTGCGGGTAGGTGGGTGGGAAGGTTAGGCGGGTGCGGAAGATGCCTCCTAGATATCGCGGGGAGAGATTTAGTGATGCTCTTTCGTGTACTTTCTTCTCGTGTAGCCCGGCTTAGACTGTCCTCGGCCAGCCTGGGCTTCCTGCTTCAACTCACTCACCTCCATATAAACTATCCTGCTCGTCACTCAGCATGAGCATAACCTCCCAGTCGAAGACACTGTTATTGTTCAGGCCGCAGCTTATGCCAGGGATATCTCTGTCTGTTTGCATTTGCTTGAACTGCTTGCCGAGGATGATCGCGGCGCTGGAGGAGCCGCCGGGGGAGCTGGTGTCGTTTCGGTTCGCGGGGGAAGCCATGATTTGGAGGGAGATCCGCAGGCTGGAGTTCTGCTGTTGCCTCCCTCAGACGCTGGTTCTGCCGTGCGGTTTCGAGTGGGTCGCGTGAGGCTTCGAGGGCGAGTTCGGTGGTGGGGTTGGCTTGGTGGGAGTGCCTTTGGCGGAGAGCTTGATGGAGGGTGGTGGAAGAGGGAGATGTGAGGTATATAGTCAGACTCGCGGTATCCAAGACGTGCAAAGTTTCCAGGGTTATAGCAGTGAGATTGTTTGTTGTTTGTGCATCGCCGGGGACAAAGTGACGTTGGAAAGGCAGTAGGATGGCCTTGCGCAGCTTTCGGACTTAACTCGTGAATTAGAAGGGTCACCACACTTGGGCAGCAGGAACCTTCTACGCTACGGCTTCAGTGAAGACTATGATGGAGTCACATTGCGTGCGTCAGTGAGATAGTACTGAATAAACGGATAGACAGAATGTGAGAAAACAGGAGGTGAAGTGAGCAGTCGTGCGTTCATTGGTTCGAGGTGATACTGCGCTAGTCAAAGTTAAAAATTTAAGAGTAAAACCTGGAAGGTCACGGGTAATAAGTCAGGCATGTGATAATGATACTGTTGATCTCGTTGAGGTTCTACCATTCGTGCTTCGTGGGGTATTCACCACCGCATGCATTGTTCGTCGTCTCTCGCTCTCGGCCAGTATCACGTCCGACCCTCTGGCAGCTTTCTCAACAGCTCGCCTCTTCGTCTTCCTGGCACACACCGCCATTGGGTGTTATTACGATGCTTCTTGCAATCTCTTCCGTGCACATCGCAGTCTCGACGGTACTCTTGTTGGACCGGCGAGGGATGGTATCAGCTGGACTTTTTTTCAAGCCACAATTCCTGCGCAGACTGCGTGAGATCTGTTCCCGGCTCAATTCCTCAAAGCCGTCCTGTGAATCGTGTAGGTCAAGCAAGGCTTTACTGTCGCCTCGCCAACTTCATGACGGGTTTGCTCTCACCCGGGGATCACTTCGTCCACGGAGACGGCTGGCCCAGCTTTGAGGACGGCGTCGAGACTCCGCGTCGGCACTGGTACCAGGCCGGCTTCGACGGCCGGCTGAAGTTGATCCCAACACTTCCTGAGCATATCCTCCATCCACTGCTCTTCTTCCACCTGCAATCGCATCTGACGTCGAGCCATCTTGCTGCGCTTGACTTTCATTCCGGGGGTTCCGCCTAAAGGGCCAACGACCGGACTTGCGGGCACGGATGATTCGGGACTCGAAGGATCGGGTGAGGTGGGCTGTGAGAGTAAGACGTCAAGCTCCAAGCATTGATGAATCAGATCTTCCACGCCATCGCGGGTCGCCACGGCCTTAGGTTGCATCAGCTCGAAGAAATCTGCGCCGTATAGTTCGTCTTCCTCAATCGCGTGCTCGAGTGATTCCAGAAAGAACATGAAGCTCGGGAGAGTCGGGCCCTCGATGGTAAAAGGATAGTGGACATCGCTGAGTAGGCAGGCCGCGTGCAATAATCTTATCGAGAATTCAGAGTCCAAAGAGTGGTCCACAACGCAAGCTGGACATACGCGGGTGTAGCACCAGTCTCGCTCCTTTTCTGATGAGAGAAAGCATTGCAGCCAGACAAAAGCGCTGCGTGCCGTACCCGTGAACGCGTACTCAAGATCTTCCAGCTTCGTCGCGTGGGTCGCGGCGGATGCGACTCCGCAGGCTTTGTCGAAAAGTTCCACCACGGGTACGAGAAGCGCGTGGAGAACGTCGCGCACGATCAGCCACCTCTCCAGATTCTCCAGGTGGGCTGGAGTATGGGCGTCGCACAATCTAGCAGGGAAAATAGATGTTAGTCGTGAATCTGTCTCCACGTGTTTGGGGATTGATAAGAACTCACTCGTACGTGTAATGCTCGGAGAGATGCGCTCTCAAGATGCTGAATCCGTCCGCTTGTGCGAGCGTCTCCACGTCCTGCACCTTGAGCAAGAACGGCGACGCATTCGGCGTCATGGTCGGAAGGGTAGCCACAGGCATATCGTCTTGCTCGGTGCGCTCTTCAGTTGCTGTCGTGATGTGATCGTCCACTTTCCGGGACATGACCTGGAGAGAAGGGGATCGGCAACAGGCAACGCGAAAGGTCTTCTACCTCACATCGGTCCGTCTGGGAAACGCGCACATGTGAGGTCGAGGTGGTGAGTCGGCGGTATTATGGAGCTGATAGCGAGCGGGTGACGCAGGACGGCGTCTGACCAGACGTGTTGCGGGCGACATGCGGTACAAGTACTATAGCGACGGCGAAACAGAGGCGAGGAGAGCGACAAGTAGAGACGTCTCTTACCCACTTGCCGGTGCTCGCGGTGCTAAAGTAGAGCTTCGAATAGTGCGCTTGTGCAGGAACGCCTTCTGGAGCGGAGGGTGCTGGGATTGCGTGGCATCTCTTTACGGGGCGGCGAAGACGAGCATGTGATGGTCACATCAGGCGGGACTTGGGCAGAGTCCCGCGATGGCTTCCGCGCAGCAGTGGGAGAGTTCACCGTGGCACGTTCGGGCGGCGGCCGAGCGAATTGGAGGCGGGTGGGATGAGAAGGACGGCATGCAGTTACCTGGATGGTATGGCCTGTTGCGGACGTGGTGGTGTTTCCTCGGCGGCAAACGTCTAGAAGCTGGCTGGAATGCGCGCTAGAAGACTGAAGGAGGAAAGCCGGTCTGCACGGAAGGAGTCAAAGAGATGAGCGCGCGGCCAATCAAGGCGGTGTCATATGAAGACCCGTACGACGTGGCTGCGAGACAGGCGAGCAATCTTCTTGCAACGCTTTCTCTTCGCAAATCTGGGTGTGGTGGAAAATTGTGACCTTCATCTTCCGTTCGGGAGATCAACACCATGTGATGGACCCTGGTGGCTGCGAGTCAGGACGGCAGCCCGACTGCCGACAGCTGCCTCCGACACGAGGCGCTTCAAATTGTGATTGAGCCGCGCCGAGTCTTTTCCTTTCGCCTCACACTTCACCTGTCGAGACCTCGCAAGCGCGGTGACTGCCTGGGAAACACGCTGTCTGTTGCCACATCTTCTCGGCGACGACCGCAAACACGGCCAAGCGTAGGATATCACGCTGTGGCACGAGCATCAGAAGTGGAGAGAACGAACGTGATCTTTCACTCCGGCTCTACGGTCCGCATGGCGAGAAGCAAGGCGCAGCACGTGGACAGCAGGACTTCCGAGTCAGCGCCCGCACGCCTTTCACCGTACTCGTTACCATCGCATCCTGCCCCATTTGAGAAGGAATGGGATACCGCAGAAGGAGCTGGACTTCTCCGCAAAAGTAACAGCTCCTCGTGATCACCATTCTGCATGCGTGGTTCCATTCACTCAACCCTGCAGCGTGGGATGTCCGCCCAGAGTGGGATTTCTGATATCCCTTGATCATTGATGGCTATTGTGTGACCACGAAGAAAACGACATGCCCGGGTGCAGCCACGACTCACTCCTTCGCGGACGAGATGGCCGTTCTTGCATTGCATCTGACATGTCGGACCGAGGCCGAGACTCATCACTACCACACATGTATACAGGTCAGCTCAGCCTCGTACCACGCGGACATCCTGCTCGGATTGCCTCCACGGCCTCCATATTACCCCAGGTTCAAGGGTCCACGAACTGATTTGCATGCCCGTGAACCCTGAAGGCGTGCGCAGGAAAAAGACCGTCTGGGGAGGTCGGCAGAATGCCGTGGAGCCACACCTCACCTCCTGCGTTGATGCAAGTCCAGCCCATGGAAGAGGTCATTGCCGTTACCCATGCGACTCGGCATGCCCGATTGACAGATCTACATGTTTCAAGATTAATGCCATGCCTTCCAAGAACCAGGAACCAATGTCTTGGGAAAGCCTGCGTGCATTGCTCGCAACGGGCGCGGGTCATCTGGACGTTTCCCCTCACGTACAGCTGGACGATGGAACAGACCTGGTTCTCCCACCTCCACGCGTGACTGATGTGCTGGCGGTCAATCACTCGCTCTGCCAGAACCGAAGCAATTGGCATCACGCTGAAACGACGTTAACGGTCACCAGGTCATCTAATGCAATTCTTTAGGGACAGTAAGCGCAATAATTACCTTACGAAGCTCAAGAGATCATCCTGAAGACAGAAAGTGAACTGGTTTGACTTGAGTCTTGTCACTGGTAGGTTCTGTGCTAACCTACAGACTCTTCGCAAATGCCACAATCGCTCGTTGAATCTTTTCATGAGCATCGTTCAGCACAACACGGAATAACAATGCCGCTCCATGCGGTAATCCAAGGTTCACCTCTGCGGCTACCTTGACACCCGCAGCCGTCAACTTGTGGAAGTACGCCAGCCCGTCGTCTCTCAACGGGTCCAGCTCGTCCATACTCAGGATGTGAGGCGGGAGACCTTTCAATTCTTGCTCGGTCGCGTTCAGAGGCCATGCTTCCGCCTTGTCCATATGGTCCGGAGAATAGTACTGCGACATGGACTTCATGGAAGCGCAGTTGATGATGTAGTTGTCATTCTCCACCATGCTTGGGAACTGCTTCAACTTCTCCTCCTTGGACAGGCCGTACTTTCCACTAACGTAAGGAACATATGCGTATACACCAGCGATCTTGTCAACCCAACCCTCGCGGTTCGCTCGCAAAGCTGTTGCGCAGGCCAGATTCCCACCGCCGCTCTCGCCTTGAAGAACGATCTTACTGATGTTCAGATCGGATTTGTGTGCGTCGACCCACTTGACTGCTGCTACGCAGTCGTTCAAACCAGCTGGGAAGGGGTTGTGCTTCTCTTTGGTGTAGGCATTACGGAAGTCGGTGACGATGGCGACAACGCCCTTGATAGCCATGGATTTCGCCCAGCGCATGTGAGGCGGCGCATTGGTCGAGATGATCGTCATGCCTCCTCCGTGCGTATAAATGACACACGGCGTGGGCTCCTTGGTGACTGGACGAAAGACGTACAAGGTGATCTTGTTCCCATCTTGTCCATCAATGGTGATCTCCTCGGGCCCGACGTCAGGTTCGTTCTCATCACCAGGCAGACCGAGAGGCGTCATGCTATACATCGCATTGGTTGCCTCGTGTTGCTCTCCTAGCAACGGATGCAGCTCTTTGAGATCCGTCGGCCACGACGCAGGGAGCATATCCTGAAAATCCGCAGCCACCAACGCCTTGCGAAGCTCCGGATGGAGTCGTTCATCGTCGAGGAACTTGAGATCAGGATTTCCCAGACGCCCTGGAGGCGTGAAACCGGATTGTGCTGCCATAATTATTCGTTACAACGCTTGAATGCTGTATTTCGTTGCTTGCTAAAGTAAAGATCGAAGAAGAGCTTTTGAGGTGGGACGAAACGAAGGTGTTTAGGTAGCTTTGGTTTTTCTGACACGGTAGTGTCGATCTTTCTGACTCTCGCTCTTTTGACGATGACCGACCTCGTGTAAAGCTCCGGTTAGCAAGCTGAGCTCGCTCAAGGCCCTAAGACGGGTATTTTTTGAGGAGGAGCGGGACTTCGCAAAAATTGTGGGGGGAGAGGGGGAGAGGCTGGATGATGCTGTGGATACGTCTCTCTTCAGAAGTGATGCTGGCAGCTTTTATATCTCCCATCTTCAGCTTCGTACCCTTGAGTGCTTCGATGGAGATTGTTTCCCACGTATCCTGGAACCGGCTTTCGGACATCTACCTGCCTGAGAAGACATTATTCAGCTCATTCTCCTGCATAACCATGCATCTTAACTCCTTGTCCTCATTGCCAGATTCTTAACCCCACCGGAGACAACATCCATCCGGTCTTGCACCTCGTGCAGCCTTGCGTCTTTCCATATTCATATTCAGAGGTCCCGAAGAATTGCCTGAACGAGCTGTTATGGCGAGGCAGGATCAAAAGCCCTTGAAGCCACTGCGAAGTTTATCACTAGTAGAAGTTGGGTGTGTGTGAAGAGGATCTTGTTCGATTAGAAATGTGAAGACGTTGATGTTTGTTCCGTGGAAGTTGTTGCTCCGTGAGGGCTTGGGGAATGGCTGAGAATCCGGGCGAGTTTCGCACGAGGGATGGGGGACTTTGCTCGAGATGGGGTGTATTTCTGTTAACTCTAACAGAAAATGCAGTTGGTATAACTTTTTGCCAGGCGCATGACTATTCAAACAAACCGGATCCGATCTCTTTTCGCGAGAACATCATGTTCGGCTATCACATGCGAAAAGCTACCGGAACCGCGGCATGTGGCTCTCTCGCTCCCCACAAGCAGTGATGAGCCGCCTCTAACCTTCGTCTGGGAAAAAGGGAGCTCTGCACTGCATGACTTCGAACCTAGGTAACCAAACACTCCTCCTCGAATGTTTGTCGCTGTCTGCACGTCGCCGTCGTAGCTCTCCCCCTTCTTCGTTCTACAATGGCCTCGCCCATCCTCCGCCGCACCCTCCCCCGAGCAACCATGTCGTCCTCCCCACAGCAACGCCTGCAAGCCGTCCAGCGACACTTTACCTCCTCGACCCGCCGCCCGAAAGAAATCCAAGACGCGTATATCGTCTCCGCCGTACGGACGCCCTGTGCGATTTTCAATGGATCCTTTAGCAGCGTCTCCGCGCCGGAGCTCGGCGCCACCGCGATCAAAGAGGCGATTAAACGGTCGGATGTGCCGCAGGACAAGATCTCGCATGTGTATATGGGAAATGTGATGCAGGCGTCTGTGGGGCAGGCACCGGCGCGACAGGCGTCGATTTTCGCGGGGTTGTCGCCTTCGGTGGAGGCGACGACGATTAATAAGGTGTGTGCGTCTGGGATGAAGGCTGTGGCTATTGCTGCACAGCAGATTGAGCTGGGGCAGGAGGAGGCGTTGGTGGCGGGTGGGATGGAGAATATGAGCCGGGTGCCGTATTATACGCCGCGAGGGCCGCAGTTGCCGGGGTTTGGCAATGTGACGATGGAGGATGGGTTGCTCAAGGATGGACTTTGGGATGTGTACAATCAGATTCATATGGGGAACTGTGCGGAGAATACGGCGAAGAAATATGAGGTTAGCAGGGAGGATCAGGATGAATATGCGATTCAGAGCTTCAAGCGGGCGCAAGAGGCGTGGAAGAATAAGTTGTTTGATGATGAGATTGTTCCTGTCACGATCAAGGGCAAGAAGGGCGAGACTGTTGTTGCTGAGGACGAGGGATACGGCCGGTTGAAGCTGGACAAGGTCGCGACTCTCAAGCCAGCGTTTGACCGCAGTGGGAAGGGCACGGTGACTGCGGCCAACAGCTCCAGCATGAACGACGGTGCCAGCGCACTCATACTCACAAACAAGGAGCTGGCCAAGCAGTACGGTGGTGGAAAGCGTGTGCTTGCGAGGATAGTCGCATATGCAGACGCTGCGGTGGATCCCATTGATTTCCCTGTCGCGCCGGCAAAGGTTGTTCCCATTGTCTTGGAGCGAGCAGGTATCACGAAGGAGCAGGTCAAGGTTTGGGAGTTCAACGAGGCGTTTGCTGCTGTCATCAAAGCCAATGCAAAGGTGAGATTGAGATTCCTTCGACCATCTGAGTGAGGACTGACTGTTGTGTAGATTCTCGGCCTTGGTAACGACAACGTGAACCCTCGTGGTGGTGCCATCTCACTTGGTCATGCTCTCGGTAGCTCGGGTGCTAGGATTCTCGTGACGCTTCTTCACCAGCTCAAGAAGGGCGAATATGGGTGCGCGGCTATCTGTAACGGCGGTGGTGCGGCCAGCGGCATGGTCGTGCAAATGGTCGATGCGGATGAGCTGTAGATAGCGAATGTCCAAAAGCTTGTATCTGTATGTGAATGAATACACCGTGAAAGTGTCGCGTCGTTGCCGGGTATTTGCATGTTTGCATGTAGTTCGCATGCGGCTTCTGCACTGCGCAAGGTAGATGCTGTCTTCCGACTTCATTCACTTTGCGTGATTCGTGAAGCTTCTGTCATAGCAAACATTGAGTGTTGAGAGTTGAAAGTGAGTGTCGACCTGCACATGTTGTTTCCGGTGCGCTGACTTTTGGCACGTGCAGTGGGGCTCAAGCGCGTTTAAGGTTCTGTCGCGGATAAACAGCAAGCAGCCGTCCGACATCATCCCCTTGGACCACCACCCTTTCAGTTAATCCTCCCTCCTTAGCGCAGCCTCCTCCACCATCTCGCGCAACGCCTTCACCTTCAACGTACGCGACCGGCCCTCACTCGAGCAGCCTGAGCAGGGCGACATCTCTACCGCACCCCCGAGGCGACGTTTACTTTGGCTTTGACCAAGTACGTCGACATTCGAAACCGCGACACCTTCACCACCCCCCACCTCGGCACCAGACATTCAATCTTCATAGTAAGAGGTACGTTTCAGTTGTGATTGCGCCGCAGCGGCAGCGGGCAGCGGCGAGCAGGCAGCATGGCGACCGCGAACACCATCAAAGTGGTTGCTCGGTTCAGACCTCAAAACAAGATTGAGGTGGCAGCCGGCAGCGAGCAGATTGTCGAGTTCAAGGGCGAGGACTCTTGTACCATCAACTCCCGAGAGGGCAGCGGCGCCTTTACTTTCGATCGCGTGTTCCCGACCAACACCGCCCAGCACGATGTGTTCGACTACTCCATCCGCAGCACTGTCGACGATGTGCTTGCGGGCTACAACGGTACGGTCTTCGCGTACGGACAGACAGGCTCGGGTAAAACATATACCATGATGGGATCGGACATTGGCGACGAGCAGAGCAAGGGTATCATTCCGCGCATCGTGGAGCAGATCTTCTCCAGCATCATGCGCAGTGACGGCAGCATTGAGTTTACGGTCAAAGTGAGCTACATGGAAATCTACATGGAGAAGATTCGAGATCTGCTGGTACCGCAGAACGATAACCTTCCAGTGCACGAGGACAAGCAGCGTGGTGTATATGTCAAGGGGCTTGGAGAGTTCTACGTCGGATCCGTGGATGAGGTGTACCATGTGCTGGAGCGAGGTGGCCAGGCAAGAGCTGTGGCCGCAACCAACATGAACCAGGAGTCTTCGCGATCGCACTCCATCTTCGTTATTGAAGTCACACAGAAGAATGTCGAGACTGGCTCCGCACGATCCGGACGACTCTTCCTTGTCGACTTGGCTGGTTCCGAGAAGGTCGGCAAGACTGGTGCCAGTGGCCAAACCCTTGAAGAGGCGAAGAAGATCAACAAATCCCTATCAGCACTGGGCATGGTCATCAACGCTCTTTCAGATGGCAAGAGCAGCCATATCCCATACCGAGACTCCAAACTCACACGAATTTTGCAAGAATCGCTGGGTGGAAACTCCAGGACGACCCTCATTATCAACGCATCCCCTGCATCATACAACACTGACGAGACCATTTCGACCCTTCGCTTCGGTGAGCGCGCCAAAACTATTAAACAGAAGGCCAAGATCAACGAGGAGCTCTCGCCTGCGCAGCTCAAGTCTTTGCTCAAGAAAGCACAAGGCCAAATCACTTCGTTCGAATCGTACATTCAGAATCTTGAAGGCGAGGTTCTCAACTGGCGTAAAGGCGAGCAGGTGCCGAAGGAGCGATGGACCCCAGCCATGAGCGACATTTCCAAAGCGCCTGCACAGGCCCCACCCCGATCAGCTACACCCACCAGCCGACTCAAGCAGGAGGATGCTGGCACGCCCAGACCGGAGAGTCGAATGGACCTGGAACGTGCTGCTACACCTAGCCTCGTGCTCGAAAAGGATGAGAAGGAGGAGTTCTTGAAGCGCGAGAATGAACTTCAGGACCAGCTTGCCGAGCGGGAGCGGAGTCTGGAAGCTGCCGAACAAGCATTGCAGTCTGCACGGACCGAGCTGCGGGATCTTAGAGAGAGCCATTCCAACACATCGCGTGCCAACGAGAAGTTGCAAAGCGAGACCGAGACTCTTCGCATGCAGGTCGAGAAGATCGAGTTCGAGACCAAGGAGGCTGCCATCACTATGGATTCGCTTAAGGAGGCCAACGGCGAGCTCACACAAGAACTCGACGAAGTCAAGCACCAACTTCTGGACGCTAAGATGGCTGCCAAGGAGTCATCGGCACTGCTGGACGAGAAGGATAGGCTCAAGAAGGAACGCATGGCCCAGATGATGGCAGGCTTCGACCTAGGAGATGGCATGGTCTCAAGCAGTGAGCTGCAGGTCCGCGAGATTGTTCAGCAAGTTCAAAGCATGCTTGAGGTCGCCGACGGTGGTGAGGCTATCACGGCAGATGAGCTCAACGCTCTTAATGAGAAGCTTTTGGAGCTCCAGGGCCTTATCCGCCAACAGGACGTCGGTGCCAGCAGCCACATCGATGGTGCACAGAGCGCCATCCTGGAGCAGAAGCTTTCCCAAGCCCAACGCGACTACCAGGAGCTGCTTGAGAAGAACCTGTCCGAGGCGGACGTTGAGGAGGTCAAGCGTAATCTCTTTGAATCGCTCTCGTCGCAACAGAACGGTGCCAACAACGCATCAGAGCTGCAGGACGCCCTTTCACGACAACAAGAGGAGAACTCTCGCATGCGCAGCGAAGTCGAAGCGCTTCGAAAGCAGGCACTCAACGGTGCCAATGGTGCCTCCCTCAGCAAGCAGCTCGCCGACTTTGATGCCATCAAGAAGTCGCTCATGCGTGATCTGCAAAACCGCTGCGAGCGTGTGGTCGAATTGGAGATCAGCCTTGATAGCACGCGCGAGCAGTACAATTCTATCCTACGCAGCAGCAACTCGAAGCAGCAGCAGAAGAAGTTGGCTTTCCTCGAGCGCAACCTCGAGCAGCTTACCATGGTTCAGCGGCAGCTGGTAGAGCAGAACGCTCAATTGAAGAAGGAGGTAGCCATTGCAGAGCGAAAGTTGGTTGCACGTGGCGAGCGTATCCGTGGCTTGGAGGGCCTCGTGCAGGAGAGTCAGGAGAAGCTGATGCTTGCCAACCACAAGTATGTCCTTGAAAATCCCCTAACTCTCCCTGAGTGTCAGCTAACAAATACCTGCAGGTTCGAAAGCCAACTCATGGCCGTTAAGGAGCGCCTCGAAGCAGCCAAGACTGGCTCCACTCGCGGCCTAGGACCCAATTCCCCCGCACCCACCACATTCGCTCAGAACCCCTTCGGCCGGATAGCCAAGCCCCTTCGCGGCGGCGGCGGAGGCGGAGATGGCTCGCAGCCCGCCGTGCCCACGTTCGCTGGCCTGCAGAGCTCCGCCTCGCAGGAGAGCAGCGGCAACAAGCGCAGCAGCTGGTTCTTCAACCAACGCTCGTAATTTTCGCAATAAACGGATCCGGCATTGTTGTCGTGCGTCGGCTTTTTGTCAATAGGGGTAGACTTTATTACAACTCTTGGGATGAATGCTTCGTTTTGTATGCATTTTCATGATAGATGAAAGATGGGGCTGGGGCGCTTGTTGCGTGGGAATAGGAATGGCAAGAGGTTGGAGCAAGGGCGAGATGATCGTTACAGGCATGGGATGCGGACGCGGATTGCGGATGCGGATGTATTTTGTGCTGTCGAGGCGTGAGACACGATACCCATTGAAACTTTATTTGTTGGTCTGTTTACTATGCTTTTTGAGTTCGTTCTTAGGATGTGTGTGCGATGTTGTTCTTTGAGGTGAGGTAAGAGGGGGGTTTAGGGCCCCCTGAATAGGGATTCTGGTTTGGATGGGTTGGGGCAAGGAGATGGCAAGAGACTGGCGAGTGCTCTAATGACACGAGACGTAAGCTGATCTTGAGACCCTTGTACATGAGGCTAGCATGCTCTCTACCTAGCAAGTGACCCTCTCTGTCCAAGTATCGAGCTGCTAGTCTTAGGCAGGGCTAATTCATTCACTTACTCGAGCTGCGCACGGACTTACGCTAAACGCTAACATGTGTCACCTGGGAGACTTAGCATCGCCCGAGCTCGTGGTTTCTCCTTGTGTTCGCATTCTTCTCTGTGCTTTGCATATTCTAAACGAAGTGGAAAATATCTGTTCGTGGCGGGTCTTGCGGTCGTTCGTAGCGGCGTTGGAGGGTGGCAGGGCTGGCTTTAGGGGGTTTGGTTCTTGGCTTTGTTTGGAATAGGAGAGTTAGATGGAGGAGTTGGAGACGGGCTGTTACGAGTATTTGTGCTGAGTATTAGATGTTTTGCCTGCGTGGGAGAGGTGTTTGTGTCTTGCAGATGAGTTGCTTGTCTTTACGCTCTAGTTGTAGTCGTAATGGAAGTATTAGGTATGCTATCGTTCTCTAGAAAGCACGACAGCTGTGTTACAAGCAAGTCCTTGACTTGAGTGGCTAAGTTACGGTGTAGATGGTTCCTTGCAGTCTACAAAGGAGATCGAGTTAAGAGCCCGGTCTTGTAGGTTGTAGTCTATGTCTTGCATAGATCTTTTGAAGACTTTTCCGTCTTTTAAGGGCGCTACGCAAGCATTTACTTAGGCTTGGACAGCGCGTGAGAGGCTCTCCTGTGGTGATCGTTAGCCTTGTGGATTGATTCTACATCTCCAGGTCAATGTGTGTAAGCTCGCGACGGTTCTATTACTGCTGCGCCTTGTAGAAAGAGCATTGTTCGACCCTCCTTGTTTCCTTACGGCGTCCAGCTGTAGACATCATCTGGTCCGCTAATTCTGCGTCGTTGCAAGTCCACCGCGATACAAGGCCGCCTCTAGGTGTTCGTTATACGGTTGTGGCTAGCAACGAGCCGATCTACTTTCCGACCAGCTAACTGCGATCGTGACTGTCGAAAGCTCGAGAATCATGTTTTCGAAGCCTCTGGAGTTAGCTAAAACCAGGAGCGACGCGGTGTGCTATAAGTAGTCGCTCTGCAGCACTCTCGAGTGTCTAGACAACAGCTTCAGGGTTCAGAATTGCCTAGCAGACCGTTAACGATGTGTTTTGTTGTTAATTCTGTCGTAATCTAGCACCATGGCACGCTCTTGCCTTAACTCACGCGACCTAACGTCGCTCCTTTCTTTAGTACATTCACATGCGCGCGCTAGTCTCGTTAGCGTGCAGTCAACTCCGTCGCGACATCGCGATGCTTTTAAGACGCCTGCCTCTCCTTCGCCCTCTCTTGCAACACAACACAACACAACCCAGCAGTCGTAAATTTCTCCTCCGACATTCACATACGAGAGCAGCTTCGATAGCAACGACTATCATTCGCCGCAATGCGGCCACGCCCTCCGACCATTCACCCTCCACCTTACTTCAAGTCGACTTCCACCCCTTCACCTCGCATGGTAAGTCATCCAGCAACATTCTCGAGGCGCTCCGGCTCACATTGCTAGGTACAGGTTTCCTCTAACATGACATCTCCAACTTCGCCTACCCGGTCGGTCCACCACTGTATACGGAAGTATGACCCATCATCTGAGGCATACTCAAGCCACTACGATAGCGACGACATCCAAGCAGCAAACATCCTAATGTCGATGCGCCACGCGGATCAAACCTCAGCTGGCAACTATGCACAGCACTCGCATTGTAAGGTCAGCATCGAAGCAATAAGTCACTTCACCTGCACGATCGATGTCAGCTCACTGCGACCCTTGACTGACCTTGGATCTCACAGTGCACTCCCAGTACCGTGAACGAGTCATCAGACGAGCAATCAGTTTTCACCCGTTCATTCAGTTGCTCCACGGCGGTCTCTAGCAACTTAGCAACCCCTACCCCACAAGCGGCGACGAAGCGCAAAGCTCCACCAAAGAAGAACGCTAAAGCTGCTTCGAATACGAAGAAGGGCAAGACTACTGCGAAAGAGAACAAGACTCGTCGTCAAAAGGAACGCCGTGGAGAGAAGAAAGCCGGCGTCTACGGCTCGACTCGCCTGCGGGCTAATATGAATAGTCGAAAATACTCACTAGAGGACGACAAATTCATACGTCGCTGCTACACAGAGTATGCTGCTCGCACCAATGGCGGCCGCATCCCACCTAAGGAACTGGTCGAACTCTACAACAACCAATTTCCCGAGAAGGAGCGGGGTCAATCGGGCCTCTCAACTTATATTCAGAGATCAAAGCAACTCAGAGCGATCAGGAACGGATTCAAGATAGTGAAGCGATAGAAGTGAAGTCGGCTGCGAAGGAACCGAGCCGACTTGATGAGTGGACCTTGTGATCGCGCGAAGGTAGCGCCTAGTCACGTGTTGGAGGAGTTGCTTCCCCTTGCTGTACTTCGATTACCAAGCAATCGACTTGCTATGCTACACATGTTTCTGTTTAGCACTTCTTCACTTCAATCACCGTATCTGTCATGCGCCTCTTCAACCTACCGACCGCGCTCCTAGCGCTCCTCGCCGTCGGCAGCGATGTCGTGTCTGCGACACACACCTCCAACTGGGCCGTACTTGTGTCCACGTCGAAGTTCTGGTTTAACTGTATGCGCTCCTCCTAGAGCGAGCTTGTAATATCTGCTAACGATGGGTAGACCGGCACATGGCGAACACTCTCAGCTTATACCGCACCGTGAAGCGACTCGGCATCCCCGACAGCCAGATCATACTCATGCTCCCGGACGACATGGCATGCAACCCCCGCAATTCGTTCGCCGGGAGCGTGTTCAACGATAAGAGTAGACAATTGGACCTTTACGATGACAAAGGGACACTTGAACACGTGGCGGGGATGGGAGGTATTGAAGTCGACTACCGCGGCAACGAGGTTACAGTCGAGAACTTCATCCGCCTGCTTACCGACCGCTGGCCCCCATCGCATCCCACTTCGAAGCGCCTCATGACCGACGACCGCTCCAACATCCTCATCTACATGACCGGACATGGCGGCAACGAGTTCCTGAAATTCCAAGATAGCGAGGAGATCAGCTCGTTCGACCTGGCAGACGCATTCGAGCAGATGTGGGAGAAGAAGCGATACCACGAGATGCTGTTCATGATCGATACGTGCCAGGCGAATACGATGTACCCGGCTTTTTACACGCCGAACATTATTGCGACGGGCAGCAGCGCAAAGGACCAGAGCAGTTACAGTCATCATGCAGATCAAGATGTGGGTGTCGCGGTTATTGATCGGTGGACATACTACAACTTGGAGTTCCTGGAGACGAGATTGAATAGTACGAGTGCGGATGTAAGATTGGGCGAGCTCTTTGACTACTACACCTTCGACCGGGTGCACAGCGACGCTGGCGTACGATACGATTTGTTCCCCGGTGGTGAGAGTGCTGCGAGGGATCGCAGGGTGTTGGACTTCTTCGGCAGCGTCCAGGGTGTAGAGACGGATATCTCGCATGGTGCTGATGCTAATGACTGGAAGAAAGACCTGGAGGCTTTGAAGCAGATTTGGGAGCGGCAGGAAGAGGCTAGGAAGGAGGGCAATAAGACGCAGGTCGTTACGGAAGGGCAGAGCGAGGCCACTATCAAGCCTGCTAAGGTTCGAGAGCATGCTAGGTCGGCATTGGATATGGCACAGAAGGGAGATGGCTGGGTTAAGAAGGCCGCCGGGCTTGGGTCGTTGGTGGTGCTGGGTGCGGCGTGGTTGGCTTCGAGTGCGCTTGCGAAGAGAGCTTGATTCGGTGGTTTCGTTATTGTTTGATACCCTCTATGTTTTGTTACGCCCAAATCTTTGGCTGCGAAAGCCTCTGTTGAGATACCTAGGTATACAGTCCTTTAATGACTACCTTACTCAATAATTGGAATGCTCTTCACATGCTCCACTTCACATGCGCGTGCGTCACAACGCGGAGCTAGTTCCGCTCTTAAATTTGGGCTTCACCATCAAGTTTCAGCACATGCTTCCACCACTTCACAACACCTCCACATCGAACATGGCATCAGACGACGAACGCTCACGATCCGCCTCGCCAGCCCGCGAACCCAAACCAAAGAAATCCAAAACCAGCGGCGGCTTTCGCTGGAAGGAAAAGCGACCCCGCGATGAAGAACCAGATTCTCGCAGCAGCGGGCGATTAGAGAGGGGATATCGAGACCGCTCGCCAAAGCGAGACTCGTACAGAGACAGCAGAGATGAGAGACGAGAGGACGAGAGGCCACGACGGAGAGATAACGACGACCGCGATCGCGACGAAGACCGCCCTGCACGACGACGAGACGCAGGCGACAGCTACCGTCCCGGCAACAACACCACCACCACCTCCTCCCGCGACGAAGAAATCAAGCGCAAATTCGGCGATACACCCACCTCAACCTCAACCAAAGACGCCCCCACCACAGACCCCAAACCCGCCAAAAAGGACAAAAAGTCCAAACCCCCCAAACAAATCACCACCAACGAGCCCATGATCATCGTCAACGTCAACGACCGCCTGGGCACCAAAGCCGCGATCCCGTGCTTGGCGAGCGACAGCGTGAAGGCTTTCAAGGCCATGGTGGCCGCGCATATCGGGCGGCAGCCGCATGAGATTATGATTAAGAGGCAGGGGGAGCGGCCGTTTAAGGATGTGTTGAGTCTGGAGGATTACGGGGTTAGTAGTGGGGTGCAGTTGGATTTGGAGCTGGATACGGGGGATTAAGTGTGAGTGGGAGTTTGTCTGGGAGGGGGTGGAGGGGTTGTGGTGGGAGAGAAGAGATACCCCTTTGAGTTGTTTTTAGGTATCGAAATGGTCTGGAAAGTGGGCAGAGCAAGAGCAAATCGTGTTTCATTATGGCATTGTGGGTGTCGGGTATCACAGTGAACATCGTAGCGAACATCTCTCATATCGTCGTGCTGGCAGATCGATAGCGAGCCAGTGCTTGAACATCTCGCTCCTCCTCAAGTCCACCTCTGCGCATCCTTGTCGTAGCCGATGAGTCCGAGGTCGATGTTGAGGGACCGCAGCATCATATCCATCGTAAACGTCTGCAAAAAGGTCAGCGACACGAACGACTCCAACAGCATATCATCTTGAAACTCACATCATCCTCCTTGCCATCCTCCTGCCAAACCCTCGTCTTCTGCGCACCAGGATCAACCTCCGGCTCATCAGGCACATCCGCCGCATCCCTCGCCTCTTGCAACGCCTGCCTCTTGATCTTCTTCCGATGCTCCTGCTCTGCCTCGGGCAACTCCTCGCCCTCACTATCAAACTCGCAATCCGCATCACCGTCCCCTTGTTCCTCTTCCTGCGGCGCAAACTCCCCCCTTCCATTCGCCCGCTCGTACTTCCTCTTCTCCATGTCTCGCCAAGCAGCTACGCCGCCCATCCGCTGCACACGCTCTTTCACGTCGCCGAAGAGTTCCTCAGCGGCGGATTGCGAGCAAAGCCGCCATTTCTCCGAGAGCTCGCGCAATTCGTCGTCGGTGGTGGAGTGGATGAGTTTGTGGGCTTGCTGGAGGGTGTCGAGTTCGTTTTGGACTTTGCGGATTTGGTATTCGGTTTGGGAGATTGCCTTTTTGACGGCTTGCTCTTCTGGGGAGATGGTCTTCTTGGAGGAGGACAGGGCGGAGAAGGATTTCTGTTTCCTGATGGGCGTGGACTTGACTGGAGCGAAGCTTGATCGTGAAGGTGCTGATTTGGTAGTTATTGGTCCCAATGTTGGTACCGCTGGCTTGATGGTATGTGCCAGTGTGCTCGGCGTGTAGGTAGGGTATGCGACATTGGCTCTGCTGGTGTCTTCCTTCAATGGCGTCCGCTCGGTCTTGTGCGTGCGCATGGGCGAGACAAAAGGCTTTCTGAGCTTGGTTTTGGCATCATTCAGCCTGCGCCGCTTGATGGACATTGGCGACGACATTGTGATAAGGTGATGTTGGGTTGATGGTGAGTGAGTTCGGAGCGCGTCGAGGAAGACGCGACGACTTGGCATCGGCGACGTCACTTTCGGCGCCCATTTCCATTCTCTCATGCATCGCATCGGCCTGTCCATCATCTTACAAGACGAATGCCTCATGCATATTTCAGTGGCTTCAATTCATCGGCGGCAGTCATTTCAACATCATAACTATCCTAAGCGCACGAAAAGATACCACGCCACTCACTGTGATCGAGGACAACTTCTAGCCATGAAGTTTTTTGAGATGCACCATCTCCTCTTCATGATATGTCCTCCTTACTGTTCACTGGCTCATGGCTGTCCTACAATTACCCAGCCTAGTTTCCCACGAGCTGAGCAGTGCGGTGGTGATTTTTCTACTGAAGCCAACATCCAGAATCCCCGGCCGAGCACGACAGACTACGCCACGACCAGGGAGCACTACAGAACGTCTTCAACGAGATGCAATGGAGAGACACGAGATTTGAAGAATCAAGGGAAGGTTGAAGGACGTCTTGTCCATTAGTGACAGACTGCTTTGCTCAACGACCCTCTCTGATCAAATTACAACTCCTCCATGAACGAGCGACTGCACCAAATGATCCTTGTCCATCAATGATCGACTTTGCTCTCCATCAACACCGACTCTGCTCCTCTTTCAACGATCGACTCTCCCTCCCTCCCTCCCTCCCTCAACGACCGACTCAGCCTCCCTCCAACAACGACTCTGCTCCTCCATCAACGACCGACTCTGCCTCCCTCCACCAACGACCGACTTGGACAGGAAGATCGATCGACTTCCTCCCACCAACAGTCGATCGATCTTCCTGTCCACCAACCCCAGACTCCTCCATCAACGACCGACTTGGACAAGAAGATCGATCGACTTCCTCCCAACACCGATCGATCTTCCTGTCCATCAATCCAAATCTCCTTCATCAACGACCGATTGCTCGTCAAACGAATGACTCTCTTCCACCAACGATCGGCTTGCTTCTCAAGTCAACGATCGAATGCTCCTCCTCCCATCCTCCACCAGCGATGGACTGTTCAACGAGTGACAGCTTCGTCATCAACCACAAACTCCTGCAGCCGCCACCAACTCCACCATCAACCGCCAACGCCTCCAGCCACCAACAACTCTCCATCAACCACCAACTCTCTCCCCATGAATGAATGACTGCGCTGTCGAAACACAATACAATAGGCCTGGGACAAATGCCCGTATACCCGAATAGCTTTTTCTTTTGCCTCCATTGATTTTGGCTCCGCAGAGCGCTGCCCTCTTTTCTTTCAAGTTTTTTCGTTGCTCAAGCATCGCCGACGAGATTGTGCGCCGCAATCCGCCAGGTCCGCAAGAGCGTTTTTGTGTTTTCTTGTTTGTAATGAAATGCCCACCACCATCCCGCCTCGGGTCGTAGCCACGAGGAACTTTCGAGTTCATTACTATGTCGCCTCCACCACCACTGCACTCAGCACGATGCACCCTCTTCCCCTCAACCTCCTCTCATCCATGCCAGGGTACACCGTGCCAAGCGCTCTCGTCCCCTTCTCGCCACCACCTCTCTTCAAGAACGATCGTCGACAAACTCCGGGTCCTCCCTCTCAACGACAGTGTCCCCAACTTCCACAACGAGTGAGTTTCTCCGCTTCCGATACGCCTCGCGGCGTTCGGCCCATTCCAACGAGAGTTTGCCGCCCTCGGGCGTGTACATGTGGGAGCCCAAGCGGCATCCCTTCATCCCCCCCTCGAGAACCTCGCGAAGTGAGACGTTTGCCAGTCTCATAGCTGCGCCGCAGTAGGTGACCGCAAGCACCTCTATCGTATGGCAGCTCTGAGCGTAGGGCAAACGCCGCACGGGTCCGAGTTCCGCTGGAATGTCGCAAACTTGCGGCCAGGGGAACTCTTTCCGCGCCTCGACGAGGATCTCCTCCAACTCGCGAGCCTTCTGCTCCGCGACCCTCTCTCTCAACGAACGAAATCCTCCACGTGGCTGCTGCTCCACAGCAGCCTTCTCCCCCGTCTTCTCCTCAAGTGAATGATCCTCCACTGCCACCTTCATCCCCTCCACAATCTCCTCCACACCCTTCTCCCCCTGCTTCAACGAGCGCGATTCCTCCACATTCGGGGTCTTCAGTACCTGTCAGCCGTGCCATCAGCACGTGTGTCCTTGAGCAAACTTCACTACATCACAAGTCCGAAGCATCCCCAGGAATCGGTCAGGGCCCCGTCGCTGGAGTCAGACTCCAGCAGCGTGGATCCATCGAATTCGGTGGGGATGAATCGATCTTGGATGTGAAGAGACGTCTCCAGATCCCAAGTTCACCGCGGCGGGCGCTGCAGTGGCTTGGAAGATGATGATGTCTTGTGCGTGAGGGTGGCGTGAAGTTGGTTGAGGTAGGGCTTGAATGCGGTCGATCCCCGAAACTTGATGGCTGTCCATGCCGTCGATATCGAGGTCGGTAGGTGGGTCGGGGAGAGATGGTTCGAGGGGGATGGTCGAGGTGAGGTTGCTCGGCGGCCAGTGAAGACGTCCATGAGACCAAGGGCAAGCCGATGGCATGGACGAACATCACATCACGCACGAGTTACTCACCGCCCCAAGGTCTTGTGCGCGCTTCGCGCGGAAACGGGCGAGGCGAGCATCTCTCTCGGCGAAGAGAGACGTCGCGGTGGTCATGCGCAAGTTAGCAATGTGAACCATTTTAACTTGTGATTGATTGGATGTTTGGGGTAAGTTTTCTTATCATGTAAGTCTTCCTGCGCACGAGAAGTTAGCATGTGATGAAGCAAGTGATGTGATGTGACGCGATGTGATGTGAGCCAGGTGAAGTGGAAAAGGTCCGGCATCCCCGTGGAAATCCAAGGGTCCAAGCCAAGAAGGGGGGCGTCGGTATGTTGGTGGAGGGGCCAAGTCCGGGGAGGGGTGTGGAGGCGGTGAGAGTTCCGCGCATGGGATGTGGGGGTGGAACGCGGCGCTGTTCCGCGTAGCGGGATTTCTTGGCATGAAGCGCGGAAGCAGGCCGAGCGGAGCGGAGAAATCGTTCGCCCGATCAGCCAGATTGGGCGAAGCTCGAGATTCGTGAAGTCGACCAAGTCAGCGGCGACGAGAGCAGCGAGCTCAAAACTTCAGGTGAAGCAATCTTGCGCTTGGAGGATAGGAAACCGAGCCTGGAGATTCCAGAAAACTTGAAATTGTTCGCGCGCCGCGAGGCGCTCCTCGAAATTCGAAATTCCTCCAGGTCGAAATTCCTTCGCGCTCCCTGGAGGGAGCGACGACGAGGTGTCCAGTCGCCAAAAGATTGGTGGAGGTGAAAGCCATGAGTGTCCAGATGGAGGGAATGTGCATTTTGGGGAAGGTGAAGCGGGTGGGAAGGGGATACTCACTTCGAAAAGCTGGCTTGATGTTGGGAAAGAGGAGAAGGAGGGAAAGAGCGAGAAGACGAGTATAAGTAGAAAAGCACGGGCCACATTCAGAGCGCGAGACTGCCAGCGTACATTTCCTCACGGGTGTGACTCACAGGGTGTGACTCACAGCCGGGTGCGAGCGGAAGAGAAGGAGTACCCAATTGGGATTGAACTTCCCTGGCGCCTCTCCGCGTCAGAACACGATCTTCAGCAAGCAGACAACATCTCCAGCCAAACAGCGCCGATACGAGGCTCTTCAGCACTGTCTAATTGAAAATAATGCACGCAGCGGTCGGTAACATAATTCGAAGCGCTTTGGAAAGGCGATTGACCGTCAAATATATCGTCTTGGAGAGTAGACCGAGGTCGGCCAGTCAGCCATATCGAAATCCCGGATTGCCATCTTCGTACGCCGACTTCGCTCGTCTTCCGGCATCGTGGTTTCCTGAGCTTCATCTCATCGAGCATGTAGAGAACAGAAACGCGTCCAGTATTCAAGCGTTGTGCTCTGGTAGGGTCTTTGCATGTGTGCTGAGCCATTGTGTTCACGGACATCCTATTCGCAGCAAAAGGCACTGGGTGACATGCTCAGTCTTTTGGTTCAGATTCTTGCTTGCTGACATTGGGGCATGGCTTGAAGTCTTGTACAAAAAACCCTTTGGCTTGTGTGTATTCTTTCGGGGGCATCTTGTTCATTCTGGCGCATTTTTGTCGTGTCGGTTGCTGCTGATGGGCCAAGAAAGGGTATGACCATCGTAACAGAGGTTCTTAGTAGGTCGGCCACTCCGCAATCGCGACAATGAGCATATAACACATCAAAAGATAGAGAAAACGATGAAGAAGTAGAGACGTGAAGTCAGGCGGTTTCAAGCTTAGATTTACGCTTATGCACGTCGCGGCAGATCGACGGCAAGGATTAACGCGCCGTTGTGGTTGGTGGCTGGGATGCTGCCGGTGCGACGACAGGCACTCCCGTCTTCCTCTAACACCATCTTATCTTCTTTCATCTCCCGCCATCGAAGCAGACGCATCTCCTTGACCTCATATTGTATTATCCGACGACTCCCTTGGCTTCCACTCTTCGCGCTGTAATGATGCGGCCTTCGGTACAAGGGTCGATGGGTCGCCATGGAACACTTTTCAGCTAGCCTTTGCTTTTGTTCGCCCGGCATGGAGGGCAGCAACACTTACTGCAGATGCTCTGGCTGCCGATTCCAGGGCAATATCTATCATCAGGATCTTCAGCTTCTGTGGACGGTTTGGCGTAGGGAACGCCGTCGTCAACTGACAAGAAGTTCTCGTTTTCCTCAGGCAGCGCGATCTCATCAGTCCTGGAGAAGGTGGATTTTTGGCTGCGACAAGGACTTGCTGCGACTTGCAAATCTCTAGAAACTACGGACTCGCTCTTTCACGCCATGTCTGGAATTCTCGACCTCCCGAGACAAGTGGCGCTTTCTACTCCTGTCTTACCAGCAGAGCACTTTCTACCTGTCTCAATCATGCCTCCTCCGTCTTTCACTTACATGACTTTGTTATGTGTGGCATGTTTGCAGCTCACTTCCTCCCTCTATCCTCCTGCATCATCAAAGCATAGCCGACAATGGCCTATGTCCTCTCCTTGTCACCGACCAGCCCGGCGCTGACGCCTGTCAACTGCGAGGCTGCAGCACGATCATGCTCATCAGCTGCGAGTATCGGGTCCGGAGGCACAGTGCAGCATCATCGTCTTCGGAGCATATCTACCAACTCACTCTCTTCGGCCGGCTCCTACTTCATCCCATCCTGGCGCAGAAGCCATGAGCCTGCCAGCACGCCACCACGATCGGCATCGTCCATGAACCTCAACTTTGGCAAGATTCGAACCCAATTCGACCGCCGAAGCTTCTCCGCCACCAACTCCAGACGCACCAGCCTGGCCTCGGCCATCAGTGGGAACTGTCGACCTGAATCAGTTGCAGTCTGTGATCCCTGGGACTGCCGACTCGTGGACGTTGCCGAGAGCGAGGATGAGCCTACCAGACCCAGTGAAGATTCGGAACGCTTGGAGTCAGAACCAGAGAGCGAAGACGATCTGGAAGCCGAGAAAACAATACAGCTGGGATTGGGGACATCAGTCATCGACCATGCAAGTTCGGACATGCAGGCTACATCACCGGATCCGCCTGCCTTCAAAAGATGGGTCAGCCGACTACGAAGGAAGCATGTCCATCCAGTGGTGCCGCGAAAAGAGCGATGGGTGCTTGACGATTTCGACATTGCAACCCCATCCTCTGCGGGAAAATCTCAACGGTCTCATCATCGTAAATCGGAGTCGCAAAGTTCGTCTCTGAGGTTTGTCACAGCTGTCAGGTCAGCCACCGCGACACTCGCAAGCGCCAGCATCGCAACACTTTCCCGCCGAACGACAAAGTGGCGTCGCGGGCAGCAACGTAGCAGTCTGATCTCTGAACGAGACGCCCGCCCGTCCATCGACAGTGTGAGATCCGTAATCGACGAGGCCGCTAAGCAGCGCTCGAGGAAGAGACGAGAGAAGGTCGAGGAGCTGATTAGGACCGAGGAGAACTATGTGGCAGATGTCAAAGCACTCTCGAATGCAAGTTGGTAGATGATGATTGATCTCCGATGTATTGACACCTATTCCAGGCGTACTTCACGATCCTCGACCACCAGCCTACCTCTTCCAGCTTCGCGCGGCCGTGTGCGCAAAAGATCATTGCAGATATCCTCGACCTGCACGACAAGATCCTAGGCGATCTATACAACGCTGTTCCCTTCTCAGAGTACGACCAGTGCACAGCGAAAATCTCCGCACCAGGAAGAGCCCATACGAGGTGGCACTCAGTTGATGTCGTGCCGCAAAGACCTACGCCAAAGAGGGTTGTTCTCTCCACCATCAGACAAGGGAGACGTTCGCTGAACATCAGTCGTTCCTCTGAGGATGACCATGCGATGTTACGGTGCAGTCCGCAGATCGTCGCTGCGGTCGCTAAAGTATTTGCAAACCACGTATGCACAAACTCGCTTTCGTTGCACTTTTCATGCTGACAACAATCGCCAGACTGGCCGCTTCAAGGCTTATGAAGGATACGGTGCCAACTACGATCTTGTTCAGCGCGACATCGACGAGACCCAGAGGCATATCTCCATCTGGGCGGACTTCGACAAAGCTATCGAAGCGCTGTCACTGCATGTGAACCCGACTCGCAGCCAAGAGGCGAACAGGAAGAAGGCCATGACTGTCAAAGATCTGCTGATCAAGGTGAGCTGGAAACAGGTATGATGAAGATCTGACTAACACAGGCCAGCCAATTCAGCGTCTTCCAAGATATGAGCTGCTCTTCAACGATTTGAGCAAGCTCACACCAGTCTACGATGACCCCGAATCTCATACCACGATCGAGGACCTCCGTGTCCAGCTCAGCGAGATTTGCCAACGCACGAACGAGGCAAAAGAGAATCCGACAAAGCTGAGAACGCTCGAGACAACGTGCTTGATCGGAGATAGACTGAGCTTTTCTGGCCAGGTGCCCAAATCCGTCTTCCTGCAGTTGCTGGGCCAGGTCGATCTGTGTGGATGCTTGTACATCGCATACCGCACACGAGATCGCATCAAGGGCTGCTACGCAATATGCCTGCTTTTTGACTCGTATCTGCTGCTCGCTGCCGCCGAGGAAGACCAACCAAAGTACAAGATCTTGGCAGGAATTGCTTTGGCGAATGCAACCGTTGAAGAGAGCGATAACTTGAAAGGCCTGCAATGCCACACGGCACCACACTCTTGGAAGCTTGTCTTCGAGCACGCTGCTCGCATGTACGAGGTCATTTGCGTTGCTTGCTCCGCAACTGAGGCCGACGCTTGGCGGTCGCATATCGCAGAAAAGATCGAGACTCAGGCTGCAGCAGTCATGGCAGCCAAAGCCAGCGTTTTCGAATTATCGTCGCCAATGACTTCGGAAATGAGAAGCATCGGCAAGGCGTTTGGAAAGCCTGGCAGCTTCGTTCGTCGCATGTCGGTTCATCGCGCGGCCACGATCGGTCCAACGACTGACCTGAATCAAGTCATCATCAAAAACACGCAGTCGATGAAGGAGATGCAAGAGAATGAATCACAGGTGTCACTAAAAATCCCTCGCTCGCAGTCAGTGGCAACACCAAGCCATGTGCAGACACTCGCGCCTCGCCGTGCAGAACGACATCGGCTCGAAAGCATCTTGTCGGATGTCTGGACGAAGAATACCCTCCCATATCCTGGCATGGTCCGTCGATCTGATCCCATCCGTGCTTCTGCAAACCACGTCATCCGAAAGTTCAGCATGGCAAGCATTACCAGCAACTTTTCGTCGTCGAAACGCACGCCGAGTTATGCCAGCATCGCTTCGTCCCGCAAAGAGGATATGCCGCCATCGAGGAGGGATCCGCGCCGTGAGAGCAGATCTGGAAACATGACGAGACCACCAGTCGTCGACTTCCACAACGCTCCTGATGCCTTTCTACCAGCGGACTTTGACCTCCAGGACCAAGCAGCCAAGCGCAAGAAGTCGGCTCTTCGAACATTCACCATGACGATGGAGCGGCCGTTCAGTCCGTTGCTGGGCAATGATAACAAGCCATCAGGATTGCGCCGGGCACAGAGTGTTCGTGACCTTTCCGACGGAGGCGCAGCACCGCAGTCCAAGCCCACTCCCTCTCCAATTCCGACATCTCAGGAGACGAAGCCGCAGAGACCAGTCTATAGTGTGATCCAGGAACGACCGAAGACACCAGCTTCTTTTCAAGCTACGAACGAAACAGCTACGAGAGATGAGAATACCGCCAAGGAGCCCAGCAAGTCGAAGAGCCGGAAGTTGTTGAGGTTGTTTGGATAAGATGATGCGTTATGATGATGCGGGTATGGTTGATGGCTCTTGAAGAGGAATGGACTTGGTTATGATGGATGATTTTGCATTGTCACCGCGTTTAATGCATGAATGAAATGATATGGCCCAACTCTGTCGCTTTCCTTCCTTCACTTCCAAGTTCGATATCTTTGGACAGTATCGAGAACGACACGTGAAAAGCAGCCAGCATGTGCCTGACCCCTGATCGTCGGCCCCCACAATGACGTCGCGATTTGCCCGTGCAAGGCAGTGACAACACAGCTCCACAACGGTCACGCACGCGACCAGCCTTGGAAGCAGCTAGAGCTTCAAAACGTCTCGTGTTCTTTGATTCCTCCTCTTCCAACATACAAACAACACCACAAACACTCAATCAACACTCTCAAAAGCTTCAATCCCATCAAAACCACTCAACGCCCCACCAATACCCCACAGAACACCCCCACCATGCGCGGCAACGACCCCCAGATCAAGGTCCACTACAAGGGCGCCGACGACGACTATGTCATCTACGTCGACTCCAAGGAGGCGGTTGCGGACTGGAAGAAGGACAGCAGCGTGCCATTGGCACAAGTCGTGAGCGGATGGAAGATTTTCGTGACGCACAAGTGAGTCTCTACCCCGCTGCACCAAGGGATGGTGGTGGTTGTTGGGAAAGCGGATCAATTTTCGCTGACCATTGCGTGTGCGGTGATTAGGCAAGGCAACCAAGGTGTGCTGGATGCGGCTTCCAAGGCGTCGCTGGAGTCTGAGTTTGGTACGAGCAAGGACGAGGAGGTTGTGAAGCAGATTTTGGAGAAGGGCACCATTATTGAGTCGGCGGTGAGATACAGAAATATACACTTGGGCTGCTGTGAGGGCTTTATACTGATGTTATGTGCTGCAGAACTCTGCACGTGACGGCAACAAGAACGACTCCAAGGGTGGCATGGTGGCTCACTGAGCGAGCCCGTTGGCTTGGGTCTGACCTCATCCATTACGAGTATACCGAAAGATGAGAATGGAGGACTTCGAAAAGCATGGGTACTGTAGTCGCGCTGTGCCCGTGAGGCCGCCTCAGTAGCTCACTGCATCTGATACGAGGAACGAGGAATGAAAATGAAAATGAAAAGAATCACAAGCAAATTCACATGCGCGCACTGGTAGTGTCTGTAAGTCGCAGCGTCTGTCTCGTGTCTTGTCTCACTTGCAAGCAAGTTCCAGTCAGAAGTCGGCTCGTCGAATTCACCGTGGGCCTTCATTCAATTCTTTGGCTTGTGCTTGCCGCAAGTCGCGCTTTCTTCTACTCACTTTCAATTTCAAGCTCGACCACCAACCTCGCACACACCAACCTCGACTCGCGAAATCATAGATGGTCCTGCGACTACTCTCTGAACTCTTCGCCAGGTTCCAACCCAACCGGCAACACCATTCAGCACCCGCCGACTTGAGCCTGACCGACATGGCTTCCGACTTGTCGCAGGTCGACTGGCCTACCTTAATGTCGTTGCGCGACACCGACAACGCCGTGTGGGCTATCACTCACATCCCTCTCTGCCGCCGGCTGCCTGTTGAGCTCAAGGAGAGTATCCTTTCCTTCGTGATGTTGATGTCGCAGCCCACCATTGGAGGCCTGGCGGCCACTCGAGCCGACGTCGATGAGCCACAAGGCCCTCGAGGCGACCCATCTATCCCACCATCAAATGGAAAGTCACCACTCCTCGCACTACCTGCCGAGCTGCGCCGTGCCATCTTTGCCAGCTTTCTGCCCAACAAGCAGCGCACTATCAAGCCTCGATGCGAGCGCGAGGGTGCGTTCGCCAGACGCAACTTGGGTTCGCCGAGAAAGAACAGGACGAGCGACTTCATGGTTCTTTGTCGCCAGATCAAGCAAGAAATCACTACCGTCATCTACCAGGAGCGCACGTTCGAGATCCATGTGCATGAGGGAGTCACCGGCGGCGGCATCGAGGTCCTCGATGCTGGACGCCAGCTTCTCCAATACTTGTCGGAGGACTATGGCATCGACACGCGATTCACTCGCTTTGGTGATGGCGAGGAGTTTGGCTTTGACCGCTTCAAGAAGATCAACATCGTCATCTTCCCGAAGACCAACAATCGCGAGGAGCGCCACACTGCCATGAACACCTACTTCATGAATTTGGCACTCGCTCACATGCTCGAGCGCGGTTGCGTGAAGGACACCGACCCCATCATCTCCCTCAACATCATCTTCGACAAGACCCCTTGCGCACGCTCAGTCCCGCAAGCTCAGCCTGTGTCAGGCCGACTCAACATCATGCGCAACGAGATCCACTGGTGGGATCCAAGCCTCGACCAGCCGCTCAGCAGCGAGGTCCATGGCATGTCCGACATCGAGCTCATCCTACGCCCTTTCTCCATCCTTCGCAAAGTGCACAACGTCAACATCAACCTCCCGCCCAAGATCAATGCAGATGCCAAGACATTGGAGTTCGTTAAAGATCTGAAGGCCACTATGAGGAGCGACTCCGAGACGGCCCCGTTCAGACAGGATGTTAGCTTCGAGATGCAGGCGAACGCGATTAAGTTCGACCTCCTCAACTCCAACTTTGGAGACATGTTTGGCAGAAACGGCGATCACATCGGCGACCTCACCGAGCAGGAGATGGGTGATGCTGGAGACGGCGAGGCAGACGGATCGGCTAAGCATGTCTTATCGTCTCCCACAGATGATTCAGATCCCAAGCGGTCCAAGACAGATTACCACTCTCTCCACGAAGCGATGTATGGCGATCTCTTCGCTGCCACCTATGACGAGGATGATAGCGACGACGATGACGGTCCTCCGCCACCTCAGTCCAACGCGAACGGAAAGCAGCGAGACGTGGGCGAGGTTCCATCCGACAATGGAGACAACAAGTCGGCAATGGCCCAACATGGATCACTCAGCATATTCCACGGTGCCTCTGGTCGTTTCCCTTCTTTCACTTGCTTCAACGAGCCTGGCACCGATTCCAGCCCACCGTCAACTACCACCGATGGTGAGCGCACGTTCATGTCGTACACGCCGCGTCTGTTCGGCAGCACGAACACCAATGACGAGGCTCCAATCCCTTGACCTTCGACGGCTCTGGCTCGACCTCCTCCAGCTCGACTTCCTCCAGCTCGACTGCGCGTGACTACCTCAGATCCGACTCAACTGGCCCCAGCTCCTTCGACGACCCCTTCAAACTGGTTCGCTGGTGCCATGAACCTCGTCGACTCCGTCACAGGCAACCCTCGGAGCTTTCCAAGCAACTGCCCTGTATGCGGCGCTCACTTCGCTGATGGCAACGCTTTTGCGAACCACCAGCGGCCGTGCCAGCCGCTTCCAGGACTCGGAAACTGAGGAGGACGGAAGTCCTAACCAGGATTGTGCCAAAGCAGGTCGAATATGTCGAAAGCATGGTAGCGACTCGACTACACCATAACCTCATCAACTACACATGAAGTAAGGACTTGAAGAGGCGGCCAGGACGTTGGTGAGGAGTTGACTCTGGCACCGCATTCTTGCTTCTTTGCGTGATACGATTGTTTCCTTTGTATGATACCCTACCACGCCGAACGGGGCGCGGTGCTCCTCGTACGTAGTACTTGAAAATGAAAAAAGAGCCGTTGGTTGCTCACCACTTTGATCCCGTGTCAGCGTGAAGTCGATGAAAGACCACATGATCCTCGTGGCCTGCAGGCTAACTACCAGGCTATGGTGAGACCCTACGTCAAGTCCACGTGAACTCCTTCGCTCCATGCAGATGCAGGGCAAGCGTACAGGGCGGAAAGCTAGGAGGGACACGATGCCGAAAAATCGGCTCTGGATCGCTTCGACTTGAACTTCGTTCCGGTTAACGACATACAACTTAATATGGCAAAGTACTATGTCTCAAGTCGTGCGAGACGGGTGCGTGGGAGCCGCGCTGCCCGATGTGCGGGTGCGATATGATCCCTGGTCAGTAGTATGGAGGGATATCTCTTAAAGTCAGGGGGCGAAGATGCGTGGAAAAAAGCACTTTCTCGAGTGTTGAAGTGAGAGGAGGATTCAACGTGGCCAAACGAGGATCAGTAATACTTACTACATAGCTTCACATCAGACACTTATAATCACTGCGTTGTCAGCTGCAAGATGTGACTCAGATGGAGTAGACTCCTGCCGGAAGTTCGCAATCTGAAGCGGTATACGCTTCCTTCAAGGTTTGTTTGGTCGGGCATTCGGCCAGTGGGGATATGTCCTGTTATTCGCAGTTTGACACGCCTTTTTGGAATTCAGCGGGTGAGAGTGAGTAGTAATTGTAGTCTGGCGTCCGGCTTCTCACGGCTCGGGGTGTCATGCGGCCATATCATCGCCACCACCACGGCGCCGGGCGTACAGACGGGCTGTGAGTTGGACCGATGGGTAGAATGCTCTAGGTCTTGGTAGTCTCCTCACGGCCGCAACGATGACCACCTGGGCGCGTGGTGACCGGCGCCGAGGATAAGATGAAGAGGTGAGGTGAGAGAGAGTAAGCGGTGTTTCGGCCGGTGGAAGAAGTTCGGTGCGCTGCGACAGGGACACAACGGAAAGCTTGATCACAGCAGAGTTTGATGAGTAAGACGAGCCTCTCACTCCTAGCCGGTGGGATTCGGGACGACGAGGATGCCCGACAGCTTCTGCTGGTGGATGGGTGCAGCAGCGTCGAGGGCGAAGACGCGCCGAGCTGATGCTGAGCTGTCTATTGCGGCGACTCATCATTGATTGCTGCACCGCGTTTGGCGGGCCTGCACATGCGCCCTCCTCCTCCTCGCCAGCTGTGACGTAGCGGAGGCCAAACCTGCTGGGTCAGGCACTTCGAGCCACACGCAACTACATGTAGGTCTGATGCTCTGCTGGCGTCGAAGCTCTTCTCACACCACCGAAAAACACCCCGCCATCGTTCGTGCCCTGCTTTTGCTGGTGGATCCCGCGATTCCTCCTACTCACCAGCGCATCCCCGTATTGATCGTTCCGACGGTCGCGACGCGAATACGACGAATCGGCAACACGATCGACGAGATGAACACGGCGTAGACGCGAGTGATGCAGGAGATTTTTGAGAAGCTTAGGCTCCAGAATACCAGGACCACCCTTTTGCTGGGTCAGGGACGAGGCTAAGCCATTGACTGCGGAAGAGACATCTGCAGGTGGTCGTTAGGGTCCAGGGGGACGATTGGAATATTTAATTCCGAGCTTGGGGTTGGAGTTCGAGATGGCTTCGACAAACGGCTCAAGTCAAGAGCGGAGTATGGGTCGGCAGGAAGAGAACCCAGTACCGCAAGAGATGTTGCGGCAAGCAGCAGCCGCCCGAGCTGGCGAGAACGATACAGCTTCGATAACAGCATCCGAGAGGCGGCATATGGGCCACGATGTGTCGCTGGAAGCTGCAGAGGGACTCGATACGACACAGGTGGAGCCTGACATACCGCCTCCTGCCTATGGAGACCACTATGGCATGGTGCAGCAACAACAAGATGGATTCGGGACGAAGGCGAGAGTCGCTGACGATGGACGTGTCGATATCAACATCAATCAACTGAACAGGCGATTGTCGACGCTGCTGGTTCCAAGTCTGAACCAGCTACAACGAGCTGCAGACGAGCAACATGTCCCTCCACCGCCATATATCCCGCCCTCACTGGGAGGGGCTGAAGGTGTACCGCCCCCACCACCGATGAATGTGGTTATTCAAGTTGTCGGGTCAAGAGGAGATGTACAACCATTCGTGGCACTCGGAAAAGTGCTGAAGGAGACATATGGACATCGAGTGAGGTTGGCAACACACCCCAATTTCAAAGACTTCATCAACGAAAACGGGCTCGAGTTCTTCAACATTGGAGGTGATCCACAAGCACTCATGGCATTTATGGTCAAGAACCCGGGCCTCATGCCTGGCTTCGACTCGCTCCGAGCAGGAGATGTTGGCAAGAGGCGAAAGGAAGTTGGAGAATATCTGAGAGGCTGCTGGCGGTCTTGCTTCGAGACAGGCGATGGCGGCGGCCCTGAAGCGAATGACGATACCATTGAGGACTGGACGTCGCATGGTGCAGGCGCCGCCGAATACACCAAGAAGCCGTTCGTCGCAGACTGCATCATCGCCAATCCGCCGAGTTTCGCTCACATTCACATTGCTGAGAAGATGGGCATACCGTTGCACATTATGTTCACCATGCCTTATTCGCCAACGCAGGCCTTCCCTCATCCGCTGGCGAACATTCAGTCTTCGAACGCTGACGATCATTTGACCAACTATGTATCGTACGCCCTCATCGACATGTTGACCTGGCAAGGCCTGGGAGATGTGATCAATCGCTTCAGACAGCGAAGCTTGGGTCTCGACGAGATCAGCCTCATGTGGGCACCTGGCATGTTGCAGAGGCTACGTGTTCCACACACTTACTGCTGGTCGCCCGCGTTGATACCGAAGCCCAAGGATTGGGGCCCAAACATCAATATCTCGGGGTTCTTCTTTCTGGATCTGGCGTCGAACTACACACCTGCTGATGACTTGAGGGAGTTTCTGGAGTCAGGACCGCCGCCTGTATACATTGGCTTTGGTTCCATCGTGCTGGACGACCCCAACGCTATGACTGAGCTCATCTTTGATGCTGTTCGCAAGTCAGGCCAGAGAGCGCTCGTATCCAAGGGTTGGGGTGGCGTTGGTGCCGATGAATTCGACAAACCTGATGGCGTCTTCATGCTGGGCAACTGCCCTCACGATTGGCTCTTCAAGCGTGTATCATGTGTCGTCCACCACGGAGGCGCAGGCACTACTGCGGCCGGTATCACCGCTGGAAAACCAACTGTCGTTGTCCCATTCTTTGGTGACCAGCCGTTCTGGGGTGCCATGGTTGCAAGAGCTGGAGCTGGACCAGATCCAATCCCGAACAAGCAACTCACGTCTGACAATCTCGCTGAGGCTATTCAGAAGTGCCTTGAGCCCCACATGCAAGAAAGAGCACAAGAGTTGGCCACAAGCATTGCTGCTGAGAACGGCAGCGAGCTAGGTGCGCAGAGCTTCCATCAATTCCTTGACGTTGACAAGCTGCGCTGTAACCTGGCTCCATCGCGCCCAGCAGTCTGGCGCATCAAACGTACTCAGGCGCGACTCAGTGCAATGGCAGCTTGCACACTCGCTCAGGAGGGCTTGCTCGATTTCAACGACCTGAAGCTATTCAGACCCAGGGAATACGAAGCCGACGAAGGACCTTGGGATCCTATCACTGGTGGAGCTACTGCTTTGATCGGGACCATGAGCACGATGATGTTGGGCGTTGCTGATTTCCCCATCGAGACTCTCAAGGCGCTCAAGATTCATCCCGACGCGAAGACGAGCAAGTCTGAAGGCAAGAAGCCAGAGGGGTCTGGAAGCGCACCAGAGTCGAAACAAGGGTCTGTTTCTGGCTCAGCCGGACGACCTTCAGAAGAGACCGGACCGCGTACTTCTTCGTCTCCATCCCGCGCATCGACACCTCGAAGCACCAGCGAGGCGGCAGTTCTTAGCGATGTTGGATCTCCGCCCACGAGCCGGACGAGCTCCTCCTTCAATCTTCAGGAATCGATGGCAAGGCTCAACTCCGGACCTCTTTCTCCTGGGTCTGAGTCCTCGCAAAAGAAGATCTCTTCGTCCATGGCAGATGCTCTCAATGGGCAGCTCGGTGCCACCAGGACACGCTCTCGTTCCAACAGTCGACCGGGTAGCCCGAAGGGCTCTTTTGCACAGACCATGAAGACGAGCCAGGACACCGCCAAGGGCGTGCACCGCATCGTGGGCGCTGGTCTGAAGTCGCCGATGGACTTCACCATGGGTCTGGCCAAAGGGTTCCACAACGCCCCAAAGCTCTACGGCGATGAGTCGGTCCGTCAAGCTGAGAAAGTGTCTGACTTCAAGTCCGGTATCAGGGCAGCGACTAAGGAATTCGGTCTGGGTTTCTACGACGGTATCACCGGTCTGGTGACTCAGCCCATGAAAGGAGCCATGAAAGAAGGCGGAGCAGGCTTCGTGAAGGGCATGGGTAAGGGTATTGGTGGTCTTGTGCTGAAGCCAGGTGCTGCGATCTTCGGCATTCCTGGATACACGATGAAGGGTGTGTACAAGGAGATGCAGAAGCACTTCGGATCCAGTGTGCAAAACTACATCATTGCCGCTCGAACAGCGCAGGGATTCGATGAGTACCAACATGCCAGTGATGAGGAGAAGAGGGACGTCATTATGAGGTGGAAGGTGTTGCAGACCAATCTCAAGAAGAAGCGAAATTTGGATGAGATGGTCCGTGATACCTTGGATGAGCAGATGAAGAAGAAAGAGGCGTGGATCGAGTCCAGGAAGTTGAAGAAGCAGGAAACGCGCAGCCAAAGCCGAGCTGGAAGTCGAAGCAGGGCTGCGAGTACGTCTGCTTTCAACAAGACTACAGCCCAACCATATCATGATCCTGAGAGCGCGATGCTCGAGATCGGGGCCGAACGTGCGCACGACTTCAATAGGCATCGCGCGCACACCATGGATCCGAGCAGTGCTGAGGAGCGTGCTGTTGAGGAAGCGATTCGAATCTCAGTCCTTCGAACATCGAACGGGGACCCTGAAGAAGACGCTCGCGTTGAACAAGGTATTCGTGAAAATATGGCCGAGGTTCAGCTCCAGCGAACTCGCACTTCTCGTGCGGATCAGCACGAACATGACGAGCTGCAACGAGCGATCACGGCCAGCACTCAAGATGCAGACCGTCAGTCCCAAGCGGAGCAAGAACATCAGGCTGAGCTTCAACGTGTTCTCACCGAAAGCCTACGTGAGCACAGAGGGTACCAAGACAGCGATGACGAGCACATCGACAGCCCAGTCTCCGAAGCCACCCTCCCATCCGACGATCCGCCCATGTACGACCCAGGTCATCTCGCTGGTACCACGCAAGCCGAGTTCGAACAGCAGAAATCCCAACAGCCCGGCGAGAAGACCCAGCAAGAGCGTACAGAGGAAGAGATTGTTTTGGAATATATCAAGAAGCAAAGTTTACTTGAGGAGGAGAACAGGAAGAAGATCGCAGCGTCCAAGGCGCCGCAGACTCAGGCCAATGATGATGAACATGATGAGGAATTGCAGAGGGTCTTGAAATTGAGCATGGATCCGTCGGAGCAGTATCGTGGACAGCAGTACGGCAGGGAGGCGTCGAATTCGTAAGGTTTGATAGTGTGATTCACAGTATCACCTGTGCACGGCCTTGAGCATTGCGGTTGATTGAATTGAAGATACCCTTGTTGCAATGAGTGGAGAGTATGGTAGTACATTGAAGCATCTCGACTATAAACGATTATCTGTTTACTCTCCTTTTCACATGTCATCGTCTCGTCTTTAGGAGGCCTCCAGCCAATCAGTTGCAGGCGAACAGCTTCGACCTCAGCTCAAGAGACCTCACGTCACTCATCTCTTGGTCAGAAATAAGTCACCATGTGAAAAACCACACTACCCTCAAAAGCAGACACACATCATCAATGCCTCCGTAAACACCTCACGCTCCTGCCAAAATGGCCACACCACCACCGCAACCCGGAGGCTTCATCCTCTCTCCGCCCGCGTCCACAATCACAACTACCTCAACCATGCACCCAACCCTCCCCCACCCGCGAGACACTCCCCTACGCCCCGGCGGCAGTAAAGAATCTGCCTTCATCCGCCACTGCGATGCTCAACTCCTGCACATCCAACGACGTTTCGCGAAACGCACCTCTCCAAGCTCCCAATTCCTGTCAGAAGTCGACCGCGACAAGGCAGATACATGGGGCGACGTCCAAGGCTACAACACCATGAGCGAAGCATGTAAAGATCTGGGCGAATTAGTAGACATCGTCTGGGTCAGCGGGACGCCTGGGTTACAGGTCCCCTACCTCATCAGCATCGGACTTTTGCTGGGGAATGTAGTGCAGGGGATGCCGCCGAGTCCAAAGGCGCTGTTTCGGGTGTTGGGGAAGTTGGATCTGGCATTTGCGGGGCTGATGCAAGGCCGGGATGCTGAGACGGGAGAGAGGTTGCCGGGGTTTGAAGGGGGTGGGAGGAGGGGGGTTGTGAGTGGGACGGAGAAGGTGAGGATTCGGAGTCTGGTGGAACGGACGAGGGTGGGGGTTGTGGAGGTTTTCAAGAGGGGGGAGTTTGAGTATGAGGATGAGGAGGGGGAGGGGGAGGGGGATAGCATGGATATCGAGACGGAGACGGACGATGAGGGGCGTTTGGTGCTGGAGGGGGATGATCATGAGGAGACACCTGAGGAGAGTCTGGACATGCAGATTGCGAGGGTTTATGATCGGACAATGGTTGAGTTGGGGGATAGTCTGGAGGAGCCGAGTATTGGGGTTCTTACGGAGGGGAGAGGTAGAGGGTAAATGATGGCTCTTGTGCTATGAGGACTGGATTACGGATGCTATGAACGAAGATTACGATCAAAGTCCAGAAGTGATGAGCACGGTCTTATTTGGCTGGATCCCACGAGTCGACGCGGCTAGAATGAACAATCGAATTAGCAAGCCAGGCTCCTGGATGGTTGTATGCTGGTCTGGTCATCCAGAAGACACATCTCATCTAGCCTCCGAAGCATCAAATCCTGGCCACTCGCGGGTACTCTAGGCAATCCAGAGCACTAGCGAGAGCTTAATGCCTCTGAGAAAGCCGATGGGCACAGGTGCTCTCCTCGAGCTATCCTCGAGCTAAAGGACGAGACTAGCGGGATCCGCGCATGTGGTCCCCATGTGACCCTCGCGCGAACAGTATGAGTGAATGAGCAGAAATCAATATCGAAATGACGAATCCGCCCCAGCGCCCTTTGCAAAGCATTCGCTTTACACGAGCTTTGCGCGGGCGAGGTTTCATGTTCCACGTGAAATGACGCTCCTTCCGTTTATGGAAGGAACGAGTCGTCGGCAGCTCTATGCCGAAAGCTTCGGCTTAAGGAAGCACATTCTGGATCACATCAACAAAAACACAGCTGCAATCACAACACAGCTTCAACGAAGCGCCATGCCGGAATACAAGGCGCGCAGCGTGACTGCCACGCTCCGAGTCGCGAAGCTGGACAAGACTCTATCCGGTGCACCCGAATTGATGAAGAAGACGGATGCGCAACACGCCAAACACATCGAAGAGGTCATCGCGAATGGCGACCGGCTTTATGAACGCCCGATCGGACCTGATGGCAGTGAGAAAGGCGCTGCAAGGTTCATTGGCGAGTACGAGGACTTGCCGTTCTTCATGGTGGAAGCTGGAGAGCACATCGCCCATGTCGCTGAAAGATATGCTGTCGTTCCCACCATCGAGACACCGCCGCCAGCTTCAGCAGTCCCTGAGCTCTCAAATTTCGATGCCGTTGCCCATGATGCCAGCTCGCCACTTACTTCACTTGGAAACACGCCCTCGTTTGGCACGCCTGAGACCAGCTTCCTCCAAGAATCTCAAGATCAGAGTCTCGACCTCTCGCGCCATGATTCTGTCCTGGAGCCTCCACCGAAAGAGCAGACACCACCAGCGCCAATTTTACGGGCGCTTGGTGGCTTCCCACCGAAGCAATACCGCAGAGAGCCGACCGCAGAGTCTCAAGCAATCTCACTTACTCTCGAAATCGGTTGCAAAGCACGCGCGCGCAAGGAGGATGTGAAGATGGAAGTCTTTCTCAACGGCACATTGGTGGGCGCCGATTACATCAACACGAAGCGCTTCACGCTCACGCAGGAGAGCTCGCTGTACACTCAGCACTTCCATGGCACAAGACTCCATGTTCAGATTGAGAAGCCATGGATCTACCGTGCTGCTGATCACGCCTCTCAGAGTCAGATCTCCGCTGAGGAACGCTGGTCTGCGGTCGCGGAGTTGATTGCACAAGAGGCGAATATTAGAGGATGTGATGCCAAAGGGATGCCTGCGCCGAGCGCAGAGTATCTCAATGCGCTGTCGAGTGTCGCGATTGCTGAGCGCCTGAAAGACAAGCCCCAGAGCACCATCATTGATGTTGTTGTGACTACTGGCGAAGGTCGCAAGTTTTCCTCAAACCATGCGTTTATCACCGAGCCGCTTCGCCTGAGCTCCGCTAAGCATGGAGAGCGGACGAAGAGCTCTGAGCAGGTGGATCCACCGGTAGATAAAGCCGCGACTGTACAGGATGTCGAAATGGAAGATGCTGCCATAGATGAAGTGCAGACCGTCGATCAGAACCCTACCGCCACGGACTCTTCGGATACAGCCCCTGTGCTACCATCGACCTCTCCAGACATACCACTCGCTCGACGAACGCGTAGCTTCTCAGAGCCTGAAGCACAAGAGACCCTGACTGCTTCTCCGCCCAAGAAAGGCCTCACGCCGATCATAGAGAAAGGTACTACCCCAGGCAAGAAAGTCACTGCCGCACGAGAGAAGGTCGATGCCCTCGCAAAGGAGCTTGGTATATCTCCTCAGATGAATAAGCTCGTCGCGAGCTTCAAGAGTAGACGAGGAAAGACAGCAATCTCCAGAACCGTCACCGAGCGTCTTTCAGACATTTTGAAGATGAATGCAGAGAACCAAGAGAAAGCGAAGCTAGACTTGGTCACTCAACTTTCGAATGAAGGAGTACTGCCAGCTAAGCCGGCCTCGATTGATGGAAGTGGCTTCTCGCCTGTGAAGAAGCAGAAGCTGAACCCGGCCGCATCGTCTCAGTCTGGTGCTCGGCAAGAAACGCCGGTTCAGAACCTGCCAAATGCTGCGGATGTTCCAATGCCAGATGTCGGCGATGATCCCGTCGCCGCTTTGGCACAAGCCAGGATGGACACCGCTCTCGACTTTGGCGCTGCACCGAACGGACATCTCGCCAAGCGAATCGAATCCTTGTCACCTCATCGAACGCCTGTTAAGAGGCTGGGCGGTTCGTCTTGGGGTGTGCCGATTGAAGGGGATGTCGCTTTGGAAGGCGCCTCGCAAGAGATCGCGTCGAGAAACACTTCAGTCTCACCCACGAAGCTCAGACGCGGACGATCGAAGGTGACCGCTGATGGTTCTGAAGCCTCTGAGCAGATGCTGGACAAGGAAGAGCTCGCCGTCCAGCCTGCTGAAGGTCCTCCAGCCTCGAAGTCTCGTTCGGCTGCTACCGGTGGCACCAAGAAGTCGGCTGCACCTACGGTGACTTATGATACTACTCCCGAAGAAGCGATGGCGGCGTTCGAGATGCCGAAGATTTGTCAGGGCGGTTCCATCAGCTACGCGAACCCTGACCAACATCGGACGGTGGTCAAGCTGCGCCCTGGAGAGTTCAACGAGCAGAGCTTGGTGGTCGGCATGAGGTTTGTCGTACTGTGAATGAGCTCCATGGCATGGAAGAATGGAAGAGACGGAAATTGTCTGGCGTTCAATGGTCATTCGATTTTCGAGATACCCTTTATGAGACGCAAGAGTTGCTCAGCAACTCTCAATGAAAGCAACAAGATGACTCCCTCAGTAAGTCTGATGCTTCTTCACATTCTCCCAAAGCTGAGCATCCTGCTCGACCTTGACCTCCTTGGACGTATCCAACTCGTTGAAGCGACGGAGATCCATCTCCCTGTCGAGCAATGGGATCACGTACTTGTCGAAGGTTTGCCAATACTTTAGAAACAAGACAACGTTAGCTACCGCATTTGGAAGAAAAGAATGTTACTCGATTCACTCACCGGATTCTCCAAATGATACTTCTGGCTGCTCTCATGTGCATATCTCTCCACGATCGTGAAAGCTCGGGGGTCTTTGTGGTCTTGCATCACAAACCTGCACAATGTTAATCATCAACCAATTCTTTCTCCTCATCATTAAAACTGCTATACTCACCAACTCAAACACTCCTTATCCTTGCTGTACACCTGACTCGCTTCCTGCAGCTTGGCCGTCAATTTCTTGATGGCTTCGGCATCGTCTTTGGCGTAGAGATGGACGACGAGGGTGTATGCCATGTTGATTGATCGTTTTGTCTGATTTATAGTAAGAGAGAAGTGTGGAGTGTTTGAGGTGGATGCTTTGGTTGAAAAGTCGAGAGCAGGTGAGGTCACCGCAGTCGGGCCGGATCTTGGGGCTTGTGGAGTTGGTGGTGACGGAAGAAGGTACGGAGGGACTTGACTTCATGCCTTGACTAACATCTTATTCAGTTGTTTAGCAAGAGCTGACGAAGTCCGAAGTCTGTCCATCTCCTTACTGCCGCTCTACATGAAAGTATAGCGTGGAAGACTGGCTTGGAAAGGCCTACAACTGATTTCAAAGACTGGACGATTTGACGGGCCCGGAAGGACAACAGCAAGGACTACTGGATGCTATCGCGAAACATCATAATTAGCAAGAGTACACAGATAAGACCTTTCATAGGCACTTTTGCATCTGTGTTTGTGACTGGACAGGAGCAGCACTGCCCTCGTGATCCTACGCCACACGAGATGGCGGCCCCTCCAGATAGAACTACAGCCTCTACGCTGTGCGACGCGCCACGTTCAGACACAATCGAATACTTGCGCAGAGACTAGAGATATGCGACAGGGCCGATGCAATCCAGATGAAATTTTTACAACAGGACCCTTACCCGTACTTGAAGCGCCATTACAGCATCCCTTTGCCTTCACAAAACGATCGGAATGGGGTCTAAACGATGCGTTTACTGTGCCAGCCTCACGATCGAAAAGCTCGTACACTTGGCCGAGAGGGAATTTTACGGGCATACGTTTCCAGGCGAGCATTACTATCAACACCATCAGTCCTTCAAAGACCTGGAGAGCGCAGCATATGAGGGCTGTGACCTTTGCTGGGTGATACTGGACGCCTTCAAGACGACACCTGAGGATTATATGTCATCGGCAATTGGGATCACGGCAGAAGAAGCTGATCGCAGGGGCTCGCTGTACACTGAAGCGATTCTCGCCGAGCCATCCCATGTCAGGCTGGCCATCAACGCCAGTCACGTTTACGCAGGACGCCGTCTTGACGAAGTCGAAGCGTTTGATATCCTCTTGGTTCAGGTCGGCGAGTATCGAAACTATTCCGACGAGATTGATGAAAGTCAGGTCAAAAAGGACCAAGGTACTGAAGATCCGGAAGAGAGTCATTTTGGAGGAAGTACGGATGCAGAGAATGAAGGCGGAATAAGCCCATATGAACTTCGCACCGTCGACCTCCTGATCAAAACTTCTCGAGGTGGGTTGATGTGGTATTCTGTCTCTGTTGTGAGATACTCATTGACTAGACAGATCAACCGCTATTCATCGATGGGCGTCGAATTGGACGTTTTGAGACTGGGAGGGACTTGGGTGCTGACGAGAACTTCGCTGTGGTCAATGCATGGCTTCAGCAATGTCGGGAAGAGCACCTCACCTGCCGCACAGAGGTTGCTGGCCTATTGCCCACACGCGTAATTGACGTTCACTCCGAGCCCCCCAAACTGGTCCTATCTCGAGGTGCAGTCGGGAAGTATCTTGCGTTGAGCCATTGCTGGGGAGGAGCAATCTCAGTGCTTCTGACGACAAAGACGATAGACCCATTCCAGGAGGAGCTTCCCATGGACCAGATCCCGCGAAATTTCGAAGATGCTATCACCATCACTCGACGACTCGGCGTTCAGTATCTATGGATCGATAGCTTGTGCATAATGCAGGACTGCAAGGAGGACTGGACGGTGGAGTCGAAAAAGATGGGACAAGTCTATCGCGATTCTGTCCTTACGATTTACGCCGCTGCAGCAACGGGCAGCACAAGCGGGATCCTCTGTAAAGGTTCCAACAACGGAAGCCAAGCGCGTGCAGCGATCAAGGTGTTCAACAACGAGCTGTTAGAGGTGGCGGTTGCAGGAAAATGGGACCCAGACCTTGAATCCATGAAGGTCTTGGAACGATCCAGTCCGCTCAATAAGCGCGGCTGGACGCTCCAGGAGTTGACACTGAGCCCTCGGCAGCTACATTTTGGAAAGGATGGGATCTACTGGCGATGTCGAGAGCAGACCTGCAGTTTAGATGGCCTTTCAATAGGCAACCTTTCTCCATATGACTCCATGGATGTGGACCCGTCATCTGTCTTTTTCTGGGACACCGCGCACGGTCAGCGACTCACCCCTGACGAAATGCAAGTTGCCATGACAGCATTTCTCACCCTGGTCCAAACCTATTCACACCGCGCACTCACATACAACACAGATAAATTACCAGCACTCTCAGGGCTGTGCGAGCGCATTCATCGACTTATTGGAGGGGAATACCTAGCTGGCATTTGGAGTCGCGACCTTGCCCGTGGGCTTCTGTGGTACAAGGAGATGTCAAGTTGCAAGCACGTCCAGCCGTATCGAGCGCCTTCTTGGTCTTGGGCTACGACAAACGACCCGGTGTTGTTCCAAATCCGGCCAGAAATGCCAGCCACTCCGAGTATCGAAATCATCTCTCACAGGATCGAGCCCTGTGACTCAGCGAACCCGTACGGAGCGGTGAGGTCAGGCCTTCTCGTTGTCAAAGGCCTCACCCTTCCCTTGATCCGCAGTCGTCAAGTCATCAGCATGCATGGCTTTAATGATCTGTTTCGAGGCATGGGATGGTTTGATGAGCCAGAAACGGAGGAAAGTGTAGTAACGAGTACGAGTATCGTTTTCGTTGAGACACGGGAAAGGCTGGAGCTTTGCATCCTGTCGTTGCCACACACGGAGGAGAGACAGTCGCATTTTCAGGTAGACAAAACATTGTGGAGCCAAGACAGGTATACCGCTCTATTCATCGATACTGGCACTGACCTTAAGAGCGCCATGGGTTTGGTACTGCGGCCGAAGGAACACTCTGCGGATGTCACGTTTGAAAGGGTCGGAATGTTCAGCGTCGATGCCGGTGTCGTGCCGGGACTGATGGATGAGTTGAAGGACGAAACCATCACCTTGGTTTGAGACTGGGGAGCTTGGTTGCGGCTGGCGGCGGGTACTGCGTGAGAACTTCAATATTTGACTTGACCATAGAGAAATTGATCTGCCATTAAACAGTCTCGTTGAGCGCTGTGGCCATATGCAACACTTTTGTATAGACATTACAACATCAAACACCCACCCAAACATCTCCATTACCTCCTCCCCGTCGTATCATTAACAGCATACTTGCTCTTACTCCTAATCCATGGCCCATACTTATACAGAATATACGGCGCCGGCACAAGCGGAATGCTCAAACACGCCAGAATGGTAAGGGTATAGTGAACGCCCATGTTCTCGTAGAACGGAATGCCGACGATGGTCATGCCGCCTGCTGCGATGTATCGGATCAAGGTGATGGAGGAGAGGGCGCTGGCGGCGTAGATCTCGTAGGAGTCGATGATGTACTGCGAGCGGATGTTAGCTGAATGTTTACAGAGTCAGGGGTAAGAGTAACATACCTGGTAGCTGGTGATGAAAATGCAGAGGATGCCGTAGCCGAAGAGCACGGATGCTAGGAGTGGCGACCAAATGGAGATGTGAGGATATGCAGTCCAACCCATCCAAAACAGACTGATGGGGACTGCAAATGCGCCACCGAGCATGGAATACCACAGCCTGAACTCTGGAGGCAGTCGGGTACCACCTTGCTCCTCAATCTTCTTGAGATCACGCTTCGCCCAGGAGTAGATCAAGGGTACAATGGCTGAAGCGCAGCATAGACCAACGATGATACCCACGAAGCAGATACCCGTCAGGCCCTGCGAGATGCCATACGTATCCTGAAAGACATAGGTGTATCCGTCCAGGAAAGTAAAGAGGATGATGTAGATGACCGTGAGGTAGAGCGCAAAGATCATAATGATCGGTTCCCGAGCTGTCAGGATGAAGGGGCGGTATAGAGAGTGCGTCAGACGATGGAGGAGAGTCTCCTCGCGAATCTCGATGTATGCGCGGTATCTCTGGTCCTGTGTGATGGCTCGAAGATGCTCTGCTTTCCATTTGAGCAGGGTCTGTGGGTAGGTCTCTGGGAGGAACAGGACCACGACTCCTAGAATCAAACCGGAGAAGATCAGGGTGATCCACTCTGTCCAGCGCCAGCTCAGCTGATGCGATTGCGCTATGTAGCCACCTATGATGGGCCCGAGACATGGACCCAGGAAGCCTGCGTTGGCAAACATGGGAAAGGCGTAGACGCGCTCCAGTGGGCTCCACAAATCGCTAATGCTACCACCTGCGCAGACCAACGGCGTCGATCCGAAGAAGCCAGCAAGGAATCGGAACGCCAGCTGAGCGCCGATGTTGGGAGACAGTCCAGCTCCTAAGATGAAGCACATGTAGATGATCATCGTCACGATGTAAACTGGATTTCGACCGACCGTCTCACTGAAGGGACCAGCGAAGAGGGCACCACATCCGAATCCGATCAAGAACAGACCAGTGGTCATGCTTTCGACAACTTCTGAAACTCCAAACTCTTTCGAGGCTTGTGGAAGTGCAACGCTGTCGATGGAGCTGGCCATACCCACGACCAGGGCGATTGCTGCGATTAAGAATGTGCAGAACAGTCGTTTCGCTCTTGGCCAGTTACTGTGAAGACGAGGGTCAGTCTCTGAAAAGGCAACCAGCATCATTCTACTCACTGAGGATCATTCGGATCATGCGGTCCCTCATAATTGACGACAAACACATTGCCATCCCCACCCTCCTTGGTCGTCCGTCTCCGTACTTCAACACCAGTCAAAATCGTCCCTAAGGCATTTCCGGCACTCATCTGCGTCGTAGTTCTGGAAATCGTCCTGTTGGCACTCAAGTCGTTGACATCCTCATCGCCACTGTCGTCTCCATCTTCAACTTTCGGGGTCTCCTCCGCTGGCTCCTCGAATCGTCCGTTCTCAGCGGCCATCTCTTCTTTTTGCTCTTTTTCCGAAGAGGCATTCAGATCCGTGGGAAGTGGACGCAACTGGTTCTGGGTTGCGAAGTCGCCATGTTCGACGCCTTTCTCGAGATCCTGTTTGCTCTCGTCTGACGATATGGAGGCTTTCGAGAGACGCCTTTTAGGCTTCTGTCGAGGTTGTGTTCTGAAAGCTTCTGCCCTGGCCTGGTCCCGTTCTAATTGTGCCTCGACCGTGGCTCGGAATCTCTTGTACTGTAGAAAAGACTGCATCTTGGAGTGGCGAAATCCGTATCCTCAGGCCACCGATGAGTGTAGATTGAGATAGCAATTCAAGAGCAAGATAGCGCGAACGAAGTGGCAACGCGTCCCTCATATACAATGAGAAAGCCAAGATAAAGACTCAACCTTACAGCAAAGTGAAAGACTCTACCTTCAAAGGAACCCGCTCGTAACCTGTAATGGCATCATGGACCGAACGGACCACCTCATTAGTAAAAGAGGCGCGAGTACACAAACCCACCACATCATAGCAGTAGCGAGTACGCACACCCACCAGGAACGACTGCGAGTTTTTCGGCAGTGTGTGGGCAGCAGCAGAGACTCGCGCCGTCGGAGGCGTCCTTTGGTGACGTTGTTTTGAGGTGGATTCGGAGTTAAACTCAACCTTCCCAGCGGCAGAGTCGCGGGTAGATCGGTTCGGGGGTATGACAGTGACATTGAGCCAATGAACATTCACTTGATGATGCACTAGCAAAGCTTATGTGGACCGACCAGAGATTCGTTTCTTATCGACTGGGTGTGTGTTGGGGAACAGAATCGTGCGAGCCGGTCGGCTCGTTGGTCGCTTTGCACATTGGGGAATTTTCAGGCAAGGCCACTGGAATCAAAAGTGTTCGGGGTAGGAATGATCCGAAGAATTGCTGCTTTTGGGGCATGGAGTAGGGCATTGGCAAATATCCATAAGCACAGTTGGTGTCGTGAAAGTTGCCTTATTAATCATGCATTGTGTCATCAACGCTTGGAGTTCGAAGGAGTATACGATACGATGTACCTTATGTGAGGTACTCGTGTGAAGAGTAGGATCAAAAATCGACCAAGGAGACTGCGCTTGCCAACCGCAGCAACCACTTGTTCCGACGTTTGGATGTGCCGGCGGAAGCGGAGAAGTAATGAGGTGAAGTCTAATACTCTGATGGCATTCGTAGCTCTAGATATTTGTACAGTGTTTTGGTTGTCCCTTGCTTTTAGAACTTGAAGACTTGGTCTTTGCTGTATCCCAACTCTTTCAGGTAACCGCTGAGCTCACCCTGGTCTGCTGGGCTCTTCTTTGCTCCTGAGATGGCCTTGCAAAGTCCAGGAGGTCCACACACGAAGACCTTCACATTCTCGTCGTTGGGTCCGGGGATTACAGTCTTGAGCAAGTCCTTGGTGATGAAGCCACTGCCTTGCTTCCAGCCTGACGGTGGCTTGTCGAGTACGTAGAAGGCGCGGAATCGTTGTGGGAAGTTGTTCTCGAGCTCTTCGAACTCTTTCTTGAGGAGAATGTCCTCTTCAGTGACGTTGCCAAACACCAGTGTGACCTTCGTCTTATCTGCAGGGTTCTTGAAGATCTGTCGGCACAGCTGGTACATCGGGGTGATGCCGGTTCCACCAGCGATCAGAGCGATATGATCGTGCTTGTTGGCCTCCCAGGGATACTTGGGGATTGGTCCCTTGATGTCAAGGCTTTGACCGGGCTTCATTGCGTGCAGGTGCTCACTCATAGGGCCGTTGGGGTATTTCTTGACAACCAGATCCAAGAAGCCTCTCTCATCTGTGACGGGTTAGATCTGCAATCGCCTTTCCGATCTGCTCTCCATCTTACCCTCGTCGCTCGTTGGTGTGTATGGGCGGATTGTAGGCTTCTCATCTTCAGGACCCTTGTACTTCGTAATGATGGCGCTTGCGACCGGGAGACCAGAGACCGCATCTGGGTTCTCATACTTGAATCGGAATTGCTTGGTGTTGTGGTTGATGTCGTCAACCTTGTCCAGAACGAGGCTAATGAAGCCCTGGTCTGCGCCGACTCTCAGTTTTCCACGCCTTTGAATTGTACAACTCTTAACATACCACCACCAATGAAGACCTTGTCAGGTGGTCCGCCCTGCGACGGAGGCACGTTCTTGAATGCCGGTTCCGTCAGCTCCTTCGCCTGCTGCACCGGATCTTTGCTGCCAGCCAAGGCATAGTATCCACCTCCTGCAAGGGCTGCACCGCCGAGGCCGTAGAGGAGGAAATTGTTGCCACCGCTCTTGGGAGCTTCCGATGCGTATCGACGGACTTGCTGTTGTCGTCATTTACGTTAGCTCTCCATCGCTTGTCCGCGAGAAGCCATTGAGCATCCAGCAAATCGTTAGCATTGGACATGGAGACTCACGCTTGACAGCTGAGCTGCAGGCCGGAAAAGGCGTGTCGAGAACATGATTGAGTGGTGTGAGGTCAGAGAAAAGTGCCACGAAGAAAGCAGAGCTCACAAAAGCAGCTCAGTGAGGCTCAAGCACGAGCTCGGCGACTTTGTCGTCATCGCCGTTGCCAAGACACCGTCTCACAGGGCAGCGACTCCACGAGTTTGTCAGCCATCTTTCATTCATTTACATTCCTTCGTGAGCCGCTAGCACCAAAGTGTAACGCCTATGCATCGTTCAGGGCTACGACATGCTGGTAATTTGATCTGATTGACCCTACATTGCCTTTAGGTGGCTCTGGATAAAAGCGATTGTTTTCCCCTGGATCCTGACACACCACGTCAACGCCTTTCACGATGGAGAAGCGTTTCTGTGAATACATGGGACGACGCAACTACTTCCCAAAACCCGGCCAACAGCTCTCAGCACCACAATCAACAACACTCTCAAGCCCCTCAGATAGTTGTTTCCCCTTCCATCAACATTATTCACCATCGAATCCCCACTTCTAATCATCGCACCACCCCAATTCGAGATCTTGCGCTTTTGCACCTCATTGAACACCATCGCCAACTTGTCCTCAGGCCCATACCGATCTTGAGGAATGCTCATCCCAAGGTACAACCTAGGTGGTTGGGGAAGCGTGCTCTGGCCGATTAGCAGAGTCGACCATTGCTGCAAGGTATCTACGAAGGTCGAGACCTCGAGACTCATTACCGTGGAGTTTTGCCAGGCGGGTTTCGCTTCGTTGAATTCGAGGCCCCAGAGACCGCAACCCCAGCCTGTGAACCCGGGATAGACGAAGTCGGACTGGGCCATGATTCCTATGCCGATGGATGGGTTTCCGAGCGAGCAGTCCGGTGCCGAAGCAAGGTAATAGGATTTGCTTGAGTCTTCGTCGAAATGACTCCGTAGCGAGCTGGCGAAGACAAGCCATTCCGAGGTATTCTTGATGCCATCCATCACGAAGCCATCGAGTTTGATTCCTGGACCAAGAGGCCTAAGCTGGCTATCGATCTCGCCTCCACCAAGAAGATTCCAGGTGATATTGGCCAGCTCAGTAGCGCGCTCGTCTGAGGGGAGGTCCTCCACTTCGTAATTCTGCAAGCCGACAAGAACCTTTTTTCCTGCTTGTTGACACTTGGTCACCCCTTCGACCAGTCCGGCGCACAGAGAGGTGTTAGATTCCGCAGCCTTCTGAGCTGCAGGCAGATCCCAAGTACACCCCGACGCACCGAACGACGGATAGCCCTCAGGACCTTGCAGTGTGGTGTAGAAAGACAGGAGCACGGTGTCGATCTCTTCTTTATCGCAAATAGCCGAGAGACCTCCTTGAATGGGCGATCTACCGCTGTTGTAGACGTTGATGGCTATGTTGCCAGTGGCCTGAGGGTCGAAAGTGTATGTGGACGAAGCTGGATGCAACGGATATCCTGTCCCGCTGGCGTACGGACACACTGGATTTGGACTACTCCCGTTGCTGGAAAGTATCCACTAAGAGCCGTGAGGACGCTGGTAGGTGTAATAGTGCGAGTCCTTGTCATGCGTGTTGTTCTCGTTACCTTGAAGCTCTGCGATGATCGCGATGTGACTGCGCTCGCCCGCGGTGCCGTTGCAGTGTTCAGTGTAGTCTCATACGAGCCAGTCAAGGGAATGCTCAGGCCAGTGAAGTCTGGTATTGGCAGCGTTCCCGTCGACGATGCCGCGGACAGCAAAGAAGGCGATTGGGAGGTCGATACAGCCTCAGGAGATCCTGGTATCAAGCTTTGAAACAGCACTTCCAATTCTTCCATGCGATGTTCTATCGCCTGGATGAATGTCAAGAGATCTCTGGGCAGGTCGGACAGGCCATCTTGTATCGCTTGGATGTCTTCAATCGCAGCATCGCCGGCTGTAAATGATGCTGGCACCTCTGTCGTTGTAGACGGCTCTTCGATCGCTGTTACGGCTGGTACGACGAGTTGGCGGACATGGTGTTTGTGTATGGGACGGCGATGTACGTGTCGTGAGGTCGTCAAGGGTGATATGGACAGGAGTAAGACCAGCTTGTGCAGGAAGCGTGAGATTGATAGCGTCATGTTTGATATCGCAAGCGCAGCTCTCCGAAAGAGTGTCTCGAGCCATGGTGTCCTTATAGTATAATGGTGGCTCGGAGGGGTAGGGGGCAGGAGGCACTGCAAGAATGAGAGTTGTGGAAGCGAAAGAAGTGCATGAAGTCTTAGCATACTTGATTGAGGACATGGTGGCTGCGAACCACATTCCAACGCGTAGTGCCTGCATACCCAGCCCCTGCCTCCCCTCGCATTCCGCCCAAAGTGGATCATCGCACCTCACCTGATCATGAGAGATGTCATGAAGTTGAGATTCGATATTCTGCAGCATGAGAGCGGTCAGGAATAGAGATCCTCCTCTTCGTCGTAATTTTCTTCCTCGTCATCATACATCTGCTCGTCGTCCTCTTCCTCGCCATCCTCCACCTCTTCCTCGGCCTCGTCATCCTCGTCCTCCTCCATCTCCTCCTCCACCTCCTCCTTCTCCTCGACGTCAGGCGTCAAATCTTTCGCCCATCCCGTCAACCCTTCGCCACCCACAAGCGGCTTGTCCTGGTCCTCAGGAAATGGAGTAAACTTCAAAGCGAGCCCCCCATCAGAACGAGAACTGCCCACTTCCTTGCAAATTCCATTCCAGAGCTGCTTAGCAGTAGGTCGAAGCACCGGTTTTTTAACGAGACAATCCTCCACAAGTTCCACCACCTTCTTGCAGAGATTGGCATAGTGCTGCTCAACCCCTGGCTTGTGATCGGTGTGGGAGAAATCATCAGATTCTAACGCGTCTCTGTTCATGAGCGATAATATGACCCGTCCGATGGTCCAGATATGGCTCTCCTGATACTCGATGCCTGAACCATCTTCTCGCTCCTATCACAATTCATTAGTCGCTTGCCGCAGCTGTCGAGGAAGCTATCCTACCGGCGCCATGTAGCCTTGCGTTCCTGCTGTCAACGCTCCATCAGGATCGTCATAATAATGGCAGCTATCAAAGTCTCCGAGCTGAGAGAGAGTATTAGCAAGCATTTACTATTGTTTGCTCGAACAACGACTGACCTTTGCAACAGGTACGCCAGGCCAAGTTGGGACCGGGTCGTCGTTTGCAAGGGTTAAGAAGACTAGGTAGACAATCAGCATGAAGTTCGTTCCAGGCTTATCATCATCCTTACTGTTGTCTGGCTTGATATCTGAGTGGATCAGTGCCCGCCACTTGTTCCTCTTGTCGGGTGGCGGCAGCTTGCCATAATTCATCAGGCATGCTGCTGATGCCATTGACTCAAAGACGGCCCAAAGTACGTGTGATGATATCCAGCTAAGACTGTCAGTGCTCACCACTAAGTCAGGGAAGCTTGTAGACCTCACCTCTTTTTCGATCGATGCGCCTTAATCATTTCCTCTGCACGACGGCAATACGTTAGCACCCGCATCTGTATGCCTCAGTTCGCAAATCCGTGTGAAACACTCACCAAGGGTCCCGCAAGGACAATACTCCTGGTAGATGCGATACAACGTCGGGTCCGGAGTGCTGTGGCCAACATATTGGACGATGCTGGACGAGTCTCCAAGACCGCTAAGAAGTCTTTGCATGTGGACCTCCATCGGCACCCTCTCGCCATTGGGGGGAGTATGCCAGAGGTCGTCGTTCTTGGAGTCTTTCGGTGAAAGGTAAACATCCTTGATGACTTTCCTGTCAACAACCTTGTTGCTAGTGTCTATCTTCACCCACAGCCCTGCAAAGTTGCGAGTTCCATCACCCAGACAACGGCTGAACGACCACAAGCCGTCTACATCTGGAGACACGTCCTTCTCAAACCCAAGACTCTTCGACTTGTCTTCCGGCTTGACAATTGGACGCGGCGGTGCATTGTCATCAAGAGGGGCGATTTCTTCCCTGTCCGCTCTCCACGGCCAGCCACCCTCTTTGCAATGCTTCAGCATGTTCTTCCGATCTTCTTCCAAATTCAAGATCTTCCGTCGTTCTTCACTGGCGTTATTCATAGCTTCCACGAAAGACTTCTGGCACCAAGCTAAGATCTGGTCCCTCACGTATCTATTGAGTGTCGAGACGTATCCAGTTGGGTTTCCCTCGAATCCAGTGTGTAGAAGCGGATCCAGAACATCTCGGTCTTCAGCAGTTGCCATTGCGTATACTCGAGCGAAGAGTTCGTCCAAAGTGTCCATTTCCTCCTTGGAAGCCTCGTCGTTCTTCAACGCCCGATGTATGGCCTGCCATGCCTTTGGCCACTGGGCTTTTCGAAGAAGGGTTAGTCCACTTTGAGTTGCCATCCGAACAGGACGGTCGCGGTCTTGCGAGTCTCCATCGGGCGAGACTCTCGCACGCTTGCTCGATCGACTGCGTTCTGATGATCCATCCGAGGCGGCTTTACGTTTCCTGGAAGACTCGCCAGGATCGAACCCCAGATCATCGCCCGAATCTGGCTCCTGGTCATTTTCGCTTGAAGTGTATTTCTCATCCTCATCCTCATCAACCGCAGGCGTCCCTATGCGCGTCCTCGGGCGAAACCCACCCAGTCCGACCATCTTCTCGAAATACCCTTTCGTCCTCGTCTTCGGCTGAAATGTGAATCTCGAAGCTTAGGATCATATTGCGAGGGCATCAAGTGCCTTCTTACCAAGACAATGCCCCATGGTGCATTGGCTTTGAACTTCTTTGTCGAGCAGAGCAACACAGTGCTCGAAAACCGCATCCGGCATGCTCGATTCTTTGTCTTCCATCGTGGAGTTGATCGAGAATCGAGGACCACTGATCGTGGTCTCGAACAAATTGGCCGCAGGGCTGTGGTCCATTGTCGTAGTCCCGGGTCCTGAGCTGGAGGACGACTTCGTGGAAGCGTTACATCCCAGTTGGTATGCTGTTACATTCAGCACCATCGCAGATTCATACCAGACCAATCTCCCCTTGGTTCTCGTCATCAACGCGATACAACTCCAGCAATCGTGCGAGAATCTTTCTCGAGTAGACACATGAGCGCTGCTGTCTTGTGGGACAACCATTCCCAACCAGCAAGGCCATCGACCCTTCCAACTAAACACAAAGAAACATACATCTTCCCACCATCCTTCAAACAAAGCACCAAGAACATCCCCTACCCAAGAAAACGAAAACCTCCCGCCATGCCATACCACATAGAAGTTGTACGGCCGAGCCCGACATCGCACCTGCTGAGCCAATAAAGATTCACTCAGATCTTATCAGATGATCTTGGAGGTCTCGGCAGGCGACCTTGGCGTCCTTGGGAGAAGTACGTGAGTGGGTGTGTGCTATGCGAACACCCCGCAGCTCGTATCACCATATAGAGAGGATGGAGGTCGTACCATTGCCGGGTGGGAGGTTTTGTAGTGAGAGCTCCCCAGTTGGAAGGGTGGTTGTTGCGTTCTTCACTAACTTCGTGGTAGTACCTTGTTCAAAGCCGTTGAGATAATTGTTCATCGTCGAGAATGTATCCATCTCCTCTCCTCATCGGCACAGTCCTGCTCCAAGGACTCGTCGCCGCTCATGGGGACTCTCACAGCTCCAGCGAGATGGGCCCGGCAGCTTTCATGTGGCCTGAAGACAGACCATGGTCGGCCGATGCAGACAACACGCCTCCTTGCGGATCTAGCAGCGGTGTAGGAGAGCGGACTGAGTTTCCCTTGAGTATGTTGAGATTTGTGCAGAGAGATGAGCCGTCGATCTGATCGATCCGTGTCTTAGCGAACGGGAGACTCGCTCTGGTAACCCAAGACGACACTCGGGCTGTGCATGTCGGCGTATCGTATGACAATGGTAAGTTGAACCAGATCAACTTTCATCAGGCGTGTTACTGACGGCTCCTCAAGACCCACAATCCATCACCGACTTCGAGATCTTCTACGGACCGCAAGCAGTCGGCGGTCTAGACATCGGCCACACATGCATCACCGCCCCTGACCCACCCACCAACATCAGCGCCGGCAGCAACGCCACCTTCATGTTCTTCTACCTCTCAGAAGACACCAACAGCAAAGAAGCCTTCTACGCCTGCACAGACATCACATACGTCGAGACGACTGCCTTCGCGGAGCGCATCCCGTGCTTCAACGCAACGAGAGAAGAGCCAGGTGTGTCGACCGATGCAGCGGTGGATGTGATCACGACGGCACCTGATGGATCTGATCCGCATCCGGATGAGGATCATGGTCTGTCCCGCGGCACTATCGCAGGGGCTGTCGTTGGGTCGGTTTTGGGTGCCCTGGCCATTGCTGCGCTGGCGTTCTTGTTGTTCCGCCGCAGCAAGAAGTCAAAGGCCGTTCAGCAGCCTGCGATGGCGCAGACGAAGGATGTTGAGAGAGCTGAGAGTGATACTTCATCTCGTTGAAAGTCAACGAGTGAGGTATCGCCTTGGTGATGTGGAGATTGTATCACGAAGGTCGAATGTCCGGCATTGTTCTCAACGAGCTGCAAGGTAGTTATTCTGAATAGTCAGTCGGACTTCTTAGTATCAGCATTTCCCCTCAAGACGTTTTGTAGTCGCCCAACAGGAGTCCCCGAAACACTCTGCGCATCAAGCACCCAAGTCGGCAACAACCACATCAACCAAGCAAGCACATTAGCCGCATACCCCTTCCTCACAAACAACGGCGGCGGCGTCCTCAACAACTCCTCAACCGTACTCTCCGCAACCCGCTCCCTCTCATGCCCCCTCCCATCCGCTAAAGACCTCCCCATCATCCCCTCCAACTCCTCCTTAATCGGAAAATAAGCCGAAGTCTCCAAAATCCCGCCTCCTGTCCGATTCGCATAAAACTCCGTCTTGACCGCAGACGTCACGAGCGTGACGACGTGGATATCGAAAGGCGCGAGCTCGACGCGCATGACGGCGCTCATGTTCATCACTGCGGCTTTGGAGCTGGAGTAGATGCCCATGAAGGGGCGGCTGAAGCCTTCGACGCCGGAGATGCTGGCTTGGTTGACGATTGTGCCTTTAGCGGCGCGGAGGAGCGGGAAGAAGGCTTGCGTTACGGCTAGGACGCCCCAGACATTCACGTCGAATTGTTTCTTGGCTTGGGAGATGTCGACGTCCATTAGGGGGCCGAAGTAGCCGTAGCCGGCGTTGTTGATGAGGAAGTCTAGTTTGCCGTCGGTGAGGTTTTCGACTTGTTTGACTGCTGCGTCGATGGACTTTGTCGATGTCACGTCGAGACGTAGAGTGACTAGAAAGCCGTCGTTTCTATCTTTTTCGGGTTGTAGGTATTCGATGTCGTCTGTGTCGATGGAGGTGGCGATCACGTTCACACCTCGCTTCAGGAAGGCTGCTGCTTCGGCTTCACCCATCCCTCCTGGACTTGCGCCGGTAATGAGAGCCCACTTTCTTTGTTGATTGGCCATGGATGTCGTCTTGGATTGGAGGACGTGATTGTGTTTTTGGGAGACGTTCGAATCGTGGAGACATGAAAAGCAACAACCCCGCTCGAGTCGGTAAAGCAGTTTGCAAGGAAGTCGCTCAATGCCATCGGGGTTATGGAGAGTAAGCATCGGTATCTCAATAAGTGCAACATGGTATTCTCATAATGTAATCAATTCCACTCTCTACCTATTGACCGTGCACTGCAACTTCACAAGCACGCCTCGACTCTCGCCCTCAACTCGTCCAGTCCAACATTACCGCTCCTCGTGATCACCACCGCCTTGACCGCGCCACTCTCGACAACTTTGACAAAAGCTGGCGTCACCTCAGTAGCCATCAATCCCAGACATCTCTCGATTTCGTCGTTGCTGATGGGGCTACGAGTGCTCTGTTGGATTTGTTGAGTTATTGCTGGCATGCTGACGATGAATCGGTCCTTGGTGCCCACGAGAAGAGATAGCACCTTCGTTACATTCTCGATTCGGTGGAGGGCGGCCTTGCGTTCCATCTGATCCTTGGTAGGTCCAGCTGGTAGAGTTGATGCCAGGTTTTGTCTCGCGAGGACACGATCCAGAAGAGCCGTGCTGCGATTCTGCGTTGCTTGAAGGGACTTTGGTAGAGCCGAAGGAGCCAATGCTGGTACCTTCACACTGGCCTCCTTGGACGCTGTCTGGCTGGCTCTGAGATCCGCGAGGCGTTGTTGTCCGCGTGCGAACAGGGGAGCGGCCTTGATCGCGGATTGGTTTTGTGTAACATCGAGGAGTGGAAGGCTGTCAATGAAAGCTTCAACTGTTCTGTTCTCTTTCGCGGTCTTCATCTGCCATGTTCGCCAAAGCTTCTCCAAAGCATTCTCAAACTTCGTGCCAATTGTGAGTGGATTGATGTTGAGTGCCGGGCGACCAGTGATGGATACAAGCGGTTTCGCTATGACCAAGCAAATACCAGCTCTTCCGTAGTCCTGGACGAGGAAATCCCGATCACTCTCCTCCACGATAGCCAATATACGCCTCAAGTCGTCCAGCTTGACGCTACGTTTTCTCCAGGTTTGCGAGATCTGAGGGAGCAAGGTCTGCATGTCGACGGGAGAGGCAGATCCGTTGTGCGAGTAGTAAAGAGACAATGCCGACAGAAACGCCGCATGTAGGTCTTGGAGCTCCTCGAGCTCTGTCGGGAACTCTGCCAGAAAGCCGCTCTTCTCATCATTTGGACTGTGTGGAGGTGTGTGGTAAGAGATCTGCTTTTGGGAAACGGCACATGGGATCGCGCGAGCATTGGCATCGATGTTGAGCCTGTCGAAAAGCGCAGCGGCGCCTCGAGTAGGCGTGTTGGTCGGTGAGGGAGGAGCCAGATTCTTGACTCGCTTGTTGCGTGGTGTGGCTAGGTGTGGATTCTCTGTGGTCTGAGCGATCGCCCGCGAAGATACCACAATCACGTCCTCCTCGTCCTCGTCTGCCGCCGCCTGAACTCGCTTCCTCTTCTTATCCACTTTCTTGACTTGTGCTTGAGACGGAGCTGGGTCTTTCTCTTGGACAGACTTTCTCAATTGCTTCTTATTGCCATTGGCGGCATGGGGTTTCCCGACGGTGCTGAACGTGCTGATGCTCTTCTGAGTTGGAGCTGTACGCGCTTGTTTACTCGCTCGCTGATCGGCGACATCATCGTTCTTGCGTTTGCGTTGACCAGGCATGTCGATTGTGTATGTATGTGGAGCTGTATGATAGAATTGTGTATGATAGCAAGGCGAGGAATGGGTCGGATGGAGATGTGTTGGTGGAGTGTTTGTCGATTGCTGAATGAAGGTGGGATGATGGACGCAAAGTGCTTTACGCGCTGCTCTTAGCGCGTCACTTCCGTGACTAGCTTTCAATTCCGAAATTTAGCCAGCCCCCAGCCTCCCACATTCACTTCGCCTTGCATGCACCACCCTGCTTGTGACTGCGACGACCTCCATTTTTGACGAGTCGAGCGTCTTCAGAACGACTCATATTCGGCTGTGATAAGAATCGAAGGAGCGTGTGTTGATTCTGCCATTTGCCTACCAATATGCATGGGCCATAGGCGGTTCCGAGACTCGCTGCATAGCAGAGACTCTGATCGCAGCAAGCCCTTGTAGCATACCCTCTTCAAAAACTTTAGGTCCGGAATAACTACCTCCTGTTAAGGCGACGAACGTCTTCGATAGGTAGCTGCTCCATGGATATGCCCATGATGTGTGAGATGTGAGAGATGAAGACATCGGCTACGGCATCAAACCCTAGCAAGTCGAGACGAGCAGAGTCGGATAGTTCGGCTACAGGTTTCACTACCGAATGGTCTTCAACGACTTTCCAACGCCTCATCTGCTGCCAAACCCGCGGCTGTCTAGATTGCAATTGCCCCATCTGCGCTCGCACAACCATGCCAACCCCTATTCCTCTACAACATCACCGAACAACGCATCCCGTGATCCCAATCTCCCGCCAAGCGACGTACCTCCGGCGCGGTGTCGTCTGCCGGCGTTCTGGCTGCTGGCTGACTTGCGTCTCGGCCAATCCTGCACGTCGTCGCTGCACGTTGACGCTGCGGCAAAGCATCACCACCAGCGAAAAGTTACTCCAAGACACTCACAGTCCAGATCACTTTGCCCACGATTCTAGGCGCTGGGCGCGATGCGGCGCGGCGGGCTGGCAAGCACCAGTCTACCGGTCGGCCGCGGCTTCGACACTACTCGACGCCACACGTGCAGATAGCATGACACCCTGCGAATCTGCGCGCTGGTATCGTCGTGGACGGTAGCAACCCCCCGGGCTGCACTTTTTGGTAAGGTCACGTTGTGCGAAAAGGTACCCGTCATCCTCCCTCGCTCTGCGTCCCGACGGAGTGACTTCATCGTCCTCTTTCTGCTTTTCAGCTCGTGTTTTCTTTCCTTCTGACCATCCATTTGCCTATGTCTACAAACGCGGCGGCATCTGTGCTGCGGGTTTGGCCTATCACTACACCTTCCAGGCCTTTGGATTACACAACATGGCGCTTTCGTCGAGCTAGGTCGCACGTCTTGATAAACACTCCTCTCCGCACCGGAAAAGCATTGTTTCCTCCTGAGAGGACTTATCACCATGGCCGCACACATCGCGTGGTTGCCGCGCACCTTTGGCACACGCGAATCTCCCCAGCGCAAGTCGAGGAGCAGGCCTCTTCCTTTGCGCATCCGGACATACAGTGAAGCTGGCTTCCAGAGTCCGGGATTCGACGAGAGTCATGAAGGCCGACATTTGAGGAACAAATCTTTGTCAGTCGCAACTGAAGTTGCCGAGCTTAGCCCGACGACGCTGAAGAAGATGGAAGACGGCGATGAAGATGAAGTCGAACCTACTGAGAATGAAAGTCCCCGGTCGTCATTGGATGGAAGCGTTGCTGGATTCTCAGACAATTCGAGTCTGGCTGGATCTCCATTGACACCTTTGACTGGCCTCTCAAGTGGACGAAGCTCGTTGGATTCAGATGGACCCGAAGTCCTCTCATACGACTTCAGCCGGATCGACTACGAACTTGAGCGAGCCAAAGTGTTAGGCACTGGACTCTGGAGTACAGTCTACATGGCCAAGCAAAAACCGGTTAACGTCTCACGCTCCGGCCTCTCGCTCCTCTCACCGCCGAGATCTCCTCGCCTCTCGCAAAAGTCCAGAACAACCTCCATCCCGGCCCTCTTCGCAATCAAAACCCCCCTCCGACAAGACGCCAAAGCCATCTTCTACCAAGAAGCCCGCGTCCTCACGCACCTCCAACGCCGCCCCACCTCCAGTCTCCACATCATCCCCTTCTACGGCCTCGACCCCCGCAACTCCTCCCTAATCTTCGAAGCCATTATCGGCGGCTCCCTCGAAGACCTCACCTCCCGCATGAAACAAATGACCGAAGTCGCCCGCCACCTCGAACTCATCACCCTCTTCCCCGGCATCGCCTTCGACCTGATCAACGGCCTCGACTTCCTGCACTGCAACGGTGTCATCCACGCAGACATCAAACCCGGCAACATCCTCCTCGACATCTCCGCACACGCCACCGACGAAAACAAAGCCGTCGTCCGCGCCCGCTACATCGACTTCTCCGCCGCCTTCATCCCCTCCAAAGGCGACTCTGCCTCCAACGCAGGCGGAACCTGGGATTACATGGCCCCCGAACAGATGCGCATCCAGCCCGAATGGAACACGCCCACCTTCGCCTCCGACGTGTGGTCCCTCGGCATCACCTTGCTGTACGTCATGGTCGGCGACTCGCCCTACAGCGCGGCTTGTGGCGGGAATATGTTCATGCTAAGGGAGGCGATCAAGTCCGGGGATCCTTTGCAGTTTGCGCGCATGGAGACGAGGGTGCGGAAGCGGTTGGCGGCGTGTCAGGATTTCGTGGATTGTGTCCGGTTGGCGGTGAAGAAGGAGAGGGAGATTCGGGTTACGGCGGCGGCGTGGGCGGGGTGGTTGGTGGAGTGGGAGAGGGAGGGTTGAGAGAGTGGGAAGGTGAGATGTGAGGAGGGCTTTGAGTTAAGTGTCGTGTCGTGGAGTGGACTTGAGCGATGTGAATTTTTCCTGTGTGATACCCCTATGTTATAAGACCGGATCTGTAAAAGACATTTCGTAGCTTCGTATGTACAACTAAAAGAAAAGCGTTGAATTGCCTATGAGCTGAAAACTATCATCTCATTCAACTCAGAATTCTTTCTAATCTTCACGTCTGCAACTACGTAAACCACCCCATCAAACCGACCCGACGGAGCTCGACGAAGCAATACTATCCGTACTCCTCATCGCCCCATCCAAATCCTTCTTACTCGCCACCACCCTCGAACACCACGAACACCAGCTGCGATTCGCACCGCTCTGCTCGCGGCCCAGAAACTGCTCCGACACCCGCTCATCCTCATACTCCTTCACGATTGCACCTACGGGCACTCTCTTCTTGACTTTCGTCTTGACCTTGCCGCCGATCCCAACGACTTCCTGCGTGGAGTACGACGAGCCGTTCCAGTGCCTACCTTGACCTTCGGCTTGGGCCATCTCCATTTGCATGGCGGCGAGTTCCTCCGCGCAGCATTCGACGTCCTTCTCGACCATCCTCGCCGCGAGACAGTCTCGCGTTCGGCCGCATTCTACGCCTTCGTTTCCCTCGCCTAATCCCGCTCCCATGCCCCCGCAGTGACTGTACCTCGTCCGCCACTTCCACCCCCTCACGTACGTCGTATCGTCAGTCCGCATCGTCTGCCCACAGGGCTGACAGATCCACACAATCTCCGCGCAAGTACACTTCTCGCGCGAATACGTACGGGTCTCGTCGAACAGACTCGGGGGTTCGACGTCTCCTCTACAGAACGTCAGGACGACTCCGCAGCTGCGCAGGCGGGGGTTGCAAACTACTCGCCTTGAGGGAGTCCCGTCTTCGCCGACGGCGCGCACGACGGTCGTGAGGCCGTCGAGGGGCGATTTCATGCATGTGCGGCAGAGGCGGCGGTGGCGGAGACTGAGGAGGGTTGTCGGGGGTGCCTTGACGACACAGTTCTGTGGGTGATTGTGAGTCTTTCTCTGAAGGAACAGAAGCCTTCCTCAATTGTACGAGATCATGTTGGGCTTGCCGGATGGGTCGATTGGGCATACTCTGCAGATAATCTTGCCACACGCACGACAGTCGGAGACCATGTCTCGAGCGCAGGCGCCGACTTTGCCGCTGGTGATGCGGCCGATTTTGACACCGTTTTGGCCATAGGCTGTGCAGACGGCGTGGCTAGCGTGTAACGCATTGCCTAGACGTTCAGCGGGTTTGGTGTTCTCGTTGATGCAGCGGAGGGTTTGGTTGATGAGCAGTTTTCTGTGCTGCATCAGGTTTGCGCGCACTTGGCGACATGTTGCTGACAGCTCTGAGAGGGTGTTGAGGTCCAGGTAGCTTGCCAGGAGAGAGACGATGCTGGTATGAGTTAGATGGGTGTATGTATAAGATGTGCCACAGGTTCCGGAGGATGAGGGATGGGATGTATGGAGACTGTGGGAGTATTGTCTCGAATTGGAGGAGATGATGAGTTCTGTATTCTCTACTCACGGGTAACACGAAAGCGCCTTAGAGAACCCATTCTCTAGGTTTGGGTTCGACCTGTCGTCAAGCGGCGGACTGCTCTCCTTTGGTCGTCGTTGTAGCGGGGTTGGAGGGCCAGTCGCGGTGTCTGGATCGCCATTGTCGTCCAGAACAACCAGTCGTACCATGACGCCTCAAGGACCACGCCGCGAGCATCGGACACGAAATGTGCCGCAGGATGAATAGGAGGAGGGAGAAGTGAAGATGAGGGTGTTTCTTCAATTCCCTCAAGACGCAAGTCAGGGAGTTGAGACTGGAAGGTAGTTGGTGGCGTCATTATATAGCGCACAAAAAGTCTAGAGACAAAGGAGGGCAGGAGCGGGGAGCCAGCTCCGGGACGAATTGACCTTGGGAAAGAAACATACGATTTCAACGTCTTGTTCGTCGAGAAATGACTCTGCTGTGGAGGTTGGAAGCGACGATGTCGACTTTTCCGAAGAATGTCCATGGAAGTTCGTAATGAACGAGTGTTGTGAGTGGACGGCGAGGCATTGATCTGTTGCCATTAGTCTTGGATTGTCGTTATCCCAACGCCGAGATCGCAGCTCTCGCTGGATGGCGAGCTGGAAAATGGATGGCACGACAGGAGAGGTCTTGTCGCAAAATCAAACCAGATTGTTGAGGGCTGTTCTTGCTGGCAGGGAGGATGCGTGAAGAGCAACAGAGCGCATGAAATTGGCCGGCAAGTCAGACATGTACAGATCCCAATTGCAGCTCTCTCGTACCATCCTTCCAAGTCATCGACTCCACGGCATTGCCACAATAGTCGTTGTCGTTCCCAATGCGTGCAGCTTGGATGCTAATCGTGGAAGTCGGGCTGTGAAGTTGTTCTTTCTGGGATGCTTCTTCTAATCAACACAAGGCTCTCGGCAATCTGTTGTACTGTGGAGCTCTGGCAGTGCTGTGTGTAGGCGGCCTGCAAGACAGCTTTAGTTAAATATAGATCCGGCGCTTCGACCAGCAAAATGATTGCATCCTCGATGTCTTGACTCTTGGACGACGTGGATATTTTCTTTTGTCCATCGCGACGTGCATCCCGATCCCAGGAAAGGCCTGCACGGAGTCGTGACGTGATACTGGAGGAAGAGAAGCGACGTCTCTTGATCCTCTAAACCCCAGCTTCCATCCACTACGGCCAAGCTTTTGCAGCAGGTTGACAAAGGCAGCCGTCCAATGAGTGACCAAGCATCCAGAGAAACCAACACATTGTGCGTCCCCTATCTGTGAAGGATCGACCTCTTGCCGAGGATGGAAGGCATCAAGGCAAGGTGGATGCAGAAGTTGTGGGAGACTTCATCGTGCCCTACGACCCTACATCTCATCGTATACTGCCCTGTCTCTCACTCGGAGACGGCGTGTCCTGGTGGTGGTCAGCAGCGAGCTGCATCGGGTGTTGCGAGTATCTGCACTCGCTGCCCACGAAGTCGTTTTGCTCCCTCGGCACCGACATGTTGGCCTTTTGCCAGTTGAGGAGCGATCGACGCTGGAGAGCCCTGAAGTCTATGCGTTTAGTCAGATAGGCGATCCTTCGATTAATTGTCGCCATGTGCGCATCCTTGCTTCAACACATGGCGATCTGCTACCGCGGGTCACGCCGACCGGCAACGAGAAAACCTTCCGATCCCACGGACATGGCGGTGGATGGGCGCGAACGAAGGTGAATGGCTGTCATCCCCACGTCGCTTCACTGGCGCGATGCGTTGTTGGACGTCGATGATGGCGGATTGATCGGTCGCCGAGCTTACGCACGAACGTGTGGTATGGAAAGACTGTGTGCGCACGCACAACGTGGTCCTGATTAACATTGCAGGCAAAGAGTGCGGTTGAGGAAGGGCTGCTGAGTGGGTGAGCAAGTTCGACGTGCAGCTGCGATTCCATCTTTCGCCTCGAGCTAATAAGCGCTCTGCTCCTTGTCGTGCCTGCAGGAGCAAGGAACCGGTCAAGACGATGAGCCGATCCTGGTAAGCTGAGCGGTGGTGATGCATCGTCGTGCAGCGCCGGAGAGGGGATGGGCAGCGTTCGGCGCATGTCGAAGTGGACACGCAAACGCATGGAACCTCGCGAGGTGCAGCGCCTGGGTCGAGTGGCATCTGGCGGGGAATTTTGTGGCATCGAGTCGGTGGTATTTTGGTCGTGGATGATTGCAGCACGCCTGAAAACAGGTGAGAGGGGCTCCTAATTTGGGACCTGGCGTCGTCGCAGCCACCAAATGCGAACCAGCAGGACCAGTTTCAGGCTGTGCCGCAGCAGTGGGATCGTTTCACGTAGGCGCAGGATATGTCCTCTCTCTGACTGTACCATGCCCTCAGCGACTGCTCCTCCTCGTCACGCTGTCCGTCTGCTATGGCCGCGCCGGAATTATCTTTTAGCTGCAGCACAACCAACACTGGGCCGCCCGAAGCGTTTAGGGCGCTTCCTCTCGGGCGATCCTTCCCGCACGCTACGACGCGAGACCTGGTCAGTCTCTCCGCTTCACCTGGCATGTCTGGCAGGATCATCGGCGAGAGAGCGTCGACCATCATCATCACCACCACGACCACTGGGCAGCGCGGTGCGTGGTGGCTGGGCCGTGTGCGGTGCCTGTCTGTCTGTCTGCTCGGCTTCTGCGTCCTGCGTGCGTCCTGGGTGCGGCAGCAGCGATCGGCGACGCGTGCGGCCAACGTGCTGCTGCTGCTGCCAAACCGTCTCAGCCGCTGCCATTTAGTGACAACCTCACCTCTCCCTCTGCCTGTCGCCATCTGCTGCCTCTGCCTCGCCGACTACATACTAGCCTTCTGCTTTGCAGGGGGGCCGCCCTCCGCCATCCCTCCCTCGCCCGCTAGTCTTTCAGCTCTCGGCAACCCACAGCCTAGAGCTGCACTGCTCTTCCGTCTCCGGCCTTCCTGTTGGTGTCTGTCCTTAATATTGCTGCCGCTTGCATATCCGCCTTCTGCTTCTGTCTGTTGGCCCGGCGTCGTCTTCTCCTCTGATCACCTCCAAGCCTGAAACACTCGCGACGCCACGGCACACAGCGCAGCAGCAGCAGAACGCTACGCCCGTCCCTCCATCCCACCCACCCTCTCCAATGGTCCGCGCCCTCCTCTGAGGCGGAGGTGCACCTGCGTTGGCCCTCTACCTGCCAGCTGGTACCTTATTAATCCCCCGTCTTCGCCACCATGCAGTCCGAGGTGCCTGATCCTGCCGACCCTACGCAGGAACAACAACACCCTTCGCAGTCGACCCTACATCAAGGCCCATCGTCGCGCCCTTCAAGAAGTCCAGGTGCAGAGTCGAGCAATGCGCCAGGCAGTTCGACAGGTCAACGAGCGTTGAAACAGCCCTCGAGGCTCCGCGGATCCTCCCGTGATACGAACGAGATGCAACGTTCAACCACGCCCCCAGAGGCGTCCAGCGCCGATGCTATCAAGTATACTCGAACGGGTAGAGTCAGTAAGGCCACCAAAGGACATCGCGTCCATCATTGCGAAGAATGCGGGAAGGTGAGTCTCCCTTTCGTCGTACTGTCGGGTTGGATGTCAAGATGAAATCGTTCAATCTTGTTCATCCATGGCCCCAAATGTCGACAGCCACTTGGACCTTCTTGCCCCATTGAGCACAGACGTTGACCATCAGCAGACCTATACCCGCGCTGAACATCTAAGGTAACCCTTCCCGCGCAAGCCTCGTCTCTACTTCAGAGCGCTTACAACACGAACAGGCGGCACCAGCAGAACCACAAGCCCGGCGCATTCCCATGCGACTACCCTGGCTGTGGACGGTCGTTCTATCGCGAAGACCTCTTGGTTAGGCACAAGGCGCGACAGTAATTCCAACTGAGACATCCCTAAACTGGCGCTTACAAGCTGACATGCTTCTCAGTAATGACCCCCTCAACCCACCGAGTCGGCGACATTCTGTTGGCAGTCAAAGCTCAGCACCAGATCCACGAAGTATTGCAGCGGGCTCAGCACAAGCGCCAGGTGTTGCAATCCCTCCCACATCGACGACAGATCCAAGTCTCATCGCCCCTGAACTACAGCCAACAACATCCGACAGCGACGCGCAACAGTCAAATGTTGCCTCCAGGTACCCATTTTCTGAAGTATTTCCTGAGTCAACACCTTTCATTCAAGTCTTCGACGATCTTTCTTTGTGAGTCTTGTTCAGAAACATGAAAACGCACCGGCCTTCTTCCTTTCATTTGATTCCCTAGCCTTTGCTGCATACGTTATACCAACCGCACCACAAGGAACCGTGGCGGCTGACTCAGATCACACACAGGACACCCAAAAGAGTACCCATCCCACCGAACGAGTTGCCTGCAAGTGTCCCCGTAACTGTCGACGGCTCAGGCTTCGGTCCGTTCACCAATCCTTGGGACTTATCATCACCTGTGTCGCCGCCAGCATACCATACCGAGTACGACTACGAATCTGCTGACGAGACCGCGGGCCTGCCCTATTACCAGCCACACTTCTCGCGAATTAGGCATTCTTCGGATACTTCGTTTCTTGGCTACGGACAGCCTCACAGCACATCGAGATCACCCGTGTCGGCCGGCTCCTCAACTATATACGTCTCCCAATGGCCTTACCAGTCGGGATGTAATGCGTCCGTAGGAAGCATCTCATATCTGAACGGGGTCGGGTACATGAACCATCAAAGCATATCAGCATATCCCTACAACGATACAAGAGCATTGACTGCCGAGACTCAAGATTTCATGGAGCTACATGACTTGGCACTCCCTGGTCCTGGCCAACAGGGAGCCTCATTCGACGAAGTGACGAGTCTGCCCGATGAGCCACGATACATCAATGCCTACTGGGAGTCGGTACATGAGCTTTATCCGCTGCTACACAAGCCCACATTCGAGGATGATTCTGCATCTCCTCTATTACGCGCTGCGATGATCGCATTGGGTGGACAGGTGTCTGGAGACAGGACAGATCTTTCCAATGCACGGAGTTTGCATGAGAAATGTGTCAAAGTGCTGAAGAAGGTAATGCGTGACATGAAACCTGCGAATGCGTTTACTAATACACCTTCCAGCGCACGACACAGCAAACACATACGTACCGTGTCTGCGATATGCAGGCCATTGTTCTGATTGAAGTATACTCCATCTTCAAATCGAGGCGTCCCCCTTTACAACTATCAAAGAATTTCGAGAATGTCTATCGCTTGCTTGCGAACGATATTAGTGCGATGATGCCCACCCCTGTGGACACACCAATCGAAGGCGGCAGTTTCGGCGACGACTTGGGCGCCGATGCAGCGAGCAAGCAGCGGCTACTCTTGACCTGCTTTACTTTGGAACAGCAGCATTCAATGCTTTTCGGTCGACTACCAACGGACTGTTTCGCCGGGACTTCGCAGGATCTCCCGTTTCCTAGCTCGCAGTTGCAATGGGATGCTGTTCCTGGACATGAGGCCGGCGCTCCTATTGAAGATACTGCTTACGAACGGATTTCAGATGCCTTGAAGGCTGCTTCGTATATGACAGAGCCTGCAATCGCGCCCCACGACGCCTTCCAGTCGACGCTACTCATGGCCTGTATGTGCCAGAGTCTCAACGGCATACTGGAATGGACGGATGGCATGACCGATCCGCCAATGCTGCTTGCCGCCGAGCAGTCTCCACGATGCCGCTTGATCTTCCATACACTCATGCTGTGTAAGAACGCCCAAATCCGTGACCTACTGGCTGTAGCGGGGGAAAGCTGGGTGATGGCCGAGAAGTTGAGCACTCAAGCCGAGCATACCGCCGCGCAAATCGAAATTCGTGACTGGGCATCCAAATCGTTTGCAGAGGATATCCCAGCCTTTGGTTTCGAGGTGCCCGTTCAAAGGGCATTGTCACATGCTTTCAGTATCCTTGCCATTCACCAGCAGCACCCACGGACTGGCGTTCTTTTCCAGGAATGGGCGGTCTATCTCGCGGCCGTTGTGATCTGGGCTCGCGTGTATGTCTCGCGAGTGGACGGAAGACATCCACGCCTGTCGATACCAAACGCGACAGAGCCTCGGCCATCACCAAGTGAGCTCAATCAGTCGGCTGCAGCGCTGATCCAACGGGCAGCGACTCCACTGATGGGCTGGAATGAATCCAGGACCATCCTCCTATGGGCGAAGATGAAGATCGAGAAATACGACGTACCGCATACATGCGGCTTGACTAGCGGAGCGTTAGACGTGTTGGGAAAACTTGTGACGAGAGGAAACGAAGACGGCTGGTTTTGATGCATTCTTCTTCATTTGCATAGCGATTTTGCATACATGCTTGCATTTGCATTCGAATACATGTTGCATTTAGATACCCGGTTATGACGATTGCATAATGGTAACTGAGTTGTCAGATTGAAGCCAATTGTCTGTTCTTGAACTTCAAAGTTGATAGTTGTCTGTCGTTGCATGTGATTCTTGTGATACATATTCACTTGACTTTGCGAAGCACGTGACGATAGAACCCCACGGAAACAGCGCAGAACGTCATCGCTCTTTCTTGGCTCAAGTTAAAGCCCGCCTTCCTTCTCCAAACACCGCCGCTGCAGTGGTTAGTCACACGCCATTTCGCCGCCCAACACCCCCTGCTTTAAATAACCCAACCTCACACGACCTCATCAATCAGGTCATCTTCTGACTCCAACAACCCAACCAGCAGCCTCGATCCTCACGACATCTCCCCCCACCAAAGCACCCAAGATCACTATCAGCAAACCGTCACAATGAGCGACGACTGGGAATCCGTCACCAAGATCGGCAGCAAGGTCCGTGGACCAGGCACTGCACAGCGTGAGACAACCGTCAAGGGCAAGAGCGCGCTCAACGCCGCCCAGCGAAGCGGAGCCATCGTCGGCACGGAGAAGAAGTTCTCGACTGCCAATGTATGTCCACTCATTTAACCCCTCCAAGACATCACATGCCTCTCACGCTCCAACGACAGCTACTGACACGTATGATCCCCAGGCCGCAGGAAACCCAGAAGGGCAACGCCTCACCAAAGTCGACCGCGCCGACGGGCCCGTCGCGACGAAAAAAGTCCCCGACGACGTCGCCAAAGCCCTCTCCGGCGCCCGCACCAAGCTCAAGAACCAAAAGGGCGCGACCATGACGCAGAAAGACCTCGCCGTGAAGGCCAATGTGGATGTGGCGGCGGTCGCAGCGCTGGAGAGGACGGGGGCGGACTTCCCCAGCATGGATATTGTGCTCAAGTTGCAGAAGGCGGCGAATGTTAGGTTGACGGGGAGTAATATTGGGGAGCCTATGTTGGGGCCGAAGAAGAAGTAGATGGGGGGATGAGGATATTCCATATGAATGAGGGCTTGCCTGCTGAGGATTCTCGAGCATACCTACCTGCTACACATGCTTATGCTACGGCTGGCTTTTGGGTACATGGGCAGTTTCAGCCTATGAGGCTCAGGCAATGGGGCCAAATTTGATGATTAGCGAACGAGCGAAATAGACCCATGAATTATGCGAGCAATTCACTCGGGTGCAGGCTCCTCTGCTTCTGCCTTTGCCAAACTCCTTCTCGTCAAACATCAGATATTCATAACTGGTTCCACCACGGTGAAGGGATGTCCCGCCGAACTTCGCAATGAAATGAAATTGATCAGATGTTGTTGTCCCAAAGAGTCTTCTTATCGGCATCCTGACTATGTACAAAGAGTGAACTCGACGAATATTTCAATATGCGTTCTCCTTAGGGGGTATCTGGTACTCGCTCACTTTCACTCTCACAAAAAAACGCCAGCCTTTCTATCTCGCCTCCTCTAGCTCCACAAAAAGCATTTACGCCCTGTATCATCGCTCGAAACCCCCTTAGACAAAACCAGTGCCGTGCCTCGTGAATGCGTGCCGTTATCAATGCAGAATCCCATTCGTCCTCAAGAGGCCTTTAGACGTGCCTCCCTCGCTTCCCACCTCTGCCATTACCACCTCCGCCGCCGTCTTTTCGATCGCTATTATCGGTGTTGATGTTGGAGATGTCGAAGAAGTCTTGGTATGGCATTTTTCGCTTGTTGCCTGCGCCTGAGCCGAGGCTGAAGTTGAGCGTAGGGATACGACTGTCGTTTCTTCGACTGTTATGTTGCTTGTTACGCTGCGGCCGTGATACTATCCGCACCGTCTCTGTGCTTGAAGGCGTGGATGAGGTTATGCTGGGCTGAAGTGGCGTTGTCGATGAATCCAGCTCCATCGAGTTATTACCGTCCCGGTCGTGGTTTGACGTGGGATATGCGTGGTTAGACTGGAAAGTAAATTCGCTTTGTAGTGGTGCTGGTTGTGGTGGTTCTGAGACAACCCGGCGGTGTTGAGAGTCTTCCTCCGTGAGATCGCTGCTGACAGTCGTCACTGCTTGGGGTCGCCGCTGCACCTCTGGGCTCGAACTTCGCTCTTCTTCTTTATCATCGTCCTTGGTCGTGCTGCCATCATCCTCGTCTTCTGCCATTGTCGAGTTGGGGCCGGTCCCTTGCCGGGGTGCTGACCCATCTCCATCTAGCCGCTCAGTCGCCCATTGCCGTACTCTCCACCCTTCCCCATCCATGAGACCCAGACTCTCCTTATCCAAGAACGTCAGAAGATCATCCAATGCATCTTGATATCCCGCTGCTCGAGCTCGGTCTTGGGACTTAGCCGCCGTCTTGTACAGATTTGTAACCGAAAGCGCAGCTGCCTTGAAGTCGGAGAGGAGATCGGTGGTGGGCTCATTTCGACCGCGAGGGAGCGAGGTGGACAGATGCCGCATCGAGTCCATTGTTGCGGTGTTTGTCGGGGTGCAGGAGTGATATGGCGCTTTGACGGGGTGCGAGGTTGCAGAAAGCGGGCAAGCCAGCAAGGTGACACAGTAATGGAGCAGTCACCTGCCGCTTAGCGAGCGGTCGGTCACGTTGCGGGGGATTAATGGTCTTCGAGTGCCCAGACCAGATTGGACGTGGTTGTATGGCCGAGTGGAGGCGTGAAAGGTGGTTGGAAGTGAACCGAAGGCTGCTCGGGGAAGAAAGAAGCCATCAGCATCCATCGGCTTGTTGTGGTCTTTCTCGTCGAACCTTCAGGGCGGCGCCCCGCGATCTCGGAAACCAGGCAACGGCCCGTCGCCCTTCTGCGACACGTGCGTCATGCTCCAAACAACATGGCCGGCCGCGCCAGCAACTCTCTTCAGCCACACCGAACCATCCGTATGACTTTGGACAACAATAACAACAACATGAGCACGAGTCTTTGAACGAACACCCCTACCGAAGCATACTTCCACCACTATGGCCTCCGTTACCAACCTCGACAATGACATGCGCAACTTGCGCCTGTCCCGCTACACCCCTCAGGCTGCAAACGAAGCTCGCGCATGGATAGAGAATACTCTGGGCGAGAAGCTACCGCCTGGCGACTTGCTTGATGCATTGAAAGACGGCGTTGCGCTATGCAAACTTGCGAACAGAGCGATTCAACCTCAACATGGAGCCATCAAGTTCAAGGCCAGCCCGATGCCGTTCATTCAGATGGAGAATATCAGCCATTTCTTGAGAGCCTGCGAGATGCCGCCTCTCAATCTCCCCGCGCACGACCGATTCTTGACCGTGGACTTGTTCGAGCAGAAGGATCCGGCGCAAGTACTGCAATGTTTGGGCGCATTCAGCAGGCAGGCACACAACTTGAACCCTTCGAAATTTCCTTCTACGATTGGACCTCGGAAGACAGGTACAGCTATGTCACCTTCGACGACTGGATCCGGTATAGGAGGGTATGTGAATGGAGGAAGCATGCGACGTCCAGCCAGCCCAACCAAGCCGTCTGCCATGGCTCCATCTTGGACGGGTGGCTCGGCGGGCTCGAACGGTGGGACAAAGTCGCCTTCTGGACCAGTTAGTAGCTGGAGTAAGAAGAGCGACGAGTCAAAAACGGCGCCTGCATGGAACATTCACCAGTACGGCTATATGGGTGGTGCTTCACAAGGCAACCAAGGCATCAATTTTGGCGCAAGACGACAGATTGTGAACTCGGGGCCAGCGGTACCCAGTCTGGCTGAGAAGGAGAAGTTACGAAGGGAGAAAGAAGCAGATGCAGAGCGACAACGTCAGCATGAGAATGAACAGCAAGAGCGCCGGAGACGACAAGCAGAGGAAGACGAGGAGAGGGCTAGGATCGAGGAGGAGAGGCGATGGGAGGAAGAGACTAGGAGACAGCGGGAAGAAGAGCGTAGGAGGCTCGAAGACCAGAAACGGCAATGGGAAGAACAAGAGCAGAGATGGAAGGCCGAAGAGGAGGTACGGCGGAAGGAAGACGCTGCCCTGCAAGCGTCGTTATCTAAGCGAGCACCTGAAAAGCCGAGAGTCCCCAGCTCGAGCATATTGAGGGGACAGACACTGGCCGAGTATCAGAAGGAGCAGGCGTCACTTTCAAGAAGCACGGATGGGCCGGCCGAACCCACCGAGACACCCGAGCAAAAGAGAGTACGAGAGCTCGAGAGGCAGCTTGAAGAGGCACGCGAACGAGAGCGCCAATATCAGACTGAGCGTGAAGAACGTTTACGCAAGGGAGGAAGTGAAGGCTCCCGACCAAGTACCGCCGAGACTGCACGACCTGAGAGCGCTCATGAGAGCGATGTCAGCTGGGCAGGAGACGAGCGCGAGTACTTGCGAAAACAATGGCAAGACACACAAGCTCCGAGACCAACTCAAGTCGGTTCGCAACGACCACTGCCAACGCAGCCGCAAGCACCACCAAGCCTGCCACAGAGGCCTCTCCCCGAACCCGCAGCAGAGGAACCACCACCAGCTCTACCGTCTAGATCACAACCCTCACCATTCAGCACTCGCCCACTTCCAACCCCTAACAAGGACCCCGAAGCCTTCGAGCCCCAGCAATCCAAACCCAACAGGACGGACCAATTCCTCGCCACAACTCCTGCACCCACAACCAGCGGTCCCCGAATTTCTTCATCCCAGGAAGCAGGCGACACCTCCCTCGAACAGCAACAGCTCCGCGACAACCGCGTCGCCTCCCAGCAAAAGACGAAGGCCGGCGGTTGGGCCAGCAAGTCCCTTCTCGAGCGCGAAATGGAACGCGAACGTGAGCGCCAGAAGGAATGGGAGACGAATCAGCAGGCCATTAAGAATGCACCGAGGGATAGCAATCAAGGGACGGGTGAAGGCCAGACGTGGGATATCCATCAGTATGGGTATATGGGTGGTGACAGCCAGAATAAAGGCAGTGGAGTTGGTAGTGGGATTAATTTTGGTGGGAGGAGGCAGATTATTGGGCCTAGGCCGCAGAAGTGAATACATCATGATCATGATTGATGAATAGGCAGACAGTAACGTTAGAGTTATGATACATGATTGAGATTGATTTTTGAAAGTTCGTCATAAGCGTGGTCATTCTCAACCTGTTGTGACTATCTCCCTTGCCCATCTCATCCAATGCCTCTATGGCCACCGATCCCCGAGTGCTGCACTCCTCATGTTGGCGGTCTTCCGCTGCATAGAGAGATTCTGCGTGTCTTGTCGTGGCTACATCGCCATGATGACCGCTCTCCATCTGCGTTTCCTCGTCTCTGCTCGGCTTTGATCTCTGCCATGCTCCTCCAACTATGATCCAGGCCACGGTCGTCCCCGCGTCGATTTCGACCTCGCAAAGCCCTGTAGAACAATTCCAAGAGTCCATCAACGCCTCAGAGCCCGCGCGGGAACACTTCCTCTCAGTAATGCCTCAGCGTGTCCATCATCCTTTTATCCTCAAAACCCTTCGAAGGTATCCCTCATCTCCCATCTCTTCCCCCCTCAATTCACCAACCGATAAACCCCCAACCCCACCAACACCGCACTCATCCCCACAATCCCGCCCCTCCTCGCGCCCAACCCGAACCTCGACCCGCTCTTCAGAATTTCCAGTTCCCGTTCGCGTAGTTGCTTCATCCCGGAGGCGTAGGAGTAGATTCCGAGACCGGTGAATGCGATGGAGCCTGGAGGGATGGGTTAGTGGGTTGTATGGGAGGGGACGGGAGGGTTACCCATGAGCCGGCAGCGAAGACAGTCGTAGTCTTTTTGTTGGTCTGCGAGGACTTGTTTGAGTTTTGTTTCGGATTGGAGGTCGTGGAGGGTGGGTTGGGAGGAGGAAGAGGAGGAGGACATTTTCGAGACGCGGGAGGAGTTTGATGGACGTCAAGTGGGTGTGTTTGTGGACGGTGAGGTTTGGAGATGCGAGGTGAAGCTTGGAGCTCGGCTGGAGTTGCTGTTTGTGGAAGGGCTTTCACATGCAAATGGCACGTGGGATATTGTTGTTTAGCGTTCTCTGGATAGAGCTCCTGACGCTGTAGGGGAGCGATCGATGTTTCCTCCACTGGTAAGGAGTCAATACTTCGCTATGGACCTCGACGTCGTCAGACGTCCAACTCATGCCGATTCATCGGACCATTCCTCTCATCTCCACTCACTTTCCGCGAAAATATGCACCCAAGCGTCGCTGTCAATAGTTTACAGAAATAGGAAAGGGAGAGGGGGTTGGGGGCTCCGCGCCGACAGAACGAAATCCATAGACAGGAATGTTAGGACGATGCGCTAGTTTGTGCTCCAGGTTGTGAGTCTTGCCGGCCAAAAGGCGTAGTATCTTGAGAGGGCTGAAATGATAGGTTAATAGCACCAGGAGACGGCAATCCTTCGACAGGCGCCTTGGTAGGTCTCGCATTGTCCTATTATGGTACCTTCGGCTAGTAGAGACGTCTATTTCATTGAATTTCAACCTGTTCGTGTGATATCCAAGTCGCCGCTGGCAGGCGGCACTCAGGGAGTGATACCATAGTCCAAAGTGTACAATTCCCGGACGTTCCATCTTTTGAAACCACTTCATTCTCCAGTACCCTCGCCCTAGCATCTCCATGCAACGGCCTTGCTAGAAGCCGCCAATAGGACGCCATGCCCGATCCTCACCACAGCATCCTCTAGGTTTGACACCCCGACGTTCGAGCCTCATCTTAGGGTCGTTGTTATTGCTGCGTCACATATCAGTCGAACGATACCACGGCAACGCAACAAGCAGCACCAACGGCATTCACACATATTCAACTGCAGTGTACTTACATCAAGAACCCACCACTAACGGACAAACCACCAGCCTTCTTGCGCCGCTCCGCCCACGCGCCGAAGAGGATACCGAGGAGGATGACGAAGTTGGCGGCGAAGATGTGGTGCGTCCGCCGTTGGCGGTAGGTGACGTGAAGGAGGAGCCAGGCGTAGCTGAACAAGCCGCCGAGGAGGCCGTTGAGCAAGGCGGATCGCATGCGCTTGGGGTCGAGGTCTTTGATGTTGATCTTGCCGAAGTATGCTAGGACCTGGAGGTCATCGTCAGTGGTTGGGGGCTTGCGAGGGAGTGGCCAATATCAAGCATACCGCGTGGACGAGTCCGAAGCCGATGAAGTCGGTGCCGTCGCGGTCGCTGTTGGGGATAATGTAGGGTTTGATGAAGATGAATTCGAAGAGCACGGCGAGAGCGATGAACTTGAGTCCCGTGTTACCCACCATGGTGTGGCTATGTAGGTGGGACGAGTGGTACTTGGTAGGTGAGGTGAAGCGATGTTTTGAAGTTTTGGTCTTCCAGATTTTCTTTGTTTGCTCTGCGCACGGATGACGAGATCGACCATTTTACTCGCCGCACTTGCAGTCTGTCTGCGGCGTTTGGTGTCCCTCAAATGTGGCTGTACAGTGCGCTTACCTACTGTGCCGCGTAAGAAAGAAGGAACGATGGCGTATGGATGGAGTCTTGCCTCTACTTTCACCCTTTTATAAAACTCCACAAATGCACTGCATTCGCTAATAGTAACAAAATCGCCGTCTTCGCCAGATCGGCTTTCACGAATGTCCTGAGCCGCAGCACATCGAAAGCCTTTGCTCTCTCCGAGAAGGCCATGGGGAAGAGGATCAAGACTGATCGGATGATCCAGTCGCACATCGCCACCAGTGCAGGAAGACCAAACGCCAGACGCTCGGCCATGAAGAGCTTGATAGCGATTCGGCGGTACTCGTCACTGTTCGTGTGTGTTTGCCGTACGTATTTGTCCAGCTCTGAGAGGTGGAACGCCCGAATGTCTTGGACTATATATTCGTGGTCGAGCCGGCTCTCGTCGCTCGGATAGCTGGCAGCTGCTGGAGGACATCTAAGTCGCCGCAGGACGTTCCATCGTACTTCACTGAGGTACCCCGATTTGCTGGATCTTTGCTTGACGTTGCTGATATTCTGCTTCAAAGCATTGAGTAGGGCAGGTAGGGCATGCGAACCATCCAAAGCTACCGTTCGATTCTTCTCGTCGGTTGTCAAGCATTCTCGATCGAAAGCTTCTTTAGCATGGGCGTAGTGGATGAAGCGGCTGTAGAAGGCAGGCGAGAGGACTTTGATCGTCAGTGTCCGTGAATGAGCCTCCTCATAAGTGAATCCGGGCGAATACAGGACGATCTCTCCACTGTCATGATGCGGAGGCTCATAGATCACTCTCAAAGGTTCCCTGGCGCTCTCGACGGCATCCGTGAGGAATGAGCGAAGGAACTCTTCCAACGACTTTTCATCATCGCTGTACGGGCGACCGATGCTCGTGTTCGTGACTTCGGGTCTGAACCAGACGTGGAGTTTGCGCCGAAAGAATAGCTTCCGGGCCTCCCACACGATTCGCGGGAATGTAGCAAGACCAACCCACCACCAAGCCAGAATGAACTTGGTCAACTGAAAGGCGGTCACTGTTGTCGGATCTTTAGGAGTGCCCTCAGAATACACTCTGGCAACGACCTTCGGATGTTCTTTTGAAGAGCGAAGCACGATCGTGTTGTCGATTTTGACGTTGCCAGTCTCCTGAAATGCGGTTAAGGGATCTACAGCTCGCAGAGAGTATGATCCTTTGCGGCTGTTGAATGGCGAGACGTGGAAGTCTTTATCCCATGTGTCGGTAAACACCAGCATGTTCGAAGATTCCCCAGATCGATCGTCGGTTATGTCACTGCTGGCGTCTTTCGAGCTTTCTATCTTGAGCAGGTACATCCGTCGTTCGTCAAAGGTGTTGTTGACTTCCAGAATCATGTACTTGAGGTGCGTGTCGGAGTCGTAAAGATACCAAAAAGATACCGGATTGAAGCTGTAGCTCAGGAACCGAGGCGCTGTAACGAAGTAGGCAAAAGCGTAGTCTCGATCAGTCACACCTTGAGCGTGGAGATAACGCTTGAGCTTCTCGCCGAGTCCAGCAGAATCGTTACCGCGATCGAGATAGTCCTTAGATCGCACATCGAACCACGCGGGCGTCCGGCTGTCGACGGAGAGTACATTGCTCACTTTGCCTTGAAGCCCGACAGGAACGCCCGCAAAAAGGTAGGAGTACGAGAATGAGTGCTTCTGGGGAAACAGACGAGAGTGTGTAGTGCGACTGGTGATGAGGAGAGGTGGTAAGATTGCGTCCTCAATGCTCTGCTCGCGAAAGGGCCCGCTTGGCTCATGGTGCTTGAGTTGGTGGCCTCGACGGACGATGCCACCTGCAAAGAAACCGCAAACGCCCAGTAGAGCAAATATCTGAAGGTATACTTGCACCACATCGTCCCGCATATCGTATCGCTTCACATCCTCGATAGTAGGCAGACTCCAGGCACCAGACCAGAACGAGTAGACGTAATGCAACGCGAGGAACAGGCCAAGATCCTGGTCCCAGGTTAGGTCACCTGTGAAGATGCGAACGATCCATAGCGGTTGGAACAGAAGCACCCGAGCAGCAAAGGTCCTGTGAGGCTCCGTGAAGATGCTCCAGAACAGCGTTGCAGAAGCCCATATAAAGATGAGAACGGTTGCCTTCGAGGGTCCTGTTTCGGTCTTTTGGGCGGCGTTACCTGCTCCCATTGTATCAAGCCGTGTGCCAGGCCACAATAAAAGCCGATCAGATGGGGTTGGATGTGGCACTGCAGGCGTTCAGTTGGATGGATTCTGTGCGCTGCCGCATCTTGCACGACAATGATCCGATGATGTCGTCGCTGGCCAAAAAAGACTGGCGGTGGAATCCGCGGACCCGGATTCGCAGAAGAAACTTGTGGGACTCGTTGAACATCGTATTCCTCCTTTGCCAATAATCTCTTCTCTACAATGAATATCAATGGAGCAGCAGCTACTACAATTTGAGGGCTTCGGTCTGACACACCACTGCGTGTTGGAGATGCACACCGAAGCGCGTCCCAGGTGAAGATGAAGCGCCATCTTCAAGCGTGAGGCGGCCCATCTCATCACAACGCTCACCTGAACGGCACCCGCTGCCTCGTCCATTCTTCCCTGGCCAGTCGTGAAGACGACAAGAAGATGCCAGCTTGAAGGTGACAGGAACACCTGTCCACCACCTTGTCAACTCTACTCGATGAAGATGAGGCAAGAGATTGCGAAATTTGACAGGACCTCCACCAAAGCCCTCCATCCTGGTCGACAGATTCCAACCAACCGCGGCTGCGGTTTCTTCAGAGACAATACTGCGTTAGGTGGGAAGGAGGAGATACCGCAGCGAAGTCGATGGCTCAGACTCGTCTTCGATGAAACGACGACGACTCTGGTAGCATCAACCGGTTCGCTGTCAAGCAGCCGAAATCCCCGTTTCGGCATTTTGGCTGATCGCATCCCCTGAGTTGGCCAGTGTGTTCTGTTCCATACGAAGGGTCGTCTAGGATGCTCCCCGTAATGGGCTGATTGAATTACTTTTGGCACTCGAAGAGTCCAAGATCTTGGAGTGATTGTACGAGCCCGAGATGCATTGACTGCCAATACAAGTTCAAAGTTGTCGCCAACAGCCAAGACGACACTTCAAGGAGAAACCGGCAAGTGCAACATTCCACTTGGACGGTTCGGCACCACCGTTGAACGGACTGGCAGCGATCTGCTTCCGGCCAATCAGTCCAACGACTTCGAATTGTACCTGGCAGCACCTAACTCAAACCAAACAACACCCCATCCCTCAAGCAAGGTGGTGTCTGAAAAAGTTCGTACCACGTTGTCTACATCACACTCTGGCAGGGATGACCGTGTATGAGATGCTGGAGATCGGCAAGGCCGGTTCACTCGGCTTGTTGCTTCCTATAAACACCACCCGCGGTGTTTCGAACGACAATGGCTCTTGAGTATTAAAGGTCCCTTACCGGCACATCCTCCGCGCGCAATGCTGTTTCATCCACAAGAAGGGCATCATCATCGCGAGCATTGCCTTCACTGCAACACAATCGTTGTGAGTGAGCCCAGAACACTCAGCCCTTGTGTGCCTGGCAGCTAATCTCGCACGAAAAGTTACGTGCCTAGACAGCATACGATATCCCGGTTGAACGACTTGGCCTATAAAGACGGAGACAGGTACACCTGCGAAGCAGAGTAGCTCATCTTGAACTGCCCAGGTTCTTCTCACCATTGGATGACTTGGCCACATTGTTGAAAAGACGAATTGCCGCACTTGATTACCTCAACTTATTCTTTCCTCCGCCCGACGGCTTACTGGGCGCCCAACATGCGCGCAGCAACTCTTCTCGCCCTCTTGGGCGTAGCAACCGCTCATTTGATGGAATTCCTACGAGATGTGCCTGATGGGTGGAAGGAAGTTGGTCGACCACTTCCAGAGGAACGACTCCTGCTACGGATAGCAATGACTTCGCCAAACCAAGGTCTGTTTGAGCAAACACTGATCGATATCTCAACACCTAGGAACGCCAAGTACGGCAAGCACATGAAACGCGATGAACTCAAGCTCATGATGAGGCCCACTTCCGAGGCAACTGCGTCAGTGATTAACTGGCTGTTTCAATCTGGTGTTAGCCGAGACGCTGTTGCTGATGATGGCGAATGGATCAACTTTGTCACACCTGTCGAACTCGCAGAGAAGTTACTGGATACGACGTTTGCGCTGTATGAGAACCAGCGTGGGGACAGGAAGGTCCGTACGTTGGAGTACTCGGTGCCTTCAGAACTTCACCAGTACGTATGGCAAGACATATAGTGTTCAAACACAACTAATAATCCCCAGTTGCATCGATATGATCCAACCAACAACCCGCTTTGGAGAGACACGAGCACAGAGGAGCCAAGTCCTGGACGTCAAAGTCCTCGGAGCCGCACCTTTCTACACGAAGCCATCTCAGTCTGGAGCAGGGACTTCGCAATCTCAATCTCAGTCGCAGTCTGGAGCCGGATCATCGCAGTCACAATCGCAGTCACAAGCTGCAGCAGGCTCCAACTCTGCTGCCGGTGGCACACTTGGTCCCGCCGCTGGCGATAATGGCTGCAATGGTGAAGTCACACCTGCCTGTCTTCGTTCTCTGTACAACGTTCCAAATCATGTTCAACTCGACAACGGCTCGTGCGGTTTCATGGCCTTTGCGAACTTCCTGGAGCAGTATCCTCGATTTGCTGATCTCTTGGAATTCCAGGAAGAGTACTTCCCCGCCGCGTATGGTACAAACTTCTCCACGGAAAACATTGCTGGTGGCCTCCACGACCAGAACTCTCCCGAGGATAGCACAGAAGGCAACCTTGATGCTCAGTATCTTCAAGCTCTCGGCTTCCCTGTCAATATGCACTCTTTCTCCACAGCCGGCAGAGGACCATTGGTTCCAGACCTTTCGCAACCTAACGAGAGCACGAATGAGCCATATCTGGACTTCCTGAACTACGTGCTTGCCCAACCGGATGAGGAGTTACCTCACACACTAGCCATTTCGTACGGCGAAAACGAACAGTCGGTGCCAGAACAGTTCCGCAAGACTGTCTGCAGCTTGTTTGGCCAGCTCGGTGCGCGTGGTGTTTCGATCCTGTTTGCATCTGGAGATACTGGGGTCGGTAGTGGCTGCCTCACTAATGACGGCCGCAACCACACGAAGTTCCTGCCAATCTTTCCTGCATCCTGCCCCTACGTTACCGCTGTCGGAGGAACAACTGGCAGTAATCCTGAAACGGCTGTCACCTTTTCCTCAGGCGGGTTCTCCGACACCTGGCAACGACCAGCCTACCAAGAGAAAGCCGTCACTGAGTACCTGGCTCAGCTCGGCACGACCAACAGCGGACTGTTCAACAGAGGTGGACGCGCGATGCCAGATGTGGCTGCACAAGGCTTCCAATTCCATGTCATCGACAAAGGTGAAGATAAGCTCATCAGCGGGACATCTGCCTCTGCACCAGTCTTCGCCGGCATCATTGCCTTGATCAACGCCCAGCTCGTCCAGTCCGGCAAATCACCCCTAGGCTTCCTCAACCCCTGGATTTACAGCGAGGCCTACCAAGCACTAAACGACATCACTAACGGTGGTTCATCGGGCTGCGATGGCACTGATCAGTACTCTGGTCTAGCCACGCCAGTCATTCCGGATGCTTCATGGCAAGCGGTGCCCGGTTGGGACACTGTGACCGGCTGGGGAACGCCCGATTATGAGAAGTTGTTGGCGTTGGCGTTGAAGAAGTGAGCGGGCTTCCATCTCGTAATGTCTCTTTACCTAGTTAGTTTCGAAGCGGTATTTCTACATGAATGTTATGGATTTTCACATGTGATGCCACCTAATAGCCCCACATGTGACACAAATGGACAGATGAATGAAAGAGATGACGCTCATGTCGACTGAGAGTGGTGGGATGTGAGTCAGTCGGCGGGGATCGGGAGGGAGCGTCACGCGGGTGTGGATTTCGAGAGCGTCGTTTGGTCCACGGCTTGACAATAGCCACTACAATACCAACGCGACCACTCACCAAATATCTTCCTCTACCCACTCCATATTTTTCTAATGGAATCGGCCGTTCTGCACAGCTTTCATCTCTCACGAAATTCGCACCCGCCCATACAGTAATCAACACCATCGTCGCTGCCTGGCTGCAGCCGAACAACACCAACCCACACGAGAGGCGAAAAGGCGCAGAGCCTCGCCAACCGAACGAACCTATAATCCAATACCTCAACGGGCACTATGCACGACTTGAGAAAACAAGCGCTCCTGGAGAGCGGCAAGACCGTCTCGCGCAAGGCTCGCTCCAAAGAAACCACACCGCCTACGAGCAGGAATATCAGCCGCGGCAACTCCGCTGTCCCGTCACCACGCGGTTCTCGTGTGGGCAGCAGACAGGGCTCAGACGACGAAGGCGACTTCAGCGACGATACGGAATGGAGCACCAACAGCATTGACGCACTCGTCGCGCCTGGCGAGCTTGACGGCGATGGAGCAGGTGACGCTTGGATCGCTGACCTGGAGGATCGCATCAACGCCATTACCGATCGAAAGAGGAGCTCGACAGAGGGTAGAGAACAGCAGATGAGCGCATTCATCGCGGCCTTAACGCGACACTTTGCGCGTGAGGAGCTGAGACCTAAAGTTGAGGAGCTTTTGCCGGCGCTTCTGAAGTGCGTGAAGAGTGGTCAGTCGGAGAGGGAGATCATCTTGGCTTTGAAGGCACTCGCGATGATTCTGATCACGGAGCCGTCTGAGACAATCTACGATGCTGTGGAGGGCCCGATCAAGACCACGATCAACGATTCTGAGCACCCGGCTGCTAAGGTGGCTGCCATACACGCACTCAGCATAGCGACATTCTACGGCGGGGCGTCGCTGGACGAGACTCAAGAGGTGATGGACTTCTATCTGGATATTGCATCGACAGACGGGGCTGTAATTGATGAAGCAGACAATGGCAATATCGTGGTGGCAGCGCTCGAAGAGTGGGGCTTCCTGGCGACTCAGCTCGACGACGTGGAGGACTTGACAGAAGCGGCAATGGACACTTTCGTCGATCAGCTTGAGTCCAGCGACGTGGGTGTGCAGATTGCAGCAGGCGACAACATTGCGTTGCTCTACGAAAAGAGCTACACCGAGGCGGAGTCAGACGATGAGCCAGAAGACGCAGATGAAGAAGACGAGGGCGGAAACCGCATGGTGAAGCGCTACACTGTCTACCGCCAAACGCACCAACTTCAGCAAATATTGGAGAGACTCGCCAAAGCGTCATCCAAGAGGATTTCCAAGAAAGACCGGAAGCACCTACACCTGGAGTTCAACGACATTCTCGGCACAATCGAAAAGCCAACCCGTGGCCCGCGCTATAGCACAGCTCTGGACATCGAGGGCCGCGAGTTGGGCTCGAGAATGAAGATCAACATTGCTGGAGGTGGCAAGATGACTATCGACAAGTGGTGGAAACTGCATCGGTTGAACGGATTGAAGCGTCTGCTCCAGAGCGGCTTCATGGTGCATTACGAGTTCAATCAGACAGTCTTCGACAGCCTTCCCGTTATCGTGGAGGATGACTAGACGATTGCTGGACGAGAAGAACGCAGGAATGGCATACGAACACAGGTGTACTTTGAGCGAATGAGACTAATGAATGAGGCATGAGCGATGACTGAGCGATGAGTACACAAAAACGCATGGGCCATATCCATCCTTCGATAGAGTAGGAGCACGGAAAAACTTCCTCTTTACCTGACGACTTCGATCTTTACGCTTGATTTGATCCGACTTCGCCGTCCTACTGATCTGCTACATGCCTTCTCATTCCGGGGTCACATTGACAAGCTCTTCCTCTCTGCCCAGCTTCACCTTGAGCTCAACAAAAGCGTAAACACCTTGTGTGGAACCTTTACATCAGCGACCCTACAGGTTACCCCGCCAGGAGAAGCAGTTTGACATATTTCTCGTTCCCGTCCTCATCCGTGAATTCTTTTCTCCTTCTCAACTTTCACGTATCTCTTCTGAGTCACATCCTGCAACGAACACCCAACATCGTCCAACTCACCAACCAACAAACACCTGGTACGACAACGACCACAATGGAAGGCTTCTCAGCGGCAGAACAGATGCTCTATCAAGGTACCCAACCAACACTATCTGCAAAACCAACGTTTGCATGGCGGGTGTTCACTTGCTTCCCATGCCCTCTTTTGCAAGAGGGCGAGCATTTGAGCTGAGATAATACCGTTGGAACCTGATCAGAGTTCATACCTGCGCAGGGACTATGCCTTTCTCCCCTTCTAATCCCCCTCTTCCCCTTTCTCCTCTTGATGGAAGGGGTGTAGAGTTGTGTATTGACTTCTGCAGCGTCATCATCATGTCGACGGACAAGATTACGTTCTTGACCAACTGGTGGGGCTTGTCGACATCCTTTCTAGTGTCATTGAAAAGTGTGTAGGGGCTAACGTTAGGATTTTGAAGGCACGCCACGCCGTACCATGCCCCATTGTACCTCGCTCAGGCGAAGGGGTATTTCAAGGAAGAAGGGATCCAGGTGGCGATTTTGGAGCCGAATGATCCTAGTGTATGCTTTGAGAAGGACATTTGATGAGGAATAATGGCTAATTGAGGTTGTGATAGGATGTGACTGAAATCATTGGGTCTCAGAAGGTCGATATGGGGTTCAAGGCTATGATCCACACCTTGGCTGTAAGCCTCCTCGAGTCTTGTGTCCATGAGGAACATATCTGAGAAGAACATTTCCTGACATGCCACCAGGCCAAAGCCCGCAACTTCCCCATCCAATCCATCGGCTCCCTCCTCGATGAGCCCTTCACCGGCGTCGTCTACCTCAAGGACTCGGGCATCACCCCCGACTTCCGCACCCTCAAAGGCAAACGCATCGGCTACGTTGGCGAGTTCGGCAAGATACAAATCGACGAGTTGACTTCCCATTATGGTATGTCCCCCTCGGACTACACCGCCATCCGCTGCGGCATGAACGTCTCCAAGGCCATCATCAAGGGCGAGATCGACGCGGGCATCGGCTTGGAGAACGTGCAAATGGTAGAGCTTGGGGAATGGCTCTCCTCGCAGAACCGCCCCAAGGATGACGTGCAGATGCTCCGCATCGATGAACTTGCAGAATTAGGGTGTTGTTGTTTCTGCTCCATTCTCTACATCGGCAACGAGGCCTTCCTCGAGGCTCATCCCGAGAAAGTCCGCGCATTCATGCGTGCCGTGAAGAAAGCCACAGACTTCGTCTTGAACGATCCAGAAGCCGCATGGGCCGAGTACGTCGACTTCAAACCCGTCATGGGCACAGAACTCAACCGCGAGATCTTCGAGCGGTCGTTCGCGTACTTCTCCAAGGATCTCCGGAACGTTCAGCGGGACTGGGAGAAGGTGACCAAGTACGGGAAGCGTCTGGGTGTGCTTGACGCGGATTTCACGCCGAACTATACGAACCAATTTCTGGAGTGGGCTGGCGAGGGCGAGCAGGTTGATCCGACCGGCGATCAGAAGAAGATGGTGGAGTTGCAGAAGGAGGTTGCAGAGAAGGGTGGGTTTAAGAGGTTGGATGTTGAGAGGGCTGTTGCTGCTTCTGCTTGAAGACTGCAAGGGCTTGTTTTCTGACCCGATGGCCTCGAATGGTCTATTCAACTTGGCTTACAGTTTGTCTGGAAGTATTGAAGCAACAAGGGATTTGATGTGATGATGTGATGGCTTTAGCTTGCAAGGCACACTTCCATTCGTTTTATTTGATATGTACAAGCCTTAAAGCAAAGCTCCAACAACAACACACATACATGCTTCGCACACTTCCTGTTGAAAGGTCGGGTATAGACTTGTTTTTCTCCTTTGGACAGCTATGCCACCCACGCCACCTCGAAAAATGCTCATCACAAACTCAACTCGAACCAAACCCTGGTGTTGAATCACCACACCCAATCCCTCTCCACAATCTCAAAAACACCCCGCTATATCTTCCCATCCCTCTCCGCCGCCAATCTCAAAATATGCTCATTGAAGAACCACCTCCCCAAATCCTTGCGCTCAATCTCCTTACTGCCCTTCACCTCCGCTAGACAAACCCCCTTCGGCGCCCCACAAAGACACTCAAACCCCCGATCCATCTCCCACTCCGTGCTGGGATAAAAGAACGTCAACGCATCACCAGGTGCAATCCCCCGATCCCTCGCCACGCGCACTTCACCCGCCAAACCATGCGGTCCAACGCCGAGGATCTCGCCGTTGCGGTCCCCACCCGGTGGGGATTGCGGGTACTTCCCCGTCGTCGGGTCCGGGGAGAATGTATGCACCTCGAGGGAGGGCGCACAGGAGTGGTTCATGTATAAGAGGGCGGATTGGGGGTCTGTGTGCGTCGTGGCGGAGGTTTGGATTGTTTTCCAGATCGGCGAGGGTTGGGGTTCGTGAGAGGTTATGTAGGCGAAGTGGGCTCCTGCCGGGAGGGAGACTTTGGAGACGACGCAGAGGCCTGCCGGGGTGTGGACGAAGGCGACGAGGTTTTGGAGGGAGTTGATGGTGAGGGGGTAGGCGGATTCTTTGGAGTGGAGGGCGGTTACGTCTTCATTGCTGGTGGTGGTTTGGGTGGTTGTTTGTGTCATGGTTGGGGGTGTAGGTTGTGAGTTTTTCGTTCTTTAGATGGGGGAAGATTAGGGAAAGACAGTGAATTTCTTAGAGAAAGAAAAGAAAAAGGTACACAAGATTTCTCGAGATTCAGATCTTTGTGCAACCGAGCTCAAAGATGCCCCAGCCGGCAGCCATTGGCTCGTACCTTACCTGACCTGGAGAGAGCAGAGCAGCAGCAGAGATCCAGATCGCCGTGGTACGTGGGGTTCAACACATGCAGCAGCGAAATGTAGACAGCATGGGCAGCAGGGACCTCCCTCCGATTGACCGAGCGGGTAAAAAGAGCAGACAAGTCCCTTCTTCTCCACGGCAATTGCCAGCAGGTGCATGTGATGCTGGGTTTAAAGTTCTTCCTAACATCTGCAGGAAAGCGTGGGAGGGCTGGCTTGGCAAAGAGAGAGACCGAGTTCTTCCGCAGACTGGCACTGTGCCGTCGAGGATAGGCGAGGCTATGGTGCTGCTGAGGAGGGAATTGCTCATCGGCCGGGAGCTGTGGTGCTTTTCTTTGACGTTCTAAGATCTGCCATTGTGGGCCTTTTGCGGGAAGCTGGACTGGAGCTTGCTTGTGGACGGGGGTGATGGTGGTGAGGGTCAATGGAAGGACTGGACATTTCTTTTGCGTGGATAGTGATGAGCTTGATATATGTGGTTCTCGTGTACTCCAGCAAGGTGTTCTCTACTCTTTTCGTGCTCGAGTTGTGGCTGTTGAAAATGTGCCAGCAGCGAGGTGTCTTCCTGAAGTGGTCTATGCTTTTGCAGGGATGTGCTTTGCCGAGGCTTTAGCTACCCACGGCATTCACTTCACCTCGTCGTGAGATGAATTTACGACCTCCTTAGATCCGACTGATTTTCGATGATTGACGTCTTTTCTGTCAATTTCTTGGATTCATCGAAGACTATAGATGCCCCCGATGACGTGCGCAGTCTCTCAATTGCGCAGAATCATGTCTCGTCATCCCAACGTCAAAAGCGTCTACTCCTCTCACCAAGTCCCGCTGCCGTCCAAAGACTTCAACTCACTTCTTGCCTCCAATTATCATCACCATCGCTCACTTCCCCTTCGTTCCACCACTCTGTCGTCTCTTCGCAGCCCCAGCAGCATTCGGCTTCGCATCCTCTTCGTCCTTCCGCCCCTTGCGCGTCTTGCGAGGGCTGGCGTTCATCTTCCGCACGCCGCTCAGGACAGCATTGCCCACGAGGTCTTTGAGCTCTTGCCCACCAACTCTGCCTTTCTTGACTGTAGGTGTACCGGCGGCGGACTCAGCACTGGGGGATTTGCCGCGCTTGGTACCGGCCGTTGGGCCCTCTGTTGCTTTTGCCTTTGCCTTTCCCTTGCCCTTGGCCGGCTTCTTCTTTGGTGATGGCGTGGTGCTCTTTGGTTTTTGCGGACTGTCCTCGCGCAGTGCGTCGAAGTTCCAGTTAGGAGGCTCGTCGGGGTCGTCGTCGGGTATGGCGGTCTCGAGAGTGATTTCGTCTCCGTCGATCATGACAACCTCTTCCGGTTCCGGCCTCTTCTTCTTCTTGCTGTCCACCTTCTTTGCTTTTCCTGATGTTTTAGACGCCGCCATGATGATGACTTGAGGTGAGGTCTTCGGAATTGGAGGGGACGACTTCTTCTCAATTGAGACGTCGGTGAGGGACGAGTCGCTCTCTTCGACGGCTTTGGTTTGCTGGGACTTGTTGATTTGATTCACACGTGATTGTTGGCTTGTTCCGATGTTGTCCTTCACGTGGGCCACCTCAGGCTTCACGAGATCCGTATCCGAGTCACCGGGTCTCTGTTTCTTGATTGATGGTTTCTCCGTGTTCGCGCCTACCGCATAAGTCTTGTCGAGCAATGACAAAGGCACCTCTGGGGAACTCGACTCGTGGCGGCGCTTTGCGTGTGGCTTGACGTTGGGTAGAGGCTGTGAAGTTGAATCAGTCAACGCACGAGCTCCTGTGACAGTGTCTGCGTCTTCTGCCGGTCGTTGCGTGCCGTCGGTCTTTTGCGGAGACAAGTTTTTGAAGCTCCACGACTACAGAGAGTGGTCAGCTGAGTTGTTAAAAGTGATCAACATTAGACTCACCTTTGCAGCGTCAGGGAACTCATCATCTGAACTCGTCTGTGGTAGAGGGATATCACGCATTTGAATCGCATCGTCGTAGAGGTTAGCATCGCTTACCTTCTCGTCGCCGCTATGGACATTAAGACCCAGAGAAGACCTCAAGAACGGTACTGGAGTCGTAGGCAATGGTGAAGACTGTACATCCTCCTCATGGCGCATTTCAGCCTGCATCGTCGACTTATTTCCACTCGAGGGCGCTTCGGGAGATAGATGCTGTGGTACTATCTTGGAGATACTCGCGCCATTGTATTGAGGGAGCTCTGGCGAGTACGAAGGCTGCTCGTTCTGAAAGATCGAGGTCGCCGAAGGGCCTGGCGCAAGGAACCCGGGTGTTGCTGGTGGATGTGTCCCTGTGAATGGGTCCTCGACTTGCGTGGTAGAGAGTGCAACAACTTTCGGCAGCGATGCGTCTTCGGGTAGTGGACTAGGTTCTGGCAGTGGTGCGCTTTCAGGGGACGGAGCATTTTCAGGCAATGGAGCATCTGGTAGCTGTTCTAGATCTTTCATAAGCCCTGCAAACTCATCTTGAGCGTCTGGAACTGCTGTTTCCGCGTCGGGTGGTCGAGATGGTGCGATGGGAGGTACATCTTGGTCGGCCTGAGCAGGTGCTGCGTCTTCCAGCAGTGAATCGAGTTCGAGGGATGGAGCAGCTTCGGCGGATGGAGCGTGGTCTGGTGGTGGCGCGTCTTCAGGCAATGCGGCGTCCGGCAGCTGCTCTATATCTTCCATGAGGCCCGGGAACTCATCTTGAGGATCTGGCGCTGCTGCTTCTGCTTCCGTGGGCCGGGTTGGTGCTGTCGCCGGTACATGCTGGTCTGCCTCAGCAGTCGGTGCCCTCTCTGGGCTGCCATAGAAGTCATCGAACTGCACATCGTCGTCAGCTCCTGTGATCCCAAAGGCTTGAACGCGAAATACTCACGATTGCAAATGCCTGCTCGTGTGTCAGCTCTACGAAGCCATTCTCGTCGAAGTCAAGCTCCATGGTTCGTCGGCGGCGACGTAGTGCGGAGGCGGTAGATGATGCGACAGTTTCCAAAGTTGAGGTAGTCGGCGAAAGCTCGCTGTGCGTGGTCGTCCACCAGAGCTTAGACCGGGTTCGATCTCCTTCAAAAGGAAGGGCGTTTGCCAGGTTAGAGAATCATAAAAGAGACCACAATAAAGGAAGAACAAGACATGCAGTAAGTGCGTGTAGCTGCATAATTGCATAGTCTTTCACTAGATGTGATCTTTTATCACACAAAAGCAAACGGAAAGCGGAATCGCACACACGTGAAAGTAGTGCAAACGAGTGAATAGCTGGCCGGACAAATTAGGAAGGAACCCACGTTTCAAAGCCTGTCAAAAAGCTGTTCTGTCGGAAGCGTCATCACTTCCTAATCAATTCCTCCATGTATTATCTCGTGACATTTCGAGAGAGCGAAGCTCTCACTGTGTCCGTGTCGCAGCCCATCTACATGTATCCGTGTCCCTCTTAATCAAACATCTCCGTCTCTTGACGGACAACCGATCCGTATTCGTCGTGTCCACCATTAGGCTATACTGTAGCTGTTCTGTAATCGCGGCCGTTCAATGTTCGTGGTAGGAGTTGAGAGACTCGGAAGGGTGCTAAAAGGGTATCGCGTTTCCTATCCTCATCGACGTATCGGCCGGCGCGCCCAGCATTTCTGTAAAGGTCAGCATACAGTCGCAACGTGTAGAGATGTTCCTCATACTCTTTCCAGCCTCTGTCGCGCAGCAACAGCACAAGATCGCAGCAGGCCAGCAGATGATCTACACCCTATCAGCGCATGCCATCTTGATAGAGACGGCTCGTCTTACTGCCATGACAATGCCAATGATGAACCCAAGCGTTGGGCCAACAACCTTGACGTGGCACGGGTTCTGATCAGTTCCGCATTGGATGCAAATGGGGAGCGGGATTCCAAAGCCGCAGTCTGCCATTGTCGATTGTGATGATGCTCAATGGGTGATGGATAGCTTCAGGTTTGAACTTCGTGTGAATTGAGATGGAGCTGTTGAAGATTTACGATTAAACAGAGAATCTCGAAGGAAGAAGAAAAGATCCCAGACGATGCCGCGGAAGCCACAGGCTCGGGCACGTTGTTCTTGCTTCACTCTGATCGTAGATCTGCCATCGCGGCTATCGTGAGAGACGTTGCTCTTGCTGCCAAGCTTTCGAGCTTATTGCTTGCTGGCCGCGCTAGCGTGGTCCAATGACGCCATCGTTCCGCTTAGCTGGAACGCGGTATCCCAGTTTCTCGCGTTTATTGCCGGTACGAAAATCTCACCTCAGAGCCTCACTACCACATGCCCGCTATGCCTGCTATGGCTTTGTCATTACGCTACCTATGCAGACGGGCTGTGAGACGACACATAGGGGATGCAAACATTCTGGGAACGTCCGGCGAGACTGCGAAATCCGTCGCAGTGAAGACGTCGAGCCTGTACACAAGGACCGACTCCATGTCCCTGCCCATATCAATGGCCACAACGAACACAGACAAGGAGATAGAGGGGACGGCCGGTGCCCGGAGAGGAGCGTTTCAAGGAGAAGTACAGAGACTACTGGAAAGGAGAGCCAACATCCTCACAAGGGCAGCGAACACGTCCTTTTGAGACATCTTCAGGACCGCAGGAAACATCCTTGTAACTGCACCACTGGAGTGAAGACGAACTTGGGCGCTGCTACACCCTGATATGAATGGCAGGCACGGGGTCCTCTCTCGTCTTCAAACCCCGACAGCTGAGTGCTCGAGCACGTTTAGTATGTGACAGCATACGGGCGTTACAATCCATCCACCGGAGCAGATGACATCGCACTCGAGTTGAGCATCCTTCAATTGCCTAGACACCAGATATCGCAAAGGACATCCATGCGCGCGAGGCTCGGCCGAGCAGGAATGTGGATTGAATCCATATACTGCCCTCGACCAGTTGCGGACGTATGGGAGAGGCAACGTAAGTGCCTCCTTTATAATCTTTAATTCCTCGCTTTGTAAAGCAGATGCCATCCATCCGCTGTTTACTCTCGCGTTGCGCAGTTACCAGCGGTTGGCCAAGATGATGAGTGATCACTATTCACTCTGAACACCACTAGCGCATATCAGTGCCCCACCCGTTGATGCGGCTCGCAGCAGTAACCTCCTTCGCTCGAACAGATACTACGCGCGAGTTTCGTCCGCATGGCGTCCATATGGCGATAGTGCAACTCTCGCCCGTAACCAGCGTGGCCGTTGAGATTCGCCATACCGAGGGCGCATTAGCTAAGTGAACATGGGTCACTCCTATCTTGCTTGACGCAGATGGGAAACGCTATGCAATGTACTTGCGGCAGGGCGTTGGCGCCATGCGGAGGCCACAGTAGCCCAACGTGGCGCTCTGGTATAGTTTAAGTAGGTACTCTGGTCGCACATGGTTCCACTACAGCTCGCTTGTTCTGTACATCCAACCCAGTACTTTAACAACACCGATAAGATGTCTCACGAGCCAGGCGAAACGAGTTCACCACTCGAGAAGCTGGAGAAGATCGACACCGCCACTTCGCAGAAGCCTGCCGAACTCGTCCCTGATGTAGAGTCGATACTAGAAGCCATCGAAGTGGGAAGCGCCGACGATGGCGAGCCAGACGAGAAGCAAAACAACAAGGATCTTGAGAAGGCTCCCACTCGAGCCAGCAGAGCGAGTAGTAAGAAGAGCCGCAGATCTGTAACGACTGCTCAGGACTGGGATGGACCTGATGATCCTGAGAACCCATACAACTGGTCGACGTGGAAGAAGATGCGCCACTTCTGGCCAACGGCATTCCTTGCATTCGCGGTCACGGTTGGGTCGTCCTTGATCTCCCCTGCGAACCAGGCTCTTCAGGAGGCCTTCCACGTCTCCAGGACTGCTGCAATCGTGCCATTGACAGTCTTTGTCGTGGGCTTGGGCCTAGGACCTCTTATTGCAGCTCCATTGAGCGAGTACGTCCTACTTTCTGTGAGGTTTGGCTCGACTTGTGCTAATAATTCTTAGGATGTACGGTCGAACGATCGTGTACAAGATCACAGCTCCTATCTACATCCTCTTCCTCGCCGGCGCTGGTGAATCGAAGACCTTCGGCAGCTTGGTCGTTTGCCGGTTTCTAGCCGGTGTGGCAGGCGCCCCAGTGCTCGCTGTTGGAGCAGGAACGAACGCAGACATGTTTCTTCCGCGAAACCGTGCCCCCGCGACTAGTACTTTCATCATGATGCCGTTCCTTGGTCCATCAATGGGTCCCTTGATCGTAAGGCAGACCATGTTAGTCTATACTCTAACCTCATGCTGATGTATAATACTTAGGGCGGCTTCGCAGTCTACTTCAAGAACTGGCAGTGGACAGTCTGGGCCAACATCATCATCGCCGGCTTTGCATTTCTGACCTGCCTGCCAATGAGCGAGACGTACAAGAAGATCGTCCTCCAAAAACGAGCCAAGAGACACGGCCTGCCTCCACCGCCAGGACCCAACGCCAGGACTTGGAAATACTGGAAGACGCTGTTCAGCACGACCCTGATTAGACCTGGCCACATGCTTTTCACTGAACCCATAGTGATTCTCTTCGCCATATATAACGCATTCACCTTCTGCGTGCAGTTCGCATTCTTCCCGGCTTTCCCACTTGTGTTTGGAGGAGTCTATGGCTTCAATACCTGGCAGACTGGTCTCGCGTACTTGGGTCTCGGAATCGGCGTGCTTCTTGCCGCTTTAACAGCCATGCTCACCGACCGATTCATCTACCGCAAGAAACACGCGAAAGCCCAGGCGGAAGGGAAAGGCCAAGTAGCGCCTGAAGAGCGTCTCTGGGCTGGCATGCTCGGCGCCGTCGGACTGCCAATTGGGTGAGTGAGCATATCACTGCCACGAAAATGCCATACTAACATCAGCAACAGCCTCTTCTGGTTCGCCTGGACCGCCCGCAGCGACGTCCACTGGATCTCGCCCATCCTCGCCGGCATCCCCTTCGCTTGGGGCAATCTCGCGCTCTTCCTCTCTGCGTCCATGTACCAGATCGACGTCTACGGGCCCCTCAATGGCGCTTCGGCGATGGCAGCCAACGGCCTCCTTCGATACGTCCTTGGAGGATGTTTCCCGCTGTGGACAGTGCAGATGTACGAGGCTATGGGCATCGGGTGGGCGACGTCTTTGCTGGGGTTCATCTGTGTGCTGCTTCTTCCTATACCGTATGTGTTCTATAAATTTGGGCCGGGGATCAGGAAGAGTAGTCGGTATAGTGTGTTTAAGAACTGATACGACAGAGACATGCTCCGAGGACTACGTAACAAGATGGTCGCATAGTATGAATGTAATATTTAACTTTAAAGCCTTGATTCTCTCGGAGCACCCAAGTTTTGAGATAGCAATACCCGCCGAATCTCCTTCCACGCCACGAACGTCAAGTGGATCTTCCCATAATCAAGCGGCTTCGACTGCGACCCCGACCTCGCCACCACGATATCATTCACAGGATCCACAAACAGCATCTGCCCATGAATCCCCACGGAAAAGACCACCGACGTCGGTTCGTCGTGGAACCAGCACGATCGATACGCCAGACCTTCGAATTCCCCCCCGAACACAGAGCTCCGGCCACTTGCTCTTGGCGAACGCCTCCTTGTCGCCCTTGGTCATGTCCCGCAACCACTCGCGAGATACGATGCCCCTGCCTCCATCGGCGACCAGCTGGCCTACGCGAGCGATGTCTCTGAGAGTGGCGCATAATCCGGACGCGGCGCGAGTGTTGCCGCTCTCGTCGATGGTCATCAGGGCATCGCTTTCGGCGCCCATCGGTTGCCAGAATAGTTCTTGGAGCAGCTGGGCGATGGTCTTGCCGTGGCCTATGGCTCGTTCCATCACCCACCCCAAAATCTCTGTGTTGACACCGGTGAACTCGAAGCGCTCATCCTCCACCCTCTCTGGTCCAAACTTCGACAGGAAATCTCGAACGTTCCGAAAAGGCTTCCCCTCGTACCGTTTCCAACCCGCAGCATACTGATACACCGGATCGTTATCGTTATACACCACCCCCGACCGCATGTCCAGCAACTGTCGAATCATGACGTTGCGAAACGCTTGGGATACCTCTGGGACGTGCTTCGTGACCAAATCGGCCGGATCCAGCTCGCCGCGATCCACCAGGATGCCCGCGAGGAGGCCCATGACGGACTTGGTCACAGACATCATGATGTTTTTTGAAGTTGCGGAACCTCCGTTGGCGTATTTCTCGTAGACGATCTTGCCTTGCTTCAGGACGATCAGGCCGTCGGTGGAGGAAGTCTTTATGTACGCTGATAGGTCGAGGATGTCGTTGTCGACTCGGATGTGGAAGGACGTTTCCAAGGGTAGTGGGGCGCTGGGGAGTGGGTGAGGTGTTGTGGATCGTTGGATTGTTCGTGTCTTGAGGACTTTGTCGACGTTGATGAAGCTCCATTGGTTGTGTGGGTATACGCGCCAGTTGGAAAGATTTGCCATGATTTGTTAGTAGTCTGGTCAGAGTATCAACTGCAGGACATCTTCTACACTTATGTCAACGCTCGGCGCACTCCTTCGTCGAGGCCTGCGGTTTGGCCTTCAACACATGCGGAAGCTGAAGGTGACCGATGTGGGTGAAGCCATCACCGTTGCTCCAATCTGAAAGGCGTATCCACCGAGATGTACATGCCGGATGAGCCCAAGGCAATGGAAGTATGCGAGATTTCCGAGAATCCTGAAGCCGACAAAGGCTGAGCTCGTGCATATACCGTCAGCAGGGATGCGCAAGTACCATTGCCCTCCAAGTCGAACAAGGTATTGCTTTCACGGCGATTGTAAATTCTTCCAGGCGTACATACTAATAATGTTGTCCGCTTCCGAGTTGTGCGAGCTTTTGACAGCTACTGTCGACACCACGTTGCCGTACTCCGACCATGGAAGATCCTGACGCTCAAGACCAGAGCGTAACAATACCACCTGTTACAGACATTACAACGACAACAACGAAGATGCTGTTAGAGTCGTCCTCAAGCCCGGAGGTGTCGAACGAAGTGAAGCACATTGAAGATAGCACCCTCCACGATGCACCTGTCCCTATCCCTTCAGACTCGTCATTCCCAGAAGGAGGCGCAAAGGCATGGACCGTCGCGACCGGAAACGCAGTGACATTGCTCTGCACATGGGGATACCTCTACGCCTTTGGGTGCGTCGTGGTCCAACCAATCGAACGCATCTGCAGATTCTAACCCCCACACAGCGTATACCAGACCTACTACGAAACCCACCAACTACGAGACCATTCGCCGTCGACAATCGCTTGGATCGGTTCGCTCCAATTCTTCTTCATGTGCCAAGGCACATTGGGAGGGGGACCGATTTTCGATCGCTTCGGCGGAGCGACGATCCTGCCGGTAACGGTTGTGTATGTGTTTGCGATTATGATGACGAGTCTGTGCAAGACGCTGTGGCAGTTCATTTTGGTATGTTAGTGGAGGTGCACTGTGCGGCGATGTGCTGATTTCTTGGGGAAGGCGCAAGGTCTGCTCCAGGGCGTATCGCTGGGCTTGATGCTTGGCCTGTCAAGCGCTGCGACTCCGCAGTATTTTCGAAAGAGAAGGGGCGCCGGTGAGACAACTTCGAGAGCCAACTTCTGTTTTTGACAACAGCTCACAGCCTTGCCGCAGCAATGGGACTAGCCGTCACCGGCTCGAGTCTCGGCGGAGTCATCTTCCCAGCAGCCCTGGTCGCAATGCTCCAGCACCTCTCCTTCGGCTGGTCGGTCAGAGTATGCGGCTTCATCATCCTCGGATTAATGCTGCCTGCGAGCTTCGTCATACGTCCGCGACTGCCGTCAAGAAAGACCCAATTCTTCCTGTTCGCGGCTTTCAAGGACCGGCAGTACCAAATGTTGCTGTGTGCGATCTTTTGCCACTTCATGGCGACGTTTACACCGGTCTTTTATCTGTCCACTTTTGCTGAGCGGCATGGTATGGACCCCCAGTTGGCGAATTATCTTATTGTGAGTGGTTTCCAAGATAATGACCCCCCGATGGTTTCTGACAGTGGCCCTGTAGGCGATATTGAACGCCGCCAGCTGGCCAGGAAGGTTCTTTCCAGGCATCATAGGCGATAAGGTACACATCCTACGCAGTGAAGGCATTATCCTCGGCCTGTATGGCTGACGTGAATAGATTGGCACATTCATCCTCAATCGCAGGACCGTATACAAGCCGATCAATCAGATGCGAGATCTGGCGTGTCTTTTTGTCTCAATTCCACAGCCAACGTTCCTGTGCATTCCATGTAGTGTCTCATAAAGGATGAACACGACAGAGAGATGGATTCAGGAGTGCTGTAGTTAGCTCAGCGACTCCATTCTGGAATTGATGACATCCTATTCATTTATGCGGTCATTGATAACGATTTTGGTGTCACTATTTTGCGATTGATGTTAGAACAGTGCCCTTGACCAAGGAGGTGACGTTGGAGGCAAGTGTGGTCCGTGCTTCCACCGAGCCACCGTAACGAGAAGTCGTGTTACGAGAAACTCTCCTCTTCTCATCGTAATTAGCTTTTCCTCTCAGCACTCGAGTCAAAGAGATACTGGATCTATCCAATGGAAGAATGGCAAAGCCGACGCATACGGACAACTCTGACCACGTGTTGCATACCAAACTCTCTCTCACCCTCCGGAGGGAGTGAGTGGCGCCCATGACCTAGCCTGAATGGCCTTCCCTCCCCATACAACAGGACAGTACTTTAGCCAAATATCACCCAGGCTTAGAACGACAACGTCGCGCCGGATCAAACTACCAGACCCGGATCTTCCGCCCCCAGTTTGGCGCCAGGGCCCGAAAAATGGGCGGCGCTCGTGTCGAATTCACCCACATGCCGAACCCCACGTTGGCACTAGGGTCGCAGTTGCCCCTCCAGCGGGACGTGATGATTGCTGGATAAATTCTGGCAGGTGGCCCAAATGACCTGAGGGTGGGTCGTGGGTTATTCTGCCTTGCCTGTCTAACTGCCACACGTACACACCACAGTCGTTTCGAACGGTTCGTTAGTGCCGGGAAATTTCCCAGACAGCCTGCATAGAGTAGAGCACGGAGCGGAAGAGAGGGAAGGTCGTTGCTGATCTGTTGACTTTCGTTGCCGTATCGAGAGGAAGAGTATAAAGGGAAGACGTATCACGACCCATTGGGTAGGTTCCTTTTGCTTGTCTGTTCTTTTTCTCCTTCTTGTATACTTTGACTAATCTCATCATGAAGCTCAACGAAGTCACCAACATGTCGACCACCATAACCACCGTTGCGCCGTCCAAGGCCAACATTGGCGTGTACACCAACCCTGCCCACGATCTCTGGATAGCAGACGCTCTGCCCAAGCAAGAGGATGTCGAGAAGGGACAGGATCTAAAGGAGGGGGAGATCACGGTTGCGATCAAGAGCACGGGGATCTGTGGGTAAGAGGAACAAACCACACCTACCTGCAAACATCGTTGCTGATGTGAACGATATAGATCCGACGTGCACTTCTGGCACGCCGGCCGTATAGGCCCCATGATCGTCGAAGACACGCACATCCTCGGTCACGAATCCGCCGGCATCGTCGTCGCTAAACATCCCTCTGTCACAACCCACCAGATCGGCGACCGCGTCGCTGTCGAGCCCAACATCATCTGCGGCGAGTGCGAGCCCTGTTTGACAGGCAAATATAACGGCTGCGTCGACGTAAAGTTCCGCTCTACGCCGCCTATTCCAGGCTTGCTTCGCCGCTACGTGACCCATCCCGCGGTGTGGTGCCACAAGATTGGGGACATGAGCTACGAGGACGGAGCGCTATTGGAGCCTTTGAGCGTGGCGCTGGCGGGGATGCAGAGGGCGAATATTACGCTTGGAGATTCAGTACTCGTATGCGGCGCGGGACCCATCGGACTCGTAACTCTGGCTTGCGTGAAAGCCGCCGGCGCAGAACCGATCGTGATCACAGACATCGACGAAGGCCGACTTGCATTCGCCAAAGAGTTCTGCCCAAGCGTCCGAACACACAAAGTCGAATTCAGCGACTCCCCCGACCAGTTCGCGGAAAAGGTCGTCGCTCTCGCCGACGGCGTCGAACCCGCCGTCGTGATGGAATGCACAGGCGTGGAGTCCTCCATCTCAGGTGCCATCCACGCGGCCAAATTCGGTGGCAAAGTCTTCGTGATCGGCGTGGGTCGACCGGAGATCAAGATTCCTTTCATGAGGCTCAGCACAAGGGAGGTGGATCTGCAGTTTCAGTACCGGTATGCGAACACCTGGCCGCGGGCGATCAGGTTATTGAGGGGAGGCGTGATTGATCTGAGCAAGTTGGTGACGCATCGGTTTAAGTTGGAGGATGCGGTGGATGCGTTCAAGGTGGCGGCGGATCCCAAGCAAGGTGGCATTAAGGTTATGATACAGAGTATGGAGGAGGGGGAGAAGTAGAGGGAGCTTTTGGTGAGTTGGCATTTGATGGTTTGGAGCGTGGGAAGAGTAGTTTGGCATAGAGTATGAAATGCAATGCAACGCATCTCTTCGAGCATGGTGAAAATCGAGGAGAAGAGAGGAGAGCGGAAGAAATCTCAACTGAGGAAAACATAACCCCTTCCGTTCTACCTTGATGGACATGACCATGTTACACGCAAGAATATTGAAAGCCTACACTCACCAACGAACAAGAACGCTAATCTCCCCAAATCCCAAAGCTGGCTTGAAACAACCACATGTAAATTCAAATATCAAACATACCCCTAACAAAACAAGCCCACACAACTCCCGTGCCACTGCTCCCTCCATCCCCAAGCGGCACACACTTCACAACCAACCTCTCATCCTCCCACTTCACAGTCGTCGTGAATTCCTCCACATACCCTTCCCCACCATCCCCACCGCCATTTGTATGATTCTTCCTCTTATTCTTCTCAGCCTTCGCCACAGCCCCCACAACCCCCTCCCGAAAACCCCTCGCCGCCTCCCCCACGCCCACACCACCCTCCCCCTCCGCATACCAATCCTTCCACAACCTCTGCGAAACCCACGGAACCCTCACGCCCCTCGGCACACCATTCTCACGCCACGCCGTCGGCTGCAAAATCATAAAATCCAAATGCTGATCTTTGATACGCTCGAGGGTGGAGAGCAGCGTGTGCGTGGCCATGTGTGCGGTCGTGGGGGTGAGGGCGGTGGTGAAGTGGTGAAGGGCGGAGTCGATGAGGGCGTTGGTTTCGGAGGTGCGTTGGAGGTCGTCGGCGATGGCGATCCAGTCGATGGAGGGGGAGGAGAAGGGGGAGGGGGCGGTGGGGGAGGTGGTGCATTCGATGTTTGACAAGGGCGTCTTCGTGAAGGTGGCGAATTCTGCTAGGGCGGCTTTTTGGACGTTGGATGTGACGTCTTCAGAGGCGAGGAGGAGGTGCGTTTTGGTGCCGGTTTTGCGGTCGACGACTTGGTTGACGCATTGGAGGATAACGCGGCTGGGGGTGTTGCTTGAGCGGGGTTCTACGCGCAGGGTGCATTCGACGTCGACACCGTAGGGGACTTGGACGAAGGAGCAGGATCCTACGGGGAGGGGGTGCGTGGAGGAGACGTAGCGGATGGGGGAGCCGTGGATTTTGGGGTCGGCGAGGGCGATGCCGTTGAAGGAGGGGGCGGTGGTTGGTGTCGTGGTGGGTTTCTTTGCGGAGGGAATGCCTCGAGTGAAGGCTGCGTCGGGGGTATTTCTTCGCTCTTTGGAGGGCCGTTGGTCGCTTGCGAGGTGGTCGTTCGGGTGGGAGTAGAAGCTTGAGTACAGCGTGGACGCGGAGGTCAGAGTTGGGATCGAGACGGCAGAAAACGAAGACACCGTCTCATCATCAGGGATATCATCAACGTCCCACCAGTGTTTGCGGACATCTTTCTGAATCATCGGTGCCTTGGCAAGACCAGTGACAAGTTGGTCAAGCTGGTCAGGGGTAATCTTCAGCTTCTCCTTTTTCTTCGTGCGCAAGGACTGTATCCGCTTTGGGCCGACATATGTCTCGCTCGAAGGCCTGTTCGTTGTCGTTGATGCTGTCGGGGTAGTAGCCTCGTCGCCAGCCTCGCCATCAGGTAACGTAGGACTATTCTGCGGACTCGAAAGGAAGATCTTCGACTTGGTGTAGTCCGTGGGAGTGAAGTATATCTCCGACCCATCAGATCTCCTCCCTCGGCGCTTGGTGGAGGAAGTGGACTCGCCACTTGGGCTTCGAATATGGGCTGAGGCCTCAGGGTCGACGGCAACCTCTTCGGTCGGGCTCTCGTTCGTCGTTAACAAATCACGTGCAGGCATTTGGGCTTCATACTCCTTGGCTCTCTCCTTGACAGAGCTCTGACTGTCGTTCGACTTCGAGCTTCCAATCTCTGTCTTGTCCACAGGTGGTGTATATGCCACAGGCTGCAACAGCGGCACAGGCTCTTCTTCTTGCGGAGTCCTGGGCAATGAATCCGGAATGGCGGTGGTCGGACTGCTACCATTCCAAGACGCATGCCGGGAATGAGTAAAGATATCCGTTCCAGGCGAAGTGCCCTCCTGGATTCCGTCTGTTCGTAGAGAAGTCGGAGGCACCTGAACGCCCTTCTTGATTTCCGCCTTCCTCTTAATCCGACTCTTCTCCCTATTCGCATGATCCATAGCCTTGATCTCATCAAGGAATCTCTCTTCAGTCGGCACCCCCACCAACTGAGCGGTAGAGGCGACGGTATACTGTCCATTTGCCATATTTCGCTGCCGTGAACGTATGTCTCAAAAATGACGGATGTATCAAGCCTTCGTTCTTTATCCTCACCAGACACTGACCTGCAGCTCGTCTATACTGTCGTGTATTCGTACAAGAAACGCCGGTCTCAGACCTTGAGCGGAAGGTGAATGCTGATTGTGCGTGGAAGGTTAAGGTGTCGTCGGGAGGCATGGATGTGGTGGGTAGGCAGGGAATGAAAATCCCTCTCGCCATCGTGGGACAATGTTTTTTGTTCGCGTGAGTCGGTGGCGCATGGCGAAATGACCTGGTATGAAAGAGAGACAAGGCTGACAATGAAAAGAATAGTAACAGAGACAAAGGACGGATCCAGAATTGCGGGTTGCGAGTCAACGACAATGAAGACTTGGCGGGAACGAGCTTTTGGAAGTCGTCGTGACGTTGATGTGGTGGTTGATTGCAGTAGCTGATCATTAACTGACTGCGTCTTGCTCGAAGACCTAGTCATCGCAAGCGTAAGTCTCGTATCCCATAATGGATTGTGCTAGTTCATTGCCCCATCAAACCTGATGCGCCGTCGCTGCATGCACTAGCTGTACACAAAGCAAAGCAAAGACGATGATAAAGTCCTCCAGTTCCATTCCCTGTGGACCGCAAAGCTCCGCTCCGAATCTCTTACGATGGGTTCGAGAGCAAATACTCTACAGCCCCCTGGACGCTGCCGCCGCTTCTCCTAAGGGCTTGGACATTGCGATCGAACTCGTAGAATCCCATGTCGTTCAGCTGGCGTAGCTGGCTCTCGTACCGCTCTTCAGGAGGTCTGCTGTCTGCTGGCTCAGGAGGAGGTGCAGCTCCACCCAAGCCACCAAAGGGATTGAAACCAGCGCCTTCGCCACCTGCACCTTCGCCACCACCCATCATCTGCATCATCTGCTGCATCATTTGTGGGTTCTGCATCAGCTGCTGGGTCATGGCTGCCATTGGATTTTGCTGTCCCTCCTGGTTCTGTCCACCAAACAAGCTGCCGAATGGGTTCTGTTGGTTCGCGGTGTCTGTGCCAGTGCCAGCGCCGGCGTTACCAGCATTCGCGCCTGCCCCTGGTGGTGCACCGAACAGGGCTGCGAATGGATTCTGTCCGCCTTGTCCACCGCCAGGTGGTACTTGTGTGAATGGATTTCCGGTGTTCTGCCCACCTGCTCCAGTGTTCGTGCTGCCCGTAGTGTTGTTCGTGTTGTTGCCGCCCTCAGTGGTATCCGTTTGTCCCGGCATGGGGAACGCACCCTCACCACCATTGCCGCCCATCGCTCTCTGCATCTGCATCTGCATTCTAATCATATCTGGATTCATCATCATGCGCCTCATTTCTGGATTTTCAATCGCCGCCCGCGCCATGGGGTTGTTTCTGATCATCGGGTTGTTGCGAAGCATGTCCAAGACTGCCGGGTTGTTCATAGCCTCGTTCATCTGCTGCGCAAAATTCGGGTCATCGAGCATCCTAAGCATCTGATCCGCATTTGGCGGAGCGCCCATACCGCCATCTGCACCGAACATGTCCGCGCCTGGCAAGCCGTGAAAGCCTGCATATCTCGCGCCTGTGAGCTGAGCCAGTGGATTGCCCGCTCCCGTTCCAGCTGCTATGTTGGAAGGGACGTTCGATGCCGGCTGACCTGCTCCCGCTGGAGTGCTTGCGCCGCCTTGATTGACAGGGTTCTGGCGCTGATTGCTCTCGGCGCTGCGAACGAGGTGGACAGTGTTGCCATCCTTGATCTTGCAGCTCGCCAATGTGTCGGGATCTTTGAGAACGCGACCGCTGTATATCAGGCGTTGCCGCTCGGGTGGTGTATCGGCGTATTCTGAGGTGGAGAGCTTCTGCTTGAGATCGCCCACGGTCATGGTCGTGGGCACGGTAACGACATATTTGGCATCTGACGAGGACTTGACGTTGAATGTGAGCTGCTGTTCGACCTCGTCGCCGGTGTTCGCCGTGCTGCTGTCGGCCATGCTGGCCAGAGGTGTGATGAGTCTCGCTCTGTTGCTGTCAGATGGAGTTCGCCGTGAGATGGTGGGCTGGAGAGTGGGGCAAGGCAGATAAAGCCGTCGAGGTCAGGTGATTCGAGGGTTGTGGATGAATGGTGCGAGATGGTCAAAGGGGGAGTGGCATGAAAGAGGTGTAATTGTTGCCAGCAGGCACAGAAGGTGGTGGAAGCAGCAAGAGTGACGACAGCGACAAAGGTCCCTGGGCAAATGCACCGCAACCTGAGGCACAGCAAGGCATCTCAGCCTCTCGCTGTTTGTGTCAGCCACAGCACAAAATCATAAGCCATTCATAAATCAAATCACATGTCGAGTAGGGCACACGGCCTTTGACCGGCAACGGCAAAAGAAGCGCCAGCCGCAGTCGAGTCGTCCTCTCCACAAGTCCACGCCTAGACCGAGGTATGGGATTGGGATTCCGTACATCTACTACACCTCTACCCAAGGTAAGAACTGCGAACATTCACTTGCCATATTCTCACTTTCAGCTCTATCTCTGCTCCTCCCTCACTTCCTCTCAATTATACTGTCTATCCCTCCCATACAATCAAAATGAAAGCCATCCAAGTGAAAGAATACGTCAAGGTAAACTCCCAATGTTGAATACTCCCTCAATGTCACAACGACTGAATATTCGTCCAGGGCCCACGAGAACTCAGTGTAACCTCCATCCCCGACCCCACCCCCTCCCGCGAACAATACCTCATCGCCATCCGCGCCAGCGCCACAAACTTCTTCGACCTGCTCCAAATCCGCGGCAAATACCAACACCAACCGCCGCTCCCCTGGGTCTCCGGCGCCGAATTCTCTGGCATCGTCCTCGCGACCCCAACCTCCGCCGCCCACCGACCCCCCAAGTTCAACGTCGGCGATGCCGTCTTCGGCTCCGCCCAGGGCGGCTACGCGACCAAAGTCTGCGCGCTGGAGTCCCAGCTGCAGCCCGTGCCGAAGGGGTGGAGCTTTTTCGATGCCGCGGGATTGTTTGTGACGATGCCGACGAGCTATGCGAGTTTGGTGACGAGGGCGAATATCAAGAAGGGGGATTGGGTGTTGATCCATGCGGCGGCGGGCGGGGTGGGACTCGCTGCTGTGCAGATCGCGAAGGCGTTTGGGGCGACGGTGATTGCTACCGCGGGGACGCAGCATAAACTCGATGTGGCAAAGAGCTTTGGCGCGGACTACGCGATCAACTACAAAGACGACAATTGGCCACAGCAGGTGCTCGAGCTGACGCCCAAGAAGAGGGGCGTGGATATCGTGTATGATTCTGTGGGGTTGATCGAGAAGAGCACCAAGTGTATCGCGTGGAATGGACGGTTGTTGGTGGTGGGTTTTGCCGGGGGCACGATCGAGAAGGTCGCGACGAACAGGATCTTGTTGAAGAATATCTCGGTTGTGGGGTTGCACTGGGGGGCGTATGCCAAGTTTGAGCAGGAGAAGATTCCGGAGGTTTGGGGCGAGTTGCATAAGTTGATGGAGAAGAAGGCGATTCGGGCGACGAACTATACGGATAAGGTATACAAGGGATTGGAGAGTGTTCCTGCGGCATTGGAAGCATTGGGGGCGAGGGACACTTGGGGCAAGGTAGTTGTTGATTTGCCTGAGGAGAAGGAGAGCAAGTTGTAGAGGTGGAAAGTGTAAGCACTGCACAAAAAGCTTGACTGTGCTCTGTTTTTGATCGTTATCTGTGTCAAATGTGATCATGTCTGTGATCGTATCGCGGCTCTGGAACAGGCTGCGTCTGAATGTCTAGGTGATCTGCACCTCCTGTCGTGTTCTCCCGTCGTTTGCCAACCAAATGCACCACCAGCGCCTCGCTAATAAGCAATCAAAGACATCTACACATCCCACAACCATGGTATCTCTGGGTATCTCATGCCTCGCTCTCTGCACTCCTTATCCTCTTATGCTTCTTGTCTTTCCTGAACCGTGTCGCTTTGCTCACGTATGCGCCTGTGGTCTTGAAGTCTGATGACCGACGGTACTCCAATCCTGCTCGAACCTTTGCTGGAGCCATGCTCGACCGTCGTGACTGTGAAACGGAGTTCTCTCCACTGTTGTAGCCTTCATCCTCCTCAATCGAAGGGGTCGCGCTTCCTGGCGATACAACCGTACATTGATCCTTGCAATCCACCATTCGCGAAACCAGAGATGCGATGTCCTTGGCGTGGGTCATGGAGCAGAGGAGTCGTGTATTGACCTGTCTTTGCAGTCGTCGCGACGGAGAGTGTGGTCGTTGTGGGAACGTTCGTGATCGCGAAACTTCAGGAAAGTCGGTCTCCTCTGCCACTGGGATTTCCCAGCCAGCATCGTCGTCCATGTTGGCATAAGACTCGCATGAGTCGTAGCATATTTGCGAATCGTGCCGTAATCTAGAGTTGGCGAAAGTTGCTGCTAGGTCGGTGACGGAGAAGCGAGGTGGAGGGTATGGTCCGGTAGGTGAGCAAGGCGACACCGATCGCGACGTCTCCCTTGTCGACAATGTGTTGGAACTCGAGTCGACGGACGGCGACCTTGCGGTCTCGAAGGAGAAGTTTTCGTCAAACATTTCCGAGACAGTGTCCAGTTGTAGAGGCCAATTGCAGAACCAACACCCGAAAGGATTCTTGCTGTCGGTAACCGACGATGGAGCACTGAAACAAGATGCGGGCGTCGTCGATGTATATCAATCAAGGCCGCATAGGCGACGGATGGGATCCACCTCAAGAGATATGTACAATCACGAACTAGGCGGGCCGGTGGGTGTAATATCTGGACGAGACCTAGGCGGCAAAAGAGCAACCCATGGTGGTAAGGCTCAGGGAATAAGGCGGGCCAGACAAGGCCGATGGTGTGTACGGGGTGGGACTCTGTGGACGGTCGAGACGAATCGGTCGAGAGGCCGCGAATGTCGCCGCTCAGCAGAAAAAATAGGGCCGCGACAGGTCGTCGCCGCTCGCGTTTATCTGCGACCCCTTTGACGGCACGACAGCACAGGCAAAGAGCAACGTCGCCCTGGCGGTTCGCATGGGCGCATGCGCCGTTGGGAGCAAGACGGCAGCGTTGCCGTTGGGCTTTGGGCGAGATCGAGACCGTGGGTTGCCGATCGCTGGCTTCCAAGCCCGCCAAGCTCACCTCCTTGCAAGGCCCAGAAGGAGATCGAACAAATCATCGCCCGTGCTGTTCGTGAGAAAGAGTGGGGCAGTCAGCCCAGGCACATGGCGATTGGGCACGTTGTATCGCCCGCAAGAGGCGAAGAATTTCTAGAAGAAGTCTGTCTCGCACAACTTGTCCCGCTACTGCCCGAGCGCGCAGACAACACCAGCGTTCGCAACACAGCGTCCAGCGCACCTACCTGGCCGTCGGCGTCTGATGAAACGGGTCTCGTAGCCGCTGATGCGTCTGTCGCGTTGTCGACCCAACTCCTGAGCCGTTCCGTGGCTCCCTGCAGTCAGCAGCAGAAATCGAAGAATGCCCGTGAGTCTGCTCGGGCGACCGTCCGAAAAAGACTCCGTCCGATCATCTCTGCGAGTCGCGGCGGAGAAACGGCTCCTTTGGAGCTAAAGGCACGACATCCGGCTTTGGTCTTTTTCACACTTCAGTCCAGCGCGGCCACTACGGACGCGGGTGTCCACCTCAAGTCTTCAATTGCTACGTCAGGCGGTCTTGAAGTCGTGAACAGAGACGCCACCGTGATGTTACACCCCTTAAATGTGCATTCCGCAGGCCTGTAAGCGTGAAAGCAATGGTGTACGCATCCCCCCAGATGTAGGAATGCCAACCTGGAGTCAGCCAGGATTCCCAAGTCTTCGATCTGGAACGACACTGGCTCTCGCAGATTGAGTTCAGCGCTACTGCTGTGATCACCTTGCTGTCCTAATATGCTGTGGTCCTGTTCTTGTGGCCAATCATTCGCCACATGTTTGATGTCGTGACGCCTCAGGCTGGCGTCAATTTGAGAAGCCACCAGCTCAGCTTCTCGAGGCGGCACCATTACGTACCGGAGATGGCTATATTGTGGCTTCTCTGTGGCAGCAGCAGTGCGGTCGCTCGAAAAGACTGGGCTCACGTGTAGCGTTGTCGGGTAATGTGTGTGGTAGTCTTTGACGACACGGCATTCCCAGTATGGATCTGCCGCACAAAGCCACCGACTCGTCGACCAACCTTCTAGAGAAGGCAAATGCGTACGAGTCAGTCAGCGATGAGGACTTGGTCTGTCCGTGTCAGTCATTGAGGCAGGTGGACGCCAGAGCAACGTCATGTTACGTCCACAGCGTCCAAGGTCCACAATGCTAGGATATCTCGCCCCGATACTTGGATCGTGGAGCTAAAGCGATGACGAGGTGGCCAATGAAATAGTCGGGCGTGCTAAACAAGTTGATGGAGAGCGGAGTGGAATGACGTCTCTTCGAAGTGTCTCTTGCGAACCCCGGCGCGTTGGCGGCGGGTACAGCCATTAGCGTATATTAAGCGAGTCGTTGGCTCGAGCGTTTTGTCGAAGCTGTCGAGCTCAGGGACAAATTTGATGAACTATTCCACCAGACGATGGCATCGATTGTTAGATCGACCACGAATCGCGCAGTCCATCTGCGCATTATACCAAGGCCATCGAATCTGGGCGAATCCAGAGAGATACTGCGGCTGATCTCGCAATTCGGAGAAGTCGAGTACTTCAAAAATCTCAAATACGATCACTTATCCGCGCCCAATGCTGCTCTGGTCATCTACAAAGACGAGGATGCCGCCCAGCATTGTCTCAGAAAGAGCCCCATTCGCTTCAGAATGGGCAAGGCCGTGGCAGGAGAATCAACTTCACAACCTGTAGAGGAACACTCTCCCGAGACTGCATCCACAACAAATGATAGACCATTGGACAATCCATTTCTTGCTACGGACGCAGCGACCGCCAGCAATGCCCCGAAATCGGATGTATCACCAGCGCCAGTACCCAAGACTGTGCCCCGACAACCACCAACGCTCACAGATTCCCACCTGTACCAGGTCCAAATTCACCCTGCGCGAGTGCATTTCAGAGACCAGATCAATGCAGGCCACTACCACGGACCTTTTCCAATTGACACCAAGAGCGTAGCGCAAGGTGATCTTGCGAAGTCTGTTCCCCTACCTGGGCTCAGCTGTGTTGATTGGAGGGCTGGTGATAAGCCATGGAGAATCGTACGGCAAGAGCAGTTTCGAGAACATGAGAGTTGGAACAAGAGGAAGAGCTTGAGGGAGCTTTACAACGAGAAGTCTGAGGCGGCCTCTACTCCTCAGCTACTTTCAAATGAGAAGCCCAAGACTGGCTCCGTTCCCGAATCTTGGGAGAGACCCATTTGATTGAGGATGAATTTTGCCAGTTACGCTAGGACGTCTGACGCTTGAGATACACTTGGAGCTGCGTGAAGGAGTTCAGTACATTGATGCTCGCGCCTCGTACGGATCAAGCGCCAAATCTTTGAAAGTGCATCACCAGTGATGGTTCTGCGTCTTTGAGTGCGACTGAAGATGATCAGCTGCTTCACCAATTCAATGCCGGGAGGCGTTGATATGAAAGACGACGCATGTGACTGCCATGAGGAATTCCACGAGCTTGCAACTGCAGGTCTATGCATATGCTGATTGTCGTTGCCGCTCACCTATAACTACAACCTTCTCGTCATTGTCGAAAAGTTTCCGCCGTCGCCACGACACGAAAAGGATACTCGAATCCAGCATCACACTATTCAGACAACCATGTCAAGTCCCCGCCAAATTTGCGAACAACATTGGAGCAACGCGACATGGCAAACCTGCACTTGCCCCAGATGCGAACCGCGCCTCCACACGAAGGTTATCCATCACGAAGATTTGAAACCATTCAACCTCCTTCGCGGCCTGACGTGGAGAGGGCACGATGCTTGGCGAATCGCATCTCTCGCAGTCTCCTCCTTTACCGGCCCATCCAAGCACCAGAAGACCAACCAGAAGTGGATCGCATGGGCGAAGAAACACCATCTTTTTGAAGAACGACGGGCCGCGGCTGATTGTCTCGATGAGGAGGCTCTGAACGAAGTAGTTGAAATCTTCAGCGACATTTTCCTCTTGCGCCAACTGCCATCCTCGAAGATTTCTGTGCGGTGGGCCATTCTGGACAAGAATCAGCTTGGCTTCCTCCAGTCCGGAATCTCTCCTAGAGAGCGCATGATCCTGCGGTTGAACTGCGACCACACGCCATTGCAAAACTCTGCGGAAAGAATCCTGTGCGTGGTGCTTCACGAAATGGCGCATGCGTTCTTCGACTACTATGCCTGCAACCCCTGGATCAAAGCTCAATGCGCGCAATCCAACTGTGGAAAGCTCTATCATCTCAACATCGGCACGACTGGCCACGGTCGAGCTTGGCAATACTTGATTAATCACATGCAACATTCCATGCGGGATGCTTTGGGATTCGAGGGCGATCTTGGTCGAAAGGCAGGGATGTGTCAAGAACTCGAAGCTGGGGGTACGAAATGCGCATCCTCGTTTCCGGTGGAATAACTGCTGACAGGATGAGCAGCTTGCGTTCCTTGTTGGCAGGACGTAGTCTTGCTGTACCCGTGGTTTCCATCCCGTTGGTGGAATTCTACCATTCGTACGAAGGATGATGATGCGGTTCTACATCTTCGTCTATCAACAAAGGCACCGCGAAACACAGCATGGGACTCGACTCTTCCGAGACATCGACGGCGGAATTCCATTTGATCACGATCAGTATCTCGGATGGAGTGGCAAGTACAATATCTGAGTCCAGCGTTGAGTGGGTGCTCTCTCCTTCGAATTAGGACAGTTCAGAGCAGAATCTATACCGATGCAAGTCATCGTTGAGCGACTGATATCGAAACGTTTCCCCTTTCATTGTCGTATGCAGTTGGTTTCGGACCCTGCTCCAGAAGTCCCCACTTTTCAATGTTGAGTGACGCTACATCGCTGCCAGGATTCCACGACACGTCTGTCCAACTTCCTTCGCGAAACGCAGAAAGCCCCAAACGCCCTCTACCGGTAGGTCTTACTACATCTTTCCCATCACCATTCAACAAGCTCAATACACCATATATCACTCACCATGGAATTCGTCTTCGGCATTCCAACCGCCCTCTCCATCGTTAGCGGCACCGCCGTCTCAGTCGTAACTGGCGTGGCCCAAGGCGTATCCGAACAAAAAAAAGTCAACGCCGACGCCTCGAACCAAACCCGCATGATGAAATTCCACCTCGACGTCTGGGTCGACGCGCAGTGGCGCAAACCCGGGAAAGGCTCCGAACTCCACGGCGGCATCGTCACCGTCCGCGACGGGAAACTCTGGGTCGAGGCCAAGAGTTCCATCACGAGGCTACCCGAAGTCGTTGGACACCATCCGTTCACGGGGTTTTATCTGGCGTACCCCGACGATAATCGTGGGTACACGCGGGGGCTCGTGAGTACGATCAGCGTGGATCCGCCGATGTTGAACTGGATGTACGTCGACAAGGACACGTACGAAGTCAAGCACGCGGGCCGCAGCGGGAGTATCGAGCACCATGTGGGGGATTTCGACTGGACGACGGAGGAGAACGAGGATAGTTGTGTGACGTTTGAGGATTGGGAGGGGTTTGTGGCGGTGGATGAGGGGGATGGGGAGTGGGCGTTGTATTTTGATAAGGATGATGATGGGTTGGCGAAGAAGAAGAAGGGAAAGAAGGCGGTCGAGGTGCATTTGCAACGGAGGGTGATTACGGGGCAGGAGGTGAATAAGTGGGGGTTGAAGGAGGAGGGGAATATTGGGTTTAAGGCGACGAGGGAGGTTTGAGGGTGTGGATGTGCGTGGCGTGGGTTTCTTGAGGCGGGCGTTGGAGTGAGCTTGGTTTGGGAATGCAATGATCGTGGCCGATGACTGATCTCGAGCTCTGCCGACCAATGCTACAGCACGAGGCTGGCGAGGGCCTCTAAGGGTACCGCACCAGGGAGAGATCGGGAAAAGACACTCGGCCATTCTGTCTCACTCGCCAACGACGATCCTCAGTCGTTTCGCATACGGAGCTGCTTCGCCTCATGGCAAGCCATCTCCTTCCACAGCCGCCTCAGAACGTAGCACGCTCTCGCCACCAACATGCTGTTCTATCCTTCGAGCATTATGCGGCAGCATCGCCACCACCGCATCCAACCGCTCCATAAACACTTCTCGATCACTCGGCTCCTCAATCTCAAACCTCAACTCCTTCACCGAACCCAACTTCCTCACCGCTCTCTTCAGAAACGGAATCTCCACCTCCACCCTCATCTCCCACTGGTGGATTCTGTTGGGGTCCACCAACCGGAAGCACAGCGTCTGCAAAGCCGGCAGCGACCTCAAGCGATTGCAGGCGGATGTGACGCGCTCGAGTCCGTTTTCGAACCCGCCGTGACAGCCCACGGTTAGATCGCGGAGACCTTTGAGGCGTAGTCGGCTGAGTGTTGATATGAGGCCAGGAGAACGTTGTCCGTAGTCGCTGTTGGCGCAGAGGATGTTCGAAGGGATGGCGATTTTGTGTTGAGAGTAGAATATGCCTGCGGGCGGCATAATCAGTTGCTTGGACTTCCATATGCAGACGAGCTCTTCGAGTGAAAACAATGTCTCGACGCCTCGAGTTCAGGCGCTGAATAGATAGTTTGTTCAGAAGTTTCCACTAACCTGCGGCCTCTTGATTGATCAAGCGACACACGCCGAGCAGATTCAACACGGTCTTGTGACTGCTGTCGAGCTGTCGTCTCAGAACGACCTCGCCATCGTAATCTTCGTCAACTTCGAGTGCAATTTCGTAGATATAGTTTCTTAGTTCGGGTGGTAGTCGAAACAGGAGGCACTGTTCTTGTGATAGGGGTGGGCCTGTCGGTACGTCGACTTTTGGTGGCATGTTGGTGTTGTCGGAAGATTGATGAGTTGGGCTGAAGTTCTAGGCCGAAGGTAGAAAGTGGCCGGCCGGTGGAAGGTGGAAAGTGCATCCTGAGGCAACCTTGCATGTGAGAGCCAAGCTATGAATGGTAATTGCGAGCTTCACCCGCCCTTCTATCACCTGAATCAAATCCTCCTTCTTTGTCCAGTGTATGTCCAACGCTCCGCCAATCTAGCTTGTGATAGAGTGGTCATTGTGAATGTAACCAGTACGGTTCTAGCTACACAAGGTACACCACAACTTCACCCTCATAGAAGTGATTGCATACCGCTGCATTGTATGGCCGACACCAAAGTACACTTTCGCCGTATTGTCTGGCAACTTCGCTGACGCCTTCTCCAACTCACTCCTCACAGTCTCGCGGTACGGGAAGACCAGGTCTCCCGGGAGCTCAAAGCACAGCTCCGTAACCAAGGCCAGCCTCTTGATTGCTCTTCCCAAGAAGACCATCTCTTCCTTGATATGCATCAGCCAAAGGCGCCCGTTGAATCTTGGTCCCAGAACGAAGTGGAGCTTCGTCAATGCACTCGCTTTCCTCAAACTCTTGCAGGCGACGGTAAGCGATTCCCACTGGGGGAAGTACTTCTTGTGTTGGGTGGTGCCATAGACCATGACCTTCAGCTGGTGGAGTCCGTCGAGTCGAAGTTGGCTTGTCTCGTCCAAGAATCCGCTGGCCTTGTAGTTCGAGGAGTTGGCGTACAGCGCGCGGTATGGGATGCAGATGTTGTTTTGAGCGAAGAAGATACCTGCACCAGAATTCCGTTAGCGACTGGTATACTCGATCACGAAGCTTGGAAGATATGCAGGCAGCACTCCTGGAGTCTCGAGCGCTCTTCCCCCTTCTCAAGTACCTCACGTACCCGCTGCTTCTTGATAGATCTGCCGGCAAGTAGCGAGCAGTGCGAGCACGCTCGGCTTTGTTCGAAATTTCGCAGGTCTGATAGTGTCGTGCGCGATGAATACGTCGTTGTTGGCATCGGGCTCGACCAGCAGCGCGAGTTCGTAGATGTATGTTCGAAGCTCTGCAGGCAACGATATCAGGCGACACTGACTCTGGTCGAGAGGCTCGCCTCGAGGCAGTTTGCCTTTTGGTGGAGCCATATTGAGCGGTGTCGCCGTGTTAGAAAGTCGAGGGGTCGAAAGGACAGGACGAAATTCTAAAGGCGCGGCAGCATCCGTGCGTTGTCCGTGCGCTGTTCCCGTTTGCATGTGATAAGTTCACGCTGGACCCACGAGCATTCACTTGCAGTTGGTGTCGTTGGCATCTCGAGGGCTAACGAGTCCCCTTTTGAGTTTCTCGACACTTGACATCGCTACGGGTGATATCTTGATGTTGGAAAGAATTGAGACGACTGTGCATGGCGGCGGGTCACTGAACAGAAGCGACCCAGGTGACATCCTCAGGTTGTGTGATTTGCTCCTATCCTTTCTATAATCCACGACATTACGACCTCCCATTAAGCTCAAAGGCAGATCTCATCCATGCCCTTGTTTCGACTGCGAACCGCACGACCGTCCTCAGCTCTTCATCTCTTGGTTCGCTTGTCCTGCCGTCGGCGTTCCAGGTAACCCACCTCCCTCTTACGACCTCTTGTTACTCGGTAGAGCAGCAACAATTCCACCTAGAGCCTTCTGCCAATCATCGCGATGCGGGAATGTGAGCTCGTCCGGAATCAAGAAGCGGAACGTCTGGACTGATCGCAGTCTGCTGACGGATTGCCTCAGCAGAGGCATCTCATTCTTCAACCAAGAATCCGAACCGCCAAGCGACTGTCCGCGTTCGTCCGACTCGATCTTGATCGCAAGTGTCTGCAACGCCGACAGCTTTCGCAAGTATCTGCAGAGTCTTGTCACCTCTTCGAAGGCAGTGGCATAGGCCTCGAACGTGACAGTGAGGTCACGAAGGCCGTCCATTCGTAGAGGGCTATGTTACCCAGTATCTTGAAGTCGGCCGCTGTAACCTGTGAATAGCCAAGCTCCAAGAAGCCGATGCGAAGCTTGTGTTCGCTATAGAACAGGCCTACACGCAGCCGGTCAGTATCGAGTTGGGAGAGAAGTTAAAGAAGGCACGTAGATTGAGATACAAGACAAGCCATGTTCTCAGGCATCGAACTCTCCTTGTGGACGCTTTGATTAGACATACTCGAAGCTTCTTGGTATACGAGGCGACAAGTGCCGAGTAATTGGAGAATAGAGTCTGATTTGTTTCTCTGTCTCCTGATTGCGACTTGACCATACTGGTCCGGCGTGACAGCGAGCGCAAGCGAATAGATGGAATTGCGAAGTTCGGCTGGCACCCTGAAGAGATGGCACCGAGGCTGAGGTTGGGGCGGGCCCGAAGGGACGGTGACCTGGTGTCGAGCCATGTCGAGCCGGTTGTAGATAATTGAGCGAAGCCAGAAGCAACAGCGAAATACATAGGTGACGCGGGCGTCCGTGCGCTACCTCCGTTTGCATGTGAGATCGAATCACTGGATGTCCGAAATTCACCTGCAGCTTGCAACATGACTTCGAGAGATGGAGGACGGTCATCAGTTCTTGAGGGTCCCCCAGTATTGGGTTTCGTTATCAATATCCTTCTAAAGCTATGATTTCAGCTTCTTCGCTTTTCGCGCCTGCCGTGCTTCTCGTCTCTCGCTCATGTACTCCGATCGTGCTTTTCGAACAGGTTTCGGTAGCAGCTTCGGCTTGATTCCTGTCCATATCGTGGGATCTAGAGGTACAGCTTTGCCGGGCTTGCATGTGTACCGAATGTTTCCGACGGTGTCGATAACGCTCATCGAATCTGACGACGAAGACCGCCCCTCAAGACCGGCATCGCCTTTGGTATCCGCTACGCAGCCTACATTGCTCGTATCCTCACTCGGTGTGTGCTCAGGGGTCGTATTCTCTTTATCCTTCCGCGCCTGTTGCTTCTTTGCCCTCTTCTCGGCTTTCGTGGGGTATCTGTCGACCGCGCCAACTCCTGGTATTGTTTTTGATTTCGCTTTCGCAGACGTTGTGAACTTCACTTCGTCTGCGTTGAATTCGAAATCTGTTTGCTTTGTCGACTTCTTCTCCTTCCTTTCCCGCTTTCTCAGAGCCTTCGCCTCCCTCGCAGCAGTCTTATCATCCCGTTCTGAAGGCTCCTCTTGGCTCTTCGGCTTGGGCTTCTCCTTGCTGCGCGGTTCGTCTTTGCTGAGCGCTTTTTGCTCGTCCACCGATAGTTGACCGACGAGGAAATTTTTCGCAGCACGCTTCACTGCCCTCTGTAGCTTGCCACGACCGTACTTGTCCTGGTGATCAGATGCCTTGCTCTTACCTTCACCAAGAAGCCCGGCTTTTGTGAACACCTTGACGACTGCCTCTTCCCCGAACTTGCTAGCAGTATCCGAGCTTCCACTCTTAGCCGCTGGCTTCTCATCATCGCTGTGTATGAGTCCTCGCCGAACAGCCTCGCTAACGAATGTGCGCACATCGCGATTCAAAGCCTTCTCCAGGGCTTCTGTATTCGTCTTCACTTTCTTCTCAGTATTCCCTGGCTTCTGCAAATCCTCTTCCCGCTTCCTCTTCCGACTCGACTTGCCCTCCATCTCTTCGTCAAAAGTCCCAGCCACGCCTTCCCCCTGCACGAAACGTCCGTACAGTCCACCGTAAGCCATTCCCTTCTCCCGCACATCTGCTAAAGCACTCCTCTTCCCTGTCCCGAGATCTTTCAATCCTTGATCGAATGCGCGCATCCACCACTGATCCGATACGGCAGCGTGTTTGTTCAATCCTATGCCCAAGACATCGACCTTCTTGCTGACCAGGAGAGGTTTCCGGATGCCGCGCCCGGTGTGGTCCAGCGAGTGGCCATCTCCGCGCCAACCTTGGCGTTTGAGATAGCCGGCGGCGTCCATGAGGAAGAACCGTGAATTGACAACGGAGGATCTGGGAAATTTTGGTTAAGTCGGCCGAGGATCGCGGGCGGTGAGAAAGTCTTGGCGGCAGAAAACGCTGGACGAGCTGAGATTCGACCTCACTCGCATAGCTCGCTCCCAAACCACCTACCCTCCACTCACAAAGTCACTACCTCGCTCCAAAGGCCACAAGATGAGAGCTTCCGACGAGATTACTCGCGTGAGACATCGAATGTGAATTCGTCACACCCGCAGTCCAGGCCAGGATGCTGCTCATAAGGGGAGACCGATGACAATTCTCATTCGTCGGCCAAGAGCGTAGAAACTGGCACTTTCAGCGCCAGACTAATAAGCAGCTCTCGTTTGACTAACTACTCTTCACGCAGAATTCTCTCACATGGCAGTGGCCCTTTTTCAGACTGAGCCAGCGTCTGTCTCAGAAAGGCAATCGGATACAAATAACTCAGCTTTTGACGTCACAAAACTTCCGCTTCAAGGATCGCTCTGGACTATTGTATTCACATGGCTCTTGTACGACTGTACGACATCGGATGTAGACTGCATTCGGCCGAAGCACGCACTTAGGAGAGGTTGGTGCTCGGCCGACGACGGTAAGAAGACATCTCAAATATCTCAAACATCAAACAGGAGGATCCAAGGGCATCACATCTCAGTGTCCTATGCCATAAGCCACATATCACGAAGACTTCTTATGACCATTTTCCACAATACACTCGGCGATCGATCAACATCACGACTACAAAAGACGAGAACCTCAGAACTCTAGTCCTTACTCATATCACGGCTTTCGATCGCGAACATGGCTCGAAATACACTGGCAGTCGTCAGCCAAAGCGGCCAGAGTCTGACATTCTTCAACCTCTCAACTGGGGAAAAGACTGGCCAAGTCACAGACCTCAAAGCGGAGCCGCACGAGCTTTGCTATGACAACAGAACAAACCTGATGTACATCACGCATGCTTACAGACATGGCTGGTATGCCGCCCACGGAGACGACGCTGTTGAGATCAGTGTTTTCGACTGCGAGAAGAGGAAAGTCGTTGACATAATCGATGTGAGCCCCTACAAAGGGCCTCACTACACAGTCCTTGACACGGAGCACGATATCCTGTACTCATCTGTTGAAGGCGGCATCGATGGAGCAGGCGGTATCATTGGCATTGATTTGAAAACGCATAAGATCACGAAGGCTATTCCATCCGGCTACAAGACTCACTGGTTCGTAATGACACCGGACGGCCGAAAAGCTTTCACCTGTAATAAAGAGGCTGGATTCATTTCGGTCATCGATTTAGTAGAAGAGAAGATGACGGGCAAACTCGAGATTCCGGGCGGGTGCGAGCAACCAGGTATTTCGAACGATGGGAAGCTGGCGTACTTTCCCACCCCGGGTATTGGCGCTATGATGAAGGGCGATGTTAAGGAGAAACGAATCCAAGTCATCGATACCACGACTGACGAGATTGTTAAGTCGATACCCCTGGACTATGGAGGCATCACAGTCCACGTAGATTGTAAGGAAAGACTTCTGGTTGGCCAATACGTATTTGAAGGCGACAAGCCAAACATACAGAATCTCAGTTCGATGAAAGCGAGGCTGAAGGTGCTGGCGCCGCCTAGGGAAGACTTCATGGAACTCGCAACATTCGACGTGGACCCTATTCCCTTGACAGTATATGCCTCGCCTGATGGGAGCAGGGCATTCTCGGCGAACATCATCAAGGGGACGGTGTCGATCGTGAATCTGGATGAGATGAAGTATGAGAGGACGTTGGACGTTGATACGGTTAGGCGAGCGGATAAGAAGATGCATCAAGGTGCGCATGGGATGGCCTTGATATAGTCTTGCCACGCAGTCGAACCACTCGTCTTTCTTGGTACGCTCCTCCAGTATTCGACAACTTCATTACAATAGCCCCGTATTTTGAGGACGAAGGATCTCGCGTTGGCTTTCCAAAAGGGAGATTTTGAACCTCACTCCATGAAGGCGCTCTCAGGCGTCTATGGCACTCCTCGATGCCATGAAAGACAAGAAACTGATCTGGAAATGGGTGTGAAGTCGGACCACTCGTAGACGCCAATGTTACTGCATGGTCCGTGCGCCGCCACTGAAAGAGCTTATCGCGACTGCATCAAGCTCTTCGTTCCATCCACAATGCCACGAGGAACGGAGCCTCGCATTGACGTGTCGTGAGACTTGACGAATACTCGATCTAGATGCTCGAGGCGTGTCGATACCACCATGATGTCGGCCAAGAGCGTACCGGCAAAAACCCACGCCACCTTCGCCTATCCAGGACCACACGGGTATCGATAAAATGAGCAATACAGCAAAGGCGATTCGCCATCCAGGATCAGCATCGGTGCATTCAACCAAAGCATAACAATTCCCTGCCAAGGCGGGCGTGTTCAGTGCTTGCCATTGATCTAGTTGCATAATAGCGTCGCAACGTGAGCACGCGATAAGCACGACATGGCAAGGCTTGCAGGTGCTTGACTTTTCCCAAGCAACCAGCACACAGCCAAAGCCTTTTACCTGCTCTTGCCGATGCTTCAATGTCTGTTTAGCTTCGACGCTACTGATACCAACCCAATCATGGCTCGACAATGTTCTGGGCATCGTTCTTCGGATTGGAGTGGTCGCTCTTTTGCTTGGCAACCAGGCTAAACGACCATCGCAGCGGCACAGCATCTGAGTATGTAACTTTCTGCGGGCCTCGTAGTCTTCCAGCGTGGACCTGGCAAGGATCTTTATAGATCGTTGAGCCCGGCGAATCTGTCACGAAGTCGCCGTCTTTAAAGGTGTCTCAACTCGCGGCACCGAACAATCCGACCAGTTCCATCGTGTTTTGAACATCTGCTTGGTATACCGAAATGTGTATGTTGCGTCTGTCACGATTAGACTTTCCATGGCTGACAAACTCACAGCGAGCACTATCGGAGGCGACGTGGTCAACGATGCGATAGCAAGTCGGATACCAGTCGATGCGCAACCCCTTGGAAGAGCCAGTCTTACCATCCACAACCCTGGCGAACACGATCATGAGTCTGTAAACAAAGAGGCCAACATCGATGTCGAAGCCATCGGCGAGCGCTCGGCATCAGTCATCGAGCGCGAAACTTATCCTGAACCAACAGAAGAAGAAACGCGAACTCTTCGAAAAGTTGCCGACACTATTCCTGCGACTGCGTATACTCTCTGCTTTGTTGAGCTTGCAGAACGAGCTTCGTACTATGGCGTCAAGACCGTCTTTTCCAACTTCATGCAGTTCCCTCTACCAAAGGGTGGCAACGGTGCAGGCGCTCCAGCTCGTGGTACCCAAGGTACAGCTGGGGCGTTGGGCAAAGGTCTTCAGTTCAGCAACGCTTTTACGTTGCTTTTCGCCTTCTTGTCCTATATCGTACCGATTGGTGGTGCGTGGCTAGCCGACGTCAAAATGGGCCGCTTCAAAGCCATCTTCTTGGGAGTCGTGATCTGTGGTGTCTCACACATCATTATCATCTGCGGCGCCATACCTTCTGTCCTGCAAGCTGGCAACGGTATTGCACCCTTCATGATCTCCCTCTTCTTGCTGGCAATAGGCGCTGGAATCTTCAAACCGAACGTGGCTCCAATGATTCTTGACCAATACAAGCATCAAAAGGCCTATGTCCGAGCGCTGCCTTCGGGAGAACGAGTTGTCGTGGACCCTGAAACGACGGTTCAGCGTACGATGTTACTCTTCTACGGCTTTATCAACATCGGTGCGTTCTTCATGATCGCCACCACTTACTGCGAAAAGTATGTTGGCTTCTGGCTTGCGTATCTGTTGCCAGGAATTGTATTTTTCCTGCTTCCGGTTCTGCTCTGGTACCTCCGCAACAAGCTGGTTCAATATCCTCCTGATGGAACAGCTCTCGCTAAGGTGTGGAAGATCATCACTGTCGCCTTCAAGTACAACAAAGGCGTCTTTTGGAAAGGCTCCTTCTGGGATGCCGCGAAACCAAGTGTACTGGCTGCACGTGGTGTGTCGCAGTTCAACCACAAGGCGATTTCCTGGACAGACAAGGACGTTGATGATGTCCGCCGTACAATGATGGCGTGTGCTGTCTTCCTCTACTTCCCGATCTACGTGATGAATGACGGAGGCACTGGCTCTGTGTCAACCAGCCAGGGCTCTACTCTTACGACGAATGGTGCACCGAACGATCTTTTGGTAAGTCTGTAATATCAAAAATTCAGATTCGACCGCTAACCACTTTGCAGCACAACTTCAACCCTCTGACAATCATCGTCACCGTCCCAATCCTGTCATACGTGGTTTACCCGACGCTCGCAAAATGGAATCTAAGCCCAGGCCGAATCACCCGCATTACCATCGGCTTTGGTCTTGCGACGCTCTCTGGCGTCGTCGGTGCCATAATTCAATACAAGATCTATCAAACCTCTCCATGTGGCTACTACGCTACCGGCTGCAAGGTTGGCACTGGGGTCTCTCCAATCAGTGTTTGGGTGCAGATCCCCATCAACATACTGGGAGCTCTTTCAGAGTGCTTTTGCAACGTCACGGCTTATGAGCTTGCGTATGCTCGCTCACCAGAAGGCATGAAGTCGCTTGTCATCTCGCTGTTCCTGGCATCATCGGCTTTGTCGTATGCCATGGGCGAGATACTGTCGCCTGCTATCAAGGTATGTTCAACTGTGAGAGACTTTGTATCAATGCGAAAGCTGACACATTGTTCAGGATCCTTACCTCATCTGGATCTGGGCAGGGCCAGCCATTGCGCTGGCTGTTCAGACTGTGATCTTCTGGTTCAGGTATAAGAAGTTCAACAAGGACGAGTTCATGACTTATGAAGAGCCAAAGGCAGCTTCAGGGGGAAGCTCATTGGTCGCCGAAAGTCAGGAGGTGAAGGCGACAGCAAAGACTGAATAGCTATGAGCTAGACTCACGATAGAGGTATATCGATTCGCCTGCACAAGCACCCTACATGCGAGGACATCTGCTCTATAGTCTTTTGATGGAGGCGTTCCTTCAAGTTCGACGTGTTGACTGACTCACTCTGCAGTGAAGCCCAGCCACAAACGCCTCCAAGAGAATGATCAGTAATCTTCACTCCAGATCACCAACAGCCTTTCGTGACTCGCAAACCTCGCTGGAACCGCCACATCCATGCCTGGGTTAGCCTTCTGCATACTAAGAGCAATGTCTGAATAATAACATCGGACGATGGCCGCCGACGACACTAATCAACCTCGTTGATTCTCTCCCGAAACACTCTGCCACAACTAGCAATCCTCGCCAAGTATTCACTAATTGGTCAGCTCTCCGATGGCTACTGCACAAACCAAATGTCGCCGGTTCGCAAGCATTGCTGTTGCCCCCGGGGCCACCGAAATCAGGCTGTTAGGGTTCAGGCTGTACGACGACACTCCTGACTAATGAGCCTGCACGAAAAGTGTACGCTTAGGGTGTGAGTTGGTGAACACCTGTACAGATGGAATGCAATTGCTGAGCAATCGTGAAGCGCCATCTTGGCCCTCTAGGAGTTTCTAGCATGCCAGAAAACATGGGCTTTGGGAGGTATAAGTCGGGAGTGTGGGCCATATGAACGAGGCCATCCAACAACACAACAGCAATCCAACCCACCACCACAAAGACACAAGCAGAAAGAAATGGCAGGCGACCTCGTCCTCATCACCGGCGCGACCGGCCATCTGGGCTTCCGCGTCCTCCGCTACGCCCTCGAAGCAGGCTACTCCGTCCGCGCCGCCGTCCGTTCAGAAGCAAAGGCAGAGACTCTGAAGTCCAACAAAGCCCTCACGCCCAAAGAACGCCAATCCCCCCTCTCCTTCGTCGTCGTCCCCGACATCCTCGCCCCAGGCGCCTACGACGCCGCCGTCAAAGACGTCAAGTACATCATCCACGTCGCCTCCCCCTTGTCAGGAAACGCCCCTGGCGGCGACTACGACACCCACATCATCAACCCAGCCATCCAAGGCACCCTCAACATCCTCGAAGCCGCCAAGAAATCCCCCTCCGTGAAGCGCGTGGTGATAACGTCCTCCGTCGTCGCCATCACGCCCGTCGCGGGCTTCGCGCCCGACAACAACGCCGCGACCGCTGACCCCGTCACAGCGACCTCCCGAGTCGAGGAATTCACCGGGCCCTACCCGAACCCGCTGGTCGCCTACATCGCCTCCAAAGTCGCGGCCCTGAACCGCGGCGAGAAGTGGATGAAGGATAACAGCCCCCCCTTCGACCTCATCCACATCCACCCCTCGTACATCGAAGGCCGCAACGACCTCGCGGAGAAACTGGAAGACTTCCAGTCGGGCACGAACAGGTTCATCGTCAACCTCGCGCTGGGCGAGAAACCCGAGGCTCCCAATCTCCTCACGACGAACCACGTCGACGACTCCGCGTACACGCACGTCGCCTCGCTCAACCCTGCCGTCCAGGGCAATCAGTCCTTCCTCGTGACGTCCTCGGGACAGGATGGCGTGAAGTGGAACGACGTCGTTGAGATTGTCGGCAGGAGGTTTCCGGAGGCGGTGAAGAAGGGGATTTTGTCGACCGAGGGGAACCAAGGGACGTATTACTATCCTTATGATGCGAAGAAGACGGAGGAGACGTTTGGGTTCAAGTTTAAGACGTTCGAGGAGCAGGTTGTCAGTGTCGTGGGGCATTATTTGGAGGTGTATGAGAGGGAGAAGGGTGGGAAGTAGAGTTGTGAGATGTTTGACCAGGTTGGATGAATGGACGATTACGATAGACGGTAGAGCTTTGAATGGAATGACTTTTAAATCTCTTGCAATGCTTTGGCCTTCTGAGGACGTTGGCGGGAATAGCGATACGCATTAGGAGTTGCGCTGATCGGGGTTGTATAGTTTGACCTCGAGGCCGTCATTCTAGGACCCAGCACCCTGCCAAATGGTGATTCCAGTCAAGTTGATGGTCGGACGGGTGGACGTGATTGAGCTCGACTGGCCCTGAGCCAGCAAGTAGGCGAGACATCGTTCTTGCTCCAGGCCAAGGTTGTATGATCAGCCTCAAGCCCCAATCCTGGCCCTGTTCCGTCGCACAAGACTGTTCCTATTCTTGGCACGCCTCAGCTCTTTCAGTTCCTAAGCCTGACGCAGTCCCTTGCAAAGGTCAGTCTCTGATCCTGGTGATCTTCAAAGACCCCGAGTGGCATCTTCACTTTCTTGATAGCTTCAATCCTCAACGAACCCCAAATCATTATGCAAAGCCCACGAACTCCACAACTTCGTAGGGCTCTCAGAAGGCACAAACTCGTAGTCCTCATGCCCAGCATCGTACGTCTCGGTCTCGACGGGCAATTCGTCGCCGGGCTTTGGAGGCGGCTCTCGACTCGGTTCTGGGATGAGCAGAGCCTCTGCGAAGCCCACGGTGAGACCTTTCGCTTGGGTGGCTCGTTCCAGCTGAAGCACGAGGGTATCGCATGCCGATTTGGTGATTTTCGAAGCTGACGTATATGTCGTCGATCCAGCAACCAGAAAGAATGGTCCACGCCGTGTTCGTGCAGAAAGTCCATTTGAAGCTGGGTTGACCGGCTTGCACCTCGTCAAGAGATGAATTGCCGTAGCCTTGATCGCAGCATGGAGGAACGAGACGCTCTGGTTCCAAGACCGTTCCAGCTGATCCCCTCCCAAAGTAAGAACATCCACATCTGCGGTGCCCGTCTCGTCGAACTCAGGACAGCATATCACACCCTGTAATCCATCGCCATGCTTCGTCGCCTCTGCCGCGAAGGTCTCCATCTCGACCTGGTTCCATTCATGCTTCATGTGCACTGCCACGACAAGCTCTTGCCTCAGTCTTCCAATAAGCGCATAAACGTCCATCTTGAGCTGCTTCAGTGCCGCCTCTTGCGATTTGCTCGCTACAAACAAGATGCCAGAGAAGGTTTGTCGATTCAAGAGCATTTCGAGGTAGAAGATGGTCGAAGGATGGACGGTATTGGCTATGAGGACAAGCAATAGACCTGGAGGTCCACTGGGAGATGGTGGCGGTATCGAGGGGGTATCGACGACTTGTGGGGTGGTGCTGTTCAACGGCGATGGTGGAATGGGTCTGCTTCCACCTTCTCGACTTTGCGTCGTCCGTATCGTGAGCGCTTCGGTGGATTTCGCTGCGATGTTGGACATGTACGATGGCGTATAGCTCGCATGCCGACTCCCATTCCGCGAGCCATTGCGTGAATCCAGGTGTGTTTGCCGATGATCTGAAGACTCCGAGTACACACTACTCGCCCTCCCATCATCCTCCACTGCCATACCCTGCACTGCCGATATTCTGCTGTCCATAATGGATGCTGGGATGTGGGATGTCGTCTGGTGTTGCTGGGGAAGAAGAGAGATGTTGAAAACTGTCACATGAAGAAATCTAGAAGCTCTCGCCCAAGGGTATACCTGAAACAGTGGAGGAATTCGGCTAGACTTACGCGTGTCGTCCCGTCCTGAATACGAAGAAGTCACGGGTGAGAACCGGCGGGGTGAGGCACGCGCGCCGTGCCTGAAAAATGGAGATGGAGACGGAGACGCGGTGGGAAGAGCTTACCGGCGGTCATCTTGCAGGATTCTTTGCGACGCCACGGTCCTCGGCGAAGGTTCCGAGTCACGGCTGTTGTTGAAGCCTCTGGTCTGGCATTCCACTCTTCTCGAGAGCGAGATTCCTGGAACGCTGGACGAGAATGTCGGGAACAAGACGGTGGCGTGAGAGTGGAGGACAAAGTTGTGCAAAACATGGACCGCATTGGCAAGATTCACTTCAAGCGCACGGACCCAATATGCATGGATCGCGCAGTCCACTACAGACATCTCAACTACATGAGATATCTCAATACCCATGAGGACCACCACCCAACGGCTCAAACGACGCCGTCGCCTTGACATCCCGACTCGAAAACCCAGCAAAGACCTTGACACTCCCCGGAAAGATAGCCCACTGCTGAGCAACCACATCCCAAGAACTGATGTCCCGCCTCGTCAGATCAAACGTCACGGTCCTGCTCTGTCCCGGTCGAAGCATGACCTTCTCAAACCCTCTCAAGACCTTCTTGGGTGTTGGGTCGCCATTGGAAGGACCTGGTAAGCCGAGGTAGAGCTGTGGTACGGCAGCGCCTGGGACGTGGCCTGTGTTCTGGACGCTTGCGGTCACGCGGTAGACGTTCTGCCATAGGGCTGGATTGCCACCTGGTGCGATGGTGTTGTTTCGAGGTAAGGCGGACAGGCTGCCGTTCGCAGTACGGGTGACAGAAACATTGCCCATGGAGAAGGTGGTGTAGCTTAAGCCGTAGCCGAATTCGTACTGGACGGATTCGTTGAAATAGTCAAACCAGTCTATGAGATGTAAGTACAGAGCATCGAAGGAGGACTCTTCGAAGTGACTTACGATAATCGATGAGTAGACGCTCTTTGAAATCTGATTGCCATGCATTGGGGTCCGATGTGTTCAGCAGAGCAGAAGAATTTGTGATATCGGCGAAGGCGTAATCGCTTTCCTGCAGAGCGATAGTGTAAGGAAGGCGACCGCTCGGATTGACATTGCCCCAGAGGACCTATTAACGTGTCAGTGTTGGCCGTCAAGGACCGATTCTCGCAGTGCCTTACATCAACAATACTGTTTCCTTGCTCTTGGCCTCCAAAATGCGCAGCCAGAATCGCCGTCACATTTGGATGATTGGCAAACGGCAGCACATTCAGACCACCACTGTTGGTAATCACAACGGTGTTGGCGCAGTTGGACGCAACAGTGTCAACAAGACCAGTTCCATTCCAGTCGGCCCGCAGGGAACTTCGATCGTAGCCTTCGGTAGCCCACGTCTTGAGGAAGACGAGACAGACATCTGGAGGCGTGGGGAAAATCGAGCCACTGCAAATGTGTTAGACGCGTTCGGCAGTCGTTCATTTGTCTCACTTACAAGCCATTATTCTGCGTGACCAGTGTGTTGTTCAGCACATACTGCACGAGTGCATTGTTGTGCTGCTGTGCCGCTCTCGCTTTGATGGCCTCCAGTGGGGTGACAATGTATGTGAAACGACCGGTACCTGATCCGCCTCCGACGGGCAATACGCCATATTCCCAGCCAATGTCTTGAAGATCGTCATCGCTGCCAGGATAGAGACCAGTGACGATATCTCCCGCGTCGTTGCCGAAGACACCAATATTACTTGGCCTCTTCAACGGCAATGTCCTGTTGTTGTTCTTGAGTAGAACGATCCCAGCAGCACCGAGCTCTCGGATCAGCCTTGCATGGCCATCTCTCACATCGACGTTGGAAGGGCCCAGAGTAAAGGTATAGTTGTATTCGGACGGATCGTTGCCATTCAATGCCGGCGAGCTACCATCGACCTGTGGATACTGCGTCTGCTGCTTGAGATGGAAGTACGGCGTCATGACCCTCCTGCACATATCATCAAGTCGCTCCGTCGAGATACTGCCATTGTTGATGCCGGTCGTGATGTTCCCGCCGAAGTATGAAGCCGCTGCATTGCCATTGATGTTACCGGGCATATCCATATCTTCGCCAGCGGCAATGGCTTGGTAGCCACTGTGGGTCGCTCCCCAATCGCTGACAACGTAGCCTTGGAAGCCAAGCTCGTCTTTTAGTATTCCGTTCAATGTCTTGCTGTTCTGACAACCGTAGGAGCCGTTGATGCGATTGTACGAGCACATGATCGAAGCCGCGCCGCTTCGAACTGCGTTTGCGAATGGCCAGAGGTACAGTTCGTGTAAAGTACGGTCGTCGATGTTTGAAGAGACAGCCTCGATTGTTACGCCATCGTCGTTCTGGTCTGGGTTGCGTTGAGTCTCCTGCTCTATGGTAGGTCGTTAGCTATATTCGAGTGGTCGTTTGGAGGCTGTCTACCGTTGCCGATGTAGTCTGCAAGTAAAGTTAGTCGCAATATCAAGTCCTTTGTTATTCGTGCCACTTACGCTTCGCACATGCCTGCACACCAGACTCTTGAGCCCCGACAATCGTCTATTCAAGATCAGCACTCCATGCTCGTTCTGCTCCCAAAGTCCAGATCACCAACCTCCTCAAACAAAATGCCCGTCAAGTATGGATCAGGCGAGAAACCCTCCCAATTCCTCCCACCATACCCACTTCTCCCCAAAGGCCCAGCAACAGGCCCAAGCATAACATTCGCGCCCTTCTCCTTGAACTCATCACCGAGCTGTTGGCCTCGCACATGAGCCAACTGCCTATCCCACGACGCAGCAACCGTCAACCCAGCAGGGAAGACCGAAGCATAATCGGCTTCGCGAATAGCCAACGGGCCATCCTGTAGACAAAGACCTTCGAAATCGAGGCGTGGGATTGGTCCAATGTTGCCCACACAAGGTCCTGTCGTGCCAGTGACGAGTTGCGCTTTTTCAGCCAGCGTGAGTTGCGAGACGAAGTTGGAGGCTTGGGCGAAGGCAGCTTCCCAACCGCGGCCGGTTGCGTTTGCTGTGGAGCGTTGGTAAGTATAACATCCATGAGGTCAATGCTTTGGGACGCACGAGAAGGATAGACGGCTGGACTCGTTGCATAGTCTGATTTAACCCATGGCGGGCCTGGGTAGGTAATGTGCGAGCTAGATTGCGCAGTCACTATTGATACAGCAGAGAGCAAGGCAGAGGCGCCTGCCAGTCTCTGAGCTTGGCCCATTGCTTGAACAAGAAAGATTCTTGGCTGGCCTGACCAAGACAAAAAGTCTACGCACCAAGCATCGTGAAGCGTGGAGCCCCCAAGCATTTTGTATGCTGTGCCATCTAGTGTTGATCGTTCTCCGCACGATGATGCCGCCCACTTGGCCGGTTGTGGTGCAACGTGCTTGCAGCGTCACATCGTCAACGACTGCTGCAGCTTCTCGGGGCCGTCTTGACCGAAGAGTTGACCGTGATGCCAACTTGTGTGTGCCTCGTGCAGTCGAGGGACAGGCGGGGAAGGTGGAGCTTCGTGACGCCTTTGGGTGAATGTTCCTGTCGATCTTTGGGGGCGCGGGACAGGCACGGCAAACAACAGCCGCAGTGAGGGTCGCGTATGCAGAGGCTTTATCCGCGGGCGGAGCATCATAATTTCCAATGGAGTGCGCACGTCTTTGCTTGCGCAGCCTGTGCCAACCAGAAAGACCATGGAAGTCGTGACATTCAGCAGCAAAGACAGTCGTGGCTTCCTCACGCGGATGATGGAGTATCGTTGTTGGCTTCAATCCTCAAACTCTCACACAAAGTCCAAGGAGTCCGCGGTCTGCTTTCGCACAGGTCCATAAGTCATCCCCAACGACCGCTTCATCTCGCCCATACTATAAGTGTGCCCAGCCTTCAGCTCCGACCCCATCTTCCGTAGCCGTGGCATACTGTCGGTCCGAAAGTTGAAAGGCTGCTTCGGTTTCTTTCGACTGCGTCTTTCCTGAGCTCTCGATTGCGGATACTCGTAAGCCGCGACAGAGACGAAATCAGCCTGAGCGGAAACGCTTTGGTCGAGGTCTTTCGGCGGCATATCTTCCACTTTCGAGCCAATCTCGGTTCTTAGCTGGTGGGCGAAGTCCAGGATATCTCGATAGAGCGAGAACTTCTGCTTCATGCGGTTCGTCTGGCTGTTTCGCCAGACGTCGATTTGCAGTGCCAGGAGCGCGATGAAGAAGAGCATCGTCAAGATGCAGAAAGTGAAGAGCAGCAGTGACGAGAAGCCCCATTGATAGGTCTGCAGAACCTGGCATTGACTGTTCTGCTCCAGCCAGGTCCTGTTCAGGAGCTTGCCGCCGTCATCTCGATAGTAAGCCTGCAAGGAGCTACTTTCGAAACTCAGCACGGGCTCCTTGAGCTCATAGGTGTGATTCGAAAGGGTGATGTTGCTCGAAGTGCAGTTGATGACAATGGCAGGCAGACTGTAGTAGTCTGAAGACGAGGAGGACCCGGCGTAACCGACGTACTGGCTCGAGTACGAGCTCGCGTACTGGTTGGATGCATTTTTGTTCTTCGTCCAATCAATGGAAAACGAAGACTTGTCTTGAGGCCTATCAATAGGAGAGCCGTCGCTGTTATATCGAACGCTCGAGTAGGTGGTGTTTGCAGCAGTGAGGACTCCGCTAGTCTTGTTGGATCGTATAACAGATCCGCTGCCATAGTCAATGCAATAGCGGGATGCTACAAGGTAATCTGGGACCATGTCAGCATGATATGGTCAACCCATTGATTCCCGAGACTTACATTGATACAACGGCCAGGTTGGATCTGACTCTATACTAAGAGCCAGCACGTCTGGTTGCAGTCCAACCCTCTGACCATCCTTGACCTTGACACCTTGCATCCCTTGGACATTTGAGTAAGCCATCAGGTTTCCGGAGTTCTGCTCGCTGTAGTACGGCCGCATGTTCGCCTGATAACCAGTCATGGCGGAGACGATAGTTCCGAAGATCAAGAGATAGATGATCATCCATAGATAGCCAAACAGCCTCCAGCTCCAGCCTCTGAAAAGCTCTCGTGTAGTTGCCCACCACGAGACGACGGAAAAGTGTTCAAATGCAAGGCTCGCCACAACTGGCATATGCATCGAGTGTCTCTCCAGTGCTGTAAGAAGAGACTTCCGCATAGGAGGGTATGCAAGGACACATAACAACATCTGGCCACCGCGTCCGACCACGAGATCCCAGATGATATCGATAGCCTTGGCTTGCGTGAAAGTCAGTTCGCCGCTCGCGAGCGTGATGGTGAGCCAGAGATCTGGATTCCAGTATTGATTGCGAGAACTCTCCCACGGATATATAACATCGCCGCCGGCATCACAGAAGAACTGCCCGGTCGCTGGTGTTCCGCTGCCTGCGGTCGTGGAAAGGTAGCCGGAAGTTGTACTGTAATCATAATACCTCGAAGGTCCGGTATATGCTGTGAAAAACAATCCCGTGAACAGTGCTGTCGCCGTTAGGCAGAGAAGTGGCATGGCGATGTGTTCGAGAACAGCCTTCACGCCGCTTTGGCGGTCTCCGCTGGATACGACCCTCATGGCTGCGGTCGTGGGATTGGGAAGATGTCCTTCACCGGCCGTGAAGACCACGAAAACCTGAGGTTTGGGATCTGGCGCGCCTCAGTAGGCATTCAGCTTTTGTTATCGTCGTCAATAGCTTCCGGGATCCAAATCCTTCCGTAGGCGGTGCGCTTGCATCGACGCGAACTAGTTGACCAGGGGTATTGTTCTCGCGATTCAGCTCGCGTTTGTACTCACGATAAGAATGCAATCTTCTGTGGCATGACGTTCATACCACTCCGTGCCGACCATGCAGTGTAATGCTGTTCTCATCAGCACGCGTCCAGGCAACTATTGGATCTGGTTAGGCCTGCATTACTGGAATCCTGAAGGAAGCTCGCAAGCAGAGAGTTTTAGGCGGATTGTCGGCGGCTCGAATCGGAGAGGCTGGGTCGCTGAAGATCATGGAGGCTGTGCCCGCGGATCTTTTCTGGGCAATTTTGGGGCCGAATATCTCAGCTCTGGCATTATCGTGTCCTTCCTTGACTTCAAATATATTGATTTGCATGTGAACAGCAGCGAGTTTGCGGGGGTGATCCTGGCATGACAAGGCGTTCGCGGTAGAGCCAGGTTGTGCTCAGCCTGAAGCTTTTCTCCTTCTCTGTGGCCATGCAATCATTATCACAACCGTACCAATATGAGCCTTCTCTCAACTGACAACAATTTGCAGTTCTCGAGGATGATGCAAATTCAACGATGCTGCAAATTCCTCATTGTCTCATTCTCCTCCCTCGTCGAAAGATTCCTCCTCTCCGGCTTCGTCCTCAACCACTTCAAAACCTCACTCGCACTCTCGTTCGGCGGAAAAACAGGATACCACACCCTCACAATCACCCCATCCTCAATCGCCAACGTCAATCGCTTGATGAGCTTCTTCCCCTGCCAATCAAAGGTCGGCAAATTCAGCGCCTCCTGCATCTCCAACTTCTCATCGCTCAACAGCTGGTAAGGGAGATGGACGCGCTCGCGGACTTCTTGCTGGTAAGGCGTGTCCTGCGTGCTCGCGCCGAAGATGTGCGAGACGCCATAAGTGAGGAATTCGTCGGCCGCGTCGCGGAAACTGCAGGCTTGCGGCGTGCAGCCTCGGGCGCCTGGGATGGAGTTCCATTCGTCTGTAATGGTTTCGTTGGGGGCGCCTGTGCGGGGGTAGCAGAAGAGGATTGTGAGGCTGGAGAGTTTTGATGGGTCGACTGAGTTGCCGGCTGTGGAGGGGAGGGAGACAGAGGGGAATTGGAGGCCGGTGAGATGGTCGCATGCTCCGTCGTCTTCTGGACGAGGGATGTCGGAGGGGAAGGTGGTATCTGGTGAAGGTTAGTGACATCTGGATCGTAAAATCTGGTAGGTGACCGGAGGCTTACGAGCCATGTTACTTGAAGTCGATTGGAACCGACGTGAGATGTGATGGTTAACGGGGGAGTTTATGTTCAGTCCTGGTGAGTTTCGAGGCTGACTTGTACAGACGGCAGTCGCCCTTGTCGTAGGTCTCAGGCGTCTGAAGACTGCAGCGGATAGTCGGCGTGCTAAGAACATCACAACAGCTGTTGACTAGTAAAAATGTCAACATGAGCTCAAGGTGGGGAGCTTGGAAGCTTCAAAGTCTTTTCCGGCATTGAAGAGGCTCGACCACACCTCCACGCCAGGGTCATCTCGTAGGGCGTACATGTCTCCGATCTGGGCAGGGGCTATCAGGTTTCTTGGCGGCACTTAGAAGGCTAACGAGTACATTAACAGCTCTACTACTGCCTTGTTGGGAAGCTGCAGCCGGCGATGGCATTATTCCCTTGGAAAGTGTTTCATGTGAGTACTTCAACACAAAGGAAGCCTCAGAACTTTTGTGGACATGAAAGCGTGCACGAATAATCTTCTTATGTTCTTTCGCTTTCGCGCCTAATGGTCGATAAGCACCATCTAATCCACCGACAACTTCGTCCCATTCTCCTTCTTCACAAACTCCAAGAACGGCTCAAGCTCCGGCGTTCTTACTCCGTTGACCAAAAACACCGGCGGCTTACCATACGGCGCAGGCACAGTAGCATCCTCACCTCCCTTGTAGACCGCGCCCGTCCACACAGACTCGTACGTCCTGTTGGCCTCGCCCGGGAAGTACACATCAACCTCAAAAGTCTGTGGGTCCAGCACCGGAGCAACGTAAAGGTGCTCGCCAAGGTAGAAGCTCTGGTAGCTGATGTTCCTTGCTCGAAGATCGTTGGGATGGTATAGGACCGGTGGGCGGAGGAGCGGCCAGCCTTTGGGTTCGCTTTCGGTTTGGAGGATGTGGCGACGGTATTTGGCGAGGGAGACGAAGAGGCGGGCGTTGTAGGCGTAATAGCTATACGTCGTGCTGTTGCTGTAGAACTGGGCGTTTACTTGTGGGATGTTGCCTTCGTGGCTGCGGAAGACTGAAGATGAGACTGCTGCCAGCTCGCCCCAGCGGCCAAGCAACTCTGAAGATCGAGTGATGTTCAAGTTGTTGTAGGTCAGGATCGTAGTGTACCCGCCAACATCGGAGTGCTGCTGTGCGTAACCTGAAAAGCCCATGTGGACCATGATTGTGACGACGGATTTGATACCATCGTTCAAAGCCCAGTCGACGTTCTGATCGCCGACCCAGAAAAGGTTCATGTTCCTGTTCGAAGACATTGCTGCGGATCGATGGAAAAGCAAGGCCTCGCTCGTGAGGTTGAGACCTTCGACGACTCCGCGTTGGAACTCCACCCATTGCGAAGGGTAGGCGTTATGGTAGAAGAAGGCGTCGCTGACCGTATCATACAACTTGGTATCGGCAGTCACAGGCGTGTACTCTCCAAAGTCAGACATGAAGCCAGAGATGTTGGCATCCCAGACCTGGTCTCGAAGGACGTCTTCGAACCAAGAACGAAGGCCAGGGTTGGTGAGATCGATGATCCCAGCTTCGATGCCAGGGCCACTGGAAACGACGGCAGTGTCATTGACAGTCGTATTTTGAACGAAGTAATGTGCTGCACTCGCCTCATCATACAGACTTCGCCGATATCCCGTAGATTTGGTCGAAACATTGGCGAGGAAGACATTGACGTAGGATAGTGTCCGCACATTGTGCTGATCTCTCAAGCTCTGGACAAAATCGTTCCAGGTTGGGTAGAGGACCTCATCGTTCTCCCAGTTCCACCAAAGACGAGAGATGTTCATGTACGGTCCAGCCTGAGGATGAGTGCCACACCAATCTTGCAGCCAGACTCCAGCGATGGGGCAATTGATGTCGTCACTAAGTCCTTGCTCCACAATTCCATTGACTTTATCTTGACCGCCTTGGATGCCCAAGATTGCTCCGTTGTCGACCCATTCTGGCAAAGCGGGCATGCGACCAGTATATGCCGTGAGTGCTTCGATGGCATCGAACAAAGTATCCGTACGAGTGAAAGCACCGTCTACGCTCAGTGAATCGTACCGAATCGTGACTTCCTCAGGTTGGGTGAAGTCAAAGTTTGCATATCCAGTGCTTTTCTCCGACAAGTAAACGACCTTGCTGTCAGTCGAGATGTACGAGGGAATCCCAGTGTATGTCGTGTATTGGTCGCCGCCAGAGAAGGAACCGTTGGCATTCCTGACTGAAGTGATGGGCTCGTCTCCTCTCCCTTCACCCTGCTCTCGTGAGAAGACGGGAATACTTTGGTTCTTGAGAGAGGCAAAGGACCCCTGACCTCCAAGTCCATAGAAGTCTTCGCTCGCGGACGAAGAGAAGCGGAAGTATAGCTTCTTCAGTGGCCCACTCGCAGTTTTCGAAGAAGGGATGTCCACATAGAATGCAATACGATCAGATAGATCACTCGGCACCCAGAATGTAAGACTGTACTGAGCGGATGCATTGCCGCACTGTAGGAGTTCACCAGAGATCCGCGTAGCTTCGCCAGTGGCTGTCCCATCCCATTCGATTTGGTCGATGCTCGTGATGCTCTGGTCCTTGCAGGTATCCTGGTCGACTTCTGTGATCTTGAAAGCCCCGCTTGACCCAACAACAGAGTCGTTCCCAGCACTCGCACTCAAGAAAGGCTTACCCGGCACGGTACTCCAGATGCTCGAGTTTCCTCTTGAAATCTCCAGTTGCTCGGCTTTTCTGTGTAATGAGAACCCTTCACCTAGACTCCATTGACCGTCAGAAGACGAAGCAAGGACAGTCTGCGTCGACGTAGCCCATGCCAGGCTGCTCAACGCAACAATAGTCCGTGGTACTCGCATCTTGAACAGCGAGGATAGTGGTAAGCCTGCTGCAGTCTCAGCAGTGGGAATTGCTCCATTTTGAGTCTTCGGGCTCTCGTCTGCTTCAATGTACTAGTGAGCAATCGCCTGCCATAGCCGAGAAGGCTTAACTTCGCTTCAAGGCCTTTCAGGAACAGGAAGAGAAATGCGTGGAGAAAAGGTGGTGGAGCTGCAGCTTGATGTCAGCATCCCTGCAGTTGACGTGATCGTCTGAAGTCAGATCCGGTTGCCAAGACACATTCGGGTCAATGTTTTCCAGGAGGGTTTTACTCGACGATGGCAAGAGAGTCGGTATAAGGTCAAGTTCTCTCCTCTTCGTCGCCAAAGAGCCACCGAGACAACTGCGATGGTGGCTGGCCGACAAAGTATTGCACCTTGCCTCCTGCGACCAGCCTGCTATCTTGAGTCCGTATCCATCCACTTTCAGCCTCTCGAGTTTCTAACAGGAAGTGCTTGTTGTTGACAGAGTGACAACCCTTCCTACGGAGAGCCGAGATGACCCCAGGGCTGTGCTCCAAACTGACCAAATCCATACTGTTGCAATCAACTCGAGCGAACACGCCTTTTCGAACTTCCTTCAACGCGATCAAGCATGGCGTGGTATGTCGGCCGGCAGACTCGAGCCTGCAACGCTCCGTAAAGGCTTCAATATCAGAAGCCGTAGCTAGGTAACCCTCAGCACAGTTGAGTTGGACGATGTAAATACCGCAGTATTCAATATAAGTTGCGTCAGCCACGAACTGGAGTCCCTTGTTCGTGATTGTGTATGGCTGGCGAGTCTTCATGTCGATTCGATAGATAGCTTGCGAGTTTAGGAAGTCTCGAGGATGTGTAGCTAACAGAGGCTCCAGGTTACTGCCGTGCATCCTATGAATAAGTTCGTACTCAGAACGACGAGTCCACGCTAGAATAGACTCGTCGTCGGATTGTTTGATGATCTCCTCCTGCAGCCGCAGAAATGCTTTTTGGCCTTCTCCGTAAATCAGAGGCATGTGGACATCGAACAGACCCAAAAGACAATACGCAATGTCTTCATGTCTAGTTGTCACCCGTCGGGACGCCCAACTCATTCGCTGCGCCACGCTCGCATGATCTGTCGTCGAAGGCTCCATTAAATGTCGCATGGGAATCCCGAACGCGGCTTCAACGATCTTGCAGAATTCGATGTCTTTCTTGCGGCCAATAGAATGCCAGTATTGATTACAGAAAATGACTTCGTCCGGTGCGAGCAGCTCTTGTAAGGCCTGCAACTCGATTAGCCAGCACTTCTAGGCTCACGTGAGATTGCATACGTGTTCGATCATGTTTCTGGTCAAGAAGATGTCCTACCTCAAAGCGAGCCCTTTGCATTGCTGTGGACTGCCAGCGATTGATGGATATTGAAAGGGTAGGTCACTTACCCAACCTCGAGTGAACCACTCTGAGTGATGCACTTCAGTATTGAAATCATCGATCTCAGAATCCGGACCATTGGACGATTCCTCGGCATTGTCATTGCGTTGCTTGGACGCTTTCGGGCTTGATTCTTGAACCTCACCATAGGATGAACATGGCTCCGAGAACTGTTGAACGTCACTCAGATATGCTACGCAAAATTCGGCACTGCGGTACCAAGCCCACATAGAGTTGATCGCCTCGCTGAGCTCGCTGCTACTGCTTTTGTCAATGCAACACGTGTCGATCCAGACCCATTCGATGACAGATCCATTGTTGACGCTTTGGCCTAGTGGCATGGCTGAGGTGAACCCAGCAGCTGGGGTGTTGCTCATGCCGTGACTCCAGCTATCTGCGTCTGCTGGAGCTGAGGAGCTTCCTGGAAGGCTACTGCCGTTCGATGGCTCAGTGGCATGGACAGGCTGCGAGAAACTCTGAAGGTCTTCGCGAATCACACACGACCTCAATGCTTCACGGTATTCGTATTCGAGTCGTGACTCCTCTACATCCAGCGAACTCACGGATCCGATGTCATCCATCCAGCCGTCAATGTTCCGTGGGCTGAAAAGGCCGTCATTCCGAGGTTCACCACCGGGCACTCGTGTTTCCTCGTTTTCTGTCCCGTCAGGAGGAGCATGATTGGTCTCACGCAGAAAGGCGCAGAAGTTCTTCACTTTTTCGGCGCCTGCTGTGTTGAGCTCGTGGAGCTTGTGGTAATCTTTGAATGCAAGTTCATCGTCCGTCCATCGATGGGATAGGATCGCGTATGGGTTGGATCTGCGAACTCGTGCAGCTCTAATGTGTGTATATTAATGAGCCTCATGTCTACTCGTTGAATCAGAAGTGAAAGAAGACCAAACAATTCGAATGGAGACCAGAGGTCCACATGCACATGCACGCTGTCGAGGAGGGCGAAGCTTGATGGGATAGGACCGTGGCTGAGCTTTGCCTCAATGTCAAGCAAGGCACAGTCGGCATCCTACCGGGCAGTAGCAGTTCTCCATCATGTGGGACAGGTCGTTAGAGGACTTCTTCACCAACACCATACAATTTCTCGAGATTTTTCGATGTGGTTGTTGTTGGAAGAAAGGAGACGAAGAAGTGAACTCACCTATCAGGGTCCACTGGGCCCGTGCGCGAGATGGCGGCAAGTCCTCTTTCGTCCTTTCCGACCCGACAACTTCACAGGATCGGCTCCAAAGCACATTACAAAGGCGGACTCACCAACGATGCACCAGAGCTGCAGAGACTGGCCGGCAGAATGTCTGCGATTCTCCACCAGAGCCACCCACCTCCCCCCAAGCCGGCTCGCCACTGGTCGACAGGCTCATCATGGCACTGGTTGAGCTCAGCGCTGATATCAGAAATTTCCAGACCAGCGGTATAAAGATAAGTCTACTTGCTGAAAGTACTGCCACGTCGATCTCTTCCTGTCCTTCCTATTACACATCTGCTACACAGCGTCATTCTGCTTTAGCAATTGCTCTTATTCCCAACACATATATAAGAATCTAGGAATGCCGTTCAAGCCCCTACTGAGCGATAGACTGTAGCATCTTGACTGCGGTTGAAAGACGGGAAACTTGAACCTATCAATCACAGAAAGCACTACGATGTTGCCCAACATGGGGTCAAACTCCAGAACTAGCACTATGCTACAGCCTCCTGAAGAACATGAAATGGCACAAGGTGCTCGTGGCCATTCTATGGATATCGGCTCTATAGGTATCGATTACATGCGTGGACGCCCATTGTCACGCAGGCCATCCCAGACATCGACCATTTCAACGGACTTCAACACTCTGGCCTCTGGCATGGCCACCCCCGACCCGCTCTTTGGCAAGCCTGCAGCATCTCGCGTACCCTCAAGGAGTGGCGAATCCGACGATGAAGTCCGCGACCTGCAATTGAACAGGACTACGTCTGCAAGTGGTCACATGGGAGATGCTTTCGAGAACTTGGCTCGAGCGATCACCAACACAAGCACGGCAGACGATGGGATGTACGAGCTGCGACCTTCGATGAGCCATAGGAACAGACGTCTTACCCCGGCTCCCACTGATGGCAGACGTCCGTCCCATCAACCAAGCCGCTTGGAAGAAGAAGGCACGCCCAGTGGCCCTCGCAAAGCGCAAGGTGTTCCTCCAGAGCTACGCAACCTCACCGCGGAAATCATCTTCGTGATGGTGTGTTCTGCTGGACAGCTCCTGTTCGCGTTCTTCCTTGGCAACATTACCGTAAACCAACAGGCCTTCAAGACTGCATTAGGACTGCAACAGGCTGAACTGCCATGGCTTGTCGGCGCCTTCCTCACGGCTCTGGGCCTGAGCGTCATCCTCTCGGGCTCCCTAACCGACCTCCTACCGCCAAAGATCCTCGTCGTGGGCGCATTCGTATGGCTCACCGTCTGGAATGTCATCGGGGTCTTCTCACTGACGCAATCAATCGCCATCCTCTTCTTCATCATGCGCGCCATGCAAGGCCTTGCAGTCGGCATTCTCGTCTCTGGCAGCATGTCCATCCTCGGACGAGTCTACAACCCGGGTCAACGCAAGACCCGAGTCTTCTCTGCCATGGCAGCGGCATCCCCCTTCGGCTTCTGGCTCGGCGCCCTTCAGGGAGGTGCATTCTCGCATAGCCTGGAATGGATCTTCGGCTCCAACGCAATCATCTGTGCCCTGTGTGCGACTGCAGCCTTCTTCACGATCCCATCTCTCCGCCCCGTCGCCGATATGGCTGGTGCCGACGCACCCAGCATGCGATCGTTCGACTGGAAAGGAGCCATCGCCGCTGTAGTAGGCTGCATCTGCCTCCTCTTCGGCCTAACGCAAGGCACAGTCGCTCACTGGTCTCCGTACACCTACGCCCTCATAATCGTAGGCGTCCTCGTCATGGTCCTCTTCTTCTGGATCGAGACTCGCGTACCCCGACCACTCATCCCCGCCCGCCTCTGGAAGACACCCGGCTTTGGTGCTTTGATGCTCGCATACTTCCTGGGATTCGGAAGTTTCGTAGGCGCTTTCCAGTTCTATGCCGTGCAGTTCTGGCTCAACCAGCAGCACAAGTCACCCATTATCGTGGCGTTGTACCTCCTCCCCAACGCCATCTGCGGCGTACTAGCGACGTGGATCGTGTCGAGATTGATGCACCGTGTTCCTGGCCATTACATCTTCCTAGCATCCCAAGTCGCTTTCGCTTTGGGGCCAGCGTTCTTCCTGCCTCAGAAGCCTTCCACATCCTACTTTGCTCTCTCAATGACAGGCATTGGCCTCGCAACCTTCGGCCCCGACCTCAGTTTCGCAGCGGCAAGCATCTATATCACCTCCAACGTCGCGAGAAGCTACCAAGGATCAGCAGGGAGTCTGCTCGTCACGATCCAGAACCTGAGCAGTGCAATTATGACAAGTCTGGCGGATAGTATCGCGGCTGAGGTGGATAGTAATGCCGAGGGCGAGGTTGGATTGCAGGGCCTGAGAGCTGCGTGGTGGTTGGCTCTGGCGGCGAGTGTAGTTGGAGCTGTCATCACAGCTATCTGGGTGAGGATTCCGAAGGAGGAGGAGAAGGATCATGTTGCCTAAGATAGATATTCTATTATTGTCTATCCCCATTCCTTTCTAGCCTACCATGGCACCGTGTATGTCAACGTACAGTCTCTGTGGATCGATTTCCGGGGGATAGAAGCGTATGAGAGTCAAGTCACTTCCAGGGGTAGGTAAGAGCGCTTGGGTCACGGCGTGGAGAAGGCGAGCACAGATCTACTATGGTGAGCTTTTTCTATGGAATGCCCTGCTATCCCCGAGACTCGATAGCCTACCATACCATACGAGGGGATAGCGTCCAGTTTGTAGATATCGATTTCCTGGGGATGGCAGCGTAAAAGAAGGACTTCACCCCATACCTTGTGGGGAAAAGGACGGCAAGGGGGGCGGGACGACGTGAGGCTACTTGAACGAAAGGGTGAGAACTCAATACACATGTCACAGGCCGGCAGGCTACCCCCATTGCTCATCTATCTACCATGGTGATGATGCGGCCACTGGCCGTGTTGCCTGCTTCTTCGACTTGGGGATGGCCTTGCGCCTCTTGGGCGCGGGAGCCGCCTCCGCCTCAGCGGCCTCAGCCTCCTCTGCGTCGCGGCTGCGCTTCTTGCTGCGCGGAGACCGCCTGGTCGGCGGAGGCGTCTTCTCCTTCTCCTTCTTCATCTCCGGCTCCTTGGCCGCCTCGCCCTCCTTGCCCTTGCCCTCACGCGTCTTACGCGTGGGCTGCGCGCGCGGAGTCTTCGCCTTGGTGAGCTTGGGGCCGGTGCGGAGGTACTCGACGTCGTAGCCTTCGAATTCGGCGGGAGTCGTCTTCAGCGTGACGGCGGCGGAGACGAGGTTCCAGCAGAGGATCTTGCGGTTGCCGGGCTTGAATCTCTCGTATCTGGTGAAGATTTTTGGGGTGGCCTCGTTCTTCTTGTCTTCGCCGTAGCCCTTTAGAGGATCGAACAGCACCCAGTCTAGGAAGAGAGTCAGCATGAGCGTGGTAGAATGAAAATAACGATTGTACTTACTGTCGGAGCCTGTGATGAAGATGTTCTCATCGCGTTGCTTCTTGCGCTTGACGCCCTTGGTCTTCGTCTTGCCCTTTCCGTCGTCGTTCTCGTCGTCGGTAGCGTAGCCCTCAGGCACTGGCTTCAGACCGGTGTTCTTGAAGTGGCGATACTGTGCCTTTTTGTGCTTGATACGCTCCTCGAACGTGACGTCTTGTGGGATCTGGGCGAGCGAATCGGTGCGAAGCTCTGGCTGCTCGAGAACGGCTTTGATCTTCTCTGGAGACCAGCCGAATCCCTCGAAGTCGGCAATGGCCATTGATGGTTTGCCCTTGGCGTCGAGTGATGGGGGGTCGAAGAGGCCTGGGGGTGGTGGTGCTGACTTTTTGAGAGCTGCGGCGACAGACTGGGCTGCTGATTGATTGGCGTTTGGCGATGAAGAAGAAGAAGAGCCATTGCGGCGGTTGCTTCCACGGCGAGGCATGCTGAATGAAGAAGGCGTGTTGCTGTTGATGTTGAACGGAAAGTGCGACCTGCGCGTGTTTCTTTCAAGCGTGTGTGATGGGTTGGTACAAGCGTGCGTGTAAGAGTGTGTTGGTACAAGCGTGTGTTGAATGTGTTGGTACAGGCGTGTAGAAAGTAGTTGTACAAGAATGTTTGTCGGAAGGATGAAGAGGAAGAGAGAGCGAGAAGAAGGTGGATGTTGGCAAGAGAAATGGCGGTGGCTGGCACAATAGGAAGAATAGCAATAAGCTTCCTATTGAAGCTTGCTATTGATCATTCACGACTCCTGCGCGGCCGTCACCCACCCTGCTGTGGAGAGCGCGCCGCGTTGCTTAAGGAAGCGACGGTAACGTTGATCGAACATAATCGTGGGATGCGCTGTTGGAGCGATTTGAGCATGTGTTTACGGTCAGTGTGAAGTGAGAAAAGAGCAGAGATGTGTTCGAAGCATATCGCATTCATGTACATATGCTCCAGCTTTCACACCCGCTCGCTGACCCAGATCGCACCTCGACAACCAGCCCGGATGACACCAGTCAAAAGCTCGTACGGATTGGCCTCCTTCGCATCATTCTCCACGGCATGGTCCAGATGCTCCAATTCCTCGTCGCGTATCCTCCTGATATCTGTAACCAACGCCCTCAGTTCCTCGCCAGGCTCCTCCCCCCTTTCCTCCATGTCCTTGAACCAAGACAGCAGCTCCCGTACCTGGTTGTTGTAATGCTCTCCGATCTCTGTCTCAACCGCTTCTGTACATGCCATCGCTGCCTCTCGTCCCAATGCCCCTGTACTCCACCCAAGAAACGTTGCTGCAGCATGCCATACGGGGTACATGGCTGTCGGTCGTATGCGGTGCTTCGCCAGCAACTCGTTGAATCTTGTGAAATGGCCCGCCTCCTGATCGTACATGTGCTTCATCAGTGGTCTGAGGTGAGGATAGGCTTTGGTTATGGGAGGCGTCTGGGCCGTGTAGATCAACGTCGCCGCAAGCTCGCCAGCATGATTCACCCGCAACGCTGAGTCGAGAAATTGTTTTTGTGCTCTGCTTAAAGGATTCTCTCGGGCCGGGCGTGTAGAGTTGAGTGATTCTGGTTCTCGCTCATCCTGATCTCGTCGAATGCCTGTCGAGGCAAATGTTCGTTGTGGGAGGTTTCGAGCTCTGAGTTGGAAGGCTAGTGGGCTGCTTCTTGCCTTCAATGGCAAAGATGGTGCTATTCGGGCCATTCTGTCGATGAAGGGACTCGTTGAATCGAAATTGAGCAGAAAATTAGACTACGGTGAAAGTTGATGGGATGGGATGCATTGCTTGACGTCGAAGATGTTTGAGTTCAGCCGAGCAGCGGGCCGAGCCACACGGGCATGGGCCAGCAGCGCGTCGAAGGAGTTGGGGCGACCTCAGTCGCTTTCGTCCTCTTTCTTTCACACAACTACCTGGTCATTCCCTATTGTCTGCTCGCTGGCCAAGCCTGGACAATACCCTCTAATCATCAACAACGACTCCGACTATTCAATACAACCCTCACTACCGGCTCGAACGACTTGGCCATCGGAGACCGCCAGCTTTCTTCGACCAGCGAGATCAACTCCAAGCCTTTCACCCTGACAGACCTCCTTTGTCCAGGGCGCATCACTGCAGCGACGCTCTTCTCCATCCATTCCATCAAACCTACATACACGAATTCAGTCGCCGGTAGAGGGCCTCCGTCAAAATGGCCGACCTTGATGACCTCGACCAAGAGCTGCTTGGTATGGCTGACGGCGGCGAGTCTGAGGACGAGGAAAGCATTGATGATCTCGATCGCCTGGAGCAGACCGAATTTCCAGACGAGCGATCACCGAGCCAAGAGGCAAAAGAGAGTGTAGAGAAGGTAGAAGAGCCCGCTGGAACCCGGAGGGGTGTTGCGCAGAAAGTCAAGTCGCGGGGTCGGAAAAAGCGCAAGCAGGAGAGCGAGGAGGAAGACGGCGAAGCGTAAGTCATCCAGTCACTCGCGCCAGCGCCACACACCACCTACATCTGCCTTGTCCATCGACTTCAGTCGACTTCCCACTGCCAGACTTCTACACCACCGCCGTTATGAGAGTCCTTGCTGACGACCTCGACAGCTCACCATCGCCTGCCGCATCGCTCGACGCTGATGGCATCGACGAGTCTGAGGGTGAGGCGGATGTCCCAGCCGAAGAAGACGATGCTCCGCTGTATCCGCTCGAAGGCAAATTCGTGTCCTCATCCGATCGCGCCCACGTCATGTCCTTGCCCGAAATCGAGCGAGAGAGTATCCTTGCAGAACGTGCTGAAGAGGTGTCCCGTCGGCAACAAGATCTCCAACTGAGGAAACAACTCCAGCGCAGCCAAGCGGCCGCCAACAAACACAAGCGCAAGGCCGCTGCTGCAGAGCTTGACGATGGCACTCGGCGGAGTACGCGACCAAAGACGGAGAAGGCTAGCGCACTGGACAACTACAGACGGGCGCGAGAGCAGAAGGGTGCTGAGCGGAGGGAATTGGAGTCTGGCCGTGATCGCAGAGACGAGCGGTCTCCCTCGTCAGCCTCGGACAGAGATGCTGATGGTGAGAGCGAAGTTGAGTGGGCGGAACCTACAACAGACCGACGTCGGGATGATCCACCTGCGGAGCTCAGGGACTTCGAGCGCACGAGAGTCGGTCGTTCGAACTTCTCCAAAGTCTGCTTCTATCCAGGATTCGAGGATGCCATTAGGGGCTGCTTTGCGCGTGTGAGCATTGGTCTGAATAGGGAGACGGGCCAGAACCAGTATCGCATGACGCAGATCAGAGGTAAGTCGAGACTTCTACACAACAGGACTGTACCTGACACTCTTCAGGCTTCACCGAAGGAAAGCCATACCAGCTGGAGACATCTCTTGGCAAGAAATTCACCACGGACCAATATGCCATTGTCGCTCATGGTAAAGCTGAGAAGCCCTGGCCATTCTCTGCTTGCTCGGACAGCAAGTTCACAGACGCCGAATATCAGCGATTCCAGGAGACCTTGACCAAAGACAACATGCGCCAGCCGTCTCGCAAGTTTCTCTACACCAAGGTTGATGCCATCAACGCCCTCATCGACCAGAAGTTCACCGAGCAGACTCTGCAGGAGAAGTTCGCCAAGCAACGAGCCATGGAGCAGAAGTACAACCCAGCCCACATTGCCAAGCAGAAACGCAGTGATATTCAGAAACGTCGCGCCGAAGCCGAGGACAACGGCGATGAAGAAGAGGTGGCGAGATGTGATGCAGAACTGCAAGCTTTGGAGAATAGTGCTTCCAATGCCAACGGTGCCGTCAAGATTTCGTCCGGCCCGGCCAAGCCTACCATGCAACATGACCGTCTTGCGCAGCTCAACCACAAGAACCGCAGCAAGAACCAGCAGGAAGTGCGCAACGCTCTCATCGCCGAACGCAACCGAATCAAGAAGGAGAGAGAAGAGATTGCGAAAGCCGCGAAAGCAATGGCAGAAGCGGAAGCCAACGCCGTGGTCAAAGCAGAGAAAAAGGAGACGGCCTTGAAGAAGGCTGCCATGAAGGATCTCTTCGGCGAAGGCTCAGACACCAGCCGAGCGGGCACACCTGCGACTGGTGTCGATACTCCAAAGAAGAAGAGCGGGACCAGCACGCCTCTGAATGGAGTCAAGGGACCGATTGGGGCGCTCAAGAAGAAGAACCTCGAGGACGATGTCATTGGTGGTCTGGATCTTGGCATTGACATTGAGATTTGAATGCACGACACGGTTGGATATGAGACAGTTTGGAAGTCGTGCAAGCGTTGAGCGAAGGCGTATAAAAAATGGGACATTCTGGGTTAGATGAGTTCGTGAAGAGCATGAAGCCTTGTCTTACTACGTATTATACCATTCAATGCCAATGACAAGCACGAATCCATGACCCAAATCAAATGCTCAGGTTTTCACATGCTCGTCCCGTTGGTCCTTAGTGCATGTTCTCACATCCGATTCTGGCGTAGACCTGTTCCTTGTTCCATCCTGACTGCTATGGCCGTGGTCATTAATCATAACCCATTAATCCGTCAACCATCATGTCGTCGCCAACTTCGTCTACACGTCGGCGCCCGGCGTCTCGCCTGGGATGTGCACAGGTGGTAGGGTGGTCCCTCCGCGGCTGTCGAGCTCTTCGACGTCGCTTGCCCATGCAGCATGCCCAGTTCACCCAGGCTGCATTCCTCTGGAGTCTCCATTCGTCAGGACCGTTCAAGCATCAACAGCCTCATTCAGCGCCGTGAAACCCTCAGCAGGCGGCTGCAACCAATTCCTCCCATCATACTCATGCTTCCCCTCAATCATATGAAACGTATAGATCATCCTGCCCTTAAGACTCGTGTTCTTCTCGCTCTTGTGCAGCAAGTTCCCATGAATTAGGACCAGTGTCCCAGCTTTGACTTCCCCCAACTCATACTCTTCATCCTCAATCTCCTTCTCCTGCTCCAACCCCTCCGGCCACGCACTCCCAGCGTTCTTATCAAACGTCGTCCCTTTCCCATCTTTGCTTCGAATGAAACGTTCCCGAATCGGGGCGCGTCTATGACTCCCCGCCGCAAAAGACAAACACCCATTCTCCACCGTACAGTCCTCCAGCGCATACCAAAACCCCACAGCAGACGGCGGATCCGTGTAGAGAAAGACAGAGTCTTGATGAGGTGGCACCCTCCCTCCAATCTCCGGCTGTTTGCAAATGACCATACTCTGCAGCACCCTCGGATCCTCAAACCCCAAATCCCCCGCAATCCGCGCATTCTGCTCGTTGATCGAAGCGTCCCTAAACGCCGGGTTCAACTGATGCAGATAATGCCCGATCTTGTTGATCGCCTTCTCTTTGGGTTTCGTGAGGTTCCCCTCGGTGTCGAAGGCGTCTTCCTCGAAGAAGAACCGGATTTTGTCGCCGGAGGTCAGGAAGTAGTCGTCGCCGACGTGGGAGGTTTTTTCGCCGGTCGAGAAGCGCGTCATGGGGTGCGAGGAGAGGGGGAAGTCGCGAAGTAGGCGCTGGGATTCGGAGAGGAGGGTGTTGACTTGGGTGGGGGTGAGGGCGTTTGGGATGAGGAGGTAGCCTTTCGAGTGCCAGGTTGAGAGTTGTTCGGGCGTGAGGCCTTGCGGGGCGGGGGAGATGCGAGAGGGTGCCATGGTGGTGGAAGAGAGATTGCAGCGAAGGAGATTGTAGATACTTAGGATTTTGGTCGATGTATGTATATCGAGTTGACTTGTTGGGGTTAGGCAAGTGAGGGGGGGAAGGGTATTCATTTCTTACCTAAGCTTTCAACTTAATATACTGAAGAGAATAGCTCGGTGTTAACTTTTGGGACTTTGTTCAAGAACATATGTCGTAGGCTAAGGCACTTTGGGAACACCAGTCGAGAGTGCAGAGTACGCTTACTAAGACACTAGATAGTTAAGCCCGGTCTACCCGGCCGCGGACTTAGAAAATAATAACAATATTACTGCCTTTTATTAGTACCTACTTTTATCCCTATCTTGTATTAGTTATAAGCCTAGAGACACTTCTTTATACTATATAGTATTACTAGCTATAAGGGCTTATCGTAGTAGTATTTTCTTCTATAAATTTAGTATCCGCTATCGAGTTATATAATTATAATCTAGCGTTTCTATAAAAGCGGGGTTAGAGAAAAAGTAATAGTATTACTATATTATTAAGATAGAGGTTTAAGAATAAAAGGGGATCCTAATAGTCGAAAGACGAAAACTAGTATATAGAAAAGAAAGAATTGCTTATTATATCGATTAAAGATTATAATCTCCTAATACTTAATACTCGCGGTAACTAGACTAACTAGATTAACTCTATCGAGGATCTCGTAGTCTATAATAATATCTAGAACTACTACGATCCCGAAAGTATCGATAACTTAGTCTTTACTACTACTAAGCTACTAGACTCTATAAATAAGGATATTATCTAGAGATATTAAACGCTTTAAGCTATCTACGATAGTAATAAGAAGAAGTATAATAAAGTCTCTAAGCGTATCGATATTACTATTTACTAGAAGTTTAAATAATACTACTTTAGTAAATATATAGTCCGAAGTAAACTTATTATATTAGCTAAAAGTATCTAACCTATAGCGAAAGATTAGAAATAGACCGTTAGAGAAGAGTTTAAAAAGCTTAAAAGGGGACCTACTAATACTAGTATTAATAAGTAGCTAAGCTATTAGCCTATACTTATTAATAATATAATAAGGTATAAAATCGAGAACGTTAGTAAGTCGTAAATCTACGATGCTTTCGTCGAGTTATCCTACGATATTAATCTACTCTTCTATAATTATATAAAGT